AGGGTTGCCTTCAGGTATCTTCTAAAAGTCAGATAGTTGTTTATTTTCTTGACATCTGATGGGAGGGCGTTCCACAGGGCGGGTGCCACTGCCGAGAAGGCCCTCTGCCTGGTTCCCTGCAACCTCACTTCTCACAGTGAGGGAACCGCCAGAAGGCCCTTGGAGCTGGACCTCAGTGTCTGGGCTGAACAATGGAGGTGGAGACGCTCCTTCAGGTATACTGGGTCAAGGCTGTTTAGGGCTTTCAAGGTCAGCACCAACACTTTGAATTGTGCTCAGAAATGTTCTGGGAGCCAATGTAGGTCTTTCAGGACCGGTGTTATATGGTCTCGGCAGCCACTCCCAGTCACCAGTCTAGCTGCCGTGTTCAGGATTAGTTGCAGTTTCCGGGTCGCCTTCAAAGGCAGCCCCACATAGAGCGCATTGCAGTAGTCCAAGCGGGAGATAACTAGAGCATGCACCACTCTGGCAAGACAGTCCACAGGCAGACGGGCTCTCAGCCTGCGTACCAGATGGAGCTGGTAGACAGCTGCCCTGGACACAAAGCTTCTATTGCGCTAGTGTGAAATGAAGGCATGACAGAGGACATCCCTGTTTCCCCACCTAGGGTGATAAAGGGTGTGTCAGTGGCATTATGGCCATTGGAGCATGAGTACATTTCCGCTTCAGGGTTCAGCAACCTGAGGCCCAATCCCCCATTTTGGTACAGCATAAAAAGCCATTCGAGGCTGTCAATGGCCCCAAGTATATCCAGAAAGAGAGGAGACCTGTGTTTGGCTGTGTTGCACTATATGGAGTGTCCTTCGAACAGAGCTCTCTGTATGCCTTCCTGGCCCAAAACCAGATTGATCTCTGTTAATAAAAACATCCAACCTTTAAGCCATTACCACTGTTAAAATCCTGGCATCCTGGTTCACTTAGGCGAATTGGCCTACAGAAGCTCAGCTCAGTTGGATGCTTCCTTGGCACTGGGATCATCACTGTCAGTCTGGGCTGCTTCCAGGGTTGTGGGATTCCCTCTCTAGGACTGCAGTGAGCAGGGCTCGCAATCTAGGGACCAAGGTTCCGGGGTCCAGGAGGCGTGCCAAAGATACCACACCCTCTGCAATGTATAGGAGAAACATTAGGGTTTGCCAGTGATAACTGGGGAGTACCATTTGTGTAATATTTTCAACGACAGCTCCTTTGTAGTACAGTGGTACCTCTGGTTAAGTACTTAATTCGTTCCGGAGGTCCGTTCTTAACCTGAAACTGTTCATAACCTGAAGCACCACTTTAGCTAATGGGGCCTCCTGCTGCTGCTGTGCCGCCGGAGCCCGATTTCTGTTCTTATCCTGAAGCAAAGTTCTTAACCTGAAGCACTATTTCTGGGTTAGCGGAGTGTGTAACCTGAAGCGAATGTAACTTGAAGCGTATGTAACCCGAGGTACCACTGTAAAGGATGTTGTTTTTGTACATGGGCAGGGGGGCAGCTGCCTCCCACCTAAATCATCATTAAAAATCAATACAAATCTGAGGTTCTGCCCCCCCCAATAAAAGTCTGCCCCCCAACAAAATTCCTGGCTATGCCCATGTTTTTGTGTGGTGCAATTTTCAAAGAATGACTACATTTTGGTTCCCAAATGATTTTGGAAAGTGTGAATTGGGTAGATTCTCCTTTAAATGCCTGCAAAATAACAATTTCTATCCATTCCCTGTCAGACTTGGACCAGGAAGAGTCAAATCTCCACTCAGCCATGACGTATTTTTTTTTAAAATAAAATTTTATTAACAATTTAAACATAACAAATTATCAAAACAAATCATCTTCATTATTCCCCCCGCCATTTCCCCACCTCCCACCTCCCCAACAACCCCCCCTCCCCCCTACGACTTCCATCAGCTCCTCTCTTTGATTTCTCAACCAATGTTAACTTCTGCATATTATAAAGCCATGAGGTCTTAGGCCACTTAACATCTCTTAGATTATGGGTGTCTTCACATCACTGCCTTAGAGCCCAATGGAGTTATTTCTCCCCCCCCCCACCTACCCTAGTGCATTTCACAGCACATTCCCCCCACAGCTGTTCACATCAACAGGACTTCATTAATGTCAGATTTGTTTCTGTTTGTATATGCACGGGGGGGGGGGGGGGGCATTGACAGGGCCAGGGATGTCTTTATCCTATGAAGTGGTCTTCACACTTTGCTAGGGGCTAATTAGGAACGGCTTAATGACTCCCAACTTGTATGAAGCTGGTTTGAGAAACAAGGTATGAAGCAGCTGTAAAGGTAAAGGGACCCCTGACTGTTAGGTCCAGTCGCGGACGACTCTGGGGTTGCGGCGCTCATCTTGCTTTATTGGCCGAGGGAGCCAGCGTACAGCCACTTCTGGCGAACAAGAGCAGCAAACGGAAACGCCGTTTACCTTCCCGCCGGAGCAGTACCTATTTATCTACTTGCACTTGGTGCTTTCGAACTGCTAGGTTGGCAGGAGCTGGGACCGAGTAACAGGAGCTCACCCCGTCGCAGGGATTCGAACCGCCAACCTTCTGATCGGCAAGCCGTAGGCTCTGTGGTTTAACCCACAGTGCCACCCGCATTAGTAGCAGTAGTTCATAACAAAGTATTGCATACATATGCCTTTTGGATAACGTATTTGTGGGAACATGGGTTAAAAGCCTAGCACTGGAAATGCAGTAGTTGCACAGTAAAAAGGAGTGTGAACACAGCCAAAATTACCCAGCGGGTAGGTGAAATATAGCAAAATGGAGCCAGTATAGTATAGTGCTTAGTGTGACAGATTAGGACCTGGGAGACGAAGGTTCAAATCCCCACTCAGCCATGAAGCTTTCTGGGTGACCTTGGGCCAGTCACTGCCTCTCAGCCTAACCTACCTCACAGTGCTGTTGTGGGGATTAAATGAGGCAGAGAAATGTATGCCACCTTGAGCTCTGTGTGGTGAAGAAGGTGGGTTAGAGAAATGTAATAAATAATAATAATAATAATGTGGGATAGTTTGCAGTTGCCCTGTCCCGAGATCCTCGAAGGAAGACTGAAAAACCAATATGATGAAGAATCTGTAGATAAAACAGAAACCTTCTACCTGGAAAAAAAAACTCCACATAAAACTGACAACCGTCTTCCTCAACGAAGCTGTGTCGAGAAAAGCAGAGACTGAGGTGACCCCCCTCCCTCTACCCATTGGCAGACTGCGTTCAGCTGCCTTCTCCCTCCACCCCTCCAGGCGGCTTGGCTGCCAGTCTAAGATGCGAGCCAAGTTTGGAAACAGGCAGAGACAAGGTCATCTCAGACATCTGGCTCCTAATGTCTTATCATCTCTGCTGGAAGGAGGCAGCCAGAGGAGGTCTCTCACCCCAAAACTCGGTGGAATTCACTTCCAAGCAAATGTATGCAGGGGATCGGATTGCAATGGATATTCCTTTTTTAAAAAAATTGTTACAGGAAACCATAACCTTGGCATTGAGGGGTGTGGGCACAAGCTGGATCGTGCCTGGTGACCACCAGTGGACCACTGGCCAATGTCTAGTAAGGCTGCTGGTTTTCTTCTAAAGATAGGCTGGGCAGATCTCAGCCTGCAGGTCCAGGCAGGTACTTTCGAAGCAAGGGAAAGGATGCTTCACAAATACACACAGACAGACACACAATTCTTGGCTTACAGATCAAGTGTGGTTAGTGTGCTGCTGCAGTGGCAACTTGAATAAAATATTGAGGGACGGCAGGTAAGCCTTGCATAATCGATCACAAGACCTGGTGCTCACACACCATTTGAATGGCAATGCCATCAACTGGGGGGGGGGGCAACCTCCTCAAATATATTATGGGAGGGGAGCCAAAGGGTCCTTGGCCCTCTAAGAGTTGTCTCCTATGGTGTGCTGGACCTGAAACCTCCACTCAGCCACAGAACTTCCTTTGGGCATAGCTGTCAACCGTCCCTTATTTGGCGGGAAACGCCCTTATCCCAGCGCCGTTTCCCGCTGCTGTTCTGGATTGATGACGTCCCTTAAATTTCCCGGGTTTCATGCTCGCCCGGCTCGGGAGGGAAGCAGCGGCTCGGGCTCCTCTGCCTCGAGAGAGAGCGCGCACGAGTTGCCGCATCTCCGTCTCTTCCTTTTCCCCCTCAGGGGCACGTCGTGAGGAGACGGGTGGCGGCGGGCAGGCAGGCAGCCCCTCTCTTGCGAGACTTCCGCCGTGCTGCCAGGGGAAGCCGGAGGCAGCGGCGGTGGCTGAGGAGGCGGCCTGAGGGAGGAGGAAGAGGAGGGGATGAGGAGGGACGCAGAAGGGCGGCACTTCAGTGGCCACAGTGGTGCCGCAACCGCCTCATGCCGGGCTCGCGGGTGGCGTGGGAAAGAGTCTCTCTCCCTCCCTCTCGGGCGGGGGCCGATGGAACTCAAAAGCTAAGCAAAATCCCTTATTTTGGCTGCTGATCCCTTATTTTCGAGGCTGCTGGTCCCTTATTTTCAAATCTGTAAGTTGACAGCTATGCCTTTGGGTGACTTTGGGCCAGCCAGTGACCTACCTCACAGGGTTGTCGTGAGGAGAGCAACGGAGAGGAGGGGAAGCAGCGCACTCTTTGAAGGAAAGCAGCGAAATGGATATTAACGGGACGACTACTAGATCCCGAAAATGCGCACACTGCCTCTTCTTGGAGCGCGCCCTGGGGGGAGAAGTAAACCAGTCTTATACAACTGGCCTGATTAAATGATAGCCATGATCTTCTCCATCACTTGGAGGGGGGGGGGTTCTAATTCGTGTTGCCTCTGTGGGTCGCAAACCCAGCCCTCCTTCCACACACCCCCCTCCTGGCGACGGTGCCTGTGTATGTTGTGCGTCCTGACTTCAGGCTGCTGCGCGCCTCGCAGCGGGTCGGTGCCAGCCTCTCTCCCCACCGCCCTCCTCCCCAGGCAGGTGGAGCAGCAGCAGCAGCGGAAGGGGAGGAGAAGAGGACACTGCAACCTACTTGAATAATTGATAGGCTGGGCTGCCGAGCGGGGAGCCAGCAAACGCAGAGGAGCAGCCGGACGCCGGGTTCCCTGCGCCGCCGCCGGAGCTGCCACCCTCGCCCCCCGCCACGCCGGAGATGCCAGCGCTGGGCGCAGGTAGGGGGGCTCGGCGCGCCTCTCTCCCGCCGGGCTAATTAGGGAGGGAGATGCGGGCAGTGGCCCCCGGTGGAGGCGGCGCCTTTGGAGACTAAGCCGGGCACGTTCCTGGAGAGCTCCAGGAGCTTAATGGAGCCTCCATCTCCCAGGGCAGTGTACCCTTGAATGCCAGTTTGCCGGCACCCCGGTTGCGCGAGCAGCTGTTTGGGTGCTGGGAAACTGTAGGGGGCTGCTCAACTCGGCTGACCTCTGAGCTGCCCTGGGTAACATCCCCACCCCAGCAAAGGATGGGTGGTAAGTGGACTGGTGGATCCTGGTAAGGAGGCTCACAGCCCAGTAGGGTCGGCACCTTCTCTTCCCCGACTCATTCCTCCTTTTAGAGCATTACAGGCAGAAGTGCAGCAGGCGCAGGGGCTTCCTACTGTTGGGAGCCTGTGCTGTTTGAAAGCTGCACCTGTTGTATTGCCGCCTGCCACAACCCTCTTAACAGGCATAAAGTGAGGGAGAGTAGTGCAGGCAAATTTCTGGTACTGGACGTGTCGGCTGAGAGAAGGTGGGAGGTAGATGTCCACATAACCGGAGTAGTTAGGCTTGATATGAGCTGGGACTCAGCCGGTTTGAGCACCAGCACCCGTCTTCAGCGGTATGGCTCATCAATGCTGGATATGGGAGAATTTTTTTATTTTTAAGTGCCTTTCTGAGCATGTGTAGAGTGCCTTTCTCTCATTACTGAGTAGCCCCCAAATATATAGGGCTGGTTGGGTGGGGGGCCTGAAGGTCAGAGGTCATGACTTCCAGGAAAAAATGGAGCCCCTGGCATATTTCTTCCTGCAAATAGGCACCACTGAGCACAAGTAGGCTGCAGGCATACCTGGCACTTGTCAAGATCTGTTTCACTTCTGCCTGTGCCGGAGAGCTGGCTACGCTGAGGTAGAGGTTGCAGCTTTGAGGCTCCCTTAATACTGGCGGCGATTCGCAAGAGGCTCTTTGTATATCTGTGCATCTGATAGCGGATATCATCTGTTTGGTATGTGCAATTCGGATCTGCTTCTATTTCCAAACGTTAAAAAGAAACAACAGAACCTGCACTTCTGTGGTGCTGGCTGGCGTTTAGCTGCTGCTATGTGCCATTGTGTTTGCATGCGAGAGAGGCTGTATTCCACAGAGGGGTAGCCATGCTAGTCTGTTGCAGCAAAGACAACAAAAGAGTGCCGTGGCATCTTAAAGACCCAACAGATTTATGGTGGCACAAGCTTTTCTGGATGAGAGCCCTCTTCATCGGCTGCGTGGTATTGCTATTTCAGTTGGCAGATAATATACATGGGCACAGAGGGGATTCCTACCCCCCCTCCAGTTTCTTATGTCTCTCATCAGACTTGCAGGTCTTTAATGTGACTCATTTCATTGATGGATGGTGCAGAAGATCAGTCCATGAAATTTGTCTAGACTTCTAGACTGGGAAGTAGGAGGAAAAAGCATGCTCAATTGTCTTTTTAAAGTTTATTTGCTTTTGGCTGTTCGATTCAGAAACAAATTAAAAATTGCAGCAGGGAAAAAGATACGAGAACAAGTCATCCAAAAACTAATCCTGGAGAAATACGTGACATTTTGCAGCTGACAAGTTTTAAAAAAAACACACTACATTTTTTCTTGTTTGTTTGTTTGACAAAAAAGCACCACCTTTCAGCAGAGGTAGGAAACCCTATTCAGTTTCAGAGATAACACAGCAAAACATGTAGAGGAGAATATCTTCCTCTTTACGGCACAGAACGGTGTCTCAAATTGAAAGGAACGTTGCGATAATGTCCATCAAGTACAGCAGAGGGCAGCTGTTGGAACCTTAGCAATGCAAAAGCAGATCTCAGTTTAGAACGACAACAAAACATAGACTGGTCCCAGTTAAATAATGTTCAAGGCTGTGCTAAAATTTTATTAATTAATAACCAGGGTGCTTCATACCAGGCTGTGCAAAAATTGTATTAATTCATAACCAGGGTGCTTCTTTAAGAATGACTACTGAACAAAAAATTCTCTCTGCTGTTAAATTCCAGTTTAGCAGCTGGCAGCTTGGATTCAGGCAAGTAATTTTAAAGAAGGAAATAGGGTTGCTTGGGAGTAAATCCCATTTAATTAAACTGGACTTGCTTCTGAGTAGATACGTACTCTGGGCCTTCTTTCTCCTCCTTGTCAAGGCAATCCATCCTCAACTGCGCTGTGGGGGGGGGGATTCCAGGAGAGAGGGTGGCTGCTGAAGACCACTTCAGGATCTGCTCCAGCTCCACTTACTTCTCCTGGGCCACCTACCATCAGTCAACCTGTGGGAAAGATCCTAAATATGCTAAAACTGTTTACTGTGTTTTAAAAATACCGTATGTAATTGTAAGCCACCTTGAATGGATTTATATCCTGAAGGGCAGCATATAAACAGACATAACGATAAACAAACAAACAAGCAAAACAGTTATATAGAATTGCACTGTAAAGTGGTTTTCTGGGCTCAATAGGACAATTAGGGGAGTTGGGTTGCAACTGCTCTTGGAAGGCTCCCAAGGACAAGCTGCAATTTGACATACATTATAGTTGACAAGACACTGATATATTTTCATCTCGGCTGAAGATGAGTTGGTGCACCATTGTGAGAGCAGAATGCAGGACTAGTTATGGGCCTTTAATTGATCCAAGAGGACTCTTGCTATGTTCTTATTTCCAGTTTCAGTTCGCCACAACACTCTCAAGATGGATCTTGGGGTTTTGTTTTGGAAATGTTTCAGACCTGAGGGTCTACAAATGCCCCAGACTACTGCCCCATGGAAGGTGTGCAGGAATGCTTGCTTGCCTCTGTGGATACTCTAAAAATTATGAACCACATATATGGATTTATCCATTTTCATCTGAGCTAGATCCAGTTGTGTTTTCTAGTTATCCAATTAGGGAACAGGATTTCCAAATATTGATGAGTTATGGCTTGCTTAATTTTATGAGTCAGTGTGCTTAACTTTGAGCCCCAAAGCATCAGACCCTCCAAGTGTCCTGTTTTCAAGTGACGTCCCTGATTTAGAGAAGCCGTTCCAGTTTATTATAATAATAATACTTTATTATTTATACCCTGCCCATCTGGCTGGGTTTCCCCAGCCACTCTGGGCGACTCCCAACATAATATTATTATTAATAATAAAGTGATAAAACACCAAACATTAAAAACTTCCAGGCCTTCAGATTTCTTCTAAAAGTCAGATAGTTGTTTATTTGCTTGACATCTGATGGAAGGGCAGGCACCACTATCAAGAAGGCCCTCTTACTGATTTGATCCCGGAATGTCCCACTTTTCCTTAGGATGTCGCTATTTTCATTGGAGAAATGTTGGAGGGTATGAAACATTATTTACTTATTATATTTTGCCTTTCCACCAAATAGTGCTCAAGATGCCTAGGAGCAATATAAATATTCACCTTAGTTTTGCCATAGTTTACGTTAAGATCATTTTTTTTACAGCAATATCCACCTCAGATGGTTAACCGTTGTTATAGCCTACCCTTGCATAGATGAGAGAGAAGGGACTGCATTGGTTTCTTTAACCATCCGTTGAAGCAGCCTTTCTCAACCTGTGGGTCCCCAGATGTTGTTGGACTATAACTCCCATCACCCCAGATCTCAGGGATGATGGGAGCTGTAGTCCAACAACATCTGGGGACCAGCTCAGGGATGATGGGAGTTGTAGTCCAACAACATCTGGGGACCCACAGGTTGAGAACTGCTGCGTTGGAGGAAGGAGAGAGCTTGTTATCGCCAAGTGCACCTGTAGTTTCATTTATAGAAAAGGTTAAAAGAAATCGAGCGAGACTGCATTCTTGTTTTACTCCCCAAGTGATTGGCATATTATTTGCTAATAGCCCAGAGGCTGCTGTCTGAATATAGAACCTTTTTTTTAACAGTTGGCTATCTAGACTGGTTCAGAAAAGGCTTCCCTCAACTTTTCCTGAACCATTGTATCAAAAGCAGCCTTTAAAAATCCTCAAAAGCAGCATACTGTGTAAGGCTGCCTTCTTAATATGAAATGCATTTATTTACTCAAGGTATAATAAGTCCAACATAATTGTTCGAAGCAGGGTACAGTGGTACCTCAGGTTAAGTACTTAATTTGTTCCGGAGGTCCGTACTTAACCTGAAACTGTTCTTAACCTGAAGCACCACTTTAGCTAATGGGGCCTCCTCCTGCTGCTGCTGCTGCTGCTGCGCTGCCAGAACCCGATTTCTGTTCTCATCCTGAAGCAAAGTTCTTAACCTGAAGCACTATTTTTGGGTTAGCAGAGTCTGTAACCTGAAGCGTATGTAACCTGAGGTACCACTGTACACTAATCTGAAGCTAGAAGACATCAGGGTTGTATCCAATAAGGTAATCCAACTTGTGCAAGGGCTTTTGCTTGTGCAATTGGACTTCCTTTCCTCTGCTTCTTTCACCCCATCCAATCTGTTCCAGTGGTTCCCTCACCCTCTGGGACTCAGGGAGAGAGGAGTTCACGGATAGGAATTGCCATTGTGGAGGTGGAAGTCCTTGCACTAATGGAATTACCAGGTTGGCTAAAACAAGAGATGTCAAACAATTACCAGTATCTTAGAAATGGGAGTGGAAATTGCCACCATTTGCATATTCATCAGGAATGGAAATTATTCAAGCAAATACAAGAGGTACTTGCTATTGTTGGTTTTGAGTCCACAAACGTTACAGAAATCACTGTGTTATTTTCTGCATTGTGCTTGACGCTTCCCTTCCATTGCAATACACTGAAGTTAATTATGTACCTAATTAATCAAGCAAGAAGAATAATGTAGGCTTTACTGGAAGCTGAAATGTAGCAGAACGGGAACAGCGCTGATTGCGATGAAAACAGGATGGCCTGGAAATTACTGCCTCCTCACATCCCTCGATACAACCCTGTATCGGTCTGAGTCTTTTGACAATTTCAACAACTGATGTTTGGCTTAGAATTTTGCTGTTACGTCAGTCAAGCTAATAGGTCTATAATTAGAGAGCATAATACAATTATAATAACCATTGTTGTTTCCAGAAGAAAAGGGGGGGGGAGAGAGGGAGATTACAGAGCATTCTATTTGTTTAACAATAAAATTAACACAAAAAGGGTCCTGACACAAAACAGCGGCACTTGAGCCAACTTTGTAGTGCTTTTGAGGGCTTGCATGGGACTCTTATTTTCCCTTTTCCTACCCTCTTGAAATTTTCCTCTGCTGTCCTGTGAGCTAAGGGGAACCCGGAGTGGAGAAGATTTCTTAAAGACTTGATGTAGTGCATCCCTGGGGCAGCTGCGTGCTCTTCTTTCTATCTGATCTGATTGTTGGCTCTACCAAATATTAGAAGTTTTTGAACTGACACCTTCAGAATTCAGTGGCTTGGCTGCGCCCAACCATCAATTATTTTCTAAGATTCGCGCAATCTACTTGAAGTTCTTTTTTTGCTTTTTAGAAGATCCTTCTCCCTGCATCCCCAAGTGAGAGATGCATTGTATTCCCAGTCTTTAGCAGATCCCCCCCCCCCCAGTTTACGGAAGCCAAGCAAGCGGCAACACTTGGGGGAGCGCTCCCACTGAGTTTGGCAAGTGCTGGAGTGATCCTGCATGCCGGTGGCTCCCTCCCGCCCTGGGGGAAACCGATCAGCAATTCTTGGAGGAGCACCCTGGTTCCAGCTGAGTCTGGTGAGAACTCAGGTGGCAAAATGGTATGGGCTGCCCCCGTAAGTTATCTTTTATGTGCCAGGCATGTCCAAAGTCAGGGGCCTAATCCGGTCCACCAGTCGATTAAATCCGGGCCCCGTGGCAGTATGTAAAATCCTAAAAAAAGCTCAACAACTAAACTACCTCATTCAAAAAAAACTACCTCATTCCAAAAAAGCTCAACAACTTCATCAAATCTGGCCCTTTTTGAAAAAAGTTTGGGTACCCCTGTTTTATGCAGTTTGTCCACCATCAATTATTGTCTCATGAGGAATCTCTCATAAGCCTAAAATACCTAATGGAGGCATCGTGGGGGGTTTTTTGTTTTGGAAATCCTAAGGACATTTGCTAATGCAGGTAAGTTTCCTTCACACGAGAAGATGGTTGCCATAGGTCCTCTTTTTCCAGGACACGTCCTCTTTTTCTTGGGTAGAGTCATCATAGCACACGTTGGCAAATGTGTCCTCTTTTTTGCACTTCAAAATATGGCAACCCTAGCAGTGCTAATCTTTAAAGCAGCATCAGCTCTCCAGGAGCAAATTCAAGCCCACTGAGCCCCCACCCCACCCCCATGATTCCTTCACAGACAACTGTAGAATTTCTACTTTGTCAAAGCAGTCAAATTGTTTCTTTCTAGGTCCCAGCCAAATTTGGGAGTCATGGTCTCTGCAAAATTAGTAGCCAGCCATCAGTGCCCTCTGAAGAACCATCATTGGCTATTTACGAAACAAAAACTTAGAGAAAAAGATCATGGCATCTCATTTGACGAGCATGGTGATAAAATTACCCCTCATTGTTTTCTAGATTGCCGCTTCATTCATATTTGTTGTTATTTTAATATGCTATAAAAGGACAAATTCTGTTCTTTCCACTTAACTGGATTTCTCATCTGCATTTCTGTAATTTTCCATTCTTTCCTGCAGGAACATTATGTAGAAGTAATTTCCACTGAAATTACTGGGATATTCTACTTATAAGGGCTTAGGTTATGTAAACTGAAGTGACAGTGCGGAATGGCAAGATATATGGATCTGCACATCGCAGCGCTTGACAGCCTATGTAGTGCACTGTGAGCCAATAAATTTCTGGTTCAGATCTCACTTGGGGGTCTTAAACAGTCCACTGTTTTATGCCTGTGCCCCCCACCCCCGGGCCGGTTGAATATTTATTTATTTTATAGATTCCCACCACAATCTTCAAATAAAATTATTTTCAGGGCAGCAGTACGGAAATAACCACTTGGAGAATTAGTTTTCCCTCACAGCATGTCAGCTTGAGGTAAGCTTATGCATTACTTCATTTTCAACAGGGCTGGCCCAAGAGATTTTGCTGTCTGAAACAAAGAACAAGATGGCATCCCCTTCTATTCCATGTAACACCATCAGGATTGATCGCTGTCTTACTTTTGCCCTTGTGATGGCATAGCATCCTCCACTGCACTGAGGCAGCGGACTAGTTTAGGGGATACTGGCTAGACGACCCAGCACATACGACTCTATTCACTAACATGTTGTTGCTGCTGCCTACCCATAGACCCTTTTATTATTTTGGAAGAGGGTTATCATGGTTTTGGACTCCTAAAAATCCTGTGGAAATTGTGCAAGACTTGTCTTCCTATCTTTTGCACATTAGAAGGCAACGGAAATTCTATTGATTCCCATCTGTCTGGATGTTTCTCATCCATGTCCAATATCTTAAATTACCACTTTGTTTAACATTTAATCCAGAATGTCCTGCTGTTGCTGTGGTATCTTGTGGACCATTCTAGTTCTAATGAGATCTTACTCATTCTCGTTGGCAGAGGAAAATAAAGTTCACATAGTTCTCTTGCTGCTAAATGACTACTATAAATTTAATTGGTGGTGACTCTGTTTTAATTATCGGTATTTGCTCATTTTACTTTTTGCAATGACATGGCTAATAGCAATAAAGCTGAGGCAGTGAAACAGGGGGGAAATACCTTAAAGGGATTTTATCATCAAGCAGTAGGACCGAGATTCAAGAAGCAACTCCTCTGGTAACAACCCTGTGCTCACTTAACCTGGGAGTAAGCCTCATTGACCATAGTGGGACTTATTTCTGAATAAACATGCATTGTGAGAGAGGAAATAGGGAAATGCTGCAGAACCATTCACAAGAGGCTGAAGAGAAGTGAATTGATATGTGTCAGGCTTGTTAATAAGGCTTCATTGATATACCAATCCCTGATTCCCCCTTCAGCAGCTCACAGACTATTTTCATACCTGGGCTGAGGAGTTCAAAGAGATCAAGCTGTTACTAAGGGCTTTTGATGTTCCTTCTGATAAATGAGCAGGGGAAGGTAGCAATCAACCAATCAATAAAATTCTAACAAATTTCAATAGAAAAACTATGGGGGAAACTCTAGTTCTCAATGGCTCCATTCATACATACATTATTTTAACATGATATGTTCAACAAAGCCATTATTTTAACATGATATGTTCAACAAACCACAAGTCTTTTCATATGCGAACAAAGAAGCCATGGTTTGTTTCTCCAAACCTTGCTTTGTTTTCCAGCTTCTCTTGCCTCATGGTTTTGTAACCTGAAGAGCACTTGAGGGGGGGTGGCTAGCTATAAACAAACCATGGTTACACAAGATTGTTGAGTTAGAACATAAACCATGGTTAAAACACATCATGATCCTTAAGCCAGCAACAAACCATAAGCTTATTGTGGTTTGGCAGAAAACAAACCATGGTTAGTATGCTAGGCTGAATAGGTAGTCATAGTTGAGCTAAAGACACTATGGCTTAGCATTACGTATAAACCAGGAAACTGAGGTGGTGAACCAGGGGTTGCCAATATTTTTGGCCCCTTGAGTGAATTTGAAAGTTTGAGAGACCATTGTGGGCACTTTCTCCTCAGGTAGCTTCTCCCTCCCCTCAACAGACAAAAGAGAGAATATGTTTCATGTGCACATGCACACACTATTTTTCTATGGGGGCTGGCTAAATGTTGGATCCAGCAGAATTAAAACAAATTTGCATGGGGTCCACCAAAAACCACCATCAGATCAAAACTTGTTTCAGCAGACTGCAGAGTAAAAAAATCACAAATCTGGTGCTTGTGAGCACCACAGAAACATTAATCCTAGCCAGGCATGAATCCTTTTTGAGCTCCATGATTTTACATATTTTGACTGAAAAATCGCTAAAAATAATAACCACAAAGCACAGGTCACAGGTCATTTGATGGTGGTTCTGAGGGAAAAATTAGGAGGATCTGTAAGGATCTATATTTATGTACAATGGCATTGTTGGTAAACACCAGATCTGCAATTTGATGGCTCAGGCACCAGAGATAGGTGTGATCTGCATTTCAATGGTGGTTGAAACCCTATGAAAAAAATGTGATATCAAGGGGATCTGTTTTACTAGATTTGACTTGTGTGTGTTTGTGTATGCATGTGCTTACACACTTTCTCTCCCTCCCCCCCGACATTTCATATTCTTTCTCCTGATTCCTATGGCACCTCATTTTCTCCCCTCTGCTCCTCCTGACTTCTATTTTTCTCCTCTCCATCTCCCTGATCACTTTGTTTCCCCTCCTGCCCTCTCAGTTGCTCCACTTTCTGCTCAGCTATTCAAGTACTGAACTGATCCCTGAACAACACAGAGCTGAAAGCGGAATGGGAGCAGCATCACACTTCCTCCTTCCCCTCTGTATTCTTTTCGAGAGAGAAATGTACTGTATCTATAACCACCTCAGGACAAAGCCGGAGGTGGATAAGGGCTGGCTTGCAAGGGAGGCGGGCGCACTCAGAGGCTTCACAGGCCCTTGAGAAATTGTGAGGTTCCCCGGGTTATTTGCAGTGAGGAGGGGATGTGTTATAAATGTGCTTTAAATAAATGGTGTGCACACAGCTGTAATCACTGAAGGTTACTCTCCTAAGACCAGTGCTTCTAAAAAAAAAAGTTTTGGGGTACTCTAATTTTGACTCAAGAAAATCACAATTTTATAGTTCAGATCGGGGGAATAAATACAGTAAATGGGCAAAAGTACAAAGATTCACAAGATGTTTAGGGGTATGCGTACCCCTGAGTACCCCCAGAAAAAAGCACTGCCTATGACTATTTGTTCCTCCATATAAGAAATAACCACCACCCCAGCATTTAGAAAACTTGCATGATAGTTTTCTTCAATAACGGCAGTTGTTTTGGTTCCTCCCAATTAAGTTTTCAGCCCAGTTTTATTATCATTATTTTTATTATTCCAGAAGATTGCTTGCACCAGGGAAATGATCATTCTTCTGGACTTCTTAAGAATATTTGATATACAATCAACCAGGGTAACTTTATGGGCCATGTCACATGAATGGGTGTAGGCGGCTGTATTTGCAGGTGGCACCAGTCAGATGGGTGGTGTATAAATAATAAAATAATTCTTCTTCTCCCTGGAGGGCAGGAGCAGACCCAGAAGATGGTGTTAGGAAGACTACCAGTTTGCTGTTTTGTCTTTGGCCTACGCAGTAGTGAGGTTTTAACCTTGTCCTCTGTGCTGTTCAATGTCTGCATTAAACCGCTGAATAGTGAAGTTAGACCGAGATTGGGCATAGTCTTCTACGTGGATCTCCTGGTGATCTGGCTCGTTTTCTTCTGCCATAATAAAGATAGACAACTAAATTGTTTCCTGCTCATTCCTTGCTCCTCTTTCCTCTGTCTCCCTCCTTGCCAAAACTTCTCAGGTCATCTCCCTTTTGTAACATCATGCTACAAACCACTATAGTATTGCTGTTTAGACAACAGCCCTCAACATACAGTTATAAGCATGATGTTTTTTTTATGGAGATCTGGATTTCCCCTGCCGAGGAGATGCTAGGTTTTCGGTTTTCCTTCTCTTTTTCCTCTTCAAAATATCCGCCTCCTTCATTTCTTGCTTTCCCTCTGACTCTCTCTCTCCTTCTTCCTTGGTTGTTCTCTAGCCCTCCTGACAACCTGCCGTGTCTCCCCAGGAGTTTCCTGCCCTTGCGCTGTGTAGATCCAGCCCTAACTGTGAGCTGTTCTTATTTTTGTCATTTGAAGTGTGTCTCAGGAGAGCAAAGGAAATAGCAGTTTAGATTTGGAGGATTTTTTTGTTTTAAAGCAAGGGGAAGAGTGGTTCGGGGACAAATCCTGTAGCCTCTGGAGACAGGGTGGCGAGTTTATGCTGGCACAGAAAGAGGAGACGCCTGTGCTCAGGAGGCCAAACAACCCACAACTGGCAGAGAGAAGAGGATGTTTTCTCGGAAACGTAGCTTTACCTTTGGAGTCTGTGAAGGGTATGTACCTATACAGGTTCTGGCTGACCCTGTTGCATGTCCTTCCTGCTGCATCTTCCAGGAAAAGAAGGGTGCTGGATTTACCGTATTTTTTGCTCTATAAGACTCACTTTTTCCCTCCTAAAAAGTAAGGGAAAATGTGTGTGCGTCTTATGGAGCGAATGCAGGCTGCGCAGCTATCCCAGAAGCCAGAACAGCAAGAGGGATTGCTGCTTTCGCTGCGCAGCAATCCCTCTTGCTATTCTGGCTTCTGAGATTCAGAATTTTTTTCTTTCTTGTTTTCCTCCTCCAAAAACTAGGTGCGTCTTGTGGTCTGGTGTGTCTTATAGAGCATTTACGAAAATTTGGGGGAACTTTCAGAAGAATGAGGGGTTCCTCGAGTCTTTTGGGAAGGGGAGTGAGCTGGATTGCTCTCGCCTTCCAGCATGCAATGCCTAAATCTTCAGGTCTTCCTTTCCCCCCTCTTTCTCCCCTTCCTCTTGGTTTTCGAAAAGATGTCTTGTTGTACGCAGTTATTTCCAAAGACAGGGAAACAGCTGAGTCTGCATTTCTCACAAGACTTGCTTTCAGAGCAGAAAAGGGGAGTTCTATAGACCCACAGCTGAAAATCGCATCTGGAGAATAGTCCTATCGGTACCGTGGTATTCTGTGGAACGTGAAATGCTAAATATTTCACTGAAATTTCATAGGACTTGGGCAGGCCTGTCGCCAGAAATATTTCAGTGAGGGGGCCTAATGGTAAACTGGGAGAAAGGAGCATTAATGTAGAGCAGCCAGGATCAAGAAACAAGTATGCTCAAAGTTATTTGATGTGGATGTAGTAAAATTAAATGGTTATAAAGTCTAAATATATAAGTACTTCATGTTTGACAGTAATCCCAGTGTTGCTCTACTCTCTTAGCAGCCAGAATATTGGGAACTGAGAGCAGTTTTATTCCCTATTGAGCAACTAAGAGTGCATACACAAGGTACTTTTGAAGCACATTTTCCTCCTCAAAGAGTTCTGAGCACTGTAGTTTGTGCAAGGTGCTGGGAATTGTAACTCTGTGAGAGGTAGATTACACTGCCCATATTTCTTAGAGGGGGAAAAATGAGCTTCAAATGTGCTTTAAAGGTGCAGTATAGATAAATTTTGCCTACACATTTCACCCATATATTAGCATAAGAAAAAGAATCACATCTCTTTCTCCACCTTCATGAAATAGGAATATTCCGGGGAGGGCCTGGAATATCCCTCAATTCCCACAGGCCTCTTGTGGTTACAAACCTGGATTTTGGTTTATAATAAGGGTATCTGGAGTTTGCGAGTCACAGGACTGTATTATGGCTAAGGTTGTGAACTGTGAAGCAATTCAAATATCACTTTAACCACAAACTCAGGAAGGGGAACCTATGACCTTCCAGATATTATCGGAGTACAACTCCCATAATTCCTGTCCATTTGCCATGCTGGCTTTGTCTGATGGGTAACATCTTGAGAGCCACAAGTCCTATCCACACACTACCAACTTAATAGCATTTTAAACCCACTTTAATAGCATTTTTAAACCACATGGCTTATCCTCAAAGAGTCCTGGGAACTGTCCTTTAGTAAGATGCTGGGAATTATATCTGTCGCTGTGTCCTAATTCCCAGGATTTCATAGGAAGAATCATGATTAGCGTGGCTATATGCTATTGCTCAGCCTTGCAGCTATATAAGAAGGTGATAACTTTAAATAATGTGTGTGATGCACTTTGAACACTGAAAAAGTGTCATAAAATGTTTATTATATATTGTTATATAAGGCTGTCAATTAGATATACCGACCAGTAAAACCACATTCTGGCAGTTATCACAAATACTTAAAGACTTGAGAAGCTAGTATACTTTAGAGGTAGTACAACAAGGTTTTTTTTATTTTCTATTTTGCTATTGGCTCTTCCCATCCTTTACTCTGATCATTCCGTGCATCAAGGCTTCCCCTCCTAGCCCACCTTGGCTCCAGGGCTCCAGTAATGTTTCAAATCCAAGCTAGCAACTTTAAAAAGAACTGCAATAGATTTAGAGCTTGCCTCTGGGATTTGTACCTGGGTGACTTTTAGTTGTCCAGCTGTTTTGGTTTGATATCCCAGATGTTTTAAATCCACATTGCAAAGCAAGCAATGAGCAACTTAATTTGCATAAGACCCTAATTATTAACCCATGTAAATGAATTGTGATTATGTGTGCATTTTTTCCTGTGCTTATTTGTGTGGGAGGAATGTTCAGGTTCTTTCAGGAAAGCCTCTAAGTGAGTTTACTGGAAGCAGTAATTACCCCTTGCTGTGCAGCCTCTATATTACCGTCTTTCAGTATTACCATCATCAGTGAGAAACAGATGTTGAAGGGAAAACTGATTTCTACCTCTGCATTGTGCTTCTATTAATGCAGATAGATTCTCAGAATATCTCAGCTGCAGTTTGGTCACTTAAGATCAAACAGAATGCATGTCACACTGAGTCTCAGAGTCGCCCAGTCCCTAAAATGGTAATGGTACCAAAAGTGGGAAGTTGTGCACCCTGGCATTCTCTGTGCAGCCGAGTCACACTCAGATACAGGTCTTATAAAACTAGATGAGTTCTCTCACTGTTTTGGTAAATGGCCTCCAAGAGTATTCCCCAGCTACTGCTAATGTTTATTGCCCAAGGAGTTTGTTACTCGCTATTTACTGTCATGTGACTTCTGGGATCAGGGTATCATTTATTTTACATGGCATTCCTTATGCTTCTGCTTCTTGTTAAAATTTGGAAAGACTCTGCTATTGTATGACTAATCAAGTAAGATAATTTATGTCGTAAAAACTCTTGGGATCCTGCAAACACATCTTGCTCATTCATCTACAGTGGTACCTTGGTTCTCAAACACCTTGGTACTAAAATAACTTGGAACCCAAACACTGCAAATCCAGAAGTGTGTTTCCGTTTGCGAACCTTTTTCGGACGCAGAACATGCTCTGATTTGAGTGCTACATTGAGGTCTGTCTGTTTTTGCTATTTATTTTGCGTTTTTGTTTTTGCGGCTACTGATTGATTGTGTGACTGCAGTACATTGTTTATTGTTTTCATTTTATGGATCACTGGTCTCGTTAGATAGTAAAATTCATGTTGAACTGCTGTTTTAGGGGTTGTTTTTAAAAGTCTGGAACCGATTAATCCATTTTGCATTGCTTTCTATGGGAAAGTGCACCTTGGTTTTGGAACACTTTGGTTTTGGAACGGACTTCCGGAACGGATTACATTTGAGAACCAAGGTACCACTGTAGATGCGCATAGATACATACACACACGTAGTGAACTGTTGGGCTAACAGCAGGTCACCAAAAGAACTATATGCTATGGAACTCTGTTGACTTAATTCTCTTTTGGGAATTGTTCCAAGCCTTTTTTTCTTTCACAGAACTCACATCTTCCCTTTGTAAAACCTACCGGTGTGATTTCTAGGATTTTTCCTTTATTTAGCAAAGCAGAACACAACACTTGTAGTTCAGGTTTATTCTAATACTCGGCTGTAACCAGGCATGAGGAAGAAGGGATCAAGAATTAGCTGAGCCAAGTCAAAGTGGTGGAAGACCGGGAGAGGTGTTTGTGTGGAGTCCTGTTTGGACATAACAAGGAAAACGGCAGTGGAACCACCGAAGGGGTAGAAGGAATAGTATGGGGCAGCTTGGCTGCCAGTACAGTGGTACCTCTGGTTACGTACTTAATTCGTTCTGGAGGTCCGTTCTTAACCTGAAGCACCACTTTAGCTAATGGGGCCTCCCGCTGCTGCTGCGCCGCCGCCGCCGCCCGATTTCTGTTCTCATCCTGAAGCAAAGTTCTTAACCCAAGGTACTATTTCAGGGTTAGCGGAGTCTGTAACCTGAAGTGTATGTAACCTGAGGTACCACTGTACTAAAATGGAAGGTGGAATGCAGCAGTAGGCTGGAGGGAATTTTACAAGTAAAAGCATGGAAGTAGGATCACTTAGGACTCACTGTGAACACTGTGCTAGAGGATTTCTAGGTTAGCATTTGAAAAAAACAACTTGATTCACTGGGCAGATAAGTCTGGTAATAATAATAATAATAATAATTTATTATTTATACCCCGCCCATCTGGCTGGGCTTCCCCGGCCACTCTGGGCGGCTTCCAAAAAAATATTAAAATACTATAATACATCAAACATTAAAAGCTTCCCGAAACAGGGCTGCCTTCAGATGTCTTCTAAAAGCCTGGTAGTTGTTGTTCTCTTTGACATCTGGTGGGAGGGTGTTCCACAGGGAAGGCGCCACTACCGAGAAGGCCCTCTGCCTGGTTCCCTGTAACTTGGCTTCTCGCAGTGAGGGAACCGCCAGAAGGCCCTCAGTGCTGGACCTCAGTGTCCGGGTAGAATGATGGGGGTGGAGACGCTCCTTCAGATATACTGGACCAAGGCCGTTTAGGGCTTTAAAGGTCAGCACCAACACTTTGAATTGTGCTCGGAAACATACTGGGAGCCAATGTAGGTCTTTCAAGACCGGTGTTATGTGGTCTCTGCGGCCGCTCCCAGTCACCAGTCTAGCTGCCGCGTTCTGGATTAGTTGTAGTTTCCGGGTCACCTTCAAAGGTAGCCCCACGTAGAGCGCATTGCAGTAATCCAAGCGGGAGATAACCAGAGCATGCACCACTCTGGTGAGGCAGTCCGCAGGCAGATAGGGTCTCAGCCTGCGTACCAGATGGAGCTGGTAAACAGCTGCCCTGGACACAGATTTGACCTGTGCCTCCATGGACAGCTGTGAGTCCAAAATGACTCCCAGGCTGCGCACCTGGTCCTTCAGGGGCACAGTTACCCCATTCAGGACTAGGGAATCCTCCACACCTGCCCGCCTCCTGTCCCCCAAAAACAGTACTTCTGTCTTGTCAGGATTCAACCTCAATCTGTTAGCCGCCATCCAACCTCCAACCGCCTCCAGGCACTCACACAGGACCTTCACTGCCTTCACTGGTTCTGATTTGAAGGAGAGATAGAGCTGGGTATCATCTGCATACTGATGAACACCCAGCCCAAATCCCCTGATGATCTCTGGTCTGGTACTGTTTTGTGTCTGGAGTTTCTGGCATATGCTTATGTGGAAAATACTACAAACATATACCTGTGTTAACTGGCCTGATCAGGGGCGGGGGGGGGGACAGGGTGTCATATTTCTCAGTTAACATTGAGATTTTGGGGTTTGATCTTGAACCCATAGTCAGCTGCGATATTTTCTTGGAAATATAATATGATGATCACCCTCCACTGATTTTGAAAGTGTGGGCCAAGGGTCTTATGAAGTGCAAGCATAACAATTCTTAGACTTGTAAGTAAAGGTGGGAGTCAACATCTGGGAGGGACGGTATGACTAAACGGAACAGAGGACCTGCCTGCTACATTGGGAATTTTATGGTGCTCCAATTAGAGTTGTCTCCTTTTCATGCAGGAGGACTGATGAGGCAGAGCGCTGCATCAGTGACACCTTAGACTCACCTGTCCAGGACCCTGAGGCTGCCCTTAATCCAGCTGTTCAAAATAAGGTAAGAGGCTGCAGAATCCTTCTTTTTAAAAAAAAAAACTAGAATCCTTGCAGTCAGGTATTCAGTGAGTAAGGGTGTGGACTGAATCAGCTCTCTCAACCAACTGGTGTGCATGTAGTCAGCTCTGTGCACATAGTCCTGGCCAGGGCCGGCCCACCCATTTGGTGAGGTAAGGCAGTTGCCTTATGCAGCAGATCTTGCCTCCAGTGAGTGTGCTGCTCACCACCTCTGCCACTGCCTCATCTCCACCCACCAATGTCTTCTCCTCTATAGCCTCCTTTTACTCCCCCACCACCTTTGTGGGGAGGTCTGTGGAGCAAGATGTAGGGAGCTGTGGAGGAAGAGGTGGCGGTGGTAGGTGGACCGGCATTTTCTGTTTTGCCTGAAGTGGCAAAACGTTCTGAGCCAGCCCTGGTCCCGACTGTTGAATTGGACTGGTGAATTGCACAAACACCACTGTTTAATTGGTGCCGCTCTCCTACAGCTAGGGACATACAGAGAATCCCTTTTCAATACACATGCGGCCCCTGGTTGGATCAGAACAAGTAGCAAGGGTTGTGCTTTTAGATGGGAAAACTTCTAGACTGTAATAGAAACTTTTCCTCAGCTTAACAGATAAATTACTATCTGAATAATAAAGGTGATACTGATGAATTGCTTTTTTAAAAAGTGAAAGATTCATAAATCACAAGAAATTAGAATATGTGAGTACTATTTTTCAGTCTGGTTTCTGAATAATTAGAGTTTATGCAATAGTTTTTCTTTCATGCCTATTTCTGTAACAGTGAAGATCAGGAAGTATTTATTTTAACATCAATGATGAGAAAGTCTCAATCTTATGAAGAGCCTTGCAGATTCAAGTTTTGGGGCACGTGTAAAGGGCAAAATATTAAGCATCATATAATTTCACAAAGAATAAAAGTCTCATTTACAGAGATCTCGATCAAAATTTGTGACCTTGGAAATTCATTTCTTATTTCTCACAGGCAGTGGATTTGTTTGAAATGATTGAAAAAATGCAGGTATGGTTTGCTTATTCCATCAAGTTTCAGCTTTCTTAGTGTTGACTCACTTTCTATGCATTAAATCTGCTGTGAGATTGTACCTCCATTGCAACACTGCTGTCGTGTAAAAACCTGCTGTCTCTCATTCCAGTCCTGTCCTGTCCTGTCCCACCCCCCACCCCCCACCCCCACCCCCAGTTCTACAGCACCTTCTGCTAACCAGTCTTGTTTACCTCCATTCAGAAAATGTATTTATCTCTTCCCCTTGTTATAAGAAAAAACTGCTCCTTTTCCCTTATGGGGTATCCAAGAGCCCATATAGAGTCCTTAAGTGGGTTCCCTATTGGTAGGAGAAAATAACAGAGGCCAACCAGAGTATATTGCAAAGCAAAGCGGCTAGTAAGCCTGATCTTTATTAACTGTTGCAACAGGGTCCCTACTCACCACACGCAGGAGGGAGAAGAGAACCCAGAACAATGGTGCATAAGTCCTTATATAGACTTTTGAAATTGCCCACCCTGTAGCCCAAGACCACCCCTCTAAAACATCATACATACATCACAGAAGGAGGCAGTCTACAGCAGAAGTCCTGTCTGCCAGGATACTTGATATCGGTCACTGATGGCTTTACCTGGGCAGCCTGGCCATTCTTTTGTGGTGGCAAATACTTTAGTTCCTGAATCCGGATCACAGGCTCACCCTATTCATACACAAATACGCCCTTAAGACAGAATTTGTAAGCAAAAGACAATGGGGAGGCTTTCCCATTTCCTTTCTCCTAACAGAGAAATATTTGAGGTCAATTTGGGAAAGTCAAAATGACTTCAGGATTGCTCTCCTGTACTATGTCAGACACGTGGCTTATATACTTATGTATGTGTTTGCCTTGTACATTTATGAACATTTCATTTATATTTGACAGCTAATAATTCTTGTAATACCTTGCTCCTGCTTGTTACAAATGGGGTAGGTTTCTTTCCGCTGAGCTTCTGTTAGCTAACGTTCATTTGCAGCCAAGGATGTATACACTTAACCACACGATTCCAGGGATGAAACATTTCGTAGGAGTGCCTTGGCATCCCTACTCTGCCCCACCCCTGGCTGGAAGCTAAGTTCCTATTGCCAGTTGGCTCAGAAACTGCAACAGAGGCAATAACTAAAAATGGGACTCCGCAGCCTATATGATTTGTTGATTGCGTCAGAGAACCAGCAGCGCCAAACTGCTGGTGGTGAGGCAAGAGCTGGCAATTATCTAGTTGCTAGGTGCCAGAGGCCAGATGCACAGTAGCTCTGACGTAAGGAACATGTGAAGCAAAATCCCCCTTCCCTGCCACCTGCCGTGCCTGCTTGTGTTTTCTTCTCTGTGTTGTCACTCTGTGCGGCTGTTTGTGCTAGCAAAGCGAACTCAGCACTTTCTGTCGTAATGCCGTGTTAACTTTCTCTCTCTCTTTTATTTAACAGAACTTGCCTTCTGCTTAATTGCAAAAAAAAAAAAAAATCCCAACAGCGTCTGAGCAACAGATAGATAGATAGATAGATAGATAGATAGATATAGTTAAAAAGATCAAGGTTAGAACGATGGTGTGTTAGAAGCTAAAATTACAGATTAAAACACATAGCAGTTTTACATGTCTGGGTACGCTTGTGTAATTAAAAGAGTTTTTATCAGAAAAGTGTACTGCAAAGGTGTTTGCTACCTTGATAATTGGGTGAACACACCTTACCTTTTAATCTTAAACTCTCAAGTCTAAGAGGAGGAAAGGAAATGGAGTAACCAGGTAGGATTGGAAAACTACCCTGATGCCTGTCTAGGTGTCTTGAACGGAAACAGATGGGAAACACCTGTGTGTATGGATGCCTCTATATCCAGCAAGGCTTTAGCTTTATGTTTGGACTGTGCAGAACATAGATTGATTCTAACACCTGGATGAGAGGGGAACATTTGGGAGCAGTTTTAGTTGCAAAACATCATTCTCTTTCCCTTTCCTAAAGCAATGGATCTCAGCCAGAATAAGACAGAATGAGGTGTAGGGGTTCCAGTCTCCCACTGCTTACAGTATTTTAGGCTATATGATGTGATTATTTCCCAGATTCATCTGTATTTCTGATTAGTTTACTCCTTCTACACACTGACTGACTATTGTTATGTAAATGGTGAAATGGGCTTGTGTGTCCTAGGCGTGTATGCCAAAGGCACAACTCCGTTTGCTTTGCAAACAAGGGAGTTGTTTGTTCAGTTTGTGTTAATGATATTCTACAGTTAATTATTATGAAAAAGTAGCAACAACAGGTATGCTGGCTGTTCTCTTTTTGCAATTTAACCTTGACTATATCCAGGAGTAGGACTTAAAACTTTGTTGAGAATCTTGCTCTCAGCTGCAGAAATCTGAATTTGTGTTGGAAGGGTGGGTGGGTTAGCAAGCAGGATATTGGCATCAGGTGGAGGGGAAAGGGGAAAGGAGAGACATACTGGACTGTGCAGTTTCACTCTGCCTTTTTCTCTGTCTAGAAAAGTCGTTTGGATGAGCAAAGGTGTTCACTTCCAGCTCCACTCAAGGTCAGTTCAGCTCTGCAATTATACGACTGAACCCTCCAACGGAATTTTAGTACTAAAAATGACAACTGTAAGAGCCGATCCTCACATTGTCTTTATAATGCATGGTATAAAAAGCTGTTTCCCAACATCCAGAGAGGGATCAATGAGGCCCAGATAGGGCTATGCATATATGATCAAGCTGGGAATCAGGGACAAGACAGCAGGGGTGTGGTGTGCTTTGCTCCCAGCTGAATTGCAGCTTTGAGTGTGTCCCTGTATCAATGAATGGCAGCCTTCCACTTATGTAGGTTTCAACTGTGGAGCTAATAAGGGACTAGGAGGTGAGCCAAATATATATGAAAGAGATGGGAATTGCAAGGATAGGGAAGAGCTAATGCCAGAGGGATTTCATGAGGAAGACAGGGAGCTGGGGGAATAGTCATAATCTATATACCGTATTTTTCGCCCCATAGGGTGCACCGGCCCTTAGGGCGCACCTAGTTTTTTGGGGGGGGAGGGGAATAAAGGGGGAAAAAGTTACCCCTCTGGCTCTCCAGGCTTCAGCGAAAGCCTGCATTCGCCCCATAGGACGCACACACATTTCCCCTTCATTTTTGGAGGGGGAAAAGTGCGTCCTATAGGGCGAAAAATACGGTATATACTGTATTATCCACAAATGCATATAGTTTGGGTGGAAGAACTGGGAGGCCCAATTATTATCCTTATTTGGACTCAGGAGGCAGGGATGCATGTGATAGGATGTTGGAAGCCTATGCATTACTTTGCAATTTGCATAATCCCCAGCTCCTCACCCCCATATGACCTCTTTGGGTTTTCAGAGAGAAGAGGAGTACATCCCATACCCTAGCATCCATGAGGTGAGTCGCAGCAAAACCAACCAAGATTTGAGTTCAAATTTATTCGTTTTTTAAAAAATGAGGTTGGCTCACGTACGCCCTCAAATTGTGGATCAGGTGTTAGTTTGAACTGACAGCATTTAATGACTCCAAGCCTTCATTTGCCTTTGTACTAAGAGTTGTTAGGAGACCCCCTATTCCTTTTGATTCCTAGAGTTCCCTGGGAAGAGGGATTGGTTGTTAAGCCACTCTAGGAATTGTAGCTCTGTGTGAGGAATAGAAGAAGAGGAGTTTGGCTTTGATATCCCGCTTTATCACTACCCTAAGGAGTCTCAAAGCGGCTAACAATCTCCTTTCCCTTCCTCCCCCACAACAAACACTCTGTGAGGTGAGTGAGGCTGAGAGACTTCAGAGAAGTGTGACTAGCCCAAGGTCACCCAGCAGCTGCATGTGGGGGAGCGGGGAATCAAACCCGGTTCACCAGATTACGAGTCTACTGCTCTTAACCACTACACCACACTAGGGGTCTCCTAACAATTCCCAACATCCTTAATGGAACTGCTGTTCTCAGGATTCTACAGGGGAAGCCATATAACTGTTTAAAGTCATATGTTACTGCTTTAAATGTATAGTGCAGGTGGCAGCTGTGACTCGATGGCCAGACCACATTCTACCATTTTTTAAATGGCTTCACCAGTTCCTGTCATTTCCCGCCTGAACCTGTCCTACTATTAAGATCAATATTTGATTTGCTTCTCTGGGTGCTCGTACTATGTTTTTGATGACAGGGGAAAGCTCATTTTCTGTGGTAGACTCTGACCAGAATGGAACATGAACTTGATTTTGAAGGTTTACTTTTGTTTCAGATGTGTGTGTGCATGTGAAATTATAGATTGGATTCATTTTAAATTTTCTGTGCCGAAAATGTAACTGATCTGTAGAAAAGAGTTTACAACCTGAAAAAGAGACAATGCACGTTGTTTTGTAAACAAAGAAAATCTTTAATAAAAACTATTTAAAAAATAATAATTCAACAGATCAAGATCTGTTCTGTTTTGATTATCTGCGTGTGTCTGATCCTACAACATCTCTCTTTCTGGACAGGTGTTACGGAGAGGGTGGCCCTACCCTCTCATTATCTTACCCCAGTTTGGGGGCTATTGGATCGAAGGGACCTCTCACAACCTTCCAATCTCAGGCCCAGAATTGCATGACCTGCCATCCCCTTGCAGTGGCAAAGTGAAGCTGGAGTGTGACCCAACAGCCAAGTTGTACCGCAAGCACTTCCTGGGAAAGGTAAGAGAAGTTCTGTAGCTCCTGACTGCTCATCTGCTACTGAGCTGGGTTCAGGGTCCTTGTATCCATTTACAAAGCCCTGAACAACTTGGGTCCTGGGTGCCTTAGGGGGTCACCTGAACCCTTATATCCTAAGCTAGATCACTGATCTCATCTGAAGGAGTGTTTCTGGTTGTCCCTTGAGTTGGTGAGGCTTATTAGACATCAACATGAAGATGAAACTTCAGTCTTTGTGGCCCACTGCTGGGGACATACAGCAGGCACCTTCTGAACTATGGCCTTGTCCATACTTCCACTTGTGCCGTGCCTAGAAAGCATGGGTCTGAGCAGTTCTCACATTTGAAAGTTGCCCACTTTCCAAGTGAAACCCCACTATTTAGCAATAGATTGGAACAAACGGGAACCTGGGGGAAACCCGAATTGCCATTTGTTCCAACTGAGCGCTAAAGAGCGGTTTTCCCCGGGGGAAAGCAACAGGACAAGGGGAGGTGTGGAAAAGCCCTAACTTCCAAATGTTTGCTGAAAACATTTATTTTATTTTATGTTTTGCATGCAGGGCTATGCAGACAGTCTAGGAAAATGTTTACCATAATAGTCAGCTGGTGATCTGTTTTAATGTTGTGTGGTTTTTATTGTATTACACTTGTTGTAAAGTGCTTTGATTTTTTTTTTGGAATGAAATTGCGTCATTAAAATATTTTAAAATAAATAAATACTATTATTTTATTGGGCACACAGGCTTTTAAAATTTATTATATTCGTTGCCTGCCCTTCTCCTTGAAGTCCCAGGGTGAGTTACATGTAGAAAAAACTAGTACAATAAAACAAAACAAAGAAAAACAGTCCCACTGCAAAATACCATACATATCAACAAAACTAGATTTCAACCAGGGGAATGGTAACAACCTGAGTACAGTTGCCAAAGGCCAGGTAGAAGAAGAACATTTTCTGTGATCATCTAAAGCTACAAAGAGATGGTGCCAAACACATCACAATTACCGTATATTTCCGTGTATAAGTCTAGGTTTTCCCCCTAAAAAATAATGTCAAAAATTAGGGGGCGTCTTATACACGGATACATCTCCCCCATTTTCTTAAATCTGAGTCCCCCAAAATAGGGGGTATCTTATACATGGGGGCGTCTTATAGACAGAAAAACAGTAATTTGCTAGTTTAATTGTTAATTATTGGTGTCTTCTGATCAACTTAATATTTTGTCAATTAATCGATGAAGATCAGTTTTAATCAATTAGGTGTGCCTTAAGGGCACACCTTTTATTCCAGACTATTTTAGAACCAGTATAAAAATGAACCAAACAGAAAATACTATCTTATGAAAGCATTTATTTACGAAAACACTAATTTCATTAAAAATATCCAAGTGGTATACAATAATTAGGGACACGGGTGGTGCTGTGGGTAAAACCTCAGTGCCTAGGACTTGCCGATCATATGGTCGGTGGTTCGAATCCCTGCAACGGGGTGAGCTCCCGTTGTTCGGTCCCAGCTGCTGCCCACCTAGCAGTTCGAAAGCACCCTTAAGTGCAAGTAGATAAATAGGTACCGCTTTATAGCGGGAAGGTAAACGGCGTTTCTGTGTGCTGCGCTGGTGCTGGCTTGCCAGAGCAGCTTCGTCACGCTGGCCACGTGACCCAGAAGTGTCTTCAGACAGCGCTGGCCCCCGGCCTCTTAAGCGAGATGGGCACGCAACCCCAGAGTTGGTCACGACTGGCCCGTACGGGCAGGGGTACCTTTACCTTTACCTTTACCTTTATACAATAATTACCGTATTTTTTGCACCATAACACTCACTTTTTTCCTCCTAGAAAGTAAGGGGAAATGTCTGTGCGTGTTATGGAGTGAATGCCTGCGGATGGCGAGGGGAATCTGCTGCAGTCATGAGCAGAGGATCCATGGTTCCTCTTCCCTCCTCTGTGGCTCGCTTTGAAACAGCAAAGCAGGAGAAGAGCCGCTGAGTGGGGAGGAGAGAGGGACAGGGAGCCTGCTTGCTTTAAAGGAGCAAAGCGGGAGAGGAGAGGAGCCTTCTCCTCTTATACCCCTCTTCTGCATTATTAGCAGCATCCTTCTCCACCCACCCCACGCGTGCTCCTTGTCCCTTGAGCGCTTTTCCTTCCCTCCCACCTAAAACGTGGTTACAAAGCACGGATCCACATGGATCCTCAGGATTTTTGCACTGGGTCACCCCAAATTCACCATCAGATCACATGTCTGTGGCCACAGCATGAACCACAAAAATCATACATCCACTGTTTCGTTATAATATTTTTTTTCTTGTTTTCCTCCTCTAAAAACTATGTGCGTGTTATGGTCAGGTGCGTGTTATAGAGCGAAAAATACGGTATATGTACAATGAAAACCACAGATCACTGTGGAAGAGGGGGCAGCAAAAGCCTTGTTTCTATATGTTGGAGCATCCATTGTATCCTAAGTATGGTCAGCTCAGAAGGGGATGGACGGGGAACAGACACAGCACGGAAAATAGAAAAATGACATAAAAATGGCAGAAGCTATATCCCTGAAAATATCACCAGTATTCAAAGATTGTGTCCGTGCTGGAGAGAGGCAGTGAACTCATGACACACCCTCAGCGCACACACCTGCATTACTACATACAAAGCAACATGGCAATGCCTTCCGCCCCAATTCAGCCTACTAGGACTTCCCCTGTCTCCTCTCATATTACCTCAAGGCAGTCCAGAATTCAAAATATTACATGTGCCCAGTGGCTGCTAGAGGAGGAAAAGAGTCTTTTGCTTCTACATCCCTTATTCCAATATCTCTTTTCCTCAGGAACATCATAATTTTTATGCCAATGACACAACTTTGGGCTACTTGGTCCTTTCCATGAAGTATGAACAAGTCGAAAAGCAAGACAACCTCCGCTTGCTTCTGAGGTAAAACAGCCCTTTGGTTCAAACCTTGTGAAATGATTGCACTTTTCAGGTGGTTCTCTGTCTCTCAATGGCTGTCTTAACTAAGCTTATTTTCCACTTTTCACACACACATAAAAGTCACCAGAATTTCAGAACTAATTGCAAAGCAAGATTATATTTAAAAATAGATAGGAGGTGCTGCCAATAATCACTCGACTATTCATTTGGCAAGTGCTTGTCTTCCTCACCCCTGCCTCCAGCACACTTTAAAAAAAAAGAATTTCCCTCATGATTGCTTTGGGAAAAGTCCACAACTGTTGATGTTTGAGAAGGCTAGCAAGCCTTATTTGGGGCACCCAATGAAATTTATTTATTTTTTTAAAAATTACTTAAATTACTGCTTAATATACCACTTGATTGCCGAACTTTATTTGCAGCATATATAACAATTATAAAAATAAGTCCGTGGATAAAATAAATTAAAATTTATCCACTCAGTGGGCAAAATAAAATTAAAATTGCCTGCTGCATTGCCAAAGGGTATTGACCCCTCCGGGGTGTAAAGCTACCCCACTATTAGGCAGCTGATTTTGGGTGTCATGAAAGTGTGGGGAATTATTAGCCATTTAATTTAGTGTATTTTTATTGTAAGGGAAGTAGAGAAGGGCTTGTGCAATTTTTCTGTCACAGATGTCAAAATAACTTTGCTGGCTTTAGGTACTGTGAACTTTGGGGTACAGTGGTACCTCGGGTTAAATACTTAATTCGTTCTGGAGGTCTGTTCTTAACCTGAAACTGTTCTTAACCTGAAGCACCACTTTAGCTAATGGGGCCTCCATCTGCTGCCGCTGCGCTGCCGCTGCATGATTTCTGTTCTCATCCTGAAGCAAAGTTCTTAACCTGAGGTACTATTTCTGGGTTAGCGGAGTCTGTAACCTGAAGCGTATGTAACCCGAGGTACCACTGTACCAAGGAAGCTGGAGTTGTTGCTGCTTGGCTTCCTTAGCATTTATTTTGGTTGTTTGTTTGTTGCAGGTCTCGAACCAGTACCAAGCACGACTTGATTCCTATTTCTTGCCTGAATGAGTTCCCCAATGCTGTCCAAATGGCAAAGGTACATTGTTCCAGGTCCAGCCCCATTACTGTTAGTTGCCGGGTTATTTTTGCCTTGTAATCCTCCGATGAACCAAATCTGATTCCTTTCAGTTACTTGTCCAAAGAAAAGGTTCCATTTTGCTAAGTCACCCATGACAGGCAGCATAAGTTAAACAGTCTCAAATTTTAAGTCCTAAATTTAAATTTATATCCCACTTAATGAATTTTGAATCCTTGAGTACTAGCCTATGAAAGCAACTAGAGAATAAATAAGTTGGGGTGTGTGGGTGTGTGGGTGTGACAAATCCCTTGCAAATACAGGACTGTTGAAAGGTTAAATTTGCAAATGTGAATTTTCACGCCACGTTAAATAACTGATGCTCATCCGATTGGCTTCAGTGAAAATGGTACCTCAAGTCCCTGCACTAGAATTGTGTTGACATCTTTTGCTTGTCCTCCTGCAGCTGCTGTGTGAGGATGTGAATGTTGACCGCTTCTTTCCAGTGCTCTATCCCAAGGTAGGCTCGCTGTAGCCCCATATGGAAACTCTCTCTTTCTCTGCCTGTTTTTACTTCTAACTCTGGCTGTTTCTTCACCTCATAGGCTTCCCAACTCATTGTTGCATTTGATGAACATGTCATCAGCAATAACTTCAAGTTCGGAGTCATCTACCAAAAACCTGGGCAGGTAAACCTCTTTTCTTATGCACACTCAATGCCCTTTTCTATCATAGGCTATTTGGGGAGTCTGGGCAAGAGCTTCCTTATGTCCTCTTGTTCCCCTCCATCATGTCCAGTGATCCTCCATTCTTCCTTTCTGGTACATCATCACTCCTTTTTGGCTAATCATCTCCCCCCTTTGTCCTCCCCACCCCAATCCTCCCTCTGGCTTCCACAACTGGGAAGGGGAGCACTTGGAAGTGACATGCAAGCGACTAGGGAGGAGAAACTAAGCTGTAGACATCACCTGAGAAATGTCTCTAAGTCCCTGCTGAAAGGCACCCTTTAGGGCAGGGGTCAGCAACCTTTTCCAGCAGGGGGCCGGTCCACTGTCCCTCAGACCATGTGTTGGGCCGGACTATATTTTGAAAAAAAATAATGAAGAATTCCTATGTCCCACAAATAACCCAGAGATGCATTTTAAATAAAAGCACACAGTCTACTTATGTAAAAACACGTTGATTCCCGGACCATCCACAGTCCAGATTGAGAAGGCGATTGGGCCGCATCCGGCCTTGGGCCTTAGGTTGCCTACCCCTGCTTTAGGGGATTGGCTATGGCCTATGGGCCACCACTGACTAATATCTGTTCAGAACCATTCAGCTTATCTTCTGCTAGTATCAAAGATACACACTGTCTCCACACCTTCCGCACTGGCAAACAGGGATTGTGGCTTTTTTAGGAAGGTGAAAGGAAAGGGGAGAGAGAGAGAGAGAGAGTTTGTTTGTTTGTGTGTGTGTGCTTGAGCATATGCACACACATGTGCAAAAGAGACCTTTATTGTACTGGTTATTGGACTCCAGGATAGGTCAAGAAATCGAATGGGAAATGGTGGCCTTCAGTTTTCTGTTTCCTTTTATATAGACCACAGAGGAAGAAGTCTTCAGTAATACTGAAGAGAGTCTGGGCTTCTTAGAGTTTTTGGATATCCTTGGAGACAGGATCCAGTTGCAGGATTTCCGTGGGTGAGTACTTCAGCTGTAAAAACCTAATGGTTTGGAAGTTGTCATTCTTGGCCCAGTTTTCCTTCAAAGACTCTTGCATAGGTTTAATAGCAGCAGATAGCAGTGGCCCTGTCTGGTCCTGTCTTGGGAAGTGGCAGTAGCACCACCAGGAAGTTCTAGGCCTCCTACCCTCTTTCACACACCACTGCACACACCAATTACCACAATTCATTCTGTGAATTGTATTTCTGCCTTCGATAAAGCTGCTACCGTTGTTCATGGTATCTCTTCTTCTGTCTGTTCTCCTCTCTCCTTCTCCTTCTTGCCTTATGCTGATCAGCTTCCGAGGTGGCTTGGATGTTACTAGAGGTCAAACAGGATCTGAGTCTATCTACACACATTTCCGGGGCAAAGAGATCATGTTCCATGTCTCTACGATGTTGCCCTTCACAGAGGGAGATGCCCAACAGGTACCGTGGGGACCTATGGAGGACACAGTATTGAATAAGCCTCTAGAGCAGCGGTTCTCAACCTGTGGGTCCCCAGGTGTTGTTGGACTACAACTCCCATCATCCCTGAACTCTTGCCTTGCTAGCTAGGGGTGATGGGAGTTGTCGTTCAACAACATCTGGGGACCCACAGGTTGAGAAAGGCTGCTCTAGAGTGTAGAGTGATGGCAACAGACAGGTAGCTACTTTAGGGTTGATGTGACAAAGGGAAGGTTGTTGGAGCAAGTTGTGATTGGAAAGAAGAGGCCATAATCTGGTCTGAGGGTTGCTTGGGTTGACAGTTTAGAATGGATTGGAGTTTAAGATTGGGGTAGGTGCTGTGGACTTGAGTGGCCAAGCTGGGCAGCTTGCATTTGGGAAGCCCAACTCCCCTCTTAACATGCTCCCTTGCGTGTTCCCTCCCAGCTTCAGCGGAAGCGCCACATTGGGAACGATATCGTGGCCATTGTCTTCCAGGACGAAAATACTCCCTTTGTCCCCGACATGATTGCATCAAACTTCCTGCATTCCTATGTGGTTGTGCAGCTCCACCACAGCGCCCTGGGGGAGACTCTCTACAAGGTAAGTCCACTCGGTCAATACTCTGCTGCTTTCACGACGAGTGCAAGAGAGTTCTGCTGCAAGGGTAGGAAACCTCTAGGCTCCTCTAGCTGGCCTTTGGGAATCTCCCCAAGCCACACCCCCTTCCCAGCCACACCTCTCACTGGCCCTGCTTTGCACCTTCCTTGAGTGCTAATGCTTCTTGCTTGCCTCATTGGTGGATAGAGGTAAAGGTAAAGGGACCCCTGACCATTAAGTCCAGTCGTGACCGACTCTGGGGTTGCTGCGCTCATCTCGCTTTATTGGCCGAGGGAGCCAGCGTACAGCTTCTGGGTCATGTGGCCAGCATGACTAAGCCACTTCTGGCGAACCAGAGCAGCGCACGGAAACGCCGTTTACCTTCCCACCGGAGCGGTACCTATTTATCTACTTGCACTTTGATGTGCTTTCGAACTGCTAGGTTGGCAGGAGCAGGGACCGAGCAATGGGAGCTCACCCCGTCACGGGGATTCGAACCGCCGACCTTCTGATCGGCAAGTCCTAGGCTCTGTGGTTTAACCCACAGCGCCACCTGCTGCCCCCTAGGTGGATAGAGAGGGGTGTCTAAATGTGCCTAGAAACTAGCCTACTGTACACAGGTAAAAAATAACAGTTGTTGCTGTGCCCACTTTAGCCGCTAGCCCTGCTACCCGACCACCCCAACATGTGGCCCATGGAAGGTTGTGCAGAAAGAAATATATGAAAAGGGTTTCCTATCCCTCCTGTATAGCCCTACAGCACTTTAAATCTTAGCCCACTTCTTTTTTTTCTTTTAACTTTGCATTGGTTCTCTAATCCTTGGCTACAGTGGGGAGAAATTGTGGAGCACTAGCCAGTCTCTTGCCAGTACCTCTTTTATTTACGTACTTATTTTAGCGGAATTTACTCACTGGTTAATCAAAAACCAGTGGTTTACTTTTCTTCCAGCCGGAAGAGAACAGGAGTCAAGGTGAAATTTCACCCTATCACTTCTTAAGTCTTAAAACATGCAGAACTGAGGCTCCAGTCCTTTAGTCCTCTATTGTTCTGTGTACTTTTTCTGATAAGGAGTTGTGTCATTCTCAGACGCTTTGAAGTGTGTGCATTTCCCTCTCTTATCCATGCGTAAGTACACATGAACCTTGGTGTACACAAGTGACACTCCTGGTAGCAATGACTCCTACTGGTGATCAAGTGTCTAAGCAGCACAATGACTTGGGAAAGTCAGCTAAAACAACCCAAATAATGTCAAGCATTTTAGTTTAACTTCAGTGCTATATTAGCAACCTGGACAAATACTCAAATAAATAACAGGAGGGGGTGTTAAGGTGATGTCATGGACTGGCTTGACGGCAGAGGCACTGGCTGGGGAAACCCCAAAGGAAGAAGGTTCAGAGCCAGGAGATTGATGATGGGATGGCGATGAGTGGTCAGAGAGAGCAGAAGAAGCAGAGTAGGAGGAGGTGTCGGAAGCTGAAGAGGTAACAGGGTTTAGTGAGCAGGAAGAGGCTAGGGCAGAGAGCAGTCCAGAAGCAGAGGCAGGAGAGGAGGGTGGCCAAGAAGCAGAGATGAGGCAGGCTGCTGAAGAAGTACTTTGCAAGAGAAAGCAGGGCACATATGCAGTTCTTGCTTCAGGTCACCTACTTTTAATTTGCCACTTTAAAGCAGACTGAGGTCACATCCATGCCATACCCTTAAACCACATGGCTTCCTCCAAATAACCCTGGAGCAAATATTTTATATCATGTAGACATATTCCTAAACCAAATATACCGGGATTCAGTTATGGAAGGAATAAAAAAAAAAACCCAGGTTATGACCTTCTAAGAGACGCACTGGTAATATTATTCAGTTAGCTTAAGGATAGAGTTGAAGAAGAAGATTTGGAAATGGTTGGGGTTTGTTCTTTGTTTTTTGTTTTTTGTTTTTGTTTTGCTAACTGCAGCAAGAATGATACTATGTGCAAACTAGAAAAGTGCTTGCTGTCCCTCCATAGATCACTGGCTAACTAAAATCCAGGACATGGCATGAATGGTTAAGCTAACAAATTTGATTTGTTAGAGACGGAAGACACCATGAAAATATGTTTGTAAATAAACTGAGTTTATTTATCCAGTATTATAATAAGAAGGTGCAGGAGTCAGCCAATCCATATCTATTGTTGAGGGGAAATTAAACAAATAAGAACACAGCAGGAAAATATAGTAATTAGTTTTTATGTGATATTTATTTGTAAAATAATGCAAGTGTTTAATGTATTGGAAATATAGGAAAGGTAGTAAGTATAACAGACTGTTGGTAGTGGAAATAGCTTTTATGTGTTTTGATAGTCGAAAAAGGAAGAATACTATGATTGCAATGATTATACTCATCTGGAATATAATGTACTAATGTGCATTTATTTGCATTTTTGCTTATGAAACATTGAAGAGATATAAGAATTTAAATAAGATGATAAATTGCTGACAAAATGTTATAACGATGAAAGTGGGAGCGGGGGATGTGAGGAAGTCCAAAGAAAATGTGAAACTATGTTAAGACAAATGTTATATTGTTTATTATGTTTATTCTTATTGTAAAACCCAATAAATTGCTTTAAAAAAAAAATTATTTGCATTTTTGCAATGTTATAAACGAGTGGGGGGGCTGTATATGAGATGTTGCTAACATCTCATATCTTTTGTGCTCTCTGCTGTTTAGCAGTTTCATCAGACAGCAGTTTAAACCTGACAATGTTTTAATATTATCCTAAGGCTGCAGACCTGCACAGACCCTACACAATGGTCATTCTGTCTGTACTCTAAAACCACTCTGTCCCTTCTGATGGTTGCAGGTTTCTGTTACAGCCCGTGATGACGTCCCTTTCTTTGGGCCTTCTCTGCCAAATCCAGCAATATTCAAAAAGGTTTGTGTGCAGCCAGAAAAACAAATAAAGGCTTACAGGGCAGTGGAATTCTGGTAATGGTTCCTACATTACGATCTATTTATATGAAACTTTTCTGTGCAGCTACCTAGGGCTTGGAAAAGCCCCAAACTTGTGACAGCCTGGGCTCTAAAATATTGTAGCACCTATGAACCTGGAAGCCATTTTTCCAGCTCAACTTGTGTTCTTAGATGTGGCTCTAGCATTCCCAATATTGCCATTGTTGTCATTTAATATGTTCAGAAGCACCTAAAATAGATGCTGCCAGTTTCAGCGTAAGCACCTTCTAGCATCAGTACTCACCAGCTAAGAGGATTAATATGCATTTTCGGAAAAATTGCAGTACAACATAGTCTACTTGGTCTTTATAAATAGGAAATGAGGGATTGCCTCTTTAAATGAATCCATATGCAATAGATTTCCCTGCCTGTCAAAAGCTAAAGCACCATAAGGAAAGATAGCCTTCATTTCCTATATGTCTACATACTGGAAAGGGTTTTTTTTCCTTGGGAACTGGGAGGGCATTTAGGAAATCATGAATTTTTAGAGTGGTACAGTCCCACATGGTTAATTTGAATGTATTCTTCAACTCTACAGTGCAACCCATTGAGGTGAATAGAGGAATATTCTTGTATCTGTGTTTGTTCCTGTGCTTTGGTATCAATATGCAATCTAAGTATTAGCTTGCAAAGAAGTATCCTAGAACCTTCATCTCTGTGCTTTGTGGCACCAAAACAGTTCTGGATATATCTATAAGAAAGGGTCTTGTAAGACTTCAATGCTGTGAGTGAGTATTCTCCTTCTTCTGACAGGGCACAGAGTTCCGTGAATTTCTTCTGGCAAAGCTTATAAATGCAGAGCACAGCTGCTACCATGCTGATAAATTTGCTAAGCTGGAGGTGAGTCAGTTTACTTTTATTTGCATTCATATATCTTAAAGAGCAAAGCTTGGTGTGACTACCAGGAAGTAACATATTGGTGATCAATGACAGGATGTGAAATGAAATGCAGGTTCAACAATCAATACATAAATCCTACCTAGGACTTTCTACACTGCAGCTGTTGCATGGGGAGGGGAAGGGTAATTCCTCCTGGTGACTTTAAACTCAAAATTACACTTTAGTAGGAACTGAAATTCCTACAATCGAATGAAAAGCACACTATGTAAGTGTGGCAACCACATTCTAGCCACCCTGGGTCACCTTGGGGGAGACCTGGCCACAACAGAGTGTACTCCTCTCTTGTACCCTCCCATTCCCTATTTAAGATACTCAGTGCCACCAGATGAGAGATTAACTACCGTATTTTTCGCTCTATAGGATGCACTTTTCCCCCTCCAAAAATGAAGGGGAAATGTGTGTGCGTCCTATGGAGTGAATGCAGGCTCCTTGGCTTCAGTGATAGCAACACGAAGCCTCCAAAGTGCAGAGGGAGAGCTCCCCCCGTGCTCCGGAGGCTTCGCGTTGCTTTCGCTGAAGCCGCCTGAATCCCCTGGAGCGCAGGGAACTCCCGCTGCGCTCCGGGGGCTTCAGGCAGCTATCCGCAAGCCTTCAGAGCGCAGCAGGAGTTCCCGCTGCGCTCGGAAGGCTTGCGGATAGCCGCCTGAAGCCTGGAGAGCGAGAGGGGTCGGTGCACACCGATCCCTCTTGCTCTCCAGGCTTCGCTTCACTGGAGAGGCGCTGCACAGTTTTCCCTCTCAGCGCAGCACCCCTTCACCGAAGTGGGAGGAGAAATGGATGGGGCTCCCTTTCTCCTGCCGCTTCGCTGAAGGGGCACTGAGCAGAGAGGGGGAGAATTTTTTCCCCCCTGTTCTCCCCCTCCTATGGTCCGGTGCGTCCTATGGTCCAGTGTGTCCTATAGAGCGAAAAAAATATTTACCAGGCTGCCTTTATCAAACAGCCTCCAAATGTTCCCCGGGGTCTCTGAAGCCTCCTTAGGTAGCTGATGTTAGATATTCCCTTGGGAGCAAAAACAAATTTAAATTGGTTAATCACATCCACTTAGACTCATGGAATTTTAGAGCTGGAAGGGACCCTGAGGGTCATCTAATCCAACGACTTGCAATGCAGGAATCTCTTTTTGCCCAACGTGGGGCTTGAACCCACAACCCTGAGATTGAGTCTCATGCTTTAATGAGAGTCCATAGAGCTATTGCAGCTCTATGATCCAGCTGATTATGTAACTTACCCACATACAGAGCTTCTTTCTTTTCTGTCACTCAGCCTGATCTTTCTTCCTTTCTGATTAAGCGTGCACCCTTCCCTGTTTCTATCCTATTTGTTTTTTTGAAACGTGTTCTCCTTCTCTTCTGGAGCAGGATCGTACCCGCAGTGCCCTCCTGGAGAGCCTTTATGAGGAGTTGCAGATTCGTAGCCGCAGTATGATGGGCTTGGCCTCTGGCGATGATGACAAAATGGAGAATGGGGGTGGTGGCTTCTTTGAGAATTTCAAGGTGAGACAGGGAATAGGTGATACTTAATCTCTCTCTTCCAGTGTAATTTTGCATTTTCCCATTTCATGCTGCGCTGGTGAATATTGTAATAATACTTTGCATTTTGTCCATTGGAGGTATTTCAATACATTATCTTAGTCATCCCCACAGCTGCTCTGAGAGGTAGGTCTGTAGCAGTATCTCTGTATTTTAGATCTCGCCAGAGGGGTGCAAGTGGCTCAGAGATGGTAGCTTACCAAAGGAAGGAACTTCCTAGCTCTTAGATTAGTCTCTTAGCCACCATCCTACGCAGCTGTCAATATTTGCTTTTCAGAGAACAGATTCCAGCAGGCTACCCGCAGAGGACGGGAAATCAGCCACAGGTTTGGGGCAGGGCAGGTTGGGACAGCAGTTGGTGCCTTGTAAACTGGCCACCTTGCTGCTAGCAGTATACCTCACTATGCTGGCTGAGGTGGTCTGTAATGTGGTGTTGGACAACCTCAGTACATTGCTTCTGGGATAATTCGGTGTCCATACTAAGGACAAAGCCTTGATTTAGGCTTTACCTCAAGGTATGATGGGTGGTGGTACTCTAGATGTTGTGGGGGGCGGGGTTGAATTAACCCCATTGTAATGGTCAGACCATTATCTGGCAAAGTTGGGTCTTGCAGTGTCATTCCCTCCTTGCCATTAGGATGGTCTGCCCCCAGAGACTTACGGAATTCAAGGGGTTCTGGAATGCTTGGGGGGACTTTTCGGAAGCCAAGATTGGCGGTCCTGTTGAGCTTCGGTGTCGCTGTGGAATAGTGAGATGCATTGAGTTGGTGACACAATTACTCCCGAGTTCACCTTCCAAAATTGTGGAGCCTGGAGAACTCGCTGGGTGTCTATGGCTCTCCAAGCCATGAAACAGGATAAATGAAGTCTAGAATACTATGGTGTACGATCCAATGCGAAGTTTGTCAGAGATGTGCTAGAGCACATAGTTGTGCCTACTGCAAAGAAGGCTTAATTTCTTTACCCCATTGCACCCTTGAGTCAGCAGAGATGTGCTAAGGGGGCTGCCAACCCCTGTCACTGGGAATAGAGTGCCAGCTGTGACATATTTGCCAGCGGCTTTGAGAATAAAATCACCAGCCTTGAGCTGAATGCTACCATTATTACAGAGCTGGGTGAGGTGTCCAACACAACATCTTGCCCAATCTTGTGGGATCAGCTGATGAGGTTTGAGGATGTGGGCAAGGTGTTTGCAGTGGTTTGGCCCACATGTGTGCTCAACATCTGGCCATCATGACTCATCGGAAGTACCTGAGCTGCGCTGGCTGCCTTCAGGGGGTGGTTCATCCATCTTTGCATGAAGGGTTGGTGCCTGCTGCCTTGGAGGAGGCAGTGATGCAGCAACTCCTGAAGAAGCCCTGCTTGAACCCTGAGGAACTTTGATGACTAAGGACCAGTCACTAATATTGGACTACCACCCGATCATGTTTTGGGATAAGGTGCTTGAGAGGGTCGTCCAGCTGCAGACACCATTGGAAGGAACTGGTTATCTTGACCCCTTTCAGTCTGGGTTTAGGTCCAGTTTGAGGACAGAATGGCCTTAAGCATCCTGATGGATGCCCTTTTTCAGGAGAGGGACAGGGAGAGTGCAACTTCGCTGCTTTTGCTTGATCTCTCAGCAGCTTTTGATGCCATTGACCACAGTATCCTCTTGTTCCTTCTCTGCGAGCTGGTGGTTCTGCTCATATCTACAGTGCCAGGTTCAAAGAATAGTGTTGGAGCAGGCATAGGCAAACTCGGCCCTCCAGATGTTTTGGGACTACAGCTCCCATCATCCCTAGCTAACAGGACCAGTGGTCAGGGATGGTGGGAGTTGTAGTCCCAAAACATCTGGAGGGCCGAGTTTGCCTATGCCTGTGTTGGAGGATTAAATGTCTGCCCCCTGGTGGTTGTGCTTTGGGGTGCCATGGCTAGGGACAACGTGTGTGTGGTTTTTATGAGAGAGCTCTTCAGGAGGTTGTGGGTTAGGTTAGCAGAAGCGAGTTCTGTCCACTTGGAAACAATACCTTGTTTGCCCGAGTCCTGTAGGAAGCCGGGCGTTTCTGAGCTCATGCCTGTTCCTTCCGCTTCCTTCCACCCAGCCCACCAGCATCCTATAGTGCTCTTCATGATGTCCTTTTGTGTGTCTGTGAACGTGTCTGTCTCCCTGTTGCCCTTCTCTCCAGCGGGTGATCCGGGGCCGTAGCCAGAGCCTGGATACCATGGGGATAGCCATGAGGAAGCAGCACCAACAGCAGCAGCAGCCATCAACTCCACCCAATCGCCCAGCTACTGCTGGCCTTGCCCTCAACCAGAGTGTTGCCGAGGGGCCCAAGGCTATTGCTGCGGTAAGGTATTGGGGAGGTGGCGTCATGGGATGGAGACCAGCATGTACTCAGTCCTTTGCCACTATCTCCTGCTACTGTGAACCCGCTGCTCTTCAACATTATCTGTCTCCAGCTATTAATGTCTCCTTGTCTTGGTGGTGTTTTGTGGCTATTTTCTGTTGGGCTTCCCGCCACCCCATCTCTCTATGTTCATTTCCCTATCCTGTTCCTCTGAGACCCGATTCTATTCATTTGCCGATTCTGACTCTGAAAACAATTTGAGGAACAGGGAAAGCATTTAGGGAGAATCTGAGTAAATTGTGCTGTTGGTTTTTTTAATTGCTGAGCACTGCCTTGATGTTTTATGTGAGTGGGCGGAATATAAAAACTTTTACAGAGGAATAAAAGATGCTGATGATACCCTCAGAAATTTCACGTAGACATTTCATGTTTGGTCTGGGGGACAAGATGAATCCCTTTGGGACCCTTTAGCATCGATGCTGAGCAGTAATTCTCCTGCAGCAGTTGTGGCATCAGTCCCCAAGGCAGGAATGGGACCCCCAAAACCCTATGCCACAGATTGCTAACACAGAACAGGTTATCCATAAGGGGTACAATGTTCAGTGATTCCAAAAGCTACTGAGAGACCCAGGAGAATTAGTGAAGTTGCGTTCCTGGCATTCCTCTCTCGGCACTGGTTATTCTTTGGAGTGACAAGGGTGGTTTATGTGCCAAAACAGGCCTGAAACTAGACTGAATTTTAATTTTGAGGGAACTAAAAAAGATTCCATTTATAGAACCTCTCCCACCACCTTGTTGATGGCTGGAGAGGTTTAGGACAGTGTGTTTGTTGGGTAGAGCGTACTGCTGACCTTACTTAGGATTGTTCCACCCAAGTATGCTCACCTCCTGGCTATGGACCACTTGGTGGAAATCTGCAGCAAGTTAGTTTTGTCTGCCAAGACTTGACTGTTCAGTGATGGACTGCATGGCAGGGTGAGATGAAGCAGTGTCTGGAATGAAAGAACTAGAACTAGAATAGCTAGAAGTGTTGCATTAGTGGCTCTTCCTTTGCTTGGCATTAATGTTAACAGTGCATTGGTGCTGCTCTAGTTCAGGGCATTCTCTGAATGTCCAAGTGGGCATTCAGTCCTTTGCAGAGGCACTGAAGGCATGTGATGAGAAGGCCATTTTCGAGAGTCTGGAGTTGCAATTATAGCGTGGAAAGCATGTGTCAGGGAACTGCCATCAGTGCCGGAGGGAGAGAGCAAAAGCCAGAGGGATTCCAGAGAGCGTCCAGGGATCGGGAGAAGCAGCCCATCTTCTGGGGAAGAGAATCAGCGTAGCACCAGTGGAGAAGGGGGGCAGATGGGGGAAGCGGCAAGGCGGTCCCATGACTCCTTGCCTGGGACCAGCGGGGAGAGTAGGGGTCCTCCGTTGCCCATGCCCTCCTTGCGCAGAAGGCTTTCGCGCAGAGAGGGTAGGCGGAGACTAGGCGTCAAGGAGCTTCTTTGCTGGAAGAAGTTTAAGAAACGCCCACTGACGGATTCTGCCAGCGACTGAGTCAGCCACGGGTGAGTGGCGTCCGGACAGATAAAGTTTACTTTGGCAGCCAGGCCAGGCGTTCGTGCCCAGCCAGGGAGATAGTTGCCTGCTTACGCACGAGCAACCCCTTAGAAACCTTTACAGCATGCTTATGTGAATTTTCATTCTCAAGAGAGTGCTCAAGGTGAGACCAGCACAGCCAGCAGAGATGCTGTAGACTGAACCTGGGACCTTCTGCATTCAAAGCATATGTTCTGCTACCCCTGAGCCATACATGCCCAACTCCCCTGATGATAAGAAGCATGGCACAGAGTGAATTCCTTCTGCACTGAGGTTCCTCTGGCATGACTGGAAGAAGTTGGCAAAGCAGATATCTAAGTAGATGTGGCTTACATCTTAAGCCCGTTCTCATGGTACCAAAATTCTCAGTCGGATGTGAGTGCATTGTATGGTTTGGAGCAAGCAGTTTAGTGTTTAATCCAGTGGTGGGATCCCATCAATCCCAGCCAGTGTAGTGCAATGGTGTGGAATGGTGAGAGTTGTAGACTAGAGCGTCTGGAGAGCCACAGGTTCCCCAGCCCAGGTTTAATCGGCTCATTCGACAGCACTCTAAATATGGCACTTCAGAAAGCTGTATTTGTGATGAAGCTTTTCATTTCTTCTTTTCCCTGATCACTGCCGGGGATTTAGCAGGTTTTCCAAACACTGGATGGAACTCAAGTGTCACACTGTGATGAATGCACAAGCCTTCCCTCCCATGTGCTGCTATGGGGGCTCCCACAACCCCTCAAGCCTGTTTTGGGGGCATTCAGGAAGGGGTGGAAGCCCCATTGCGCAAGCAGAAGTCCTTGTGCAAGGCTCATTTAGGTGAATCCATCCTTCCATGTCCGGAGAAGCCAGGAAAGGCATTGTCTCCTTTGGGTAATTCTGCAGGGAAAAGGTGATACCCACCATCTGCTGGAAGTAGGAAAAATGCCAAACAAATGTAAGGAAAGGGGGCGCTCTCTACTCCCCCCCCCAGCTTTACTTTTTCTCCCTTCCTTTTTGGGCTAAGCTAGATATTGGAGTAAACATACAGCTAGTGCTGGAAACTGCCTTTAGATGTCTAATCCCTGCCCCAGCCCCTGGCACGCACTTTGGCATCCCTGGTAGAAGCTGCATCCCACATCGCCCTGCCCCTGCTCCAGATCTTCAGCTGCTAATTAGGTAGGGAGGAAAACTCTTCTGGGACAGGGAGAAGATGTGATGGGTTCCATTTTGGGTAGCAGGTGCACATTTACTGTAATGTCTAGCTTAGCCCTCTGGGGCTGTACATGGCTTTACCTTGTGCTTTCCCGAGTCTTTATTTCCCCCTGTTGCTCTTTCATACATGCATTTCTGTCTACCGATCTTTCCATTTCTCCCTCCCTCTCTCTCTCTCGCTCTCTCATATGTGTGTCGCTCTTTCTCTCTCTTGGCTGTTTGTCCAACTTTGACAGCTCCCACATCATGCCTGGGCACCTTGTGACTCTCTGGACAGGCTGCAACTGTTAGCATGGGGTAGCAATGCAAGGACAGGCTCTGGAGCCCAGTCTTCCATCTTCCATCTTCCCTCTAGCTCTTACCTTTTCTGCATCCTCCTCTTCCTCTGTCTCTCTTTTTTTCCTACTGTCCTTTCCTCCCCTCTAGTCCTTTGCCCTACCTGGGAGAAGCCCGTCACGCAACCGAGGTAGCCGCTTCAATGGGCGACGCAGTAGTGCAATTGGCATTGAGAACATCCAGGAGGAGAAAAGGTACGGACTGGGCTATAGGGACTTGGAGGACTAGAGGGAGAGGGATGGCTAGGGATGGTGGAGAAATTCGGTTTGCATCTATAGGCTAGCTTACCTAATCAGCACTTTCCTTAACAATAGGCAGACCAAACCACAGCTTCCCTTAAAATTTGTGCACCTCTGGACTTTGCAATGAAGTTCTCCAGTCCAAGTAGTGTGCACAAAAATACACAGCCTGAGGGGCTAAAGTGTGCGTAGGAATGCATGAGTGAAAAGAACATGCAAAAATGCTTTATATTAGGGAAAATTGCTTTGCAAAAAATGTGTATATTAGGGGAATTTTGCTGTAAAATTCTGGTGCATTTTCATAAAATTCCATTGAAATTCCATTTACATACAAACTGGTTTTTCAACAACAACAAATAATCACAAACTGATGTGGAATTGTGGGGAACCGAAATTATGATGGGTGTGTGTGTGATGAAATTGAAGCCTAAATGGAGACACTGGATAAGACTCAAGGGAAGAGTGGCAGAGAGGAGGGACCACGTGCCTTGAGCCATAGGCACATATCAAAGACAAAGGATTGTTTGGAAGAGAGGTGAAGGTGGTATTATTGAGGCATCCTTCCCAGTGCTGTCTGCACCCATTTTGTTTACCTCTTTGTTTCATCGGATTTGGTGAAAACCACCAAAAGGACGATAGTCAAGCTCCAGTACAGGCAGAAGTTCAGGTACAAATCTCATTAAAGTCCAATGGAAGAGGTAGTGACAGTTGTTTAACCTTAGCCGCCGTCAGTTCATGCACTCAGAACAAAGAGTATTTTATGTGTGTATTGCTCTGTCTCTCTGTAAAAAATAAAAATCCCACAACTTCAGTTTTGCCAAAGGGCCATTGATTGGGAGGAAGGACAGAACCCAACCCTGCCCTGCCCCTTACAAATTGTCTGCTGCTGAGTCCCATCCCCACAAGTCTCACCCTCTTTGGTGGTACACTTAGGCCATCATGGAAGCTAGAGCAACAATTGAAACCACTTATTAAACACTTATTAGCATAATTTGTGATTCAGCTGCTGACAATGACTGAAGTCTGCTTAACAGTGCAATCTCCATATCTACTCAGAAGTGAGTCCCATTTACTTGTGGGTTAGGGTTATTTACTCCCCAGGTAAGTGTGTGTCCCTCCGCCCCGATTTAGCTATACCTTCTGTGCCACCCCCTTTGTGCCGCCCCCTTTATCCTGCTGCTCCAGTAAAATTTGACAGGGTCATTAAAGCTAAAAGAAGCAAATGCTGTCAAGAGATGCCCCCATGTGTCTTGGGCGGGCAAGGTCTCCTCCGTTTGCTGTCTGTCTGGTCCAAATCTGGTTTAAAGATAAGGAATCAGAAAAAAGGGGACCAGGAGCCGTGAAGTTGCCCTGTGATAGCAGCACCTAGACATTCTCCTGATGTTTCCCTATAATGGTGAGATTGTATTGCAATTCTATTTAAATTTCAGCAATTATTTCTAAATTTGCAACTTATACATGTGAATTACCATCTGTAGATTTGTTCTCATTTTTTTGCAGTGCATAACCAGCCAACCTACTCTTAAGTTATATGCATAATGACCTGGCGATTCTTTATTCTGGAGGCTGCAAAGTGCAGCTGGAGCTGCCATCCTCTCCCAAGACTTTTGGCCTTTAAAGCTCCTGTCCTCCTCAAAATGATCAGAGTTAAAATCTTGAAAGTGAAATCTGATGTGCCCTGCATATTTGTCAAACCTGTGCTATATATGTAGATAGGAGAAGGGACCAACCTACTTTCGTGCGACTTTGAGTACACACAGCCTATATCTCTGCTTAAATCTTTCTTTTCGTGATTAGAGTGCATTTCAGTTGGAAAGAGAATTCTAAGTGAGCTAAACCTAAAAACTGTTGTTTCTGCCAATCAAGATTCTTCATCATGCAGTATCATGGGTCTGAAATGTATATAAAATACATTTTAGTTTTGACCTGTTAAATTGGCCTGTTCACCATAATTGAGATTTGGGCTAAGAATTGGAAAGCCCCATGAACCAATGGAAGCAATAGTGTAATGAGTTATGTACTTGGGGGGGGGGGGGGGGGGGGGGGGGGGGGGGGGGTGGGGGGGGGGGGGGGGGGGGGGGGGGGCCGCGCCGGGGGGGGGGGGGGGGGGGGGCGGGGGGAGGGGGGGCCTGTATATAGTTGGCAGGAGCCTGAGTGGGGAAAAGATGGGTCTAGTGCCCCAGAAATAGCTTGATTTAACCTTTCTAAATAAAATGCTTAATTCCTTTCAGTAACTCAGCTGCTCCCTCCAAGCAGTGCTGCAGGCTCCATGGAGAAGGGGAAAGGCAGCAAAGTGGATGCTCATCGTTACAGTCCAGTATGTTCTTCTACTTTTCTTTTCCCCATGACATTAAGGAGGCAGGGAGGTGATTTCATGGGTTCTTCGTATACTGGAAAGCAGGGGGGTAAAGGGAAGAATGCTAAAGAAACTGCCACTTCCTTGTTCCACAGGCCTCCATTTTGTGCTGTGTGTGATGTCATCGCTGGAGGGGTGTCTCAGTGCATGCTGGGTAATTCTCAGGTAATCCACACCCTAGGGAGCCTCGGTGCCCTAGGGTAAGGGGACAAGGGCGAAGAGGGCTCTCTTGGTCACCCTCCGCATTCCCTGATGGGAAAACAGGAGGCTGACTTTGTGGCTCTCCCCAGACACACAGGCGGCTCCTGTGTCTTCTCTTCCCAAACCCCTCACACCAATCTGAACTTCTTTCCCAAGACAACTGCTCTGTGCCCCCATCACTAACACACCTCCGCTGCATCTAGCAGGGTCTGCAAGTTTCTTGGCGAATTCCCCAAGATCCTTGTTTCCCACAATGCCCTTTCCCCCCAGCCCCATCCATCTCTCTGTGTTACTGCAGCTTTTTTTATTTTTTTGCGCTCAGTCATCTCTGCTCACTGGCTAGCTTTGTGCTTCTGTCAATCTGTTTCCTGCCTCTGTCATTGATGGGGAGGTGCATCCTTCATTAGTTTGTCTTCAAGAAAGGGGGAGGGACTCCCAAGGACTGTGGAAGCTTTTCAAGGTAATCAGATGCCTTTTCCAGGGGGCGAGTTACTTGCCCCCTGAATGGTACCTGATCGGACACAATGATTATATTCTGCCCAGGTTTGTTTCTGTGCAAACAGAACTCATTGGATGGTTACTTGTGCCCCACAGCTTTGGTGGCCACAGGAGGTGCCATAAGAAGCAAAAAACTCAAGAACTGCTCTGATCAATTATATATCAATTTGTAGCTTTGTTCAGATCCAGTAAAGGTAACCCAACTAACATGGCTGAATTTGTCACACACGCTTGTCAGAACACGCTTGCAAATTGTCCCAGTGGGACTTGGAAATACGTTGCGTTGAAATGCTTTTCACCTAATCAGCCTGGCGGATCTGAATATTGCCCTCTCAGCTGCATCCATATTATATTATGAGATTGCTTTTCATGGCTTAAGGGAAATAAAAAATTTCTGTAAAAGCTTCCCATGAGATTTTGCTCATCCCTGGTTGTGTGTCTCCATATATGAACTTGGATTCTTTATGGAGATTGCTGGTAAAAGCTGGTTCCCCAGCTGCTGTGCTGCCTGGTATAGTATCACTCCGACTCTGGTCTAGGGAATGTACTTGCCCTTCGTTAGCATTCACAGATGGAACTGCTTTGCTTTGTTAAGCTTGACCAAAGGCTGAAGTATAGGAAGAACAAAGCTGCTTATAGAATCATAGAATCATAGAGTTGGAAGAGACCACAAGGGCCATCGAGTCCAACCCCCTGCCAAGCAGGAAACACCATCAGAGCACTCCTGACATATGGTTGTCAAGCCTCTGCTTAAAGACCTCCAAAGAAGGAGACTCCACCACACTCCTTGGCAGCAAATTCCACTGTCGAACAGCTCTTACTGTTCCACTGTCGAACAGCTCTTACTGTTCGACTGCTTTGGGGTCCCGTGATCACATCTGTCCCTTGAATCTACTCAGCTGTTATCAACTTCCCTGTCTGTGCTTGCAGGATTTGATGCCAAAGTGAGACCTCAACAGCAGCTCACCCAGATGTCCGGAGGAGTTGGATGCTGGACTCCCCAAGAACGCCTGACCTGACCTTTCTGCTTCATTCAGTGACAGCTGCACCACAGGCAGTAAGGAAACCAACCACAAAAGTCCAAATCGTGGCATTCGCTCACCCACATGTGTCATTCTAGTTCAGCAACCTCAGGAGATCAGAAAGTCAAGAGGGGGGAACAGGGGTCTCCTGCCATAGTTTCAGAAACAAACAAGAGGAGAGAGATCTTTCTGTCTGTCCTCATAACTGCTAAAATGTAAAAACCCAAGATGTGCCCCCACAGGGCCTTCTTAGGAAGGCTGTGTTTGTACCCATTCTTCTGAGCACAGGCTTTATAAAACTAAGGAATGAAAGCCCTTATCACTCTAAGGATGGCACCTGGTATGTGAGAGCTCCTCAACTGCTTTATGCAGCGTAGGTATCTTGTGCCAAAGTGCACAGGTGTCTGATAGTGGGAGGGGTTTGTGTTCATCTCATCCTTCATGGGATTCAACAGGTCTTTGTTTGGTATCTCACTGTACAACAGTCCCTCCAACCACTCCATTCTCCCTTAAGTCTCTGTGCCATCAAGAACCTATAAATGTGAATTTGTGACCCTTGCTCCATGCTTGTTGTGTCTGTGGTGTCTGGGCTTGCAATAAAAGACTACTGTGACCAATATGCTCTGATCTTTGTTGTGGTCTCTTAAGTGTTCCTGCCAAGAACTATTTGGGGTTAAAATAAGGCGTCTGGCCTGCACCACATTATCTTCTCGTGCCTTATTTTAGCAAAGACGAACAGGTAAAAACACTGTGTGACCTTAAGACAGGTCCACCCCACTGAAAGTGTGAAGCATGAGATCAGTTTAAATTCTTTGGTCTTGGGATGAAGTGCTACACACACTTTTGTCTTGTTCTTTGATGCACAGTGACACTGATCTCAGCATCCAGGTACAGGTTTCGGATACAGGAGGAGTTCTTGTTAGTAAGCAAAGGTTGCAAATTGGGAGGAAACACACATCCACCAAAAACATGTGTGACCTGAAATCAGGGTGATTTCTTGTTCTTGTTTGCTTGTGAAGCACAACACCACAGCGATTCATAGAATCATAGAGTTGGAATAGACCACAAGGGCCATTGAGTCCAACCCCCTGCCAAGCAGGAAACACCATCAGAGCACTCCTGATTCAGCTGTGGCACTTAAGCAGAGGATGTTCACCAAGCACAGAAGAAATCACTTCCTGCAACTAACTGCTCCACTTGTAATAAGGCTCACTGTAGACGCTTCTCCCAGGAGAAGAGGGCTTCAATGCTGGAAACGCAATGGCCCTTCTTCCCCTTCTCCACCCACAGTCTCTCAATGTATCCTAATCTATGTATATTTATCTTGTCTTGTTTAATTAAAGTACAGAGGTACCTCAGGTTACATATGCTTCAGGTTACACACGCTTCAGGTTACACACTCCACTAACCCAGAAATAGTGCTTCAGGTTAAGAACTTTGCTTCAGGATGAGAACAGAAATTGTGCTCTGGCGGTGCGGCGGCAGCAGGAGGCCCCATTAGCTAAAGTGGTGCTTCAGATTAAGAACAGTTTCAGGTTAAGAACGGACCTCCGGAACGAATTAAGTACTTAACCCGAGGTACCACTGTACCAAACAGTTGTTTCAAGTTGTGTCTGAATGAAATTAAGATTCACTGATGGTGCGCGCACGTAGCGTATGAAAAAGGTTCTCAACTCCTGGCATTTCTTGTTGGTAGTGGAGGTCGTGACAGACCCTCTGATACCCCAAGAGTCGTTGGCAGTCAGAGTAGACACTACCAGACTACAGAGACGTAGTGCGTGTCAGTTTCCGATGTTTGTAACGCATCTGAATTTCAGAAAAGAATCAAATGTTGCTATTATGCAACACTTCTGGGAATGGCGCAGGGGAGCTGTGCTGTTGTCCACAGCACTTTGAAGCCCTCTAATGACCAAGTTGGACAAGATACACCTCCAAGCCCCTTTTATTATGCCATTACATATCCCCAACAAAGAGCAGTCTCTCATGAAGAGCAATACACACTTCATTGACTCACACCATCTATATCAATTTCTGCAAGCAACTAACTATATTGCCGGAAACAGCAACCAAAATAAGCAACTAAAAGTGAAGCTTCTTTGTTAATGCGTATCTACATCTCCGGTATGCCAGCAACTCACACGGGTCAAATGTGTGTTAGACATAAACCAGTGTGATTGAGGTGCATTGCATGTTGATATCATCGCTGTGTTGCCTTCTCTAGTATCAAAAATCGTGTTTATGGGGTTGCCTTCTGCCCATCAGCCCTCCTGTGTTCACCTTGTAGAAACAGACGCTTAGAAATCCCATTGTTCCTCTGGAACTCTCAGAGCTAAAGCTTAGAAGGTGTGGGAACTGGTCCCAGCCATTTCTCTCCTGCAAAACAAGTCGGAATCGGAGAGCAAATTAGATTCAGAATGCAGAAGGGGGTCTTAAAGAAGCAACAAGTTAAGCCAACACACCAATTCAATAGCAGCAGTGGGAAAATGACATTAATTCCCTACTTCATCTGATAGGTTACTAGATTAAGGCAGTTTGTGTCACTACAACTGCCTCAGAAGTCTGGGTATTTTACAGGAAGTCAGACAAGGGGAAGGGATCAAACTCTCCAAAGGGCCAGCAGAGTGATGCCTAAGCTATGCAAATTCAACCTGAAGGCAGATGCTTACAAAACTGAATACTCCTCCATTAATAATTCCCAGCACAGTGAAAACTAGGCTAGGCAAGAACTCTTCTGTCACCCACAAAAAGATTAAATGAAGGAGCATTCAGTCATGCAAAAGGTACCACATTTGTGTCGGGGGGCTCCTGAATAACCTGAGAATCTCTAGACAGAGTGAACGGCATGGACTGGAATATTCAGTATACAGCCTGAGGTATTTAAAGTTGTTGAGGTTTTTTAAGTACCTGCAAGTGGCCAGGACTTTCCTTTTGGCATGTTAGTCCAAACTGGAACCTGAAAGACCATTAAATGATAGGCAACAGCATTAAAAACACTCACCCAAGAGATGTCCCAGCAGCTCTAAACGATCCGAACCGAAGAGAAGGTGAGGCTCTTCATTAATGTGAGCGACAAAAGATGGCAGCCCAAATGCCTGAAGGAAGACAGACGACACAAGAGTCACAAAGAGGGCACTGCTTCATCTACACACTTTGATGCAATGTACATGAACCTGCGAAGCTCAAACGGGTTCAGGTTGCCTTCTGTGTTTGGTGGCTGCAGATTTATCTTACACTTAGGTTCTTAAGAAAGATGGAATATATATCGGAGCTTGAACACTGGGAAGTGAATGTGGTCACTTCCGTTCTGTTAGGTTGTCTGAAAGTAGCTTAAAAGCCTGATGGCTCACCAGGACACACAGATCCAGGAATTTTATACTGAATCAGTATATTGGTACATCTCGCTGAGTACTTGCTGAGTACAGTGGTACCTCGGGTTAAGTACTTAATTCGTTCTAGAGGTCCATACTTAACCTGAAACTGTTCTTAACCTGAAGCACCACTTTGGCTAATGGGACCTCCTGCTGCTGCCGCGCGCCGGAGCACAATTTCTGTTCTCATCCTGAAGCAAAGTTCTTAACCTGAAGCACTATTTCTAGGTTAGCGGAGTCTGTAACCTGAAGCGTATGTAACCCGAGGTACCACTGTACTGTCTTCACTGACTGCCAGCGGCTCTCCAAGATTTCTGACCTGCCCTACCTGGCTTCAGGGAATCCAGTCCCTTCCATGGTGGGCAGCCAAGAATTAGATACACAAGAGGAGTTCTTACCAAATCTTTTATTCGATATTCACAGCTCTGAAAAGTGCCTCTCCATTGCAGTAATGGCATTGCTCCAAGCAAAGCCCCACTGCCTGCGTCTCTCCTATTACATGTCATCCCTATGTTGGCAGATCTGTGCTTTCTGTTCTCCTACTTTCCATGCCCACCAGGTTCTGGGAGAAGGGGGATCTGGAATGCTTTCTAAAGACACTGAGTTTGTCAGCTGTCTCTTCCCTGGTGCTGCTCCCCTCCCAGTATTTCCCAGCTTCTCCCCTCTACAGCCTCTGAACTATGACCTTCTGCAAACCAGTGTTGTAAATCTATACTGTCTCCTCCTTCTCTCAGAAGGAATCCAATGATGATTGAACCTGCGACCTTCTGCATCCAAAGCAGATGGCCCGTTTCCCTATTGTTTGGACATCCAGGCACTTGATTCCTCAGGGTAACCCTTCAGGAAAAAGGGGCAGGGGGTGGAAGATGCACAGCTGCTGATAAAGTATTTGCAAGGAAGAGGAACCTGCAGAGCTCAAGACATCCGTTGGACTCGAGTTCCCATCATTGCTGATCACTGACCCTACTGGCTGGCGCTGATGGGAGTTGGGGAGTCCAGCAGTATCAGCAGGACCACAGCTTCCCCTGCCCTGGCCTGATGCGATGCCAGTGTCTCACCCCATATTTTAGTGCTTCGTCTGTTGTAGCTTTCAGGCGATTCTTCACCTCTGGTGAGGAACTCATTTCCAGGAGTTTCCGAGCTTGGTCGGAGGACAACCCTGCTCTCTCTGCAGCCTGAAAAGAGACAGATGGAGAAAAGCAAGTGCCGCAGTCGCTATAGCCAAGGTTAATTGGATAACGCTTCAAAAAGTCTCCGGTACTGACACAGGAATTTAACCGGCATGGAGTATTTTAAAGGAGAGCACAACAAAAACAAAAAATGAATTTGCTTTGCTGAGAAGCAGGTGCAACCAGCAGGCAGGGGAAGTGCTGGTTTTGCAACCTTGCCAGGTTAGATGTGAGGCATCTAATCAAGATCTGCATTTTAAAATGAGCTTAAAAAATATATTTGCCAGGCAGAGACCAGCTGAATACTCTGGCAGCTGTTTATCTTCCTGTTCAAAGGCCCCACTGTATTTCAGGGTTGTAAAAAGTATTTCAGGGTTGTAAAAGGAAATTAGAGGCTGGGAGCAAAAGGTCACTCTGGCCATACAAATTACAGAATACAATCAAGCTGCAAAAACACAATTAAGAGCTGGTAAATAGTGAAATTTATTGTTTAACAGAAGACTCGAGCCATATTTTCATAAGGTTAAAGGTTAAATTGAAGAAGTTGCTTTTAGAAACAGCAGCTGGATAGGGAAAAAGGCTTCTCTCCAAGCTGTTTTGAAGCTTCAGAGAATTTAGAGAACTTAGCTTTCACTAAGTTCCTTTTAATTTGAAAAGGCCTTTCCTTCTAAAAATCTATCTATGTTATGTATGAAATATATTGGCTTAAATGTAATTATGCAAAGGATTTAGAAAGTAAGAAATGTTAGATTCTTATGTTAGATTCTTATTATGGTGTGTGAGAAGGTGAACTCAAGATCTCTTTAAGATAAAAAATTAAAAACCATGCACCATCTGCTTTAGCCATCTGGTTTGCAGTGAATAGGGCAACAGGGGCCAAGGGTTATCTGGTAATTGAGGTGCCTGGTCGAGGTAAATGTAAGATATATGGCTACTTGTCTGCCATTTATGGATAGAAGGAAATATAGCTCTTTGTCTCCCATAAAAGGTAATAGGAAATGGGTGTATCTTTTATGATTGGTTCTAGCAAACAACCAATAGGAATTTCAACCAGGCTGATTGGATAGAGGCAGCCAAAGGAGGAGCAAGGGGGCTGGGCTGAGGAAATATAAGTGCTGGCCATCAGGGCTGGAGTAGGCAGAGCTTTGGTATCCATATACCACTGTGTCTCTCATTTATTTGTCTGACAAATAAATTATTATTTTAATTTCTCTATTGCTGCGTTGAATATTTCATTCCAGCTAAGCGTTAACCACAAGCAGGGTGCTACAGATGCACACACATGAAATGACTTGTTCCCAGATTGTCAATATTAAGCTACGCTAAATTCTGACCATATGGCCCACACAGCTGAGCATTGCCTCCCTGGACAGGAAATGGCTCTGCAGAGTGCTGGGCAGAGATCTTTGCCAGGCCTGCTTGGCTGAAGCCGCCAGAGACTCACCATGGGGCTTTCAGTACACAAAGCACACAGCCTACCACTTAACCACAGATCCTTCCTATACATACCAAAGAGCACAAAACACTGCAAGAGAAATAGGATGCAGGTCATGTATCAGGACGTTCTGAATATGTGGGCACAGAGAATTTTCACCAGGGAGTGCAGAAAGCAGTCTAAAGCTACACTGAATTGCTTTCATTGAAGTCAGTTTTTCCCCCCTTACAAAAGGGGGACAACACCAAGAAAGCCATGCTAGGAGGAAAATAAAATCACACAAATCCTTTTCTGCATATTTTCTGTCTGACTAGCTAGAACTACAAAGCTAATCCTTCTGCACTGCAAGGTTACCTGAGAGCCAGTGTGGTGTAGTGGTTAAGAGCGGTAGTCTCGTAATCTGGGGAACCGGGTTTGAGTCTCCGCTCCTCCACATGCAGCTGCTGGGTGACCTTGGGCCAGTCACACTCCTCTGAAGTCTCTCAGCCCCACTCACCTCACAGAGTGTTTGTTGTGGGGGAGGAAGGGAAAGGAGAATGTCAGCCGCTTTGAGACTCCTTAAAGGGAGTGAAAGGCGGGATATCAAATCCAAACTCTTCTTCTTCTTCTTCTTCTACCTGAAAAGCTCTTCCTGCAGGTCCGCAATCATGAAGTCAAGAGTATAAACTTCTGTCGCAACAGAAGAATGATCACCCAGCAGATCTCCACAGGCCAGTCTACGGCACCTAGACCAATTCATCAACCTCAGGTCCCCAAATGCTGTTGGATTGCAACTTCCATCATCCCCGACTACTGACCAAATGGACTATGGATGATAGGAGGCTGCAGTCTAACAGCATCAGGAGATGCAAGGATGAAAAGCGCTCATCTAGAGCAGGGTGTGTCACAAACGGGAGTACAGAGAGTGCTGCAGAACCGCAAGAGAAAGAAACTTACTGCCAAGATGCTCTCTGGCTGGGTTATGTCTTCATCCTGAAGAGACAAGGAGTAAGGCAACCGATTACAAATCTTTCATAGACAAGAGACTGACTGTGCAAGAGAGAGTGAAGATATCAAAAATAATTAACTTCCTTCTGCTACAAGAAACAAAGCACCAAGACACACACACACACACACACACACACACACGGACAAGGGTGCCATGTCACTCGCTTCAATCAGGAGTGTAGAACCTGTGGCACTTTCTGAACTACCAACTTCCTTCAGCCCTTGGCCAACTGGAGGACTCCATGTTATGCATCCCTGATCCTAACGGAGATGGGTGCCAGGAACAGAAGTTCACTTCACCAAAGCTATAGCTACAATGATCACACTGAAGTGAAGGGTGACAGGAATGGCGTATGGCTTGGAATTTTGAGGAGCAATAGCCGTGTCAACTGCAAGCAAGTAAAACTCTTCCTGCTTTGCTGAAGGGAGAAGAGACATACTGGACCATCCCTGGAGGACTCCGGAGGCTGGGTTTTATTTGTTTGTTTGCTAATTAGTGGTCAGAGAATTGCTCTGTTTATTATTTGAGCATTGCTAATAATGTTTGCTATTATTCATACGGCTGGTATGTTCTTTTTGTTTTTCCATAAATCTTTTGTTATATGAAATATTAGTGTACAATATGACCCCCCACACACACACACTTCCCCCCTATGGTATTATGTATTGTATATTTTTCTTTGCTGCAAGTCGCTTGGAGACCTTCAGGTGACAAGCGACAAGTAAGTTTAATGAATAATAATAATAAATAAAATGATTTCTATGGAGAGACCCTGCAAGTTATATTTGCCCCTTGTTTTTTCATTCCACCCAGACCTATACAACTTTATTGGTCCCATCAAAGAGGAACAGAGTCCATCAGTCCTGGGCTGTGGCTCCTAAGCGCTATAATACTGCCTTGGGAAACAGTAAAAAGAGATTTAAGGACCCCATGGAGAGCCACCACAGAGTGCTGCATCTGATTTGGGGGGGTTGAAAACTGTGCAAAACCTGGCCAAGGGCATTTCAACTATCTTGCCTAAGCATCCTGGATAAAAAGTAATTACTTTTTATATTTAACTTTTTTACTGCGTTTTCAAATACACTGATACAGTGAGAAGTAGCGTGACGTTCCTTACAGGGGACAGGGTAGAGAAACAGGTGAAACACACAAGAATATAGAAGTATACGGAGGGATTCTGGGCCCTGTTAATTTAATCAAAACCATACATTTTGATAAACGGGGGGGGGGGGGCAGGGGCGGGGATGCCCTGCTTTATTTGTGCAATTGATAAACGGAAGAAATAATCGCGACAGGCACAGAAGCACCTGGAGAGACGTACGAGTACAACCATACTCACGCGGGACCAAAGGCGCATCCAAAGTTCTCTAGACACGGGCTCCAAAAACTGCGGCTCTGCCATATCCACGGCTGTGACAAAGCGCATGGCTTCCAGAGTGCCTGCATTTGGGCACAAAAAGGACGAGAGTCAGCGTAAATGTTAAGAGGGGAGGAATCCATTGCTACAAAATACAAAAAAAAGAAAAATAAATAAAGTGCCCTGCCCGTTGTCAAAGAAGAAGAGGCCAACCCCCACATTAAAAAAAACCCTTATTAGGAAGGTTGGCTTGCATAAAAATTGTGCACTTGCTGAGAGAGTCCTATTTTTGTGGGGCAGTTTCATATGGACTCGGAGCTGCCACGGACTCATTGTGCAACGCTTCTCAGTTCTTCTCCATTATCTCCATGTATCCCCACCAAACATCTCCCTCTGCTTACCCTTCTCAAGAACAGACCCTAGGAAATCCTTTACGAGATGCAGTGGCACCTGGTAGTATTTTGCCATTCGCAGGAGGTCCTTTGATATGTACTCTCCTTTCTTCGGCACCAATGCTGGGGCTCTGTTACCTGTTGCAGAGAATAAGGAGATTTCAGAGACAGAGGCTACTATATCCTACGACCTCTCATCCTTACAGCATCATCATCATCATGGGACGCGGGTGGCACTGTGGTCTAAACCACTGAGCCTCTTGGGCTTGCCCATCAGAAGGTCGGCGGTTCGAATCCCCATGAAGGAATGAGTTCCCGTTGCTCTGTCCCAGCTCCTGCCAACCTAGCAGTTCGAAAGCACACCAGTGCAAGGAGATAAATAGGTCCCACTGCAGTGGGAAAGTAAATGGTGTTTCCGTGCACTCTGGTTTCCGTCACAGTGTCCATTGAGCCAGAAGCGGTTTAGTCATGCTGGCCACATGATCTGGAAAGCTGTCTGTGGACAAAGGCTGGCTCCCTCGGCCTGAAAGCGAGATGAGCACCACAACCCCATAGTCACTTAATTGGGTATTTAAGGGGTGTGACCATTTTTCAGGTGTCCTGGGTCCACACTGCATAAGACTGTCTACACCAAAAACCAGCACCATAAACGTAGCCCAGTACCTAACTGGCAACTAGTGCCCTTCTTTCAGCAGTGGATACATTACTCCTGCGAGCAGCCAAACAATGGCATTTTGCATCACCTTCCAGACCGACCTCAAGGGTAGTCCCATATACAGTGCATTGCAGTAATCTAGCCTGGAGGTTACCAGTGCATGGGCAACAGCAACCAGGCTCTCCCAGTCCACAAACAGCCATAGCTATATCAACAGCCCGAGGTGGTGTTGTTTCGTCTTCCTTAAATGAATTTCATCAAAATTAGCCTTCACAACCACTAAGTGCAGGATCTGTAATACATGACGCAGCTACAGATTCCCTGATAATATGGAAAGCAAGCAATGAAAACAGAACAAAGATGAAAGCAACACTTGCTTGGGAAAGAAACCTAATTTTACAGGCCTTGATGACTTGGGAAATGGTAGTTTTATTTTCCCAGGGCAAGACTGCTTCTAAGGGGGGTATGCAAGAAAGAGACCAATATGGAATGTAGTTCTCGTCTACATATTTTATATACCGTATTTTCACTCCATAAGACGCACTTTTTCCCTCCTAAAAAGTAAGGGGAAATGTGTATGCGTCTTATGGAGCGAATGCAGGGGGGGAGGCAGGCAGGAAAAGCCCCCAAGAGCACACAAGCTCCACGCGGCTCTTGCAGGCTTTTCTCCAGGAGGGAGAAGGGACTGACGCTGCCAGTCAGTCCCTTCTCCCTCCTTGTAGAAAAGCCCGCAGGAGTCGCGCGCTCCTTAAAGGGTGCGCAGCTCCTGTGGGCTTTTGCGGGAGGTGGGGGTATTGCCATAGCCACATGCAGCCCCTCCGGCCGGGAGAGGCTTGTCGCGATTCCTTGCGGCGCTTTTAGCAGAAACGCTCAGAGTCCCAGGGTTTTCCAGTGCAGTCTTTTTAATGTGAGCTATATACAGGTAATTACAAAAACAGTCCATACAGAGTACCTGCTCCTTAAGGCAAACGAATACTCTCCACCACAGCACCACCATACCACAGCACAACCACCACAACCACGGTTACTGTTGAACAGGCTTTCCTTTTTAAAACAGGTGATAGCCAATCACATTAATCACACTCCTGCTGAGTCACTCTGACCCAGCACTTCACAGAGTATTGCATCATCCTGTTGAAGCCTGCAGACTTACTCAGTATCCTGCGAATCCCAACACTCCTCCTTAAGTCAAAGGCTTGAGACCTAATAATTCTCTTAAGTCTTGAAATTTAGGAGCATCCAAACATTTTGTATACAAATCCGCCACATTACATTTTGTGTTACAGTGCTGTACCTTTAACACATTTCTTTCCAAAGCATTTTTCACATTTCCGTATCTTATCGCAATACGTTTACTCTTGCTCTTAAAGTTCTGTTGGTTAGCAAGCTGTTGTGCAGCCATGTTGTCACTTAGCACAGTGATTGGCATTTCAGAAGGTATTCCAAGCTCTTTTGTTAGGCAAGCAAACCACTCTATTTGTGACACACATTCGCTTATGGCTGAGTACTCTGCTTCACAAGTACTTGTGGCAACAAATGTTTGTTTCTGGGATTTCCACTGAACCAGGGCATTTCCAATATATATGGCATAGCCAGTGGTAGACTTTCCATTTTCTCTGTCCCCCCAGCTGGCATCAGCATATGCATACACTTGCTGATCATATCCTGTATCCAGTATCAGTTTGTAATCTTTTGTGCCTTTCAGATACCTTAGGATTCTTTTAAGTGCTACCCAATCTCTCTGAGCAGGGTCTGCACTTCTTTGGCTTAACATGTGCACTGCCAATGTTATGTCGGGTCTTGTCCAACAACTTAAATATAACAGAGAACCCAACAGAGAATGAAATGCTGTTGCATTCTCACATTTTTGCCCTTCTGGTTCATTTTTGTACTGGGTAGTTATGGGAGTGTCAACCTCATTTGCCCTCTCCATTCCATATATCTTCAGTAACTTTTCAATTTTTTCCTTCTGACTCAGAGAGTAGACGCCCTCTTCATTTCTCTGAACCTCTACTCCTAAGTAATTCTGAATCTCTCCCAAATACTTCAGTTTGTATTTGTTACCTAGGCTGTTTATAAACCAAGACACTTGCTTTTGTGCAGTTGTTATTAGACAGATATCATCAACATACAAAAGTAAATAACAAACACTTCCTTGCACCATTGCTGAATATAAACAGGAATCAGCCAGGCTTTGTTTGAATCCAATCTTTTCAAAGTTGTGTCTATGCATTCATGCCATAGACGTGCACTTTGGTGCAACCCGTATAGTGCCCTTTGCAGTTTTAACACCATGCTGTCTTTTTCCAGCTCATAACCTGGTATTTGCTGTAAATACACCTCGGCGTCAATAGGAGCATTTAAATATGCTGAGGCAACATCAAAATGATTAACTTTTAACCCTCTCAGACTTGCCATTGCTAAAACTGATTTTACTGTTTCAGCCTTTGCTGTTGGGGCGCCTTATGGAGCGAAAAATACAGTACATTTCAGTTGAACTCAGTTCTGTTAATCAGCACTTACCAGTCGAATGCATTATGCCTGCAATGGAAACAGGTCGGAAGCGCAGCTCCATGTTCCAGATGGGACGGTAGCGGCAGAGAACCTACATCAGTGAGGAAAGTTGATCGATGGTCAGCAGCAGCTCAAAACTCACATGCGAGGAGAGACAGAGAGAGACGGACAGAGGCAGAGAAATAAAGCTATCGAGAGCCAGCAGGCAGGTTACAGAAGGCAACTTTTGCAAGGCAGATTCAAAACAGCATCTGTGTTAGTCTGCAAGAGGGTAAAACAGACAGGTTGCAGGTGGTACTTCAGAAACAGGCTCACCATGGTATGAACTTTTGCAGAGAATAAACTACTTCATCAGATGCAAGATTAAGAATGTATCATGAATAGACAGCTGGGTTGGGGGAAGCCCAAAGATAAAATCAAGTTAATGCCAGAAAACAGGAGGAATGCAAGGACACGGGTTGGCTAGAGTTCTAAATATGAATCTGCAATCTGAACAGTAAAAGTAAAGTAAAGGGACCCCTGACCATTAGGTCCAATTGTGGCCGACTCTGGGGTTGCGGCGCTCATCTCGCTTTATTGGCCGAGGGAGCCGGTGTACAGCTTCCGGGTCATGTGGCCAGCATGACTAAGCCGCTTCTGGCGAACCAGAGCAGCACACGGAAACGCTGTTTACTTTCCTGCCGGAGTGGTACCTATTTATCTACTTGCACTTTGACGTGCTTTCGAACTGCTAGGTTGGCAGGAGCAGGGACCGAGCAACGGGAGCTCACCCCGTCGCAGGGATTCGAACCACCGACCTTCTGATCAGCAAGTCCTAGGCTCTGTGGTTTAACCCACAGCGCTACCCACGTCCCTAATCTGAACAGTAGCCTTGACTATTTGTGCAAACTACGGAGGAATCTCATTTGGGCTGGGGCAAGAGCTGGAAAGAATGAGAAGGCGGCCAGCTAGCCTTGTCAAATAAATGGCAGGATCAACCAACTCCTGTATTCCTCTGGTGATTAATCATCTAGACCATGTTGGGAGGGACAAACACCTGCCCAAACTTCCTGCATCATTGGCACATGCCACTCTACAAGTTTCTAAAGCCTAATGTTAGCTATGAACGTCATTTCTAAACTTTAAAATTTCTATGCTTAAGGCAAAGGCGACCCCCTTCTGCATTCAGGATGAATGCTCTATGGGCAGATTGGTTGGAAGCGACCTCTGTACAGCTTGGCAAACTATTTGGTTCAATTCCTAATGAACACCCGCAATCGGAACATGGAAGAGATCAGTAACAGTTGGAAAGTTGCAACACTTTCAGCAGCAGCAGTAAACAAGGCAAAGTTCAGACAAAGGTATTTATACTGTACAAAGGTACCGGGTATTTGGGAAGCTGAGATCCCTCTGGGTATTTGAAAAAGCTGCCAGAGCTGCTTCCACTTCAGAGTCATTTCCTTTATTTTATTTATAAAATGCACTTAGATTTACCATCCTTTGCTCACTCAATTTTATGCAGCAGTCAGATGGCAGCTTTATCATAATAACTGTTGGGCAAGACCGGGGGTCAGCAAACTTTTTCAGCAGGGGGCCGGTCCACTGTCCTTCAGACCTCGTTGGGGGCCAGACTATATTTTGGGGGGGAAATGAACGAATTCCTATGCCCCACAAGTAACCCAGAGATGCATTTTAAATAAAAGCACACAGACTACTCATGTAAAAACACGCTGATTCCCAGACTGTCCACAGGCCGGATTTTGAAGGCAATTGGGCCAGATCCAGCCCCTGGGCCTTAGTTTGCCTACCCTTGGGTAAGACTCTCCCCTAAAAAAAGCTCATCAACTCTGGGCAATGACAATGGATAGATCACTGCCAGTTTTATTATATTGGCAGTAAATCGCAGTCTCTAGAGAGTTGGACCTGCCTACTAGTCCAACCCCCTGCAATGGGGAAATATGCAGATGCCTCATACAGGATCGAACCTGCAACCTTGGCATTATCAGCACCAGGCTGTAACCAGCTGAGCTACCTTTGCACCTGGTTCCTGTGCAAGGTGGCAGTACCTGGAAGGGTGCTCCCGGGTGAAATCCCGGAGTGGAATTGCAGCCTCGGATTGCCAGTGGGTGCAGTTTTAGATTTAACGGGTTGTTCTTCCAGAACACAGTATTGTAATCTAAACACCTGTTGGCCTCACTCTGCGTTTCGCAGCCCTCCCTGCTTCCCACGCGCAGCAGCCGACGCGGGGACTAAATGCGTTAACAGCCCGGGGCGCGTCACGAGCGCTCAGGGGCGACCGGGCGACCACTTATTTAACTACCGCGATCGACCGGAAGCACACCGGCGATCTACCTGCCGATCGCAGGTCGACCAGGACCCTTCCGACTTTGCAATTCTACTTTTCGTGACCCTCCTAAGTACGGAAGGAAACCCGACGGAACCCGCGGAGAGTGGGCATCTGAGCAAAACAAAGTTGCGCCGGAGTTATTGGAGAGGGGTGCAAGGGCGGCTGTCCCAGCAGGGTGCTGCAATCTGGGGGGAGAGGGGAAAGACTGTCCCGGTCCCCCCTCCATGCCCCCTTCTTCCACCGCTGTTACCTCGAATCCCAGCCAGGTATACGGAGACAGCACGTCGTAGAAACACTCCACCAGTTTCTTGTTGCTGCTGCTGCTGCTGCTGCTCAAAGCTTGACGCGCTGCCGCCATAGCTCTCCCTGGGCTGCCGGTTGAGCCGGAGAGGAGAGGACGGGGCGCCCGCGCGAGGAAGGCCAGCGTAAGATGGCGAAACGGGGGCTGCACCTCGACAGAAAAGCACCTCCTCGCTCGGGACGGTCCAAGGCCTCCGGGGCTCCGCCTTCCTTTGGGCTCGAGGGCCGAATCACATGAGGCGGAGGGAGGGAGACTGCTCGCTGCCGGCCCCCAGCGGCAACCACGCGCTCAAGTCCTATTTCCATTTTTTTCCTTTAAAAATATGGCGTTTTATACATTGGTCCCACCGTTAAGGAGAATCATATACGATAGACTAGCTAATAATTCCTTCCTTCGTTCGTTTTATTCGTATGCCACTTTTTGCACAAAAATCAACAACAAAGACGGACTTACTGGAGAATATTGTTGTTCATGGCAGCCCTGAGAATTCTGGATGAAATCAATATTTTTAAGCTGCTTCTAGAATGCTTTTAACGGTCGAGAAATGACAAGAAATTACAATCTTCACTTGCGCTACTCTCAGCTGAGCATCAGCTTTTGCAAAAGAAAGAAAGAAATCTGAAGGTTTTGTTAACAAACAAAAGAAAGACCACAATGTTGATGCTTGATTTATATCTGCTTTAGGACATACTATACTTGTAACTTGTTTACTTAGTAAAATTGAGTTAACAGCTAAACAGTAGTAATTTAATTGACTTGAATATTTACGTAGACCCCAAATGTTTTTGTTTTGGACTAACTGCAGTTTCCAAATGCTCTTCAAAGGCAGTACTGTATATAATCTGAAGGTAACCAGTTTATAGATCAGTATTCCCTGCTCTCTTGGTCCAGAGAGGATCACAGATTGGTACTTCCAGTGGCAAAGATAGATCCACAAGCAACTCTATAGACTGTGATCACGTCCCTTCAGAGAAGTGGACCACCACGAACCCATGTAGATGAACCACCCACCAAAAGGACTATCATTGCATCTGCATTCTATTTCAGTTTACTGGCCCTCATCCACTTCACTAACACACCCAGACGCTGGTTTACCCAATCTGTCTCACCTGAATTGGATGAAAGGGAGTTGGGTGTCATTTGCATATCGATGACACTTTGCTACAAACTCCCAGGTGACCTCAGTTAGCAGTTGTATACAGCTTCGAGTGGCCCACTAGGCAATGTAGCATTCCAACTCCCTTCAGTCCCAGCCAGCATTGTCAAGTCAGGAATGTGGGTTTGGGAAGTGTTTGGAGTTTGGCAACACCTGGATAGCTAGAAGGTTCTCAGCCCTGAAAAACCAAGGGGGGACGAGATGGAATCCCGTAGCACAGATCCCATGGAATTTAGCAATGTCCCCCCTCCACCACCAGCTTGATAATGAGCTACACCAAGTCAAGCCATGCAGGTGGCAATGCATACTGCCAGAGCTACCATGCATCCGTCTTCTCCGCCAGCTGATCAGCAAATCTATTCTCCCGCTTGCCCACCAACTCCCTATCACCTCCACTTCAAACTGGGTGTGCACATTAAAGGTAAAGGTACCCCTGCCCGTACGGGCCAGTCGTGTCCGACTCTAGGGTTGCGCGCCCATCTCGCTTAAGAGGCCGGGGGCCAGCGCTGTCCGCAGACACTTCCGGGTCACGTGGCCAGTGTGACAAGCTGCATATGGTGAGCCAGCGTAGCACACGAAACGCTGTTTACCTTCCCGCTGGAGCGGTCCCTATTTATCTACTTGCACCCGGGGGTGCTTTCGAACTGCTAGGTTGGCAGGCGCTGGGACCGAACGACGGGAGCGCACCCCGCCGCGGGGATTTGAACCGCCGACCATGCGATTGGCAAGTCCTAGGCGCTGAGGTTTTACCCACAGCACCACCCGTGCACATTGCTTCCTCCCTATTCTTTGGGGTTTACTTCACTGACATGCTCTAGGATGAGCACAGAAACACAAGGTTTTCCCCATTATCTTTTCACCCCATTCTTGCCTCAGGGAGGTTCACATGCTTTTCCCATCTTCCTTTAGTCTCGCAACAGAACATGCCTGGCTCTGAATGCAAGATACCTATTTATACCCCGACTAAAGACCAAAATGCTGGCAGTTTGACAGAAGCATCATCAGTTGCAGTGTAATCCTTGCACAATGGATAGGTTTTTATAAACTGCTTTGAGGGTTGTTTTTTCAACAATCAAGCAATGTTAAAGGTTTTATGAAATAAAAGTAAATAAATATATGAGTGCATGTCTACCCATACAGAGCCAGAAGCCAATGTCCAGTACAAGCTCAGGCCATTATTAAAATGTGTTGGGGAGGGGGGATTATTAGGCTGTTCCTATTTTTTTAAGGCATTTTGTAGTTTGATACTGGGATTTTATATTCAGATGTTGTGATTTTATACTGTGAACTGCCCTGAGACCTGCAGGTATAGGGCAGTATACAAATTTAATAAGTAAATAATAATAATAGATTGTCTGGCTTTTGTGCACTTCATCCTACAATGGATTCCAACTACTAGAATCAGTTTTTGATTGCCATCAAATGCCATCATGCAAACTTTTATGAGGCAGCATCTCTTTACAGCAGGCTTCCTCAAACTCGGCCCTCCAGATGTTTTGGGTCTACAATTCCCATCATCCCTGACCACTGGTCCTGTTAGCTAGGGATGATGGGAGTTGTAGTCCCCAAACATCTGCAGGGCCGAGTTTGGGGGTGCCTGCTTTACAGGAAGCATAACAAAACACTTTGAATAAATGAAGTCTGCTTTTTATTTAACGTATCAGTGTGATAAATTACTGGGTGTCACTCGCACGTTTCCAAAGGTATTAGAACTGGCCACACAAAACGTAGTATGAAATACTTGTACATACAAACTTAAGTTTCCAAGGCTGACACTGATGAAATTATTGGTGTTTTAACATACATTCCTATGCCACCCTGTCAGTTCATCTTTTGAAGTTGTGTACTGAAATCTATTTATTACACAAGCAAACAGGCCAATTGTATTGCTAGAAGTGCGACAACTACACCCCCTAAAAGCGGCTGACTTGTAACTTACTGTCCTATTAGCCAGAAAAGTCTACATTCCAGCAGCAGCGCAAGGAAACCAAGTCTTCTTTCACACAGACAGCTGAGAATTAGATACTGCTTCGATTTTCACAAATATTGCCGCATGAAAAGTAATATATGCAAACCTCCTGTTTGCTAGATAAATATGAAGGAGATGATTTTATGCCGTTTGTACTTTGCACATTAGTGAATCTGACAACAGCTCTTCCAGCAACTGTTTATTGATGTAAATAAGTTTGTGTTTGACACTTGAGATCAACTACTTCAAAATTTCATACATTGGATATTAAAAGGTGAAGATGAAGATCAAGCAGGTTTATTTCAGTATTGAATCGTCGCTAGCTGAAAAGGAAAGAATAAAACGATTAAGATAATTGGTTCAGCATTCAAATAACACCAGAGTATACAGACTAAATATACCTCAGCAAGCCATGTCAGATATACTGTTGGCAGCTGATTTCTGCAGTCTTCATTAAATACTGTAAGATGGTCAAGAATGCAGCCATTTAATTCTCCCCATAATATGAGATACATTGTAATACAATATGAGAGAAGGGGTTCATAGGTGGTTACATATATCTGAAGCATGCATCAAGCATTTTACAACAAATTCCCATTTTTAAACCACACATAGTAGTTAACAGGAGCTTGTTAAACATCCTATTTGTTACATCTGCTTCCAAGTATTTTTCTAACCGCACTAGAAGAGAACTGCCCCAAACACCATGCAATTTAGTCAGTTACTGTTTAATGATACACAAGTCTAAGATAGGAAGTGAATTTCCTATACTCATAACTGGTATTACTATTCCTTCTCAGTTGTTTTCAATAGCTGTTCTTAGCAAGGAAAGAATTGTGCAGAGATGCATACACAAGGAAGCTGGTACTATTCAGAAAGATGATCCAAATTGTTCTTAGCTTTGAGTCTCTTATAGGTTTACAGGGGGCAGGTGAGGGAATAAATTTCTTTTTAAGGTAAATCATCAAAAGAATGTACAAAAACATTTTTTTCTTGTAGAACAAGCGTCTCATTGAAATAAGCCACGGACAGTACAGAATATCAACTGTGGAATTCTGCTCACAGAAATCCAATCAATCGAGCCCTTTCTGTTCTTATGCTCCCCAAAGGTTAACTCTTCAATTAAGTCCTTTTTAGTGACTAGAATTTTAAGTGTCACCTATGATCATTTCCATCACATGACCTGATAGACTTGAGACATTGTACTCTAAGATTTTACACACACACACACACACACACACACTTGTTTTTAAACTTAAAAGATGGACTATATTTAGGAAAAATACCTTCTGCCAGTGCTTTTGCAATTCGTTCCATTTCCTCACGCTTCTTCTTCTCCTCTGCTTCTATTCTCCTTTCCTCCTCAGCAATAGGCTTCAAATAGTCTATCATAAAAAAAAAGGATTTTCATGATGACTGTATATTTACAAATGCATTATAATATTTCTGACCAACGGAAGACTTGCTCAGTAAATACTGAGTATTCATCGTATACTACATATTGCTTCAACTCATTAGATACATGCAACACTTCAAAGTTGCGAAGTAAAATTCATCAGAAATGCCTCAGGAGAACCATAGTGCGTTAGGTGGACTCAAATTTAAAAACTTGGCCCTTTCTGCATTTCTGAGCACAGGCAGAAGCAGTGAATTCCCAAGCTGGACAGAAAGGAGAAAGGTGGCCAGTAGTGGTGTCAGCTGGCCTGGGGATCTGGATCCCAGAGCTGGCAGGCTGAAGAGCCAGTGGGGTTTGGGGGCTGCTGAAGCCTGTTCTGGATCTCCCTCCGCAGTTCTTCTGGGCCACCTATGCACTGCTTCTCTCCACACTGTAATTTACAGTGCCACCGGTGAGTGGCAAAGCAAACTGCAGGGTGATGACGCTCTTACATTTTTTTATATGTACAGATATGCACCAACAGTGAACTTACTACTCGGAATTCTTTCCAGAAGATAGATTCTACAATATAATTTCCCCACTTTATGTAAATTATTTTTGGTTTTATTGTTACAAAACTTTGGAAAGCTAAACACGGATACACTAAGTCGAAATATATAGAAAAATAAAAAATTGTCCAGTAGCACCTTAGAGACCAACTAAATTTGTCTTAGCTACTGGACAATTTTTTTATTTTTATATATATTTTGACAGCGTCAGACCAACATGGCTACCTACCTGAATACAGATACACTAAACTCATCAGGAATATTTTCTACAATAGCTTTTAAAACACTTTATAGAAAGTGTTTCAGTGAACATGTGCATGTTATTCACATCTTAAAAAAACCCAACACAAATAAACTCAAAAGCCTGGGGATTCCTGACTGATTCATGTGACCAGGCACTCTTTTTGCAACTGAGGATCTATTCTAGAACATCTTGCAAGGGATTTATAAGAAAGAGGAACACTTTAATACAAGAAGCAACAGAGGAGAAAAGCAGAAGCATTTGCATAATGTAAATCCATGGAGAATCACAAGTGTCTTGAATGTAGAATCAGTGCCTATCTTCATATTTACAATTTTGTTTTCAAGCGCAAATGCAAGAAACTGAATATGGTTAATTGGTCAATTAGAAGCTTATATAAGCACAAGGGACCTGATGCGCTTCAGATCTTGTTGGATTTTCAACCTCCCTCAGCCCCATCATAGACAACAGCCAGGAATACTGAAAGTTGTAGAACAACATCTGGAGGACCACAGCCTTACCAACCCTGGATTAGATAACAGTTTTCCTTACCATATCTTTTCTTTCCATAGACTATCCCAATGAGCAGTGCTGAATACCTGCCGAACTGTAAAATAAATTGCACAAGGATGAAACAGAAAGAACATGTCTTAAATACACAAACACATAAACACTTTACCTTGCAGTTCTCAGATTTTAAGGACTACACAGTTTAGAGCAGGTTTGGGGAACCTTCGGCTCTCCATATTTTGCAGAACTACAACTCCCATCACCTCAGCAGCATCTGGTGGTCCAAAGGTTCCCTATTCCTGATTTAGGACAAGCCTTTTACACTACAGCTAAAATAGAAGGTCAAGCACCTTCAGTTAAAAGTCAAATAGGAGGACATTCCATTCTGGAAATGGTTTCACAAAAAAAGGATGGTATTCGGTTAAGTTTTACTCAAAGTAATGATTTTTGCTCAATTATGAATATTGAGTGAAGAGCCAAATGCTTGCGTAAGTACCTTTACCCATTTTAACATTCTGCCCATGTTTTTTTAACAAATTTTACATACCACTTGATTACAACAGAACCTCTAAGCTGCTTACAAGAATAACAAAACTATCAACAGAAAACATTTAAAAGCAAGTAATTAAAAACAATTAAAATCAGCAGTAAACTAAACAGAGATTAAAACACATCAACATATCTAGATAGGTTTGCCCAAATAAACACACACACACAAAATATGTAGGCACCAAAGATAATAGAATAAAGGCCTGATCTCTAAAGACAGGGAGTTCCAATACACAACTGATGTCACACTAAAACTACAAGCAAAAACAGTTGGTTTTCCAAGTAGCTTCCTCTCATTTCAGCTATTACAGTTCATATTCCTACTGAGCATCTGAAAATGCCTTTTAGTATATTTGTGTAAGACACACAACATTCACACACACACTCTTTGCATTTTGAGTTGTTAGCCACCTTGCAGGCATTTACTCCAGAAAATCCAGGCTGAAGGTATTTTCGTAAGTAAACATGTTAACAGATTAGAGGGTGAATGGCAAGCCTACTGGAAGGCTTTTAGGAGGGCGGAAAACAATCAGTTGGAAAACGGTTATTGAATACAGCGGATGCTTGGGTTGCAAACATGATCCGTGCGAGAAGCATGTTTGCAACCCACAGCGTTCACAACCCGCAGCACTGCGTCTGCACACGTGTGGGTCGCAATTCGGGGCTTATGCGCATGCACAAAGCGCAATTTAGCACTTCTGCACGTGCGCCGAAACCCAGAAGTAACCCATTCCAGTACTTCCGGGTGCGCAACCCAAAACGTCTGTAACCCGAGGCATGACTGTATATGGGAAATAAGTGTGTACACCTGAAAACGCTGGCAGCATTAAGGTAAATTCAACAGTGTAAATAAGTTTTGATGGATGTAATAATGGAATACTGAATGGCATAGGGTTTTTTTTGGTAAAACATGCAGGGATTTATGAACCATGGAAAGAGAAGAAGCGAAGTCACTGATATCTTGAGGATGTAAAAATGAGTAGTTTAAATTGGTGGTGGTGAGGATGATGATGATGATGAGTCCTTGGCCTGACCCCGCAGGGCTCTCCCTATCCTCGCAGGCCCTTCAAGAGGGGCTGGGAACCAGAGCCGACCCCTTCTCCCCGCCGCCTGAGGCTTCCAGCAACCGGCATTCGGACGCCCAGCTGCCTCGGACGCGCAGGCGCAGAAGGCCAGGCGCTTCCCAGCCGCTCTCCTTGACCTCCGCCTCCGAGGTCACCTTCCGGCAGAGGGGGGGAAGCGCCTGACTCGGGTTCCCGCCGCGCGCGGATGGCTGGCCGGCCGCCCCGAGAGAGAGCGACGCCCGACACGGGGCTCCGTTACCTTGATCAGCGGGGAAACCTCCACCGGCGGGATCATCTTGCCTTCTCCTCGTCCGACCGCTAAGGAGGACGTGACGTCAAGGCGCCCAGGAACCGAAGGCCTCAAAGGAAAAGCGTCTCGGGTGACGTGACGTCAGTGCGTCGCGCCTGCGCGGAGTTGAGGGGAAGACGATAGAGATAGGAAAAGGGTAGCGTCTTCTTTAAGTCCTTGACGACGCTTCCGTTGAGGGGGCTTTCGCGGTCTAAACTTCCGGTGAGCTACGAATAAGGTTTTCGCTAAGAGACGCGGGCAAAGAATCATGGATTATTTCGGTTTTGCACACAGAATAGAAAATAATTAAGGCTGTAACCTCAATTATAAGGACCGTTGAGCTTAGTAGCGCTTATTCTAAGTACAGTTTTCACGTCTACTGGGGTTGGCTTTTTGAGGCTTTATATCCTTCTATTTTTTCTTATCTCTGCAAGAAGGCGGCGTGAGGGACGCAAGAAAGAACCAGTGCGCATGCGCAGAATCTGCACGTTCTCCCAAGCGGATGAATTGGCTTGACAAAAAAGAAGAACCGGCCCGACCCTCCGCATCTTAGTTTTGATGCTTCTAGGGCTCAGTGCTCTTGTTCTTGCGAGGTTGAAAAACTCATAGTGGTGTTGATTTTTTTAGCATTACTAAATACTTTTACGTGATGGATTTTTTTAAATTTAAATTTAAATTTTTTTTGCTCTGCCCAACAACCTTGTTATTGTGGGGAACTGCAGCATCCAGTCCTTCTGCCCAAAGTTCTTGCTAGGCTGCCATGTCTTCTTTCAGATAGATGATGATGATGAATTTATTTAAATTTGTATACCACCTGCATCTGTAGCTCTCAGGGCAGTTCACAACATTAAAAGACAAGATTAAAAACACAAAATGCGTAATAAAAGTCATGCACAAAATACACAAACCAAAAAACCCCCACCCATCCCCTAAACACATTTAAAAGGTATAAAGGCTGCATTATGAATTATGGTGTTGGAGGAGACTTGAGAGTCCCATGGACTGCAAGAAGATCAAACCTATCCATTCTGAAGGAAATCAGCCCTGAGTGCTCACTGGAAGGACAGATCCTGAAGCTGAGGCTCCAATACTTTGGCCGCCTCATGAGAAGAGAAGACTCCCGGGAAAAGACCCTGATGTTGGGAAAGATGGAGGGCACAAGGAGAAGGGGACGACAGAGGATGAGATGGTTGGACAGTGTTCTCGAAGCTACCAGCATGAGTTTGACCAAACTGCGTTAGGCAGTGGAAGACAGGAGTGCCTGGGGTGCTCTGGTCTATGGGGTCACGGAGAGTGGGACACGACTAAACAACAACAACAACAAAGGCTGCATGCACACACACTGTAAGTTTAAAGTTCATCCACCCCACTCCCCAAAAAAGGATTCCTGGAAACAAGTTTGTTCAGGGTGATGGGAATTGTAGCTCTCCGAGGGGTAAACTATAGCACAAAATCCTGTGTGTGGATGGAACTGCCCTGTTAATGTATGGTGTGTCTGCACCCTATGGCAGTTTAAAGGAGATGGCACACAGAAGCCATCTGACACCTCCCCTTGCCTTCTTTAGCAGCTGGTTCCCATCAGTGCATCCAACCCAAAAAATGAGTGCCGTTTGCTCAGCTGGCTTGTGCCAGAGTTTTGGACCAAAAAATGGGACATTCTGGGATCCAATCAGAAGGCTTCTGTAATTCCGGGATGTCCTGCTTAAATCGTGGCGGCTGAGCTTATATACTACTGGAATCAATAGTAGCTCTGAAATCCTGCAGTACAATAAAATAGGTACTATAAGTAGTTGGAGGGACGCGGGTGGTGCTGTGGGTTAAACCACAGAGCCTAGGACTTGCCGATCAGAAGGTTGGCGGTTTGAATCCCCGTGACGGGGTGAGCTCCCGTTGCTCGGTCCCTGCTCCTGCCAACCTAGCAGTTCGAAAGCACATCAAAGTGCAAGTAGATAAATAGGTACCGCTGTGGGGGGAAGGTAAACGGCGTTTCCGTGCGCTGCTCTGGTTCGCCAGAAGCGGCTCAGTCATGCTGGCCACATGACCCGGAAGCTGTACACCGGCTCCCTCACCGCAACCCCAGAGTAGGTCACGACTGGACCTAATGGTCAGGGTCCCTTTACCTTTATAAGTAGTTGGTAGAGTGGGAATGGCACCTTCAAAACTTTTAGGAGGTATACAGATTGTATGTGGGGGTAATTCATGTAACAGTCTGTGCAAGAAGCTTATTCTGACAACTCATTTAAGAAGAATATACAGTGGTGCCCCGCAAGACGAATGCCTCGCAAGACGGAAAAACCGCTAGACGAAAGGGTTTTCCGTTTTTGAGTTGCTTCGCAGGACGAATTCCCCTATGGGCTTGCTTCGCAAGACGAAAATACCTTGCGAGTCTTGAGATTTTTTTTTCGCTTCCCCCCCCTTTATCTAATCTGCTAAGCCTTTAATAGCCTTTAATAGCCTTTTAGCAGCTAATCCCCTAAGCCTTTAAGCCTTTAATAGCCGCTAAACCGCTAATAGCGCTAATAGCGCTAATCCGTCAATGGGCTTGCTTCGCAAGACGAAAAAACCGCTAGACGAAGACTCTCGCGGAACGGATTAATTTCGTCTTGCGAGGCACCACTGTATTGTCTTAATAATCTACCCCTATTGCCTGAAAGCTGTTTCAATAACTATATAATACAGACTTTAAAAGCTGTTTGAACATTGTTTCCTAAATTGGATCCCGAAGAGCAAGGAAGTAGCAGATGCTAAAGATACACACACAGAGAGCCAACCAAAAGCCCAGAGAGAATATCATAACACAGTATAATTAGTGAATATTATTAGCATGAGCAGCTGCAAGCAAAAGATATGAATAGCAAGAAGCAACTGTGCAAGAATGTTAAAAGGGTAGAGTTAATCGATACTTCCAACGTGGCTCATCATTTTAATTATCAAATATATGGTGCAGCCAAGTTCCTTTTGGTGTTAATGGATCATGGAAACTAACATTACCAGATTAATTCCTGCAATGAGGATATTGCTGTCATTGACATTCAAACTGACACACTATTGTAATGCCTTCAGTGAAATCTAATGTAAATGCCATGCAATATTGGGTTCAGTGTTTGTAGCTTATGTAAATTACAAATAAATAAATAAGAAAAAGAGAGAGAAAATTATACAGATCTTGATTGCCTGCATGCTGTTTTTTTAAACAATCCTACTGTGTTCACACACACAAACCTATTTAAATATAATATCCCTAGAAGCTTTCTTGAATCAGGATGGTGTTTTATAATTCCTAATGGTTTTTGCTTTACTTTGTCCTAAGTAATGGGTATGATCCACCCAATTACACTTCTCAGTCCCACTTATTTCTATGGGAAAGCCACAGCTACCATTCTGAATTTTTGATCCCCGTTTACTTTTGTGCATTGGCAAAGCCAGAGGGTTTGTCATGAAATCTTCCAAAATCCCTTCCCATTCCTATTCTGGTCATGCTTTTAAAATAAAAATGTGTATCAGAGGCAGCCCAAGAGTGAGCAAGTCCTCCTCTCCCTTGCTAGAGAGGAAAATGTTGTTAAATTTTGCAAAATTTAACAACATTTTGGATCTTCTTGGTTTTTTTTTTACAGTATAGCAGTAATGGTTGAGTAATGGAAGACTCAACATTATTGCCAGGGAACACAATGAAACTCCTCCCACCCCCTTCTCCCGCTTGCAGTCCCACTCCAGCCACTGATCTGTTCCTAAGGATCCTGCAATTCAAGTGCAATCCTGTGTTATTCAAGTGGGACCCCACAACTGGATATTATCCTAAAGTATATATGTTTTAATTGATGTTGGATGGTGCATTTAATATTCAAGGGGGTTGGAATTGCACTACCTAATTAAAATTTAAAAAACCTTGTGTATTGTCTGCACTATTAACGCTTCTGGCAAGCCGTCGAACAGATAACTGAATCCAAATGTGGCACACACATTACAACGATCTCAGAGTTTTTCACTGTATGTACTCTTAGTTCTCTTTCAGTTAAAGCAAATGACTTACTAGGCAAGTTCATGTCTAAGGAACAGTTGCCCGGCCACTGGGGAACAGAAGGTATCTCGCAGTTCTCGCCATGTATGGAATAGCTCTTGCGAGCTCAGGGTTCTTAAGACATTTGAGATCTCCTTTGGGAGATCTGAGCTGTAAAGACAAGATCCTCCCCTTCATATAAGAGGCAATTCCTAAAGAAAAATTTGCCAGAGAAAGGTGGGCAGAGTAGCTTTCCACAAAAGATGGTGAGTTTCGCCTGCGTGGCAATATAATCTGTTTTGTTAAAAACCTACAGCAGCAACAACAACATATTCTGATTTAGGCAGTTTTAAGAGTACCTAAATTAAAGTGTGCCTTCTGTGACTCACTGCAAATTTTGATGGCTGTTAATTGGAAAAAAGTCCAAATATGTATGGGATAGCTCAGTCCGTAAAGGGCCTTCTTGGTAGTGGCGCCCTCCCATCATATCTTAGATAAACGAGATATATGAAGGCAGCCCTGTTCAGGGAAGTTTTTAATGGTTGATGTTTTATTGTGTTTTTAACATTTTGTTGGGGACCATCCAAAGTGGCTGGGGCAACTCAAGTCAAATGGAGGGCATATTATCATTATCGTTGTTATTATTGTCGTGATTTTGAGTCCCATGTAGGGTAAAAAGTCCCTGCATTGCAGGGGGTAGGACTAGATGACCCTTTCGGTCCCTACAATTCTATGATTCTATGATAATGGTTCATGGGTTGCCATTGCTGCTGCTGAATTGTCATGCGGGGTCTATGCTGCACCGGCTGAGTTCATTTTCTGCTCTTTTCAGGCCAGCAGAAAAACCAAGAAGAAGGAAGGGGGAGCCAAACGTGCTCAGAGAGCTTCCTCTAATGTTTTCTCCAACTTTGAACAGACACAGATTCAAGAATTTAAGGAAGTAAGAAAGTTCCCTGTCTACGGCTCTAAATTACAAATAGGCTTGCTGTTCTGTATTTTTCTCTTAATATGAATCAGGGATGTGCAGCTACCTGAATCTTGAGATGTATGGAAAGATGAAATGGAAAGGGCAGTGCACCCAGTCAGATGGGTGGGGTACAATTACAATTATTATTATTATTATTATTATCATCATCATCATCATCATGCAGACCACACCTGTAGGCAGAAAGCAGGTATTCCCTTTGATGTCACAAACTTGGGATGCAGTTGGAGACAGAACTTTGTAAATATTTGTTTTGATGGTTTTTTAATGTTACAAAGTGGGGTTATCTAGGGAATGAAGCATGTTTATTCTACAGATGAACTGGTTGAAAACTCAATCCCTCTCCTCAAAGAACCTTTGGGATCTGTAGTTCTTCTTGCAGGGTGAGGGAGATTCTCTTAACAACACCAAACTAAAACCCTTTGGAGCCTTTGTGGGAAGCCATCACACTTAAACGGGTACAAGTAAAATAAAAAGAATAAATAAAGTCTGCAATCCTGAACTCTTAGTACGTAGTTTGAGGTTATTCCAGTTCTGAGGACTTAAGTGCAGAAAAAGTTCATTTGGAGACTAATATCCTGCATGTTGAAATCACTGGGCTTAAACACAAAATGTTAAATCAGTAATTTATTCTAATCACAAGAACGTTTTATATCCCACTTCTCTCTCTCTCTCTCTCAATACTTTTTATAGGCTTTTACGCTAATTGATCAGAACAGAGATGGCTTCATTGATAAAGAAGACTTGAAAGATACCTATGCTTCTTTAGGCAAGTATTGTGAAATGGGCACATCCTCTTTTCATTTTGTAGTAACAATTGTGTTTTTTTCCATATAATGTCATTTAAATCTGTTCCTTAGAAAGCATATGTAAAATCATTTCTTAATGCATACTGTTAACTGAAAGGCAGGACTGGGGTCTGAAATTCAGATTCATATTTTGCTATTACTACCAATTTGAGCTCTCTGAGTTTTATACTGTATAGACTTTTTTTTTAAGCCTGGGAGATTAAATGGGAAACTGTTGAAGGTTAATTCCCCCCCCCCCCCCCGGCACTTAAACAAATGATGGTGGCAGAGTCTTTATACCAGGCTTCCTCAAACTTTGGCCTACAACTCCCACGATTCCTAGCTAGCAGGACCAGTGGTTAGGGATGATGGGAATTGTAGTCTCAAAACATCTGGAGGGCCGAGTTTGAGGAAGCCTGCTCTATACCATCAAGCATATACAGTATAAGTAATTCTGGTACATGCATGCTCTGTTGATGCAATGGATCATTTATTTTCCATTTGATTTTAGGTAAAACAAATGTCAAAGACGATGAGTTAGAATCTATGCTTAAAGAAGCCACTGGACCGATCAATTTTACCATGTTTTTGAACTTGTTTGGGGAAAAGTTAAGTGGTAAGTTTAACACTCTCTTATTAAAACTACATCTTCCCAGAAATTTGCACGTGATGCTAATCATGACATTTCAGATAAGCTATTTTCTCTATTGCAGTAAAAGCAGTATTTAGCACTGGACAAAAGTTAAAATGAAAATGAAAGGCAGAAAGGTTTAAAGTAGCCAAACTGATTGCATTTGAGGTTTTCATCTTCTTCCTGGGGTTTTTTGGTAACCTTATGGTAATCCAGAAAGTTACACAAGACAGCTCCCAATAAAACCAAAGCAAGCTTAAAGCACTCTTACCTTGGGCTGCTTTGACTCTTCATTCCCTCTTTTTATAGGGTATCTGCACAATAATATCATCAAATCATTGTCATCCTGTATTTTCCCTGTGGTTCTTTCATCTTTTCTGCAGTCCCCCCCCCCATTTGAAAGGAAGAGTAGGAAAACCCCCACAGACAAGAGATTCCCGTTAAAGTCTTCTTTCTGGGGTATCCAGTTTTAAATGGGGTTCTCTATTGCTCAGAAGCAATAGCATGACCAGCCTAGCTTCAACTGTACCCCATTATTTTTTGCAGGTACGGACACTGAAGAGACCATATTGAACGCATTTAAAATGTTTGACCCAGAGGGTAAAGGGAACCTTAACAAGGATTAGTAAGTATTAGCTACCTAAGCAGAACCCATTTTGGCTGGTGGACAGCTCATATTGTCTGCTAAGGACCAAGTTGCAGTGACAGCGGCGGACCCTTGGCTTTAAAAACAGCTCTGCTCCAATCACCTGTAGAGTGCACAAGCATGCAAAAGGAGTTATGGGTAGGAGGCGACAAACCCTTTCCCCCGCAGACCCCTTTCCCCTACCACAGGCCGTCCCCCAAAGGCATTTTGGCCCCACATCCAGGCTTTGAGTTGGAAATGAACCCAGCTCGGAGTTAAAATGTTGCGGGGAAGGGCTGTGGGAATATGTGGCAGATGGGGTGAGGGTTCAGAATGCCTTGACCATTTTGCAATTTGGAACGGCACCCCGTTTTCACTTTACACACTCGGGAGCAGAGCCACAGTGAAATACTTAGATCCATTGCTGTTGCATGTAGTTTGGCCCTACCTTTCTACTCCTTAAGCCTGCCAACATTACACCACATACATTGGCCTGGCTTCCATATTATGGCTAAGGCAAAATAACTTCGTGACCATAAAAATAGGGTGTCTCCCGGATAGGAGCTTGTGTATTGTCTAAATCAGCGTTGTCCAACCGTGGTCGATCATGGGTTCCCTTCCGATCGCTGGTTTAAGGAAGTATTGTGTTAAAAGTCTCTGTCCCCGCCATCCTCGCTCTGTCTGACTGTTATGTGCAATGGGCAGTTGTTAGTGGCAAGAAACATGCCTGTTTTGCTGCACCCACTTCTTACTGTGTTTTAAGACCTTGCCCTCCTAAAGAAAGCTCAACAACTTTGGCCTCCCCCCCCCCAATGACAATGGGTAGATAATTGCCAGTTGTTTTAGATGTGCCTGGTCTAAATCTACGATAGTTAAGGTCTTTCCTCCTTAATCAAAACTTGTAACCATAGGGAAAGCCTCGGCTGCAGTTTCTGGTTAAAGAAGTGAGATCTTAACAGTGACTCTTATGCCAGCCTTTTCATAAACAAGGTAATTTTCTCTGTGTCTCTTCTACAGTATTAAACGCTTAATGATGTCCCAAGGTGACAGGTTCAATGCTGAAGAGGTTTGTATGTTCTATTTACCCAAAATCATTTATACTTGGCTTTTTTGTTGTTTGTTGTTTAGTCGTTTAGTCGTGTCCGACTCTTCGTGACCCCATGGACCAGAGCACGCCAGGCACTCCTGTCTTCCACTGCCTAACGCAGTTTGGTCAAACTCATGTTTGTAGCTTCGAGAACACTGTCCAACCATCTCGTCCTCTGTCGTCCCCTTCTCCTTGTGTCCTCAATCTTTCCCAACATCAGGGTCTTTTCCAGGGAGTCTTCTCTTCTCATGAGGTGGCCAAAGTATTGGAGCCTCAGCTTCACGATCTGTCCTTCCAGTGAGCACTCAGGGCTGATTTCCTTAAGAATGGAGAGGTTTGATCTTCTTGCATTCCATGGGACTCTCAAGAGTCTCCTCCATCACCATAATTCAAAAGCATCAATTCTTCGGCGATCAGCCTTCTTTATGGTCCAGCTCTCACTTCCATACATCACTACTGGGAAAACCATGGCTTTAACTATACGGACCTTTGTTGGCAAGGTGATGTATGGAAGTGAGAGCTGGACCATAAAGAAGGCTGATCACCAAAGAATTGATGCTTTTGAATTATGGTGCTGGAGGAGACTCTTGAGAGTCCCATGGACTGCAAGAAGATCAAACCTATCCATTCTGAGGGAAATCAGCCCTGAGTGCTTTTAGGATGCCTGTTTTCCAAAATGCAACCAAACATTTCAAGATGTGGCCAGGATCACATTAGTTAGACTGGTGGGAGGTGTCTCTGTTGCCCCCAGTTCTAACTATATATATATATATTTCTCCCTGTTGATGTGCAGATGGATCAGATGTTCCAGAGTTCTCCTATTGACGCAGCAGGAAACCTGGATTACAAAGCTCTCTGCTATACCATCACTCACGGAGATGAAAAAGAATAGTCTGCCTACTTTTGGAAACTGTGTCAACACCTATGCCCATGCAATAAGAATAAAACAAAATAAATGCATTACTTTCTCTATGACTGCAAGCACTGTGTATTTTATTTGAATATCAACCCTACAGGAAAATGTCGAGTTGGAATGTTTCATTCTTCAACAAGTTACTATATAAAATTTTGCCACTTAAAAGAATTATTTTCAGAAAGGTATCAGTCTGGGGAGACTGCAAGTGGCATTTGCTCAAGAGCAAACTAGATGGGATCTGTGACTAGGATCTCCTGTGAGGTTTTGTTTCCTCCTAGTTTGCAGCTTCACACGGCTGCTGTAAGGATTGGCGAAATGGTATTCTGGTATTCTAATGTGGAAGAGAGATGATGAAGTGGAGTAAAACTCCTGCCAGTTTCAATTGTAAATGCAGCATTTTATTCAATAAAAAAATGTTCCAACACATTTTAAAATTAAGGAATGTATAAAATAAGGGACCAAAGAGAATCATTAAGAGGACATATCTTAGATTGTAGGTTGAATCTCAACATACAATATAGTGCATTTCTCCAAAGCAAGTATTATGATGATCAATCAGTCAATCAATCAATCAAGTAAAGGTAATTGTGCATCATAAGCCACTCAAAATATAAATACTATTTTACGTTTATAATAAAGTGCAATCAAGGGAAAAGTACAGAAGCTATTAGCTAGCCTATGTAGGTGCATTTCAAGAAAAGAGACTGGTTTTTTTTTCTGAATGGCATAATGCTGAGCATTTCATTGAGAAGTTGCATCAAACATTAGGTATAGAAAGTTCTTCCTTCCAGCTAAAGGCAACATTCAAGATAAACCGGCATCTTAGTGGATTAGCCAAAGCTCAGATGACTTTATACTGGAAGTGTATCGGCTCAGCAGAACAACACTGAAGGAAACAGACATTAAGCAAGAGCTGGAAAAAGACTTGATATCCGTAGGTGCTACCCTCAACTTTCTGCAGAAACCAGGATGAGCCCTGGTACAATTTTCACATTCCTAGACTCCAGATCCCTGAGAAATCGGAGGTCTTTAGATTTTTCTACCAGAGATGAACCACCTTGTCTATTGTCCATGAAAGCCATTTGTTTTGGAGATTCCCGGGCAGTTGCCCGACACGCTACATAATAATTTTCACTCATATTCCAGGCCAAATGCATCCTGTATGTATTCCAGGAAGCAGATGTTGATTTACTGCAACAGGCGTATCATAGAATATGTAACAACTTAACATTCAAATAATGCCCCCTGATAACATGAACATGACATGAATACGAATCTTACTACTTTTACTAATTATGACAACTGAAACTTGACTTTAGGAACTAGGGAAAGTTACCTTATTCCAAGACCATGGATTGATCTACCTCGTATTATTAACAGTGACTGAAAACAGCTCTCCGGTTTCAGATGGCCTCTCCCAGCTCTAACTGGCAATCCTATGAACTGAATCTGGGACATTTTGCATGCAAAGCATGTGATTTAACACCAAGCCACAGTCCCATCTCCTTATTCATCGCCTCAAAAACAGACCCAATGCTATAATTCTCCCTTAATCTTTCTGTGCTCCTTCTGTCACCATGCTGGGGGAAACCAAGCCAGATGGACGGCGTATAGATAATAAATTATTATTTTTATTATTATGCAAAAAACTGACTACATTGGTGGTTAGATGCATCATCATAGCACTAATCACTGACAAAAACGTCCAACCTGCAGCCAAAAATATGGCCAGTGGACTTTGCACGACTCCATTTCTGATGGAGATTTGCAGCTGAAATCTCTCTACTCAAAGCGTTTTATGTTCCATGAAGCAAAGCATCTAAACAGGTAAAATGTTGAATATACCCAGTTGTGGCTTGGACCAGGCATGTTCAAGTAGAAGCAATTCCACAGGAATTCCAAGGAAAGCAGCGGTAAAGCTATGACAAGGTCTCGGAAGGAGACAAACAGGCTTCCTCTTCTTCTGATACATCTTTCCGTGGCCTGAACAGAGACACCAGGAACTTCAGCGCCACCAAACCAACCCTGACGAAGATGCGCAAGACGAGGAAGGCAAAGGGGACGATGATCTGCATGAGGTGGAAGATTTCTGTACTCAGCTCGCTTACAGCGCAGGTCAGGAAGAAGGCTGCGAGGCTCGCGCAGGGGTAGAGAGCCAGCTTGGCAAACATGAAGGCGTGCTCTTTGCCGCCGTATCGTGCAAAAGGATGCAGCGTTTCCCTTTCGTGGAAGAGGGCCGCGGTCCAGATGCCAAACTGAAAGATGCTGGCGAAGAAAATGGTGACGCAGCTCACCTGGATAGCTTCGATTTCGTTGTGAGACTTCTCCGCAAACTCGCTGGTCAGCTGGTAGGCCAGAGGCAGACCTCCAATGAAAGCCAACGAGAGAGTGTTGAGGAGGCCCATCAGGCGCGTCGCTTTTGTCACGTGAAGGAAGAGCGAATGGTGGACAAACCAGAGAAGGCCGATAGTAACAAAAGACCCAAAGTAGGCAAGGAAATTCGGACCGTATTCACTCAATGCATTGATGAGATTCCCGCGGTACTTCTCTCGCACCTCTTTAGCGTCAGGAACATTATCTTCACTGTTGGGGTGGGAAATAATCTTTCAGTTATACATGCACCGGCATCCATTTATATGGTGATATTCTATCATTTTCTGCATGTTACTTTAACACTTAGAAATATATATATATATATATATATATATCTCCTTTTAGTAAATGATTTTCATAGTTAAACAATGGTACAGTAATTTGTTCCGGGGGTCCGTACTTAACCTGAAACTGTTCTTAACCTGAAGCACCACTTTAGCTAATGGGGCCTCCTGCTGCTGCCGCACTGCCGGAGAACGATTTCTGTTCTCATCCTGAAGCAAAGTTCTTAACCTGAGGTAATATTTCTGGGTTAGTAGAGTCTGTAACCTGAAGCGTATGTAACCCGAGGTACCACTGTACATATAACACCTCTGTTTTCTGTAAAGGAGGAGGATTAAAATGAACTGGTGGTTTTTGGTCAGTTAGTGGGATAACAGGAGATTGCAGATCCAGGTGACTTTTCTATTTTGCAGGCAACCGCTATGGACAAGCGCTATGTGATAGGCAGCGCTCATGCTACCATCTATGAACTACCAACATGAAGCAAAGGTGGAAATTTCATCATTTAACTTCATTAAGCGTAGGTATTTTCCACTAGGATGTGCAAGTACTAATACAATTGCACTGGTGGAAGGCCCATGCTTAAGAGGGATTAAAGGGAGGTCCACACTGTAAACTCCACCCCCCAAACTCTATGTGGGGATTCCCTTGTGCTTGATGCAGAAGCTGCAGTTAGTGCAGAATGCTGCAGAGCAATTGCTGATAGGAGTAAGGCTTTGTCAGCATATAGCACTTGTGCTCAGAGACCTGCTCTGGTTGCCAATTTGCTACTGGGCCAAGTTCCAGGCGTTACTATTAGTATATAAAGCCCTTAACAACTTGGGACCAGTTTACCTACAAGATTGCCTTACCCCATGTGTGGCCATTCGACTGCTTCGATTGGCAGAAGTGGACACTATTACAGGTGCCACATAATACCCGTTCCACATTGGTAAGAATTCGGCCGTTTAGTGTGGCACTTTGGAACTCCCTGCCTACTGAGATCAAGCAGACCCCTGCACTGTACAGTGCAACCTCGGGTTGCGGACGTAATCCATGACGGAGGCACGTCCACAACCCGCAGCATTCGTAACCTGCAGTTCCGCGTCTGCGCACATGCGTGACATGATTTAGTGCTTCTGTGCATGCGCGAGCGGCAAAACCCGGAAGTAACCCTTTCCTGTACTTCTGGGTTTCCCACGGTCCGCAACCTGAAAACACGTAACCTGAAGCGTTTGTAACTTGAGGTACAACTGTACTTTTTTCAGAGCCTGCTAAAAACACTCTTGTTTAGACAAGCCTACCCAGAATCTTAGAAAGTTGAGGCCATTTTAATCTGTTTTAGTATTTTAACTTTTGTATGTTTTAAAGTAGGGCTGTAAATCTTTCCTGGTTTTCTTGTTTTATCTTTTTGTAAGCTGCTTTGAGTTGTTTTGGTTTTTTTTAACAGTCAAGCAGTGTATAAATTTTATGAAATAAAACTCTATACAGTGGTACCTTGGTTCTCGAACTTAATCTGTTCTGGGAGCCCGAGTTCCTGCACTCAAGCGGAAGCTGCGTCGGATGTTTGGCTTCTGAAAAACGTTCGCAAACCGGAACACTGACTTCCAGGTTTGCGGTGTTTGGGAGCCGAATTGTTTGGGAGTCAAGCTGTTCAAGAACCAAGGAACCACTGTACACACTTTCCCCTCCAAGCACTGTATTCTCATATGAAAAACAGTCAAGGGCAATACTGGATAGAACTAAGATTTCTGAAGACCTACCATATATCCAGAATCAATAGGGTTGCTACGATTGCATAAACTCCATCACTGAATGCTTCCACTCGTTCCTTACTAAGGGGTTCTGTAAGGTAAGAAGTAAAAGACTCCAGAGGGACTTCGTCTTCTTGACCTGGAAGGCACAATAATAAGCATGCTGAATGAAAGCGCTAAGCTTTTCTTTTATATAGTCGACAAGCCTTTATTCATTTTGTCTCATCCCCTAGAAATAAATAAAAATACCTTCACCATGTTATTCCTGCCTACCTCCTCCCATACATATGTTGCTTATCCAAGGCTTGATAGGAGAACCTTTCCTGTACAGATTATTGTTGTGTGACTTTTGATCATGTGTTTATCCTTAGACTCCCAACTGGCCGGCTGCCTATCCTATTTCAAATATAATATTATATTAATTGATCTGCATTCCTCTCTTCTACCAGAAGTGCCCAGAGTGGCATACAACACCATCGTAAAACCATATCATATAAGCAATAAACATGCGAAGGCACTTTCTAAAAGCAACAGAAACCAGAATGTATCTAAAGCAAAACAAGACACAAAACATAGCAGCAGCAAGGGTAAAACATATTGTACATTAAAACAAGAAACAATAACACTAGGTATTACTTTTTAAATTAAAAAGTACTCAGTCACCCAAGGAGGAGATAAAGCAATCCCATGCAGAAGAATTAAGGCAGCGGTCCTTCTGCCTAGCTGTGTCTGAGGGAGAGGACAGATTGCAAAGCCCTCTCCATCGAGTTGGCTGGGACCAGCTGCCATTTTGCTGCCTCCTAGGCCATTTCAGCTAGTCACTATGGTATCAATTACCGTATTTTTCCGTGTATAAGACACCCCCATGTATAAGACAACCCCTATTTTTTGAGCCCAAAATTAAGAAATAAGCAATTGCAACACTGCATGTATAAGACAACCTCCAATTTTAAACTTAAAACATTTGGAGGGAAATATAGTCTTATACACAGAAAGATACAGTATGTAACTAGGGCTAATAAAGGACTCCTGAACTTGCTTACTTTCGGTTCAGTTCCTTTCTCTTTTTGTATAGTGTCTATTAGATTTCCAATTTGGTGGCAAGAGCAGCCTGGTGTTTTGTTTTTTTAAAAAAAATCTTTAAATAAATAAACATAAAAGGATACTCACCAAGGACCTTGCTTTTAAACCATTTAGTTAGGTGGCTGACGTGTGGGAAAAAAATAACGAGCCCAAGAAACACGTAAGCCTGGAAGGAAATAAGAGCTTGTTTATTGCATGGCAACATGCTCAGACGAGTTCCCGGGTTTGCAGGAATACAAAAAACTCTTTAGGGGGAATAAACCCCCAAACCTAAAAACCAACCCCTCCCCACAACAGCCTGATGAAGACTGGACATGCTCAGCAGACACAAAATATAGGCTGATAGTTGGAAGCAATCGGGAGAATGAGGAAAAGGAGTACCCCAAGTAGGGCATGGTTGGCTGGCATGCTGAAAAGCCCCCATTGTAGAACACAATCCTGCTCTTGCACACAGTTTGGTAATCGCTGTTTGAATGTAAAGGAGGCCTTACCAATGGGATGAAGAAAAAGGAGACGATGGCAGCAAAAAAACTAAGCATCGGCCCTCTTAGTATAATCTTCAGAATATGATTTTTGTAGAATGCCTGGTTTTCGGACTCTTGTATTTGATGGCTGAGTAAATACGGATGGTGGAAGCCATACACTACGATGATTGCCTGCAGAGTGAAGAAAACACTGCATGAGTACAGGAGACTAATGCCAACCCCAGACATAATGCCAAACCATGGTTTGGTGTTACAAGAACAAGCCTCAAGCTTCTACTTATTTCTCCAGCTCCCTCTTACCCTTGCACACCGAAGAGTTAGCCAATTTCCAATCCCAATTTGCATCAAACCTTTGTTTACTAGTTCACAAGTGATTGTGAACAATTGTTGTCCACTGTGGTTTGTGCTTGCCTGCAAATCTGAATAGCAAACCTGTGAGCACAAAGCAATGCAATAATAAAACTGGTCCTGTAAGTGCTTGCAGCTTTTGCCGCTTCTACTAGCTGCTGCAAGAAGGGAATCTACGCTTTCCTTTAGGGACTAAACAATTATGTTCTCATATAAGGTAAAGGGAAAGGGACCCCTGACCATTAGGTCCAGTCGTGGCCAACTCTGGGGTTGCGGCGCTCATCTCGCTTTATTGGCCGAGGGAGCATGACTAAGCCGCTTCTGGCGAACCGGAGCAGCGCACGGAAACGCCTTTTACCTTCCCGCCAGAGCGGTACCTATTTATCTACTTGCACTTTGACGTGCTTTCGAACTGCTAGGTTGGCAGGAGCAGGGACCGAGCAACGGGAGCTCACCCCGTCGTGGGGATTCGAACCGCCGACCTTCTGATCGGCAAGTCCTAGGCTCTGTGGTTTAACCCACAGCGCCACCCGCATCCCATGTTCTCATATAAGGAGGATAAAACGTGCATCGTCACCATTTTCTGATTATAACCTATGGAATATTTCCTGCTAATAGTCCCTAATTTTAAATACTGAAATGAAAGCAACAAGACCTGGATAGTGCCGATTACAACACTGCAGCTACTAAACATGAAAATGCCAAATGGTACATCTGGAAATGAGGCCATCAAGGAGAACTGCAAGACAAAACAGGAGATCAGTGATATGCTGCAAAATACACTCATGGAAAGTAAAACCTGATAAATATGTATATATAGTTGCTTGGATCAGCTTTTTTTTTTTAAAAAAAAATAAAGTTATATATTTGCAAGCTCTGCTTTTCATACCCTTGACACTCAGTTGAATCAACAAACAAACTTGTAAGATCTGCAAGTTCTTCTGAGAGAGGCCAAGAGCATATCCAGGGATATTGTATTAACTTGAAGAGGAAAGCAGTAAGAAATGCTGAATTTCTGAATTTCACTCTTTCAGTGAACAGGTGCTTGAGTACAGAATTCTAGGATGGACTGAGAAGCTTGCAACTTGGGTTTATGAACCAGCATATTATGCCGAAAAGCTACTGGAAGGCATCGGTGCAAGTGCGGTGAAATTTCTATGCTAACTGGCAGAGCCCAGTTTCAAGTCTGGGTGAGAAAATTCTGGGACTGTCTGAACAATTCAGACAATTTACCTTCAAAGAAGATTAGGTTTAGAGTTGCAAGCCTCACCGCAGTCGCAGAGAACAAAATTCACTGTGCCAAATACATAATAAGCTCACTCTGCATTTCCCCTTTGTGGTCTCCTTAATCCTGATTCTTAATAAATTCGCTTAAAATCAGCTTCTGGGTTTTTGACATGCATTTGTGACTGAACGGATTAGCAGCCGGAATCACTTTGGTTTCATGCTAACCCTAGTCTGGAGGCAAGGAGATCACAAGGAAAGGAAAGAGGTTCTGGTCTTGTGGTGGGAGGGTAGCTTTTACTGCTCAGAATTTATCCATAAACAATACAATTTAAACAGTTCCAAGTTAAAACACCCTTATAAAACCAATTTTACTTTAGTTAAGTAAACACTATACACAATAAGCTCCCTCTATGTAAACCGCAATTCCGATCCATCAGATTTTGGGGGTATACGTCTTAGTTCTGGCACTTATTGATGGTTCTTAAGTTTAGCTAAGCTGTCAGAAACATACAGTGATCCATTTCTCCTCTTTTGAAATAAAACATTAATCAGGTATCTAGCGATTGCAAGGGATCTACTTGTATCTTCGTCGTTTAATAAGTATATTATTTGGGCTTCCTGAGGACTGTCAGCAATTCTCGATAAATATGGGGCCAGAAACTTGGACCGTGAAGCCGAATGTAATGGACAACAGAAGATTATATGATATAACGATTCTATAGATCCGCTTTTACAGTCACAGAGGAGTGAGATCTGTCCGTTGGAGAGTCTGTTACCCAACACGTTTGATGGGAAAACATTGAATCTAGCCATTATAAAGGCATACCTGTGCGTCACCACAGATAAGGTAGTTAAGTAAGATGGAAGTTTCGTTGGTGGAGTTAAGCCAAGGTTTATCGGCGAACAGGTGCCTCCACCTGTCGCAATATTAAATTGTAAATCCATCTCCTCTAATTTGTGAGTTATAATTCTTTTGGCCGAAGTTAAATCCAATTTTAATAGTTCGGATGGAGATAGTCCTAGGGACACAAGTTTCCCATGTATTATTTTTGCCCAGGGGCTAGGGAAGTCATCTCTCCAGAGGCATTGTATCAGGTGGAGATTTGGAAGTTTATGCCATAAAGCCAACCAGTAACAGAGGATGCATTTCCATAATGTGGTTTCTAGAGATGTAACATTTAGTTCCAGTCGTATAGCAGTATTGCTTACACACCTGGGTAATTTTAACAACCTTCTTAAAAGCTGGTTTTGGATTACCTCCAACTGGGTTAGATTAGCAAAGGACCCCCATAATGGGACTGCATATGCTATTGTTGCAATCACCTTTGCCTTGAAAACTTTTAACACTGATGGAATATGGAAAGCCCCATCTGAAAAGAAAAAGCGCAATAGCGCATAGGAAAGGGCTTTAGCTCTGTTTAATACATATGCAACATGGACCTTCCAGCCCATGTTGTGTTGGAGGAAGACTCCCAAGTACTGAAATTTAAAGACTTGGTCAATAGCTTTTCCGTCTATTCTCCAATTATAGGTTTTTCTACTCTTGGTGAAAATTAGAACTTTGGACTTAACATGGTTAATTGTAAGAAAATTTGATTTACAGTAAACATCGAAAATTTTTAATGCCCTCCTAAGGCCGACTCTTGAAAAGGATAGGATCACTGCGTCGTCTGCGTAGAGTAGAAGGGGGCAACGATATTGGGCAAGACGGGGGGCGTGGATCGTTTCTTGAGCCTCTATCAGAGGCGCCCTCATATCACTTATAAATAGATTGAAAAGGGTCGGAGCAAGGATACATCCTTGGCGAACACCTCTATTGATAGTTACTGAGTTTGAGAGGTCGCCTGCCGGAGAGATTCTCACCCTAGCGGCCGATCCGTCATGCAGTTTAGTTATTAGCCACAAAAGTCTTTTGTCTATTCCCCATCGGGCTAGTTTTCCCCAAAGCAATCCTCTGGGGATGCTGTCAAAAGCGGCCTTTAAATCAATAAAGGCCGCACAAAGTTGGCCTCTATTTGGGGAGGAGTATTTCCGGGCAAGGTGGTATAAAACTAAGATCTGATCAACCGCTGACTGATTCGGTCTAAAACCAGCCTGTTCAGGCCCAATCAGGTTGTTCTCTTCGGCCCACTTAGTAAGCTTAGTTAACAAGAACCGTGCATATATTTTCCCGATTAATGACAATAAACTGATATTCCTGTAATTTCCCGGGTCATCTGTCGAGCCTTTTTATGAATTGGAACAATAATCGCATCCTTCCATATTCTTGGTACCTTCCCACTGTTGTTTACGGCATCAAAGGTAGCGGCCAAGATTTTCGCCCACCAGTCAGCATGAAGCTTTATAGCTTCTGCCGGGACTAGATCAGGACCGGGGGCTTTTCCGATTTTAAGATTAGAAATAAGTCCGTGGATTTCTTCCGGGTCAGTGGGTGGCCAAAGAGGAGCTGCTCATAGACTCCATCGATTGTATTAATATTAAGGTCTGGTAAGGCAAAATAATTCCTTAGAAAGGATTCCCAAATTGGGGCAGGAATAACTGTTAAGGGGTATCTTTTAGATTTTCTGTTAACCAACAGCCAGAATTTTCGGGAATTACGAGTACTTGAGGCAGCTATAAGTGCTTGCCAGCGGTTCAATTGCCATTCCTGTTTGGCCTTTTTCTGCACATATTTGTAAGCTGATTTTGCCTGATAGTACTCCTTGGGAAGCGTAATCGCCCCTGAGGATTTGTAATCATTATAAATAGCACAAAGATGTTGTTTGGCTTGTTTGCAATTACGGTTAAACCACGGTGCACCTGTCTTGGGGTGGGCCCAATTTGCCTGGTGGGTTGGGACAGAAAAGAATGACGTGAGGTCATTCAACAGATTGGCAAATAGATTAATAGTTTGGTCGTGATCATATGAAGTTATGCCAAGGGCTGAATAGGTTTGTATGATCTCCTGCTGAAAAAATTCAGAATATTTTTGAGCCTGCGTTACAGACCACTTTATACCCTTCACTCGTAATGCCGTATTAATACCCTCTACCTGGTTTTCTGCATTAGTATCTAATTGAGTTGGATGACCGTGCTCGTCCCCGTGCCAGTCTAGGTCAAACGTAGCAGCAAGTGGAAGGTGATCACTATAGTGAATATTGCCAATCTTAAAAGAGAGAGCTTTCAAATCAGGTCACTCGAGGCTAAAAGGTAATCTAGCACACTGTTTGATTTTATGCCTAGGTGGGTATACTCCCCCGGTATATCAGGAGGGCAGCAGCCATTCAGGGGTTCTAAGTTTAAGCGAATAGCCATCTGGTAAAGAAGTACTCCAGCCTCGTTTACTTTGGAGTCTTTTGAGGCTCTCCCTAAGGCATGTCTCAAATCATAATTGTCAAGGCATGGAGCAGTCCACCATTTAGCTTTAGTTAAATCAGCCCAATTTGCTGCTATACGTGCGTTGAAGTCACCACCAATTAAGGATTGGCTATTGGCATATTTGACTCGGCATGATACTAAATGATCTTCTAATATTTCCCATCTATCATGCAGTTCAAGGGACCGAACCCCTGGCGGGAGGTAGACATTAGAGATTAGCAGTGATACTTTTCCCCCGACATCAACCCGGATAAAGCATAAGGGGAGCAGTCAAAACTAGTGAAAATTTGAAATGCAGCTTCAGTGAGATACCAATTACTAGACCACCTTTCGGCCGTCCTCCTTTCTGGGAGGGATAAGCTGGAAGAGATAATAGGCTGCTCACTTATACTCAAAGCCTGGGGATTTGCTCCTATCCAACACCAGAGGCAAAGAGGAGCTGGGGAGATTTTAGAGAGCCATGGTCTGCAAAGGCACACTGACCACTTTGTTCAAATGGCTTTCTATGCCTGTACAAAGTGTTCCATAATGAGACGTGCTTCAGAATAGATAAGAGTACATACACTTTGTTTGCCTTTCACTTTAGGTGTTATTTACTTGTAATAAGTGAAGTTTTGTGATAACTGGTTAAGCGATTAACCTTCAGCTGACCAAATGATATACCATACATAAATTAAAGTCAAAACACAAGAGTTTATTAATGTTACGCTTAAGCCTTTTAAGCAAATAAGAGTTGTACCCATTTCAGGAAGATGTCAACTCTATTCCAACAGGTAGAGTCTTTAAGTTTTAAAAGCAGTTTACACCTCAATAATCAAACAGAAGGCAAATGTTAGGCAGGAAAGAAGCAGAATGCTTACTTACTGTGTATGGCAAAAAAGTAATGAGCATCATACATGCCTAGGAGAGAAAGAATTCAACATGTGAGAAGACATGGCTCCTTGGAATGTAAATGCAAGTCAGTGTCCCTTCTCACATTATCTTCATGGTATGGATGATGCTGCAGTTTGGCTCCTTTCTGCTTAGCAATGAAATGTCAGAAGCCCAGGACTATACTTGGGGCCTAAGCTGTAGCCTCTTCCCACTCTAACGTTGCCCCAGTTTTAGGGAGGAATGACACTAGCAAGGAAAGGGAGCCAGAGAACATCCAGGGACTTCATACATAGCAGCAGCTCACATTGAACAAAGATAATGCAGTAAGTGTTGCCTGTGGAACCTCTACAACCCTCGGGCTTTATCCAACCCAGGCATGGTTGTACAAAGAAGAACTCATTGGAAGACATCAGTGGCTTCCCACAATCATCTGTTTGTAGCCTCAGCTCATTTTCCCAAGTTATGTTCAAATCTGTTTCTTGTGTTAAATCACAACAATTTTAGGGAACAATCAAGCAGGTTGTTCTCTCAGCACAAGACAAGCCAAAATGAATGGCAGCTTTATAGGGTTGCCGTATTTCAAGAAGTAAAAATCCAGACACAAAAAGTTGTTGTCAAACACCCGGACATTTTGCTAATTTCCCAAAATTCTTCCCAGACGCTAATTCCATCATTGGAATCCCGGACCTGCCCAGGAAAATCCAGACGTATGGCAACCCTAGAAAGGCAGAAAGACTCCTGGATAGCTCCCTTACAGTTGAAGAAGACTTGGACAGAAGGTAAAAAGGTAAAGGACCCCGGATGGTTAAGTCCAATCAAAGGAGACTATGGGGCTGCGATGCTCATCTCACTTTCAGGCCAAGGGAGCCGGTGTTTGTCCACAGACAGCTTTCTGGGTCATGTGGTCAGCATGACTAAACCACTTCTGGTGCAATGGAACACCATGATGGAAACCAAGAGTGCACAGAGACACCATTGACCTTCCTGCCACAGCTCTACCTATTTATCTACTTGCACTGGTGTGCTTTCAAACTGCTAGGTTGGCAGGAGCTGGGACAGAGCAATGGGAGCTCACCCTTTCGCGTGGATTCAAACAGCTGACCTTCTGATCGGCAAGCCCAAGAGGTTCAGTGGTTTAGACCACAGCGCCACCCACTCTGCTAAAGGCAGGACTCCTGGACAGCTCCCATACATTTGAAGAAGAATTGGACAGAATGTCCCTCAAGACCATACAAGTCTGTATGTTATGCACTGGGACAAGTTAAAACCTCCAACTGCTTTGGGTAATTATTAAACTATTCATATTTTGCATTTCACCGTCAACAAATGAAGCAAAAAGCATTACACATATATCCCAGGTGTAGTTACGATGTCCCTAATATCATTAGATACTAATATCAAATAGTGGTGCAGTAAAATGGATAAAACACATCATAGCCCATTGCTGTTCTAGATAATTTTGTTTTTGAAACATTAGGATACTGAAATTTGTAAGCAGGAAATTCAAAACTGTTCCATCTTGGTATTGATAATATTCAAGGCTGGGAATATCTTGATCTTTACACCAGCGTGTCTTTTCTTAACAGACCTTTATTTCACTCACCAAATTTAGAAGGGCAAGCACATCATCTATGAGTTCGATCACTTGAAAAAGTCTGAGAGGGAGAGAGAGATAACAAAAGCTATTAATAATTTGGCCCTGGTAAAATACTCAGAAAGTTCTGACTGACTTACACGTTCACTGAACAAGTCTTAATTTTGATGATAGTATCACTTGGGAAGAGTTATGCAGTGTACCTCCATTCTATGATGAGTCTACTCATATTCAGCGGTAAGGGAGAAATGAATGTGAAACTCAGAAACTTCCCTTTCTGAAACAGAAAAAGATCAGGCAACCAGGCCTGATGAACCAGGGAAATCTGCTCACCAGCTTGCTAGACTCTTTGGTAAGTCAGCCAACAGGATGATTCCCTTCCCCATCCCTCAAGCTCTTACACCTACTGTGGCTTAAAGAAACTAAGAGATGGAAGATTTTCCTGCCATTTCTTATCTTATCAAATAAGCCCCCACCTCTCCCTTGACACATACAAAGGGCTCAGCTTATTATCTCACTTAGGCTGGTCATAACTCCAGTGTGTTGAGGACTGGATAAGACAGGAAAAGAAAGGAGTTTCTCCCCACTGTTTCTTATCTTCTTTATACACTAGCAGAAAGGAGAAAGAACTCTGCCTTCCCTGCAAGCCCTCTGTGAAAGTCACAGGACTTTTTTGGGGGGGAGAAGGTAGGTAGGGGAAGAGGCTAATAAGCCAAACTACTTATTTGTAGATCCCTCACAAACCACCAATTAAATGGGATTTTGAGAACAGCCATCAAACCCAAGCTCCTAAAGAGTGAGTAACAATTGTACCCAGGAAATAACAACAATTTTATTATTTGTATACCCTGCCCATCTGACTAGGTTGCCTCAGCTATTCTGAGTGGCTTCCAACACATATAAAATCATAATAAAACATTAAGCATTAAAATACTTCTGCAAGATGAGGCATAAGCTTATAAAAGTTGTTTCTTCTCCTAAGGCCACAAATGGCAAACAGATGTATGTGCAGACTGGTCAAAAGAAAGCGTCATATGGTGGTAACCTAATGAAATTGTCTGGCAGTAGATTCAGGACAAAAAAGAAAAAAGGACTTCTTTTAACCAAATGCAATTCATTTTTTCCGATGTGGAAAACAGGGGGCTGGACTTGATAGTTGGTTTGATTAAACAGGTAAAGGGAAAGGGACCCCTGACCATTAGTTCCAGTCGTGACCAACTCTGGGGTTGCGGCGCTCATCTCGCTTTATTGGCCGAGGGACCCGGCATATGGCTTCTGGGTCATGTGGCCAGCATGACTAAGCCGCTTCTGGCGAATCAGAGCAGTGCACAGAAACGCCGTTTACCTTCCCGCCAGAGTGGTGCCTATTTATCTACTTGCACTTTGGTGTGCTTTCGAACTGCTAGGTTGGCAGGAGCAGGGACCGAGCAACGGGAGCTCACCCCGTCGCGGGGATTCGAATCACCGACCTTCTGATCGGCAAGTCCTAGGCTCTGTGGTTTTAGAGGTCTTCTTATGTTCTCTTGAGGATTTGTTTTTCCAAGGCTAGTTTAATGTGTTCTTAGCGGCAGTGAATTCAACTGGCATGGCAGGGCTCAGCACAACCTGCAAGCTCTGTTACAGGATGCCTTCCGTCCTTGCTGCAATTCGCAAGAAGGGCTGGTGTGTGTGTACCTTTTCCAACACATTCCTAAATGCGTACCTGACATGAGCTGCCCAAGCAACTGTTACTATTAAAAAAGTCATCAGGTAAACGGCAATTTTGGTGGCTAGGAGCTGCTGAACACTTTCACCCAGTTTCTGAAATAAAACACAGCATTTGACAAACGAGTGCCTGTTATTCATTACAGAAGTTAGTGAAACATGACATGGTGTACTTGTTTTTCACACAAGCAAAAGCACAAAGAGAAAGGGCGTTGCAAAACAAACCTTAAGGTACACTGTGAATTTAAAACCAGAACAAAAAACAATTCTAATCCATTCTTTCCCCCTGCTCTCTGAAGACACAAAACCTGAGAATGAAACTCTCTGAATAAAGACAAATCTAGCTGGTGGACACACTGAATTCTTTAAGGTGCCTGGTAGTTAATTAGGAAGCAGTATAGATGTCTTCTGCTCTTTCTAACCTGGAAGTGTTACCCTGTGAACTGATCAGGAAAGCAGTGCTGTTAGGTCAAAAGCAAAATATGGAGACTGTGCTGTTCCTATCCTGGTGGTTGCATGCAAAATAACAGGAAACACAAGACGCCAGTCAAAAGAGAACCCACTTGCCACCTGGGCGAGGGAAAGTGGGGTAGGGGAAGCTGAAGACGAGGGGGCTGGATGTGGTCTGTGGGGCACCTATTGACAGAAACTTTAAAATGAACCTGAAAAGGATGTTCTAATTTCTTTTAGTACTCAGAGCTAAATGTCCTCTATACTGGAACAACCATGCTGAAGATTCAAAGTGCAATCTAAATTAGTAAACCGAAATACAATCAAAATTACATTTAATATGAAATATACCACCTAGAATTATTATTATTATACACAATACCTGATCTGGGTGTATCTTTGTATGGGCCACGGGCAAAATCTGCAAAAGAAGCAGCATTTGTAACAAGCAGTGAAGAAAAAACAAAACACCAAAGAGCATAAAAGGGACATTTGGGGAAGGAGGAAATGATCTCTAAAGAGTTTTTGGATGCATAAGCAAAATGGGTATTTCCCAACATGAATTCCTCACCCTGACCTTGCTCACAATCACAGTGATTAAAGCATGGTAGAAGGGTGCCACCCCATCTTTTCAACCTATCCTTTATTTTACTATTAAAATTGTACCACTTTACTGAGTGGTGCTTACGCCCAAGTAAATAAAGATGTTATTATGTAAAGGTATGCAGCCACAGCAAAGAGAGGGCTGGACATGGGCTAGCGGTGTGGGCGCAAATCTCCTTTCAGCCACAGCGCTCACTGGTTGACCTCACCCACCCACCTCAGGAGTGTTGTGCGCAGTGCTTTTTTTCTTAAAAAATGTTTCGGGGTATTCTCATTTTGACTCAAGAAAACCACCATTTTATAGTTCAAATCAGGAAAAATAAATACAGTAAATGGACAAAAGTACAAAGATTCACAAAATGTTTAGCGGTATGCATACCCTGGCCTGCGTCCCCCCCAGAAAAAAGCACTGGTTGTGAGACTAAAATGGGAAAACCCGCATTTTTTAATCTCTTGTAGGCAGAGCAGGTTCTCTGCCCCCTGGAGCAGAAGGGAGAAACTGAAACTGAGGTCCTAATCTGATTTGAGGATTGTGAACACAGCATGAATGAAAGGTGACAAGTTCCTCCCGCCCCCCCCCCCCCCCAAATAAGCAGTTTTCCCAAGTGGTTAGAACTGACCAAGGCCTAGGGAACCCACAGTTCAGTCATTCTCTCTGGGGGCTCATCCACACTTCGGTTTTGTCCTGCCACTTTCTCCTTACAGCTGAATCAGAGCAAATGTTCTGTGGGTTGACATTTGCTCCGATTCAGGGGTGTGTGCATTGTTGGATTGTTGTTTTTATCCTGATTACATATTTTGTGCTTTCATATTCTGATTCTGTCTTGTGAACCGCCTTGAGACCCCCGGGTATAGGGCGGTATATAAATATAAATTCAATAGATACAATAAAATAAGCAAACAGTGGAGTTGTCCTGAGGAAAGCAGCGGGGCAAACGGGAAAAGGTCTCTCAAGACCCCTGGTTTCTAGGCACAGGTACGAGCAAAGTGTGGTCCAAGAGCCTTCGCAGGGTTGTTGTGTAGTCAAAACAGGAGAAGGGAAAAATCTCAAGAGGCTTGGGCAACCCAACAACATTGTTACTACTATTTTCCTTAGACTGGGTAGAAACATAAGGAATAAAGCGAGATTATTATTGCCTATGTATTGCAGAGGAGGCTGCGTGATGAGATGCTGAAAGAGCTGGTGACCCAGGTTCTAATCCAGCCATGCTGCTTCACCTTCAAAAAGGAAGAGGCATTTGGGGGTTTTCATACCTTTATTTTAGATCTGGTTACGTAGGAATTGTTCAGTCTGATTGTGTATTTTTGGGTGTTTCGTTTATTGTTTATGATTGCTTTTGTTGCGCTGCAATTGTGCATTTTTTCCATGTTGTATGGTCTGAACTGATACCATAGCTCATTCCGTAGAGCATGAGACTCTTAGTCCCAGGGTCGTGGGTTTGAGCCCCACTGGGTGAAGAATTTGTGCATCGCGGGGGTTGGGCTAGATGACCCTTGGGGTCCCTTTTATCTCTTTTATAAATCTAACTTTGGAAAGGTGGCATACCATAAAAATTATGTGTGTAGGTATGTTAAAAAATAAATAAAAAGGAAGAGGCGCTGCTGCAGAAACCTCGCCCCTTCCATGCGAAAGGGCAGCCCCGGGGTTGCGCCTCGTTCCTGCTCCCAGCCTGTCTAGCGCAGCAGGCGGGACTCCGACAGGTGCAGCTCCACCCGCCCTCCCACAGCAAGGGGCGCGCCGGACGGGGCTGCCCGGCCGCCCTCCGAGAGACTCACCATGACGGTGGCGATGATGGAGAGCAGGGCGTCGCTATAGGCCAGCAGGCGCTGCGAGGCCTGGGTGCCGCGGCCCAGCTCCCCGCCGCCAGGCCTGCCCGGGCCGGGGGGCGTCGACGGAGAGACCACGGCGACATAGTCCCCGGCTTCGGCCATCCCGCTCCTCGCATGCCGGGCGGGCCTCAAAGCAGAGCCCGCCCTCCCTCCTCGTCGCGGAGGCCGGTCGCCAGCACCGCCCGCCTCCTCCGCCCAGGCCCGCCCCGCTCTCGACGGCCTCGGCTTCGCGAGGAGGCGCTGCCCGGTTCCCTCCGGGGCGGGAAATTGGAAAGGGAAAGACGCAAAGCGAAAAACCCGCTCCTTGGATTCACTTTGCATTGGGTTTCATTATGAACGAGGATCCATGGGGATGCAGCTCACTAGACCCGAGTCTTCTCGTGTCGTTTCTTTTAAAACCATTAATTTGAGCGGGGGGGGGGGGGATATTTTTTTTTTTGAATTTTCTGTTTTACAATTCTGTGACATATAACCAGTCCCAGAACATTGGTACCAAACTCGTGTCACATTTAGTGCCACATGCACTTCATTGTAATTCAGTAATTTTGGAACTTTCTCAAAGAGGGGAATTACACGCACTAAAATAAATATTGGAAGAGGAAGTGTGAGTCATTGGTACTCCCATTCCCCAATATATATAATATATATGTCACCTGCTAACACTTGTTTTTCACACCGTGAACCTACCATTTCCTGAACACACACACACTCTGAGGTGTGTCTCCACCCCATGCATGCTGCTGAGGCAAGCAAAACAAAAAATGCTTTCGTTTTCTCTTGATTTGCAGGGTATTGACATCTGAGGCATCCAACGTTTTCTGAATTAAAATTAGAGGCACACTTCACCAATGGGATTTACTTTTAGAGAGGCCCAATGGTCAAGAATATGAACAGGACCATACCAGCTGAGTCACAGATTCCAGAGCTAGCAGCCACCCATTCTAGAACCAGGTCTAATTCTAGAACCAGATCGAAAAACAAGCAGCCAACACTTAACCAGCAATCTAGTCATACAAAAGATGGTACCATAAATTCACTTGCATGACACCACAACATCCCCATTGCAATGGTTTTTATTTTATGGTTGAAAAGATGCTGAAGGTAGCTCAAGCTTTGTTGCCTCAAAGACGAACTCCATCTCACTGTTGAGGCTTGGTTGGGGATGAACACTTGCCTCCGTATTCCAAGTCGTTCATTTCCTTGGCCTTTGGTGTTCTGTAGCTTTCAATACACCTCAAGGAAATGGGAGCAATAAAGGAACGCCATGAACAAGCCGCTAAGAATCAGGTGCTGGTGGGCTTCCTTCCCTCCCCTGAGATGACCTTTTGGTGGCCAGAGCACAGATGCCTCCCAGGAAGGACATCTTTTCCACCCTCCCCCTTCCAAGCCCAGCATGCTCCAACCACCATCAACACACCATTGCAAAGGGAAATTTGCTCCTGCTGGGCAGTGGGGATGAATGGGCACCTGTACAAAGAAGGAAATCATGTGCTCATTCATGCATCAGTTGATGCTTTGATTTCCCTACCTGAGGACAAAAGGCTACATAGCTTGTAGGTTATGAAATAGACCCTGAAACTGACCCCAGAAACCCTTTACAAACTGCAGTGTCCAGAATCAATTGAGGGAAATAATGTGTTTTGAATGTCCTGTAAGGGTATAGGGTGGGAGTCACCTCATGAGTCCTTTCAGCAAAAACCCTTCATATAGAGATTTGCTTGTGATTTTCTTCCTCCCTGCCCCCTGCCTGCGTGTTCCCCCAAAATGGCTCTGGGAGGATCAGGAGAACCCCCGGAAAAGCATGCTGGGATGGAGTCTCAGAGAGGAGGGACTGTTCCATCTGGCAAGTTGAACCACTTGCGCTGACAGAACATTCAATAATAACACAACAGTGAATTGCTCCCATAGGGTGTACACAATCTCAAGAAACACTTTTCACACAAAAGATGTGCAATAGCTCTACAGTCTAGACCGTGTCGATTACAGGCAACTGCCCGTTTGCATGGGGGTTGCATTCCGGGTTTTCGCTTGTGTTGGCAGACCGTGCGTAAGCCCACCCTGTTCCGCCCCACCCTGCCCCTGTCTCGTTCCACCCCCTTTTCGGGCCACTTCCAGGTCCACAGAGATGAGTGTATGACGGTCACACCTCAATCATAAAACAGTCGCTGCCTGTACATTTAAAAACACACACCAGCACTTAGACTCCATTGATTCTAAACTAAAATGTGTGTATGCAGTCTCAAGTGTCTGGAGTGAGAAGCAACTGCTGTCCTTTTCAGCTGTGCCCCAGATTGCAGCCTGTTTATTTTGTTCCATAGAATTCAATGGGGCCCACTGAGTCCCAAGCATGGGGGGGGGCAGGCTTTTGTTAGGGAAGGCAGAAACTCAGTTTGTTAAGTATTTTTATTGATTGAGGGGGGCACCTGCCCCCTTGGCTAGGCCCATGGTCCAAAGCCAGCCCTTCTTCCGATAGCTTTTCCCTCAGCCCTTTTTCACGGTGGTCACTCGAGAGTGCGATGGGTTAATAAATGCCAAGAAGTGATGAGCATGCCCTCCCCAATCCAATATCTTCAGCTGCAATCCTAAAAACACAAAGGGGTAAGCCCCACAGAATATATCAGGACTAATTTCTGAGTAAACACACATCTGTTTGCAAGTTATTCAAGTGTGAGTCAAGATGAAATGGTGAAGGAGTTACCTTCATAATAAGATGATGAAAGGAACAGGGTGAAACACACGTTATTTATTTCCAGAATGTATTAATGTGGGAAGAAAATACTAATTCCTCACCAAAGCCCTGCAACGATTGCATGCTGAAAATGAAGACATTTGCACCCACTGTATTAATGCTGCAAGGGACTTTTTTATGTGTCATTATGACCAACAGGTGGTGGAAGGAGTGAGCCAGAGTCTAGTGAGTGAGCCTGTCCCTGGCTATAGTTCTGGTCAAAGCTGAAGGAGTTAAGGGGCGGAGGGATTAGGAAAGAGACCCAGATGGGGAAGATGAAACAGGTTTGTAAACACAACTGCTTAGATCTTTTAAGTAAACAAAGGGATTTTACTCTACTGTGATAGGAATTTTGAGGTCTTAGATATATGGTAATGTTCATAACCGCACGTACATAGATCAGCACAGGAAGACCAACCTGAAGCCATTTTGATTCCTAAACTGAGCAAATGTTTTCTCTGCAAGGTCAAAGTGGAAAAGCGTCCCCATTGTCTTTTTCTTCACAAATCCTGTCTTAAGGGTATGTGTGTGTTTGAATAGGGTGTGAGCCTGTGACCTGGCCCAGGAACTAAGTATTTATCATTACAAAAGATTGGACAGGCACCCCAGGAAATCCAATCAAGTAACCTGCCAGACAGGAGATAAACAACGACAGGAGAAAAACAACATTCAAATTTCTGTTTAGACCGCCTTTTTTGTGATGTAGGTATGATATATCTGAGGGGTGGTCTTAGGTTACACCCCTTCTGTGATGTATGATGTTTCTGGGGGTGGTCTTGATCTAAAAGGTAAAGGGTAAAGGGACCCCTGACCACTAGGTCCAGTCGTGGCCGACTCTGGGGTTGCGGCGCTCATCTCGCTTTATTGGCCGAGGGAGCCGGCGTACAGCTTCCGGGTCATGTGGCTAGCATGACTAAGCTGCTTCTGGCGAACCAGAGCAGCACACGGAAACACTGTTTACCTTCCCACCTATTGATCTACTTGCACTTTGACGTGCTTTCAAACTGCTAGGTTGGCAGGAGCAGGGACCGAGCAACGGGATCCCGCTCACACCGTCATGGGCATTCAAACTGCCGACCTTCTGATCGGCAAGTCCTAGGCTCTGTGGTTAAACCCAAAGCGTACAGGGTGGAAATTTCAAAAGTCTTTATAACGCCTTGCGCACCATTTTTCTGGGTCCCTCCTCTCTCCTGCGGGTGAGGGGAGCACCCTGTTGCAACAGATCAATAAAGGCCAAGCCTACAGGCTGCTGTTTTGCTCCAAGTTATCCTAGTTGGTGTCTTTGTTTTTGTCCAAGGGAGCCCTCGGATTTTTCCGTTAACACTACTGAAACATTACTGTTTACAACTTCAAAAAGAGGTACAAGTAATTTTCACCTGTGAGCTGATATATATGTATTAATTAGGTATCTGTCTAAAAAGTGTTAGGAGAGGCAATAATTTTGAAATCAAACAGAAACGGAAAGAAAATAGAAGACCAAAGAAGAATTAATCCTAATCAAAGAGGGACAGTCATTTGTGGACAAAAGATGGACTTTGTGAAAGTCCCTAAAAGAAAGCTTAGCCGAGCAAAATCTAAACTGAAAACTCAAAAAAAAACCAAGATGAAGATTTTAAGGATAATCGCCAAAACAAAAAAACCCATGTGAAAACTGGAGAAGGCAAGAGAAAATGAAGGAATATGAAGGGGATAAATCAAGTTTTGCTTACTTTCCAAACTAACTAGTCTTTGGATGTAAAAAGGAGCACATGAAAGAACATAGATGGATATGAAGTTTGCTTAAAGCACAGTGAAAAATGGGTAGGAGAAATGGAAAGTTTTTCTTTTAAAAGGCAGCTGGAGAAGCCAACTGATGTTAGGGAAAGTGTGAGGTTTTCATTGCTGAAACTAGAAAAGTCAAGATTGGGAAGACTTTAGCATCGGAAAGACTTGGAAGCAAGAAATGTTGGTGGATCCAGGCTGATGAAGTGTAGCTGGTAACACAATAACTGAAAGCCCTCTGCAATGTTCTTAGTAATACTTTGATAATAAGTTTTTACTGAAGCCAGGAATAGGAGAGATGAGAAGGGGGGGATTTGGAGAGCATTGCAGGCATACTTACTTCTTGTTTCTTGCTAGAAAGTCTGGAAAGTCCTTGTGTGCACCACCTTCCTGAGGTTATAAGTTCTTTGTTTTTCATCTAGCCCTGAGAGTGGCATCTAGTAGCACCTGTAACCCTCCCTTAGAATGAGTGTGCCAAGATTTTGGTGGACAGCAAGTGCGGCAGGTAGCAGAAGCAGAAGCAAAATCCACTCATCACGGGTCAGAGCATTTTATCTACAGTGGTACCTCAGGTTACATACGCTTCAGGTTACATACACTTCAGGTTACAGACTCCGCTAACCCAGAAATAGTGCTTCAGGTTAAGAACTTTGCTTCAGGATGAGAACAGAAATTGTGCTCCGGCAGCACGGCAGCAGCAGGAGGCCCCATTAGCTAAAGTGGTGCTTCAGGTTAAGAACAGTTTCAGGTTAAGTACGGACCTCTGGAACGAATTAAGTACTTAACCCGAGGTACCACTGTAATTTGAAGCTATGGGGGAATTGCAGAAGACGGGCACCAAAACATTGTTAAGTTTTTTTTGTTCCTGGAGATGTTTCTAAATCCAGAAGGTCCCAAACATGCCAGCATTTGAGGAAGATAAAAAACACAAGCAAAATGAAGGTGACTTTGCCAATTCCATTGTGGAAAAGCAAAGAAGGCATTTTGAGGATGAAGCTGCAGATGTCAATGATAAGAAAGAGGTGGCTTGTCCTTGGCTCCTGTGGAGGAGCAGATGCAGAGCGACTGCTCAGGGATGTAGCAACTCCAGGACCTTGTGTGAAAGTGTATTATTCCTCTTAGGAAAGTTCTTTAAGTCTGAATCTCATCTCTCTGCTGTGCCCCTCTAGATCAATGGATCATCCAGCTTCAAACAAAACTGGTGGTAAAAATGGTTTTCCACGATTGAAGGACATTTGGGTGAGTATCCCTTTCTTGGCTAGGGAGAAAATCTCTATGGCATTCCGTCTGCAACTCAATGTGCTAAGACTCTTTCAGGTTGCGGTGACAGTGCTGTCAGAAGAGGCCCTGTTCCATGTCATCACAATGAGGCCCATCTGCAGGTAGGAGAAGACTTCTTCTTTTCTTCCAGCTCTTCTTTCCTTCAGGCTTCGCAGAGTTCAGTGTACATGAAGTGAGAGTCGCCTACATTTGGACTGTGCTGCTTTAGGTAAGTTCACATTCCACCACTCAGTTGTCTTTTTTCAAGACAATGTTTTTTCTATTGGTCTCTCCTTTTTCTCATTTTCTTTTCTGCTGGTCTCTTCACAGGTCTCTCCAAAGATCCTACAACACTGAGATGAAGCCAGCTGTTTTCTTTTTGTTTGTAAGTCCAAGAACATTCTGGAAACGTCAGAAAACACAAGTTCGTTTTTTTATATACTGTATATTTGTATTTCCCATGAGAAATTCAGACCTGTATGTGCACATTTCTCAGGAGAGTTCTTAAAAAGCGGATACAGCAGCTAACATCTTGCACACAGGCCATGTTTCTCATATCGCGTGGATTGCAACAGGATGACCACCAAAGAAAGTCTGACGAAAAATGTCCACGGTGCACCGTTCTCATAGCCTGGAGGGCTGAAATTCTTCATCAGATTTCTCAGAGTATCCCTTGCATGGCTAGGGGGAAATCTCCATTGTGTTCCATCTGCAACTCATCGTGCTAAGACTTTTTCAGATTGTGGTGACAGAGTTGTCAGAAGAGGCCCTATTCTGTGTCATCACAATGAGGCTCACCTGCAGGTAGGAGAAGACTTCTTCTTTTCTTCCAGCTCTTCTTTCCTTCAGGCTTCGCAGAGTTCAGTGTATCTGAAGTGAGAGTCGTCTGCATTTGGACTGTGCTGCTTTAGGTAAGTTCACATTCCATCACTCAGTTGTCTTTTTTCAAAACAATATTTTTTTGTATTGGTCACTTCTTTTTCCTATTTTCTTTTTTCTCTTCACAGGTTTATCCAAAGAGCTCTACTTAACATCTTCAGGTTTTCTTTTTCCTGAGAGAACATTCACAGAATGTTCTCTCAGGTTTTGCTTTTCCCCTTGTTGCATTGCTGGAAAAAAAAGCAAAAGACACTGGTGGTCGGCGCTCCTGGTTCCCAGGACGGGGTTCAAATCCCTGCGGTGTCCATGCTTACTTCCAATGCAACTGCTATCTCTCTCTATTCCTCTATCCCTCTCTATCTCTCTCTGTCTATCCCTATCTATCTCTTTCTGTCTCTCTATCCCACACTGCCCAAATAACAATTGGCTCCCTTTCTCTTAAGTATTAGCGTGGGAGGGTGGTGACTTCAGTGACTAGCTTGGAGCTATTATAATGATTTGTGTTTTTAACTACTTCCCCTCTCTTTTACCAGCATAGACAATGAGGCCTATGAGGCACCGGCATATGAGGAGGTGGTGACTACTGGCTACTTATCGGGACCAACCATCTGGACCATCACCTCCAGCCCAGGGACAACCCCAGTGGAGCCCCCTCCGTACAGCGTGGTCATTGAGCCTCCTGCCCACGGAGAGACTGTGGTCGAGGCGTTCAGTGTTTCGGTGGCACCAGGCCCACGCCGTGCCTCGGAGGCAGATCTACAGTCCCGGTTCCGCCTCAGGTTGCTTATGCTGCCAAAACTGCAGCGATTTGTCTTCGGATACCCATGAACTCAAAGGTGTTGAAGAGCGGGCAGAACGTCCGGAGCCCCTCACGCCCCCTCCTGCTTATGAGAACGCGACTGTGGAGGAGGTCCTTGAAGAAGAATTTCAGCCCTCCAGGCTATGAGAACGGTGCACCGTGGACATTTTTCGTCAGACTTTCTTTGGTGGTCGTCCTGTTGCAATCCATGCGATATGAGAAACATGGCCTGTGTGCAAGATGTTAGCTGCTGTATCTGCTTTTTAAGAACTCTCCTGAGAAATGTGCACATACAGGTCTGAATTTCTCATGGGAAATACAAATATACAGTATATAAAAAAACAAACTTGTGTTTTCTGACGTTTCCAGAATGTTCTTGGACTTACAGCGTAGGCTGCTTGGAAGCTGGCTTTAAAGAAGGCTGGACTGGTTGGTGTAATGATTGCTGCTCCTTTTTATTTTTAAATAACCACATCTGAAACCAAATAAACTGAGATGGCAAATCTGGGATCAAAACTACGAACCACATCTTAATGATTTCCAAATCCTGTTTAAAAGCTTTGAGTCTGAGAGTTTGCAAACTGAGATTAATAAAGAATTCAGCTTCTGAAAATAGCACTTACTCAAACCATATTTCGTTGTTGTTGTTGTTGTTTAGTCGTTTAGTCGTGTCTGACTCTTCGTGACCCCATGGACCAGTTTGGTCAGACTCATGTTTGTAGCTTCGAAGACATATTTCTTTATTGTGGAACAAACTGCATATTATGTGCAGAACAGTGAATTTGTAAATATGTAAAATTATGAACATTGATTGTGTACAATTGAATAATGTTACAGAGAAATGCAATTGCTTCCTGCCCTTTTAAGAAACATACTAGCTGATTATCAAGGAATGCTGTAATGAAAGAATTTATGAAATAATTGGATCACAGAAAATCTGTCTGTAAATCTATTGCAGCCAGGATACAAACTGATGGAATATATCCATTGACCAAGTCCTTTCCTCAACATTTATTTTAATCGGGGGGGGGGGGGAATAAATTATCTAGCAGCACCTTATAGATCAACTAAGTTTGTTCTGCTATAAGCTTTCGTGTGTACACAAAAGCTTATACCAGAACAAACTTAGTTGGCCTATAAGGTGCTACTAGACAATTATTTATTTATTTATTTATTTATTTCGACTGCATTAGACCAACACGCCTACCTACCTGAGTCTAATATAACTTTAAGAAACTTGAAAACAGGACAGTCTGTTTAACAACTGTGTTTATTGTCTAACCTATCATGTACGCTATATCACCCTATACCTGGAGGTCTCAGGGTGGTTCACAGAACAAAATCAAAATATAAAAACAAAAAAATATACTGTGGTACCTCAGGTTACAGACGCTTCAGGTTACAGATGCTTCAGGTTACAGACTCCGCTAACCCAGAAATAGTACCTCGGGTTAAGAACTTTACCTCAGGATGAAAGCAGAAATCGTGGGGCGGTGGGGCAGCGGCAGCGGGAGGCCCCATTAGCTAAAGTGGTACCTCAGGTTAAGAACAGTTTCAGGTTAAGAACGGACCTCCAGAATGAATTAAGTTCTTAACCGAGGTACCACTGTATAATCAAAATTAAAACAATGACCCAATAACCTCCCCCACCTCAAAAAAAACCCAATTCCTGCATTGCCAGGGGTTGGACTAGACGATCCTCAGGGTCCCTTCTAACAATACAGTTCTATGATTCTATATAATATACGGTTCCATAGTTCGTGGTCAGTGTGTAAGTTCTTGGCTTGTGAATTGGTTTAAAGAAAATCAAAGAGGAAACAGGATAGAACAGGAAAAACCTTCATTTTAACTCATTTTCCGATGGCTGCTCAGTCTTCTGTTCTGATTCTTTGCCAGCATTACATGGCGATGCCTGGTTCGCAGGAACAGCATTTGCTTTCAGTTCCTTAGATATTGGCTGCATATGCACCAAATGTTTAAAGCACACACACACACACCCCAGAACTGTAATTTGTTAAGGGTGCTGGGAATTGTAGCTGTGTGAGGGGTAAACTACAGTTTCCAGGATTTGCGGTTGGGGTGGTACTGCTTCATATTCATGGTACGTGTGCAGCCATAGACAAACCTCAGAATGCTCAGGAGGGGGAAATCATATACATATAAAAGGAAAATCCCCTTTGGCTCAGCTCCACTTCCTAGGCTGACATTGTCTAAAATGCAGTGAAACCTATTGACCACTTTTCTCCTATTCACTGGAATTTCTGTGCTTAGGGGACACGGGATTTCTGGAAACCATATGTCCGTAAAGGTAAAGGGACCCCCGACCATTAGGTCCAGTCGTGGCCGACTCTGGGGTTGCAGAGCTCATCTCGCTTTATTAGCCGAAGGAGGCGGCGTACAGCTTCTGGGTCATGTGGCCAGCATGACTAAGCCGTTTCTGGCGAACCAGAGCAGCGCACGGAAACTGCGTTTACCTTTCCGCTGGAGCGGTACCTATTTATCTACTTGCACTTTGATGTGCTTTCGAACTGCTAGGTGCTTAGGGGACATGGGATTTCTGGAAGGCATATGTCAGTATGGTGTAGCAATTTCATGTAGAAGATGTCAGTATCATTTACAAGGGCTGGAAACTTACAGCCAAGGGGGCATATCAAAACATGGCAGGTGATATTGATCACAGACTATTAGCTATTTACTATTAACTGGCTTGGAGCCAGATGGGCAAGGATCACAGAGGACTGCTTACAAAGAGCTTCTTAAGAGCCGTTATCACCCTTTGGACTTTGATTATTATGATAAATGGTTATTAAGGCAGCAGCTCAGGTACAGAGTCACTCTTTATAGTTCCCTTCCATGCATGCTGAGTGAAAACCAGCCCTTGCCGATTTCTTCCTAAGTTATTCTCTTCCTGAAAACAACTTTCTGTCAGGTAACATGTCACGTAACGTCGCCCTGAAAGAGAAGAGATTCCTCTTCACGTCTGAGTCTGTTGCCGAGGGACATTCAGGTGAGTGAATGTGGCTTTCCTGTCCAGCAGTTTGGTGAATGCAAAATGTAACTTTCTAATAGCCTCTTCTGAGGCCTCCAATTTCCGAAGGAATGGAAGCGAGTAAGCTTCCAACCATGGATATTTTCAATTCTTGCTCCATCCCCACCTGACGGCTCAGCTGGCTTTCACTGGTCTTAATACAGCAGGTTTAGTGCTTGTTATGTTTGCTCAGTGATGGGTACGGTCTTGCTTTGAACTCTTTAAAAGCATAGCTGTCAACTTTTCCCTTTTCTTGCAAGGAATCCTATTCGGAATAAGGGAATAGGCTCAACAAGAAAGACCTGGTTATGTTTAGAATGATACCGCATAGAGAAATGCTCCCTGATACCAAGATGAGGGATTCCTCTGGAATGCAGATAGAGAGAATTGATAAGAATAACGATCTGTTGTGAGCTTGACGGAAGTGTACAATAGATGAGCTTTTCTGCTTTGGCTCATCTTTCTTTTTCTTTTTTTCTTTTTTTCTTTTTTCTTTTCTTTTATCTTTCCCATAGTTGCTTATGTTCTGTGTCATGTACTTCGATATTTTTTGTAGTTTTTTAGTTTTTTTCATTACTATTAAGGAATTTTCCTTTGTAATTTTGGTTGTTTATATTTATATGTACTTGTTTAAAGCAAAATAAAAGTTAAAAAAAGGGAATTTCCCTTAAAAAAGGGGAAATGTTGACAGCTATGCTTTAAAAGTGCTATTTTCAATTATTTGCAAGAGAGCCTGAAAGAACAGGATGCATAATGCTCTAACAGTCAACTCAGCAAACCAGCAAATGCCTGAACTTCTCAGGAAAACACCAGAAGCTGCCCTATACAGTGGTACCTTGGAAGTCAAACAGAATCTGTTCCGGAAGTCCGTTCGACTTCCAAAACGTTCAGGAACCAAGGTGCGGCTTCCGTTTGGATGCAGGAAGCTCCTGTAGCCAATCGGAAGCCACGTCAGACGTTCGGGTTCCAAGGAAGGTTTCAAACTGGAACACTCACTTCCGGGTTTGCGGCATTCGGGAGCCAAAACTTTAGACTCGCAAGGCGTTTGGGATCCAAGGTACGACTGTACTGAGTCAGACAATTGGTCCATCTAGTTCAGTGTTGTCTACACTCACTGGCAGCAACCCCCCCCCCCCCCGGATTTCAGGCACAGGTCTGTCCCAACCTACCTGGAGATGGTGGGGATTGAACCTGAAGCATTATGCATTCAAAGCAAGTTCTCTACCACTGAGGTATGTACATTCTCAAATGTCATCCCAGTGGTTTCTTTATATAACTGCTTTCTAGCAAACCCCAGTGGATGTTTGATGTACAGTGGTACCTCAGGTTACATACGCTTCAGGTTACATATGCTTCAGGTTACAGACTCTGCTAACCCAGAAATAGTGCTTCAGGTTAAGAACTTTGCTTCAGGATGAGAACAGAAATTGTGCTCCGGCAGCGTGGCGGCAGTGGGAGGCCCCATTAGCTAAAGTGGTGCTTCAGGTTAAGAACAGTTTCAGGTTAAGTACAGACCTCTGGAACGAATTAAGTACTTAACCAGAGGTACCACTGTACTTGTGGAGGGTATTGTGACCTCTAAAAAGCTCAGAAAAAATGTTTCTTTTAAAAATAATAATAATAATAATAATAATAATAATAATAATAATAATGGCGACTCAGCTATACAGCTGCAAATAAAACGTTTTAAGTGTGTTTTAAGTGCAGTATACAATGTGATACTAGGTGGCGATGGTGAGCCTTATGGAAAATTCAATGCATTTTTAAAAACGCTTTTTTAATATATAAGAAAAGCATCTTCAGAACATTTTTTATATGTGCGTAGATTCCACCTGGATTGGCTTCCAGGCCAACTAGTGCAGCCTAGGCAGCCTGTTCTTATACAGTTGACAACTAAATGAATTATAGAAACCTGGCTTATTTTTGTTTTTTCCCTTTCCACCCATGTAGATAAACTGTGTGACCAAATCAGTGATGCTGTTCTTGATGCTCATATTAAGGTTGATCCAGATGCTAAGGTCGCTTGTGGTAAGTCTCATCTATGGCCTAGCAGAGCAATTTGTGTTTGTGTTTCATTACATCTTTGCAGGGGTTTTTCTTTAAAGCGTGCAGTAAAAATACAGGTGTTCATTACTGAGGAAGAAATGGCCTTTCCCCAACGATAAGCTTTATTACTGGGAAAATAAATATTCCCTTTTCCCCTCTCAAGGTGATGCATCTACTGCAGCTTGAAGCACCTGGTGTGCTGCAGCTGGGCAACTATTACTGGAATGTATTGGCCAGTTCCTGTGTCAGCACAACTCCTCTGTCCATTTCTGCATTATTTTGAACCCCCATAACATCTATTTTTCTGACTATTTTAGTAGGTGAACTGCCAAAACGCTTATATTTATTTTTTAAACAATAAGGCAGGGGGAAGAAACTGAATATGGAGAACATCAGCAAGACTCCTTACTTCTGTACAGCAGACTACCACTATTATATGTGTATCAATTTGTGCAACCTTCATTCTAGAGCCTAAGCTATTCAACATTAACCAGAATTATAGTGCATTGTCTGCCTAGTTTAATTATAAAGGAGGGGAGTAGCAAAGAGGTGTTCCCCCTGTGTTGTAATTGTATCCCAATTGGTTGCAAAGAGTCATCATAATTTAAACATTTCAAGCCCAGTGTCTGCAAATTCTAGACAAAGATTCCACAGTGGACAGCAGGTCCTTAAAGCTAAGGCCTCCATGCTACTAGGAATTAGGTGTTGGAGACATACACAACAAAACGGCTAATGCTGAAATTATTTTACCAATTGGCAAACAAAAGCTTTCTAGCACAATTCTATAAAAGGTAAAGGGACCCCTGACCATTAGGTGCAGTCGCGGCCGACTCTGGGGTTGTGGCGCTCATCTCGCTTTATTGGCCAAAGGAGCTGGCGTGCAGCTTCCAGGTCATGTGGCCAGCATGACTAAGCTGCTTCTGGCGAACCAGAGCAGCGCACAGAAACGCCATTTACCTTCCCGCCGGAGCGGTACCTATTTATCTACTTGCACTTTGACATGCTTTCGAACTGCTAGGTTGGCAGGAGCAGGGACTGAGCAACGGGAGCTCACCCCGTCGCAGGGATTCGAACCACCGACCTTCTGATCGGCAAGTCCTAGGCTCTGTGGTTTAACCCACAGCGCCACCTGCGTTCCTTAATACATATCCATTAAAACAAAAACAAAATTGCATACTCCTGGGCAGTGCTGTTTTTCTCAAAAAAGAGGTGCCAGAACTCACCATGAACACCTCTCTCATTCTCTTCGAATGGCAATGGCGCCCACTTGTGAGATGCCAGAACTGAGCTCTGGCAAGTTTTGGCTGAAAAAATAGCCCTGCTCCTGGGTAAGGGGATATAGAATTATAGCTTTACAGTGCAATCCGAACCATGCCTGCTCAGAAGTAAATTCAGTGGGACATACTCCTACGACACTGGATTATAGGGTTGCCATATTTCAAAAAGTAAAAAACAGGACCCCACCAAAAATTGTTGAAGACTTGGGAGTTCTTGATAATTTTTTCTTTTAATGCCGCCTTTCGGAAATTCCCCCGGGCATCAATTCAACCTTTGAAATCCTGTTAATGTCCAGGGAAATCAGGACGCATGACAGCCCTATGAGATTAGAAGTGCAGCCTAAACTGTTTAATTATTGAACCAATTAAAATTTGCAGGACTAGTAATAACAGCAGAACCTACACCCTTCAATTTCATGTAGAAGTTGTGTCAGTATCATTTACAAGGGCTGGAAACTTACAGCCAAGGGGGCATATCAAAACACGGCAGGCAATATTGACCACAGACTATTAGCTATTGATTATTAATTGGCTTGGAGCCAGATGGGCAAGGATCACAGAGGACTGCTTACAAAGAGCTTCTTAAGAGCCGTTATAACCCCTTGGACTTTGATTATTATGATAAATGGTTATTAAGGCAGCAGTTCAGGTACAGAGTCACTCTTTATAGTTCCCTTCCATGCATGCTGAGTGAAAACCAGCCCTTGCCAATTTCTTCCTAAGTTATTCTCTTCCTGAAAACAACTTTTTGTCAGGTAACATGTCACATAATGCTCCACCTTTGAAATCCCATTAATGTCCAGGAAATCAGGATGCATGACAGCCTTATGAGATTAGAAGGGCAGCCTAAACTGTTTAATTATCGAACCAATTAAAGTTTGCAGAACCTATGCCCTTCAAAAATTTGCAGAACCTATGCTCTTGCACTGATCCCATCACCTCCTGGCAAATAGAAGGGGAAGAAATGGAAGCAGTGAGTGATTTTAATTTCTTGGGCTCCATGATCACTGCAGATGGTGACAGCAGCCACGAAATTAAAAGACGCCTGCTTCTTGGGAGAAAAGCAATGACAAACTGAGACAGCATCTTAAAAAGCAGAGACATCACCTTGCCAACAAAGGTCCGTATTGTTAAAGCTATGGTTTTCCCAGTAGTGATGTATGGAAGTGATAGCTGGACCATAAAGAAGGCTGATCGCCGAAGAATTGATGCTTTTGAATTATGGTGCTGGAGGAGACTCTTGAGAGTCCCATGGACTGCAAGAAGATCAAACCTCTCCATTCTTAAGCAAATCAGCCCTGAGTGCTCACTGGAAGGACAGATCGTGAAGCTGAGGCTCCAATACTTTGGCCACCTCATGAGAAGAGAAGACTCCTGGAAAAGACCCTGATATTGGGAAAGATGGAGGGCACAAGGAGAAGGGGACGACAGAGGATGAGATGGTTGGACAGTGTTCTCGAAGCTACCAGCATGAGTTTGACCAAACTGCGGGAGGCAGTGGAAGACAGGAGTGCCTGGCGTGCTCTGGTCCATGGGGTCACGAAGAGTCGGACATGACTAAATGACTAAACAACAACAACATGCCCTTCAAAATGCAAATGCCCCCCAAAATTGAAAGGTCTTTAGTTGCAAGTCGTCACCATTACATTTTTTTTTTTAATTTAATATTTATTAAATTTTCAAAAAGTAACAAGTAACAACAAAAATTTCCAAAAAAGTTGAAAATACAAAAAAAAACAAAAATAATACAGAAATAATAAAGAAGAAAAAACCCAGCCGCAAAAAAGAAAAAAAGAAAAACAGAAAAACAGAAATATAAAATCCTTTACGATCTCCATTAACTTCCTTTCTAGACTTCCTCCTCCTCCCCTCTCTTGTTTCTTAGTATTTAATTTTTACAGCAAATCCTTTCTGTTTTTCATAACAATCTATCATTGCGTTTCCTTATTCTATTTTCCCTCTTGTCATATAAAAACTTTAAAACTCAAAGCTTATATTCAATATTTAGCAAATTCTTACATCATTACCTTTTACAAATCATTTACCAATCCTTACTTAAGTCATATAATTTCATTCAACATCCTTCAAACATTTATAAACATTCCCAATATTAAAAAATAAGAAAGAAAAATAATAAGTCAGATTCAGTCCAGTCAACTTCCAGCCTCCCTCCCTGGACCCGGGATTGTCAGTCCTTTTAACCTCAATAATCCGGCTCCTTAACCTGGTTGTCTCGTATCCGAGGCCCTCAAGTCTCTTTCTTGCCCCTTTCGCCACTCTTGTTGATATTTCCCTTTCAGTCGTGGATACTCCAGCAAGAAGATGCTTTTGACTCTTTGCAGCAAGTCCATCCCAAACCCATTACCCAAGCCAGACAGCAGATAATACCACTTCCAATTTCCACAAAACTTGGAGACTTCGACTACTCCAATCCTCTGATGGCCCATCACTAGACTCGGAAAGTCCAAATAACCATATAGAGGGGTGTCAATCCATCCCCCCATTTCCAAATCTGACCACATTTCATCTTTCCGAATCAGGTTTGTCCCAAGTTCATTTATCAAGTTCAAAGGCTGATCTTGCCCATCCATAGGTCCCTCCATCTCTGAAGCCTCCGTCGCTACAGCAGGTTCATATACTTGTATAGACTTTAACTGAATTTCATTTGTTTGCTGCTGTGCTCTGGTAACTTCCGTCATCATCAAGGTCGACTCCTGACGCATCTGGTCCAGCTGGGCACTTAATTTTGCAAAACCTTCCAGGAACACTTGTTCAAGCCTTTGTACAAGCATTGTCCTTCAAGGTCAAAGAAAATTCTTTCCCACGAGAATGGTCCTTCTCTTTTAAACTCTCTGCATTGCAATTTCACTCAGTTCCACTAGATGGAAAACCCTTTTTTTTTTTTTTTTTAAGAGGGGGAAAAACAACAGTAACAATCTTTCTTTTTCCAGAAACACTTTATCCAAAATCCCCCTTTCAAATTCAAGAGGCAACAGTAGAATCAAAATGTTACCCTTCTTTTAACTATCTGTCGAGCTGGATAAGCTTCAAAACGTCAGTTCTGACAGCCCGCTCCTGGTTCAGGGCGGTGGAAAATTACTTTATTTTAAACTCACTTCCGCAGGGTTGAAAAGATCAAAACAACCCCCTTCTTCTCCTGCAATCAAAGGGGGGGTTCAGAAATCTTAGATGTTGAATTTTAGTTCTCTCAGAATTTAGTTTTCAAGCTTTAGTATAATTTGTCTTTGCTTTCTTCACGTAACAAAAGAACGGAAGGCGACTTCCTGTTTAGACCTTTCCGTTCCGAGTCCCAATTAAATTCAATTTCAAGTTCAAGTCCAATGTTATTTATTTATTCACCAATCTTAAAAGTAGTTCAGCTCTTCCAGGATCAGGTACTCACGGATAGATGTTTTAGATGCCAAATTGTCCAGGAAAAGGCAGCGCTCTCAGAAAGCGGCAGTGCGGCTTTGCTGCACGGAGGAAGCAGTCGACTCACAGCACCACGCACCTCCCACTCCGGAGCCCGTTACCGGGCTCCTGTACAAGGGGAGAGCGCTCTCGGTGCCCGCCGAGTCCCACGCCCACAGGCTTCTTCCGCCTGTGGTTTTTAAGGGTCCCCGCTGCGCCGTAGCGGCAGGACCCAAGCCTCCGTGCAGCGGGTTCCCTTCAGTTCGAAGGGAATTCCGCCATTTTCCGGAGGCGCCACCCCGCAAGTCGTCACCATTACAAAGAAGAATGTTCCATTTGGACAAGGCCCTACTCTGAGTGGATATGTGCCTAATTTCAGGTATCTAGGGCAAGGCCTTAACTAGATGCCTTAAAGATACAAGCAGGGACATAAGTGCACACTGTCTATATTGGGGAAAATAAATATTTGGTGTGTGTGTATCTATCTATCTATCATCTATCTATCTATCATCTATCATCTATCATCTATCATCTATCTATCTATCTATCTATCTATCTATCTATCTATCTATCTATCTATCTATCTCACTCACTATATAACTAGCTTTCTTGAATTATGTTTCTGCAGAATGTGTGGCCAAAACTGGGATGATCTTGCTATGTGGTGAAATTACCTCCAAAGCTATCATTGATTACCAGCAAGTAGTGAGAGACACCCTTCAGAAGATTGGTTATGATGACTCTTCCAAAGGTGGGTTGTGGTAACTTGAATAAGCCACTGGAGATAGACAAAGTATGGATTCTGTTTAAGAGGAAACAAGTAGGTGCTCATCAGAGCCTCTCGGTGACTATAATGTTATTTTACCTAGAATCTACTCACTTAACAAGCTTTACTAACTGCTGTGAAAGATGTTGTGTGAAATGAGAAGTTTGAAGCAGCTTCTACATGTTATAAGGAGCACTGTCTCTTTGGAACAGGCATAGGCAAACTCCGCCTCACCCCCAAATGTTTGGGACTACAACTCCCATCATCCCCTGGCTATTTAATGAGCATTCGTTCTGAATTGTTTCTGGGAAGATTCAACGATGTTGTGTCGAAACAAGTGTTAGCCCACAGTTTCTAGTGCATTTAGTCATCGTTTCCCTTTCCGTTTTTTGCAAAAAGTCAGATATTTTATGGTAGCAGGTTTGTTGCGCAAGACCTCACCATCAATTTAAATTACGCAACCTGAATATACTGGAATGTGATTGAATCCTACTCAAAATTAGTGACAGCCTGTGCAGTACAATGTGTCTAAATGGTTAAAAGGAGATTGATTGCAACAACTGCTCCTCCTATGACTCAGTGAGTTTTATTTATTTTCCCAGCAATTATGATGTTTAGGTGAAAATGGTAAATGCATTGGCCACCATCAAACATTGAGTTAAGTGTAATGAAATCCAGATGTAAAAGATACAGAGATGCTGAATTAGAAATAAAATTGAGTTGAAAACCATGCAAAACTCCACCACAAAAGGAATTTAATGTTCAGTTCACCTGGAAATCATACGAACTACTTGCAGGTGTCATTCAGAGGTTTTTGGAATTAATTCAGTGATTAGTTAATTTGAATTAATGCATTCCAAGCACTGGTGTGATGTGCCAACCAGGCCATTGCGTCCAAGCCAGTTGCCCGTTATTGTGGCTTGCTATTCACTTCACAGGGTTGGATTACAAGACTTGCACTGTGCTGGTAGCCCTGGAGCAGCAGTGCCATGAGATCAAACAAGCCATCAGCGAGGGGAAAACTGGGGATGATATTGGAGCTGGAGACCAGGTAACACGCTACTGTTTGGATTCCCACCCTCTTCTATGAAGCACTTCAGGCCCCTACATTTTCTGTCTGTGACCCCATCTGCATTATACATTTAAGGCAGTATCATACTACTTTGAGCAGTCATGGCTTCCCCCAGAGAATCCTGGGAACTGTATTTTCTTAAGGGTGCTGAAAGTTGTTAGGAGAACCCTCTATCCTCCTCACTGACCTCAAATTTCCAGAGTTCCCTGGAAGGGTGATTGATTCTTCAGCACTCTGGGAACTGTAGCTGTTTGCGTGTCGAGACCCCGCAGCCACCCCCTCATTGGAAATAACTCACACAAGGACACGGATATTAGGTTTATGTTATTGGGCAAATTTTGGCCACAACTTTATTGAAATTACAGAATGTGAGCGGTATTGGCTGAGGCATTGATTGGACCTGACTATATCTGACTCCTGCCCATTGTGCAGGAAGTCCCCAGTAAGGGTAAGCCACGGGTAGGGGGGTCGATGCGGACCAACTCAAGCTCCCCCTGGTGTTCCCATCGGGGTGGTGTCAAGGCCTTAGCCCCCCAGCCAGGCTTCAGACTAGAACAACACCCCCGGATTCCTTTAACAGAATACCCTTAAGCATGGAGGGGCAGGTGATGGCCACACCTCCCCTCCCCCACACAAGGTCAAACAATGCCTAACCCCAACCCTAACAAAGCTGTGATTATTGCTACGAGGTAGGCGAAAACCAAGTGGCCAGTGCCAATTTGCCAAGTGGAAAAATTCCTACCAGGCCCCTCAGACAACCAAGGCGACCAACCGAAGTCCATAGCAAGGCCATTGCCTAACCTGCAAAATATGGAGGGAGGGTGGGTGATTGAGGAAGCGAGCCAAAGAGGAAGTCCTCTGGCCACGCCCCCCCAGCCAGCGGGTTGGCTGGCCGGGCTCTGACGTGGCCAGGATCCCCCAGGCAACGGGGGACAAGGTCCCCTGCCCCCGGTGGGGAGTGGGTGGCCACGCAGTCCACTGCAACTCCTCCCCACTGGGAAGTGGAGCGGATCTCTTGGAAATTGTAGCTCAATTTTAGAGGGAAAGAAGGGGAAGAGGTTAGCTGCCTCACTTCTACCTGCGCATGTGTTACTTTACAGTGGTACCTCTGGTTGTGAACAGGATCCGTTCCGGAGGCCTGTTCACAACATGAAAGGAACGCAACCTGCGCCTGCGCATCTGCGCACACGCAGGTCGCGATTCGCCACTTTTGCACATGACGTCCTTTTGCGCGTCTGCGCATGCGGGAGCGGTGAAACCTGGAAGTAACCCTTTCCGGTACTTCCGAGTTGCTGCAGGATGCAACCTGAAAAAAACGTAACATGAAGCAAACGTAACAAGAGGTATGACTGTATTGCCGATCTGCACTCGAAGCTGTAGAAGAAGCCAATATCCTTATGGTAAATATAGCCATGTGATTTCTAACGCAGGGCTTGATGTTTGGTTATGCCACCGATGAAACTGAGGAGTGCATGCCCCTAACTATCCTGCTTGCGCACAAACTTAACGCAAAGATTAAATCCCTGGAGAGAACTGGAGTTCTGCCCTGGCTTCGACCCGATGGGAAAACACAGGTTGGTATATACCGAGGACTGTCAAATATAATGAGCAGAGCTGAAGTCTGAAATAAGTGAGAAGTGCTTATGTCCCATTGAAATTACCCATTCGAATGCTCATGTGAACATGGTCAATGCTATGTTGAAGCTAGAATATTGTAAACAATCAACATATGGATAGAGTTCATCCCTAGCCCAGTGTAGATAACTGGCAGAGCCAAGTGGTATCAAGCTTTTGCTGGGCTCTGCAGCTTCACCCAACAAACTGTTCGTCTGTTTGAATCATACCCTATGAACATAAATCAAGCCCTGCTGGGTTAGGCCAGAGGTCCATCCTCCACTTCAGCATCCTGTTCTCAAAGCGGCCAAGGCAACTTCCTGTGTCCCAGCTAAAGTCACAGTGATCTGTGTGACTGCTGCTTTCTTTTCTGCAGGATAGAATGCTGATCCGATATCCTACCTGTAGATTGGGTTTAATAAACATTGCTTATCCTTTAGCTTCCACAGTCCATCAATCCTGACTACTACGGTAGTAAGCTAGCTGGTTAGGTAAAGGTAAAAGTAAAGTACCCTTGGACAGTTAATTCTAGTCAAAGGCAACTATGGGGTTGCAACGCTCATCTTGCTTTCAGGCCGAGGAAGCCGGCGTTTGTCCACCAACAGCTTTCCGGGTCGTGTGGCCAGCATGACTAAACCGCTTGTGGTGCAATGGAACAGAAACCAGAGCGCACGGAAACGCCGTTTACCTTCCCGCCACAGCGGCACCTATTTATCTACTTGCACTGGTATGCTTTCGAACTGCTAGGTTGGCAGGAGCTGGGAAAGAGAAATGGGAGCTCATTGCATCATGGGGATTCAAACCGCTGGCCTTCCAATCGGAGAGCCCAAGAGGCTCAGTGGTTTAGACCACAGCGCCACCTGCATCCCCTTTGCTAGCTGGTTAGCAGCAGGTGGATGAATCTTTCTTGATATACCAGGATAGCATTCTCTGCACAATATTCCAAGTAGTCGGTGGCTACTGACCTTGATGGCTGTGTTCTTCCTTCACTGCTGGAAGCAGTATTTTACTGAATATCAGTTTCTGGAAACTACAGGATGGGAGAGTGCTCTTGGTCCTCAGATCCTGCTTGCAGGAATTTGGTTAGCGACTGTGAGAACAGGATGCTGGACCAGATGGGTCATTGGCTGGATCCAGACACTCTTATTATCTTCTTATTGTCTATACCGATTCATGTCTGCATTGCAGTAAAAGGAAAATTAAAGTGACTAATAGAAAAGGTTCTATTGGGAGTTCGGTGGAACTTACTTTTTAGGATCAGGATGCAATAAAATAATGCAACATAAGATAGCGGAAGATAGATGAAAAACAAAACAGTAGCTCAGGCTTGTTCAGCAGAGTTGTATAAAGTGGCGGAAGCAAAAAATATAACTGTTTAAACCTACGGCCAATCTTGTAGGTCACGATGGAATACCGAGATGTCGGCGGTGCGCTGGAGCCAATCCGGGTGCACACCTTGGTCATTTCTGTACAACACGGTCCTGGGGTGCCATTGCAGAAAATACAGAAAGAGCTGATGGACAAAGTTGTGAAAGAAGTGGTTCCAGCAAAATACCTGGATGAAAACACAGTCTATCACCTCCTGCCGAGTAAAGCCTTTCTAGCAGGTGGTCCTAAGGTATTGTACCCTTAACCTCCAAACCTCTAGATATACAATAATGAGAGAGAGAGAGAAAGCATGAATCTGACTGGTTTTTCATTTGCCCTGCCTCTTTCTATGGGGAAACTGCTGTTTGCCGCTGAATCAGAACAAATGTCAATCTGCGGGGGGGGGGGGGGGGACATTTGCCAAAGCTAGTAAATGAGATAGAACACAACCCCAATGCAACAAACAAAGTACCGCAAGGTTACCAGGCTATTGCTTGATTTAAATCTTAAATTTCTACCCTTGTTTGTAGTTTCCCTTTAACCTGAGGCTGCTTAAAAAAGACATTTGTGCTCCAAACAGTTTGTGCGCGTGTGATACCACTGTTGTAGTGGAATCCTATACATGCCTCCTCAAAAGTGTGCCCTGTTGATTTATGTTTACACCTAGATAAGTGGGCATGGGATTGCAATCCCGGTGCCAGGCTTTTTACACTGCAATGACATATTGAAGCGGTTATGATCTTGAGAGATGAATTTGACACTCTTCTTGTTAGCAAAGTAAACATCCTGGTGATTTTTTTTATTTACTGTATTACTGCTCTATAAGACTCACTTTTTCCCTCGTGAAAAGTAAGGGGAAATGTGTGTGTGTCTTATGGAGCGAATGCAGGCTGCGCAGCTATCCCAGAAGCCAGAACAGCAAGAGGGATTCAGAATATTTTTTTTCTTGTTTTCCTCCTCCAAAAACTAGGTGCGTCTTATGGTCTGGTGCGTCTTATAGAGCGAAAAATGCAGTATTTAAAAAATGTATTTCTTTTCTTTTCAGTCTGATGCTGGCCTGACTGGCAGAAAGATCATTGTGGATACCTATGGAGGCTGGGGTGCTCATGGAGGGGGTGCTTTTTCGGGGAAAGATCCCTCCAAAGTTGATCGTTCAGGAGCCTATGCAGCTCGCTGGGTGGCAAAGTCCCTGGTGAAAGCAGGCCTTTGCAGGAGAGTATTGGTGCAGGTAAGAGGGGGCGAGTGCAGCCTTGGAGCAAATGTGGGGGAATTGCACAACAGAGATGAAACCCAGTATGTTTGGAGGAAAGCCTTTATGCTGAGTGCTGCTTGATTAAAAACTGCTTGGGACAATTCTGCACCGCGGGTAACCTTAGGTGGTGTACACACTGCCGTTTACTCTGCATCCAGTGAGCTCTTACCAGTCGTTTGGGAAGCGGTAAAAGGTAAAGGTAAAGGGACCCCTGACCATTAGGTCCAGTCGTGACCGACTCTGGGGTTGCGGCGCTCATCTCGCTTTATTGGATGAGGGAGCCGGCATACAGCTTCCGGGTCATGTGGCCAGCATGACTAAGCCGCTTCTGGCGAACCAGAGCAGCGCACGGAAATGCTGTTTACCTTCCTGCCAGAGCAGTACCTATTTATCTACTTGCACTTTGACGTGCTTTCGAACTGCTAGGTTGGCAGGAGCAGGAACCGAGCAACGGGCGCTCACCCTGTCGCGGAGATTTGAACTGCCGACCTTCTGATCGGCAAGCCCTAGGCTCTGTGGTTTAACCCACAGCGCCACCTGGTACAGCCATTCATATCTATCTTGTTGTTTCTTACTAAGTGCTGCTTTTCTGATCTGTTGTTCCCAAAACCAAATTTGATCTGAGCTGAGAAAAAGCATGACCTAATGCTGTTTTAAGCCAGCAATGTGTGCACAGCCTAAGTCTCGTTAGAGGAGATAGTGAAAAACTGTCCTAGGCTGTCTTTATTGAGTAGCACCAAATCTTTCCCTTGATAGAGTTGGCTTGAAACATTCGAAGAACTCTGTTTGCAACTTTCCTCCCCTTGGATTTTTCTATAGCTGTTACTGATTTTCTATTTGCGAATCAAGGTTATCTTCCAGGCAGCATCCTTAGTCAATGGGAACCATTGCGATGTTACAAATGCTGCGTTTATTGTGGACATTTTTTCAACTGTGTGATAAACAACAGGGGTTAATTGCATTCATAAAATGTATTAATTTTATGGGGGTGTGGGTACCTAAGTACATAACTGCTGTGCCTCATGTTGGTACTATGGATAGCACAGATTATACCAGTGTTTCCTCAAATCCCCTAATTACTAGGGGATCCCTTTTCTGAATGAAACTTGCGAGAGATGCTTCACACTTGCATCCAAAGTGGTTTAAAAAGAGTCAGTGTGGTGTGGTGGAGAGAAGGTGTTGGACTTAGACAAGGGCGACCCCGGTTCAGGTATCCACTGATAAAGTAAACCAGGAACAGATCCCAAGCTGTAATGCTATCAGTTCATATGAACTCAAATGCTCTTTAGCTACAGTGAACTTATATATCCTTCAGCTGTCTTACGCGATTGGATTGAGTCACCCACTGGCCATCTCGGTGTTCCATTACGGTACTTCGGACAAATCAGAAGATGAGCTGCTGGATATCATTCAGAAGAACTTTGACCTTCGCCTTGGGCCAATCATAAGGTTTGTCCTTTTAAAAATGGATCTTTGGATGCCTACGGTAAAGTTTTCCCTTCAGATGAGAGACCAAGAATGTGTCCTCGCCTTAAGAGTGCACCCAGTGGATTTCTCACTTTGAAGAGAGGTCAGGATTCAACCCGCCACAAGAGTTTGCTTGGGGATTCTTTAGATAGCGTTTGTTAGTCCCGTGCTACACCTGGTGGGCTCAGCCCAACTTAGAAGAGAGGACCCCTAAGAGCTCTAAACTAATCAGGAAAACCTTCTAGAACCTAAGTTCCATTCTTATCTCAGATGGTTGGAATAAAATGGTCTGAAATGATGGAGCGTTTGTCCCTACTACCATCATCCAGTCCATTTATCTGAATGGAACGGAACTCCCTTCTGTTTATTCTAGTCATATGTGAGGAAAAGGTAAAAGAGCTCGCCATCTGAAAAACCCTTAAGGAAGAAGGTTAAAAGTAAAAAAAACCCTACTTGACTCATTCAAGATGTGGTGTTGTCTGCCTTCATTCATCCCATCCCATCCCAATCAGGACATCTGAAGCTTCAGCAATGAAACAGTTTAGACAGAGCTTACATAGAAGCTGGGGGTTCCACCCATTCCTACCTCTCAGACAGGCCCTGATCTGAGCAGGTCCTTCCACACTGTTCCCCTTTCTTCTGAGTAGCCTCATGTGAAGTGTGGTGGCTCTGAAGCCACTTAGGATTTCTCTGCTAGTCTTGTGAGATAACAGAAATGTTTTCTTTGCCTACAGAGAACTGAACTTGAAGAGTCCCATTTATCAACAGACTGCATGCTACGGGCATTTTGGAAGAGAAGAATTTACATGGGAACAACCTAAAAAGCTGGTTTACTAGTTATGGGTTGCTTCCAGATTGGCATTTATTGTGGAATACAACAAATTACTCACAGTATCCACACAACATTGTTGGCATCAAAATGCAGCCTGTATTCATCCCTGCATTGAATCTGGGTTTACCCTTTTCAGAAAAACCAGATTATGGTTTTAAAAAATGTTGACTCTCAAAAAGAAGGGGGGCAAGGTTTGAAAGAAGGCAATCAAATCTAAAATGTCCAGAGGAATAAAATGTGAAGTTTCTGCGAATAAGTCATTTTATAAGCTTTTAAATATAACTTCATTACTTTTCTGTGCCTCGTTGATTTTTATTAGGGTAATGGTTTGAAAGTAGAACAGGTCCCGGGGTGCAGTATGAAAGAACAAAAGTTCACCACCTTACTGAAGCTAAGCAGGTCTGGGGGTGGTTTGTGTCTGGATGGGCGACTGTCTGGGAACTGCATGTACATTGCCATGGGTTCCATGACAGAAGAAAGGTGGAATAGGAATATAAGAAAATAAAATTATGTGTGTTTGTGTGTGTGTGTAGGTAGGTAAGGTAAAGGTAAAGGGACCCCTGACCATTAGGTCCAGTCGTGACCAACTCTGGGGTTGTGGCACTCATCTCGCTTTATTGGCCGAGGGAGCCGGCGTACAGCTTCCAGGTCATGTGGCCAGCATGACTAAGCTGCTTCTGGTGAACCAGAGCAGCACACGGAAACACCGTTTACCTTCCCGCCGGAGCGGTACCTATTTATCTACTTGCACTTTGACGTACTTTCGAACTGCTAGGTTGGCAGGAGCAGGGACCGAGCAACAGGAGCTCACTCTGTTGTGGGGATTCGAACCACCGACCTTCGGATTGGCAAGTCCTAGGCTCTGTGGTTTAACCCACAGCGCCACCCACATCCCGGACAGCGCCACCCACGTCCCGTGTAGGTAGGTACAATGAGGCAAAGCAGTATAGATGCTTGTTTGAAGTGTATACTCATGAAAGAAAAAGCAGCTGGAGGAGGGCAAGTTAAATCAGGAAATTTTACCTATACCCACTCTTTCACCACCAGTTCTCCAGGCAAACCAACAGGCTTATGAAGAATGGGCAAACACAGTCCATGCATTCCTTCTTTTCTGCAGCAGAAGTCTTTTGTCTGGAATTTTAAAAAGATAAGCCAAATCGTTTTTCCGATTCAGCTAACGGGGATAGTTGTAGAGCAGGACTAACACGAAGTACCGGTAGTCCTCTTTGGGTTGGGTTCAGGAGCCACAGATTCCCTATTTGTTTTACACCTGACACCAAGAGAAGTTTGCCTTGGAACACAGAATCATAGAACTGTAGAGTTGGGAGGGACCACGAGGGTCATCTAGTCCAGCCCGCTGCAATGCAGGAATCTTTTGCCCAATGGGGGCCTCAAACCCATGACCCTGGTATTAAGAGTCTTGTATGCATTTCTTTTCTCAAGGGGAGTGAAGTTTTTGTTTTGCTTAATAACTATGGGTGAAATGGTTTCTGGTCTCTGATCATGCCTAAAATGACTTTCTTTTGCAAAAGAAAATATTCCCTGTTCAAAGGGGAATTTGGGCAAGTCTTATACAGTAACCTGTTTTCTTGCACCAGGAGCAGTGGAAGAACTCACCTAGGAAGCTACCTTACAACAGGTTGAATCATTTGTCCATCAAACCCCATATTTCTTAGTCTGATTGACAGCAGCTCTTTGGGGTCTCGTCCAGTGTTGTTTACATTGCCTACTATGTAATCCTTTTAACAGCAGGTGCCAGGGACTGGGCCTGATAACTTTTGCTTGCTAATCATATACTGTACTAGAATTAGGCTACAACCCCTCATCTCTCTTAGCCTGCTGCAGTAAGATATCTAAGTGGCTGAAAGATTGCCCGAGGCAGGATGTTAAGTGGTAACTCTTTGGAAAGAAACAAACTACATTGCACTCAAAATGTTTGATCAGGACTGCAGTCATGGTAAAGGTAAAGTAAAGGTAAAGGGACCCCTGAGCATTAGGTCCAGTTGTGACTGACTCTGGGGTTGCGGCGCTCATCTCGCTTTATTGGCCGAGGGAGCTGGCGTACAGCTTCCGGGTCATGTGGCCAGCATGACTAAGCCGCTTCTGGCGAACCAGAGCAACGCACAGAAACGCCGTATACCTTCCTGTCGGAGCCGTACCTATTTATCTACTTGCAGTTTGACATGCTTTTGAACTGCTAGGTTGACAGGAGCAGGGACTGAGCAACGGGAGCTCACCCCGTCGTGGGGATTCGAACCGCAGACCTTCTGATTAGCAAGTCCTAGGCTCTGTGGTTTAACCCACAGCGCCACCCGTGTCCCACAGTCATGGTACGTCAGCACAAAATATCACTGAAGTGCTCTGTTTGAGTTTATTGGTATTTTATATTAATTTGGAATCACAAGATGCAGTCACTGGCACTAGCTTAGCTGGCTTTTTAGAAGAATTAGAACAATTCATAGAGAAGAATAGGTTTGGCAACCCTTGTTGGCATGATACCCAAATGGATACCCTTTGTTCAGTGCCAGTGTACCTCAGAATACCCCATACCCGATACGGGATGTGGCCATGACATTTTTGTCCTGCTTGTGAACATGCAGGGGTATCTAGCTGGCGGCTGGAACCAGAAAAATGAAATAGACGGGGCAATTCATCCAAACCAGCGAAGCTATTCTTAGGGCTGCTATCTTATGCACGCTTACTGGGGGTGTAAACCTATTGAAATCAATAGGACTTCCTTCCGCAAAAAGCAAGCACAGTAGTGGGCTGCAGGTAAGGAAGCTTATGACGGGGTCCTTGAATATTACAGAAGCCCTCTGAGTACAGGGGTCAGCAAACTTTTTCAGCAGGGGGCCGGTCCACTGTCCCTCAGACCTTGTGGGGGGCCGGACTATATTTTGGGGGGGAAATGAATGAATTCCTATGCCCCACAAATAACCCAGAGGTGCATTTTAAATAAAAGCACACGTTCTACTCATGTAAAAACACGCTGATTCCTGGACCGTCCGCGGGCCGGAATTAGAAGGCGATTGGGCTGAATCCGGCCCCCGGCCCTTAGTTTGCCTCCCCATGCTCTGAGTATATGCGATTGCATCATCAGAATTGCAGCACTTCGTCATCGGTTGCAGCAAGAGCTACAGGATACACCAAGCGTGGGCGCGGCAAATACCAGAGCAAGCCGGCAGCACAGATAGGAAGCTAATTCGAACTCTGGAAGAAGGCGGGGCGATGGGCGTGGCTAGGGCGCCAGAAGCCGGCTTGCGTTCTGGCGGAAGAGGCGCTTTTCGTGACATAGGGACCATAGACTCGAAAATCAAGAATGACAACTTCGTGTACAGAGGGGACGACTTTTATTGTAATGCAACCCCAGCGTAATACAACAGCCTGGCTTGCCAGTAGTACATATGAAAGTGATCTAGCGCCGGAGTCCTAGTATACCACAAGCTTTTCCCCCCAATTTTTTAAAATTAATTTTCCAAATTTACAAAAGAAATAACATACAAAACACAAAAAAGAAAACACATTACAATACTAAAGAGAAAAACAAAAAACAAATAAAAACACTTATTAATTCTAACCTAATTTAACTTTCATTGTTAATTGACTTCCTCGAATCCCCCCTAACTGAATTTCATTGTATAGTATACCACAAGCTTTGCATGAGTCCACAGTGTGATACAGCAGCAAAAAAAAAAAGTAAATGCTGTTTTAGACTGCATCAATGGAAGTACAGTGGTACCTCGGGTTACATACGCTTCATGTTACAGACTCTGCTAACAGACTCTGGGTTAAACCACAGAACCTAGGACTTGCCGATCAGAAGGTCGGCGGTTCGAATCCCCGTGACAGGGGGAGCTCCCGTTGCTTGGTCCCTACTCCTGCCAACCTAGCAGTTCGAAAGCACATCAAAGTGCTTCCACCGGGAAGGTAAACCGGGAAGGTAAGCGTTTCCGTGTGCTGCTCTGGTTTGCCAGGGTCATGCTGGCCACATGACCTGGAAGCTGTATGCCGGCTCCCTCGGCCAATAAAGCGAGATGAGCGCCGCAACCCCAGAGTCGGTCACGACTGGACCTAATGGTCAGGGGTCCCTTTACCTTTACCTTTTTACCTCATGTTATGTTTCCTTCATGTTATGTTCTTTCAGGTTACATCCTGCGGTGACCCAGAAGTACCGGAAAGGGTTACTTCCGGGTTTTGCCGCTTGTGTATGCGCAGAAGCACAAAATGACGTCACACACATGCGCAGAAGTGCCGAATCGCAACATGCGCATGCGCAGATGCGCAGCTGTGGGTTGCACTCTTTTCATGTTGCGAACGGGCCTCCGGAACAAATCCCATTTGCAAACAGAGGTACCACTGTATATTGGGCACAGGGCCCTCCGACCCAGGAGGCAAGGTTCCATAGTACTGGCAGATCCCAATGCAGAGCTTTTATCCCTGCCCCCCCTTCCTGTTGTAGATCTTTGCTCCCCCTTCTTTCCTGGTGGGGAGGGCAGGTCATCATTTTGCGGTTCGCCTCTGGTGCCGAAAAGTCTTGGACCGTGGACTCCTTGAATAAACATCCACAAATTTATTAGTTGAACACATGACAGATGAGGCAATGATATGTACAATTTTATAACATGCAGAGAACAATATGTGCAAGGAAATCAGAGAGGGGAGCTGAGGGAAGTCCTTGTTGGGGGTGGAGAGGGAGGGATGGGGGGAAATAATGCAATTGATTATTTGGATTTTTAATTTGGTATGTTGAAAGTGTTTAATGTTGCTGTTGTTTAGTCGTTTAGTCATGTCTGACTCTTCGTGACCCCATGGACCAGAGCACACCAGGCACTCATGTCTTCCACTGTTTCCCACAGTTTGGTCAAACTCATGCTGGTAGCTTCCAGAACACTGTCCAACCATCTATCTCGTCCTCTGTCGTCCCCTTCTCCTTGTGCCCAAAGTATTGGAGCCTCAGCTTCATCATCTGTCCTTCCAGTGAGCACTCAGGGCTGATTTCCTTAAGAATGGAGAGGTTTGATCTTCTTGCAGTCCATGGGACTCTCAAGAGTCTCCTCCAGCACCAGAATTCAAAAGCATCAATTCTTCGGCGATCAGCCTTCTTTATAAAAATTATTAAAAAAGAAAAGTCTTGGGCCGGCCCTGTGTGAGGCTCGCTTGGCCCCCGAGGAGCCCGGGCAAACGGCGACGCGGCCCCCGTTGGTGCTGCTTTCAACTCGGTGCCCGGAATCAGGTAGCGCGCCGACCGCTCTTCGACTTTCTCTCTCTATAACCCCCTGCCCACGCGCGGAGGAGGGGAAATCTCCCCTGGAGCTGTGGGGCGGAGCTAGGAGGCGAATGTAGGCGGGGCGAGCGCGTTCGCCCCTCCTCCTCCTCCGACGAGCGTCGTTGGCGGAAACGGGTTTCGGCAATGGGCTGAGGGAGAGGAGGGAGGCGGGGGCGGCGGGGAGTACGGTGGCCGCGGAGGGTCAGGATTGGCGCTGGTGAAGCGGCAGGAGCGGGAGCGGCCGAAGGAACCGGCCTGGCGATCTGCTTGGTCCTGGGAGCGCCAGTCCCCGGCTACTGCTGCTGCGCCGGGCGGAGTTGGCCATGTCGCTGCTGCAGTCGGCGCTGGAGTTCCTGGCGGGGCCCGGCTCCCTGGGGGCCGCCAGCCGGGACCAGAACGACTTCGTGGGGCAGGTGGTGGAGATGGGCGAGATGAAGCTGCGGATCAAGAAGGTCATCGCCGAAGGTGGGCGGGCGAGGCGGGGCGGGCGGGGGGCCCTTCGGGGGCGCCGGGGGGCGATCTCGGGGGCTGGGGGGGCAGAGTGAGGTGGTGACCCCCAGGTGCTTTCTCGGCACCCCCTTTCCCCCCACCCCTTTCCCCCTTCAACAGCCTCTTCCTCGTCTCTCTCCCTCCCACTCCTCATTTTATTAATTACAGTGAACGCCTTAGAAATACCCAACCTAAGGCAGGAAATCGGTGAAAAACAAACAATAAAATCAATAGTTTAAGAAGTAAGTCAACTCCCACACCTGATTTGTTACCTTTCTCTTCCTGTTTTTTTCTTATTAATAATTATAATACTAAAATCAGGCACTGTACAGCAATGGAGAACGAAACAGGCCCTCCCAGCAGGCTGCGAATCTAAAGTTTGGCAGGAATGGAAAGTAAAAGGGAAGGAGGGTCTTTCAGGTGCAGGAAGGTAGGGCTGGTAATTGCCACTCACAAAAGCTCCAATGTTCAGTGGCCGAAACTCTTCCCAGCAGGGGCATAAAATGGTGGGCAGAGTCTCATCCGGCTAGGATCAGGGCCCAGTAAGTAAGGTGGCAATTTTCTGTCAGTTGTTTGGTGTCAACATATTACAACTTAATTCCCTGACAACTTAATTATAACAGCTTAATTCTCTTCTGGAATTTGCCTTCCCATTTCCATTATTAAGGAGCTGTTACTGTTTTACAGAGCTCCATAAAGGTTTGCCAACTTCCTTTTTCTGGCCAGGACTCCTCTGTCTCCAGGAGCTGTTTGACAAGATCTGTATCTGGCGAAGCCTTTGCTGCATGGAGCTAAACACTGGGGGGAACTTGGCTATTTGTGTGCTTCATGTTGCTGTTGAAGACAGACTGAATCATACCAACTAGGATAGTTATGTGGTAGATCCCCCACCCCCGTTGAATGGTTGTGGGTAAAGTGAAGAGAGGGCCCTAGATACTGGGGTTGGTTTAGCTTAGCTAACACAGACCATCACTGGTGTAATTTGGAGCTACCTTTATGTACAAGTCTCCATGTACAAGTGATGTGTTTAGGTTTGGAAGATACAACATTCAGAAGTTTCCATGCAATATGCACACAGGACAAGTGTCATGTCTACACGTCTGGAAGCTTCTGCTTGTTGTGAATTCCAAACCCAAATGAGTATAGTATGTAAAGCATTTGAGTAACTTTGACACATACGTCAGATGCGTGTGTTTCCCTACACCTATAGAGGGGTAAAAGCTGCCTGTACATCCTTCCTCTTATATTTGTGGTGACGTAGAGAACATTATACAGCAGGGGTCAGCAAATATTTTCAGCCAGGGGCTGTCCACTGTCCCTCAGACCTTGTGGGGGGCCAGACTATTTTTTTTGGGGGGGAGGGGCTGACTCAAGAGCACCATGAGCCCCGGTGGCTGCTTGCCTATGTCTTTGTGAGCAGCAGGGGGTGGCGGGATGATGAGCGGTGCGCGAAAGGGCTTCGGAGAGGGGCTGCTTTAAATGGCAGCCGCTCGAGTTCTGCTACTGCTGGCACCAACAAAGTCCAGCCCCCTTCCTCCTCTAGGCAGGGCGGGGAAAAGCCAGGAGGAGGGAGGGAGGAGGTGCTGCCGCTGCCACCTGCGAGGGAGAGGGAAGGAGAAGGAAAGAATGCCTGCCCACTGGCGATCCACGTGGCGATTCCCGGACAGTCCGTGGGCCGGATCCAGAAGGCAATTGGGCCTGAACCGACCCGCGGGCCTTAGTTTGCTGACCCATGTTATACAGTATCTGTGTCACCCTGTAGCATTGCTGTTTCTGTTTCAGCGTTGGTAGTAGCAACTGTGAACCTAGCTCTCTCTGAATTGGAGGTCTCCTGAATAATTAACTCAGTTTTGTGTTTGTCCCTGTGTAAATGTATATACAAGATGGTTAGCTGCAGACTTCTTCCCTGAAGAAGAGGTTGCAGAGATGTCATAGTTTCCTGAAGTGCTTTTATTCATGTTGGGGGAAACTGGATGTTTTGTTTCTTCCCACAAGCGTGTTGGTTTTGATAGCGAATGCTGTGGGGCATGTTTGCATTGCAATTTCCTTCTGGATGACTGTGACATCATAAGTGACTCATGATACAACTCTGCTGTACCATGTTCTGCCAGTTTTGAAGTTAAAAATTTGCATTTTAAAGGCTTGGCTCTCGCTACTTAAATATGGCAATGCCCTCCACTAAAAAGTACGCAAGCAAGGTTGGCATCTTTCACCGGTTCACGAATGATTCTTTTTTTATTAAGTTTTTCAGAAACTCTCTGCTCTTTCTTTCCAGTAGTGACACATCTGCCTCTTTCCTCCTGTCCTCTCCTGCTGCTTTTTTGAAAAAAAAAAAGACAAAGGTGATCCTCACCTCCATTATACCTGGAAGAGAACCTGTACGGTTACCTTTCTGCCAGCTTGAACAGAACAACCCAGCAAATATGTGGTTGGAGCAAGCTTTAAATATTTGGATAAACTCTACAGCGTATTCTGCGCTGCTGGTCAAGTTGCCTGCTTGTGCGTTTGGGCATAGATTTGTGAAGATAGCCCTGTAAAAGTGAACTGAGCCAAGTGTCTCGGACTGTTAAGCAGGAGAAGTGTCAGTTAACTATTAATGATGTTGAAGACGGCTGGTGCCACTTTGCAAGCATTATAGCGCAAACCATATATTTTGGCCTTTGCACAGCAGAAGCAATGCCTCTGGTCGAGTTGTAGGCATAGGCAACATGGGATCTCTCTAGCTTCATGTGACTAGATGCAGGTTCTCATTCTCATTTGTGTCAAAATAGATCAGTGCAGTCAGGGATATGCCTCCAGAAGTGCTTTTGAACACACATCTGCAGTGTCGGTAGAAGACACTTCATTCATGTGACTATCTCTCACTCTGCTGGGGGTGATTTATGTTTCATAAGTTTGGCAGTTTGCAGTTTTGAAAGTCAGTTTTGCTTTTGTTGATAGTAGGTATGTTTCCCGATCCGAATTAGACTGGACTAAAGCAGAAGTGAATAAATAAGAGTGGTGTCGGATTTCTAATCCGACATTGAAGTTCTTGCTCTCTTGTCTTTGATTTTTAACTAGGACACTAAAAACTGAGATGTCCTTCTAATGTATACTTAAAGACATAACTGTATATGCCTTTCTGATTCACAGAAAGGAAAGCGTGGCTTTATACCGCAGTCACGCTAGTTCACATGATAGTCATATGTTAAGACATGCGCCTTTAGAATATTATTTTGTAGGTATTTGCCCAGCTTTTGGGTCCCTTTTCCTTTTGGCTTGCTCTTCCTGGAAAAGTTGCATAGCAGTTCTGTTAGAAGCTTCAGTCCTGTTCTGAGAAACCAGGCTCTACTACAGAAACAAACATAAATTGGGAAATTTCAGTTTCATAATTCAGTAGCTTCCAGGGAACTCAGGGGTTATCTGTAAGTGTATGAGGGATTCATTGATGGGAAGATTCGTAATGGTAAACTGTCTCTCCCTCCACTACTGATCTTATCTTACAGTGCAAAGCCACAGGTGTGTGTTGGGTGTAGCTTGTGATGCCCTTTCAATTCATGCAGGTTATTATTGAAGTTCCACATCCCTGGCTGATTGTTCCACCAGAACTGTGTATATACACCTTGGAACAAGAATGGGCAGATGGCACCATGGAGATTTGCAAGTCTCCCCCAAAGTGTCTATACCTGTTCACCTGCTCCGATTTTCACCCAAATTGTGATAAAATGTTCGTTTACGGTTTCATTCATAACTTCTTTTCAGATTGTAAAGACCCAAAGACAGAGACTCAGTTTCACGAAAGGCAACAGTCGCACAAGATAGCTGCGCAAGTTAGTGCGATTCCTAGGGCGTTTAGAAAACTCTTTTTATAATGGAAGGAAATGCCTACATTTCTTAATTAAAAAAAAATGCTTGGAACAAACGGTTGCATTGCGGCACCCCAAAGCAAATGCAAAAATGTTATTTCAGGATCACCTTGCATTAAGCAGTGTAGACACTTTCCCTGTAATAAAGCATTTTTTAGAAATGTGTTGGGAATCATACCACTTTTTACAGTTCTCTTTGTATTTTGTATAGCAGGTAAAGTCTACGCTTAACAATAGCATCATTTTAGGGATTGTAGGCAATTATGGAGATATGTCTGAGCAAGTGCAACAGGTTGGGTGGCACGTAGATGAGTGAAAAATAGACAGTGGAGTGAAATGGTACTCTCATCCTACAGTACAGCTTATTCATTGTAAAAGTGGGCAGTTGGCCCCCTCTCTATAAATGAAAAAGAAGGGTGTTACTGTGAGGAGGAACGGGGTTAGCTGAGAGCTCACTGATTTTCTTTAATAAAGACTTAAATGCAGAATATCGCTGGTGTAGCACAACATTTCTTGCAGTGTTTTGGTCTGTCTTAGTTTTCTGACGTGCTGTTTGAATGATCTCCCACATAGAAACTGCTTGCATCCAATAAGATAGCACACGAGGGAGAGAGGCTTAGGATAGCTCTATCTCTGATATAATAATTTATTGAATGTAGGAAGCTTCACATGTATATTTAGGTTCCTCTACCCCGCGGTATAAAGTGAAAACGCCCAGGATTCTATGATTTTGTTGTGTGTCAGGTGTAGAGCCGTGCTAAAGGTATCGAAATAATGGTGAGTCATGAACATAAAGGTTGGGTGTGAATGTCAGCTTGTCAGTGTCACTCTTCCAGATGTGACGTGACAAGATAAGAAGACTGAAAGACATTATTTCTTCTGGCAGAGCTGTTTGAGCTGCTGCTCCCCATCCCAGTATGGCAGCCAGAGGAATAATCATGCTTGCCATTTAGAAAATGGCTTATTTAGAGAAGTAGCTGACACGATCCTCTTAACATTGCAGTTAGGAAATCTTAAAAAGTAGAATGCAAAATAATAGAGGTTTTTTTTTAAAAAAATACCCGTCCACAAAACTTCTCTAATTCATGCAAGAGCTAGCACTCCAACTGAATTGTCTCTGGTTTGATATGTTGTTTTTGTTAATTGAATTTATATACCGCTTTATACGGGACGCGGGTGGCGCTGTGGGTTAAACCACAGAGCCTAGGACTTGCCGATCAGAAGATCGGTGGTTCAAATCCCCGCGACAGGGTGAGCTCCCGTTGCTCGGTCCCAGCTCCTGCCAACCTAGCAGTTCGAAAGCACGTCAAAGTGCAAGTAGATAAATAGGTACCGCTCCGGCGGGAAGGTAAACGGCGTTTCTGTGCGCTGCTCTGGTTCACCAGAAGCGGCTTAGTCCTGCTGGCCACATGACCCGGAAGCTGTATGCTGGCTCCCTCGGCCAATAAAGCGAGATGAGCGCCGCAACCCCAGAGCCGGCCATGACTGGACCTAATGGTCAGGGGTCCCTTTACCTTTACTGCTCTATACTCAGGGCGGTTCACAGAATAAAATTAAGACATAAAACCACAAAATACTTAATAAAAACTAAACAACAACCCAATAGCTCCCCCCACCCCAAAGTACATTTTAAAAGGGCATAGGATGTAAATCGGATCAACCAAAGGCCTGGTTTTTGCCTGGTGCCTAAAGGTGTATAGTGAAGGCGCCAGGCAAATTTCCCTGGGGAGAGCATATGTTAAAATATTCCTTGGAAACGGGCTTGCACGTTTTATAAAAGGGTGACATTTTAAAAATCAGCGATGGAGAATATAAAAATGTCTCACCCCTGCTAACTTTATGGTGAGTTACTGTGGTAGTTATCATTGGGTTTCATTTTGGAAAGTTCAGATAGGCACAATGCAGATGTAATGCTTCTGGTCTCCATCCTTTGAGCTGGCCACATGTTTTGTCTCTTCACTTCCCAGGCCTCTCTTATGCTTTCAGATTCCCCCTCCCTTTCTCCACAATGACCATAGCCAGATTCCGTCCTAGCCATGGTTATCATTAACCAGGGTTTGCAAACCACCTTCAAACCGTGGTTACCATGGAATGCTGGTTAATGTTAGTTAACCATTGGTAAGGCTGATGCAGATGTAACTCTTTAACCACGATTAAGACTGTCACAGAAAGGAGAGGAATCAGAAGCGAGAAGGGTGCTTGTGTTCATTTGTCTTTAGATACATCTGCATTGTGAACAGGGTGGTGTTTTAAAACATTCCCTCAAGCTATGTGGGTTCATTGAGACCAATGTGTTGGGGTTCCTAAGAAGTATCTGTGGTCTGCTATATCTCTGACTCGCAATTTGTGTCAAGCTGTTTGGCTTACTATCTTACTGATGAGTTCTGAGAAGTTTTTGCCGCTTTCCATCTCCAGATCTTTTAGGGGAGGCCTATGAAATGTTGATGCTTTCATGTAGCTGTAATTGCCTTCCACTAAGTCTTGGGAAAAACAAAAACAAAAACAGAGACATCACCTTGCCAACAAAGGTCCATATAGTTAAAGCTATGGTTTACCAGTAGTGATGTATGGAAGTGAGAGCTGGACCATAAAGAAGGCTGATCGCTGAAGAATTGATGCTTTTGAATTATGGTGTTGGAGGAGACTATTGAGAGTCCCATGGACTGCAAGAGGATCAAACCTATCCATTCTTAAGGAAATCAGCCCTGAGTGCTCACTGGAAGGACAGATCCTGAAGCTGAGGCTCCAATACTTTGGCCACCTCATGAGAAGAGAAGACTCCCTGGAAAAGACCCTGATGTTGGGAAAGATGGAGGGCACAAGGAGAAGGGGATGACAGAGGACGAGATGGTTGGACAGTGTTCTCGAAGCTACCAGCATGAGTTTGACCAAACTGCGGGAGGCAGTGGAAGACAGGAGTGCCTGGTGTGCTCTGGTCCATGGGGTCACGAAGAGTCGGACATGACTAAACAACTAAACAACAACAACAAAGTCTTGGAAAGATATGGACAAAAATTTAGAGGAGGAAATTGGTAGAAAAGGGCATTGAACTGTGCAGGAAGCAAAGGCTATAATAGAGGTTGGAGACCTGTGGCTTTTCAGATGTTCCTGAACTACAAATCTCAACTCCCACCATCCCTGACCATTGGCCATGTTGTCTGGGGCTGATGGGAGTTTGGCACTATCTATTATTATTATTATTATTATTATTATTATTATTCCACCCTTCACCTGAAGTTCATAGGACCAAAAGTTTTCCCTACACTTAGGCTGTAACTTTAAACTTATCTCTGCTTTGAGTCCTCCTTCAAGCATTTCCATCACAAATTCCCAAGATTATTTGGAGAAAAAATATTATTATTAAAGTGGTGTAACACTCCCCAAACACACAGATGAGTCTTTAATTTGGTTACGCTTTTAGAAACTTAGATCTGACTGCTGCTGTCAGAATCTAGTAATTTTTCGAAATTCTAAGAACTCTTGTTGCTCATTACAGTGGTGCCTCGCAAGACGAAATTAATCCGTTCCGCGAGAGTCTTCGTCTAGCGGTTTTTTCGTCTTGCGAAGCAACCCTATTAGCGGCTTAACGGATTAGCGCTATTAGCGGTTTAGCGGCTATTAAAGGCTTAAAGGCTTAGCGGATTAGCTGCTAAAAGGCTATTAAAGGCTATTAAAGGCTTAGCAGGTTAGATAAAGGGGCGAAAGCGAAAAAAATCTCAAGACTTGCAAGACATTTTCGTCTTGCGAAGCAAGCCCATAGGGAAATTCGTCCTGCGAAGCAACTCAAAAACGGAAAACCCTTTCGTCTAGCGGGTTTTCCGTCTTGCGAGGCATTCGTCTTGCGGGGCACCACTGTATCTCAGAAATCCTGAAGCTTTACCAAGTACATGGTGTTTACATTGCAAGTGGATATTTTCCCAGTCTTAAAAGAGAAAAGGCAGGAAGTTGACTGGCAGAGAATTTTTTAAGGCTCTGTTCAGGATGAGGGAATTGATTCTTGATATGCAAATGCCCTAGTGGGCCAGGCTTCAAAGGATGTGACTCGGACAGTAAGGTGTGCCAGGAACACAGCAATTAGTGAAGTATGCCTAAATGATAGTGCATTTCATCTTTCCGGTGATGTATAAAATGTCAAGGAACTACAATGGAAGACACAGCAAAGTGGATTGCAATAGCAAGCCAGCGTGCCATAGAAACCTAGACCTTAATATGCCTTCTGGAATCTTTGGTTTGTTAGCAAGTGCTGGAGAATCCTTTTTCTGCCTGTCAAAGTCCACTGAAGCATCAAGTTTGCAGTGGTTTGCAGCCAGATGCTTCTGGGAAGCTCACAAATGGGGCAATTGCCATCCACTGTTGATGATTCAACTGCCTCTAATGTCCAGAGCTACACATTTCTCATCCTATAGCCCCCAATTAGCAGTCATGGTGGATATGTCTGTCACAGGCTTCTCTCTGTGAATTTGTATAATTTTTTAAACATATTTTTAATTGAAAATTTAATTCTACGCTAATGGCAAATACTGTGGCTATAATTTCCACAAGCTAGTTACGACTTGTGTAAAATAGGTTTAGGATCAATAAATATTCACAACATTCTTTTTTTTAATGGGAGGTCCCAAATTCTAGCATTATATGAAGTAGAGAATTCAGATTGCGCTAACCATCCAGGCGCACTTAAACTTGACAGAAGCCCACAGTCTCTGCAGAATGGGGGTAAAGTGTCTTTTTTTAAAAACAGCTGTTTTGGATTTGTGTATGTCTGAGACTTTTTGAAATTTGTACATTATTATGGCTTCTTTTACTGACCCTAGAATCTTTGAGCTGTGATCCTGTCTTTACAGTAGAGAATCTTTACAATATCAATATGAATCTTTCTGTAACTGCATCCCAGCCCAATAGATACTTGGGAAAGGAATTGGAATTATTCATTGGGGAGGAAGTTGCTGGCACAATAATTTAAATAGCGTAGATCCCACATTGCAGTGTTCTTGGTGTTGGCTTGTTACATTAGACCGAACTTGAACGCTTGCTTGAATAAGAAGTATTAGTTTAAACTGTTTTACCTAAGCCTCTTTATATCTCCACATTCTTCGGTTTTAAGCTTCTTGGCATACTAAAAAATGTTGGAACCTGAAGTGCCTTTGAATAACAGTGAGGAATAATGTAGTTTCTACATTATGAGATTCTAACACTGTCCTCACAAACCATTGCAATCCGTTTATGTGAACATTGTGGGGACCAGAAAATTTGTCTTGCGGTGATGACATAAAACACAGAGAAGAAGCCATTAAAACAATGCTGTTCCACGAGTGGATTTAAGAATATGTATGAAGTAACCTCCAAGCTGTTCTGAGCCCTGTTCAAGTAGCTTCTTTTTTTCCGTGAGAATAATTTGTATTGTTTTGAAAAATATAAATAAATTCTCCCACCCACCCATCCACTTCCCCAAATTCCTGGGAAGATACACAATAGTAATTTAAGTAGCTTCTGATCTAACTAATTCTTAGCTGCCTGCTTTCCTTTTTGCAGGGCAGGTAGTGAAATGGAAGATAAACAAAAAGTATTAAACTGCTCAGCCATTCGCAAGGGTGGTTTTTATGGAGGGCGTATAAAAATACCGAGCGGCAAGACAGTCTTAAGCAGAGGAGTCAATTATAAAGCTCACTGCAGTCTTGTCAAATTGGCCGGCTTAAAGCTTTAGAGCTTTTGTATGGAACGAAACAGTAGTGCTTCTGAACACAAGACAACTTTCAGTATCTTTTGGCACGAATTGTTTAAGGGCTTTGTATGAGAACGGGAGGGACACTTGCATGTGGTTAACATTCCCACTTAATGATCAGCAGCCTTGGAAGTTCCATGGTAGTAAATAATCCTGTGCTCATTCTCAGGATTTTGGCATTTCATTTTAAGGTGTCTCAAGGAGTGAAATTATAATTTCTCAGCTACAAGGGAGGAAATGACAACAGTGGGTGTTTAGATTTAGATGCGTAGAGAGGTTTTGTTCCCTGAGAAGTAATTTATGCCCAGATCTTAAAAGTCTCTGGATTTTAGCTAGACACAAGGGGACACTTTTAAACTAGAGAGCTTCTTTCTCACATCTGTTTTCAAGTCTTAAGATGGGTAACAGTTTTCATCTCATTCATTTTTATAACTCTTCTGAGAGAGCGCTTACATTCTGTTACTTTATGGAAATGGTGTTGAATTGATTACTGTGACTACATTTTCCTTGCTTCTGTAACCTTGCAACAATCTAGTTTTCTGTGTTTTTGGCTTGGTGCCTGGATGCTAAACCATAAATGCATACAAATGTACTCAGTTTTGTTAGGTTCCTGCCCCTGTCCATTGCATTAATAGCTACGTAAAGGTCTTAAGTTTATTCTTAGTTCCAGTGCCTGTGAATGCCAGGATCATTCCTGCTTTTTAACTGCTTCCTGTTAACCAATGGGGGCAACAAATTAGGTATTACATCCAAACTGGAGAGCATGGCTTGTTTCACTCCAAACAAACCATGATTAGCTGAGAACAAACCCTTAGTTTAATACCATGGTTATAGATTACAGTGGTACCTCAGGTTACATACGCTTCAGGTTACATATGATTCAGGTTACAGACTCCGCTAACCCAGAAATAGTGCTTCAGGTTAAGAACTTTGCTTCAGGATGAGAACAGAAATCGTGCTCTGGCGGCGCAGCGGCAGCAGGAGGCCCCATTAGCTAAAGTGGTGCTTCAGGTTATGAACAGTTTCAGGTTAAGTACGGACCTCCGGAACACATTAAGTACTTAACCTGAGGTACCACTGTATAACTCTCTGAAGGCAGTTCTCTTGCATAACAGCTTCTATAGGCAGATTCACCTTAGAAACATATTTGTGATGTGAAAAACCTGTGAGTTGATGGAAACACACACACACACACACACACACACACACACACACACACGGAGTGTCTATTTTTGTTGATGCATGAATTGAGGATGCCCAATTTTTGGTAGAGACTCTCTCCACACCTCTTCTGCATCCTGGTCAGTAATACAAGGAAAAGGTCATATTTTTAGGAATCATGCTAGTCCTGTCTCGGACTGCAAGCTGCCTTACTCCTTGAGCCAAAATTATGTGTGTATTAAACCTGAAAACCATGTCGCTAGAACACCTCATAAACTAAATCCAAAGGTAGTTTGGATTCTTTAGTTTTAAATCTAGAGTTGTTATATTAGCCTGATTAAGGAACAACATTGCTATAGACTTTATAAATAAATAAATAAATAAATAGGTTTATTTATTTGATGGCTTTAAAACCCCGGCTGTTCAGTACAATTCCCAGAGTGCCTTTGTATGAGAGAGTGATATGGGCTCTTCCTCGGTTTTGCGTAGGTGTGAGAATGTCACAGAGCTACATTTTTTGAGGCTATTTGTGCCAGGTTTGTGCACTCTTTTAAATGCAAGTTTTGGCACCGTCTTTGTAAGGCTGTGGTTTAGCTGGTTTACTCCAAATGGCGTGGTTTTATCAAGGCCAGAAGGCTGAAGTACTGTATTGGTTGGTGATGTTTGCTTCTGGAAGCCCAGAAGCATTATGAAAATTACTAAGGCTGCATAAGCACCATACCCTTTAAAGCACATTCTTTCCCTCAAAGAATTCTGGGAACCGTAGTTTGCATCTCACAGAATTAGAAATCCCACCAGCCCTTTAACTCCAGTGCCCAGAATTATTTGAGGGCGAAATTGTGCTTTGAAGGTGTATTGTGGGCACAGCCTAAGGGATGCCCAAACTTTTTTCAAAGAGGGCCAGATTTGATGAAGTGAACATGCGTGAGGGCCAACCAAAGTTGTTAAGTTTTTTTGAGGATTGAAGTTACATCCACCATCCAAAATCAGTGAGATGCTCACATTAGTAGTCATAGGACCTTTGTTTTGCGAGGCCTCCTCTGGAAGATGTTCTGTCTGGTTGAAACCTAATTCCTCCTCATCAAGATATCTCATTTTAGTCCAAAAGCAACCTTATGGCCAGCCCTCCTTCAAATGTACAAAAGCGGTGGTACCTGGCTTTCAACATTGCATTATATCACCAGCTAAACATTGCAATATATCGATATAGCAGTGTTTGAAGTAAGGATGTAACTATGTAGATGCATTGGCTTGCTTCACAGTTTTTCCCACATTGTGATTTTTCCTTAGTCCCAGGGTTGGAAAAAAATCAGTGATTTAAAAAAAAAATCGGATTTTTAAAAAATATTAAATCAGATTTTTAAAATTTAAATTGGATTAGTAAAATAAAATGCTTTTGGAGGAAAAATCTTTCTACAGATAGTTTTCTGTTTAAGTTACATTACAGTCCAAAGTATTTGTTTTAAGCTTTTCATGTGTGCGGAAGTTTTTTTTCAAAAACCTTTTAACCACACCAGTTAACAAACATGGATACATATGCTATAATGTTTTTGTTTTAGTTAAATAAATTGTTTAAATTGTTGTTCAGGAAATGATTATTTTTCTCCTTCCAATAGTAAGCAGAAAAGTTGTCCAAAAAGAAACAGTTAACTTATTAAAACCTCTCAATAATTTCATAATTGTCTATGTATTTCTTATAGTGTAATCAAATCAGCAATTTTTGATATAACTGTAAAAACTACTCTGAAAATTTATTATTCAAAAAATGAAACCTTCATCTGGTTGTAAATGCTAACATTATACCAGCAAGAATGAGTCTTTCTGTAAAAAAATATTTACTGTATTTTTCGCACCATAGGACGCACCGGACAATAGGACGCACTTTGTTTTAGAGGGGGGAGAACAAGAAAAAAAAATTCTCCCCCTCTCTGCCCAGCGCCCCTTCAGCGAAGTGGCAGGAGGCGCTGTGCAGAGAGGGGAGAACTCCCCTCTTGTTTTCCCGCTCTAAAACAAGGTGCCGTTTAAGGTGCGTTCAGGCGGCTACCTGGAAGCCTGGAGAGCGAGAGGGTCGGTGTGCACCGACCCTCTTGCTCTCCAGGCTTCAGGTTCCTTCGACCTGCTCTTTGGGGCTGGCGGGGAAGCCCACCACCAGCCCCAAAGAGCAGGTCAGGGAGCAGCGGAAAGGCGCAGCGGAGAGCCATAGCCGCGCGTCACTTCTCCAGCCGGGAGAGGGTCGCGGGGCTATGGCTTCTTTAGCCCCGCGCGCACTCTCCCGGCTGGAGAGGTGACAGGCGGCTATGGCAAGAGCCTCAATAGCCGCGAGTCACCTCTCCCGCCGGGAGAGGGTCAGCGAGGCTATGGCGTCTTCGCTCCAAAGGACGCACACACAATTTCCCATAATTTTTGAAGGGAAAAAAGTGCGTCCTATGGAGCGAAAAATACGGTAAATCAAGTCATACTGACTAGTGATTTAAATCGATTTGATTTAAATCAAACCCACCCTGCTTAGCCCACAGACACAAATCATGATTTGTGATATATTGCCAGGTCAGAAATTATGAAACTGAGATCACGATATGGGTTTCAAACTGGTTTTGCGTGGTGGACAGGGAAAGCCTGATTAACTTTTGTGCCAGTCTCTGAACTATTGTTTCTAGAAGGTTGAAGCGGGGCCTGTTTTAGCTAAAATGGTGTTGGTGGGGAGTTGACGTCAGATGGACCTTGTAAGATTTCAGTCAATAATAACCCCCTGCACATTTTCACTAATAATTCAAGCCGTCTTTGACAATTAATTCAACATAGTCATTCTTCTATTCCATTTATGGGAATTTAATGCTTAGCAAAACCCCACTTCTATCTATCTATCTATCTATCTATCTATCTATATATGAGAGTTATATTTCTTAAGGCAGTGGAAGTATCAAGAGAACACATCTTTCTTCCTTCTTCCGGCCTTAAGTTATTTATTGTTGTGATGTGGCAGGTTTTTGATTTATTTCCAGGCCCGGACTTCCTGTGCTCCTGAGGCATTAGGGACTTCATGCCTTGAATTTTTTTGTAGGGTTTTTGCCCATGATCTCTTGAAACGCCAGCCAAACTGCGAGCAAGCTTTAACAAACAGAGGACATAGATCATGAGAGGATATATATTCTACATAATATTTGGGTTTTGTCCTAACCAGGTCTGGTATCACCGTGAAGCACACATTTCTACAAAATAAATAAATAAACAAACGTAAGGTACATTGAGGTACCCTGAGACAGAAATTAGAGAAAAGCAAAATAAATATCTAAAAATTCGTATGTTATAGAAGATAAAAGAATCAGGTATTAAAACAATATGTTAAGCAAATGTTAAAACAACAGTAGACTTAAAAAAAATGGCCACCACAGTTTAAGTTGACTTCAGCAAGGTCTTCAGTAATCGCCTAAAAACAATTCACAAAATCTAGTTGAAGACTGTGCCATCTGTGAGAGTTTGAAACTTTATTTGTGTTTTGGGTTGGTGCACAATAAACCAGTCTAAAACACACCAGGATTCCAGGAAGAGACTGCTGGAATTGCAAATGAAGCAGCACTGTGATTCAGGAATAAGATGCAATTTTGCAAAGAAACTTTTGACTGTGACTTAGTTGTACCTATGACTCAGCCAGGGAGTGTTTCCTGTTAACAGGGAACATATTTCTGTTCAGAGCTCGTGTTTTGCAATCACCCACTCAGCAGCCTGAGAGTACAAATCATGTGCTTATGATAGCAAATTACAATACCTGGGCCCAGTTAATCATGTTCTTGAATCCTTTCTCAAATCATAGCCTCCTTGGTCTGTGAGTGGTGTGCTTTTAAAGGGCAGGTTGTCAGCATTCAGTTTTAAAATAGTCCCACTTAAGGTTTTTGTCAGCGTGCCACAAATCGAGCTCTAGCTCGAAGAGAAGCTTGACACTCTAGTGTGTCCTGCAGTGCATATACATTCCCAGGGACCCTTTAGTATTGGCCAGTGGCATAGCGTGGGTTGCCAGTGCCCAGGGCCATGCGGAGTGAGGTGGGAGGGAAACGGACGGGAGTACACATGTGCATTCAGTTGCCTAATGGCATTTGCGTCACCCAGGAGATCACAGCCATAGAGATAAGAAATGAAGAGCTGTTCCATCGTCTGGAGAGGTCACTTCCTGGTTCGCTGGGAGAAGCCATTTTCAGTGGAGCCCAGCGATGGAAGCGCACAACTGTATTGAGGCAGCAATGGGTGTTGAAATTTTGCGCCCCTAAGAACATTGTGCCTGGGGCAACCGCCTTGTACCTCCCCCACACTTTGCCACTGGTATTGCCTGCAATTAAAGAGGGAGATGCAGGCAGGAGGTCTTGCACACTTGCTGATGGTGGCAGCTGAGGCTCTGGCTGATTATTCATGCTTCAAAGCAGGGGCAAAGAATCATGGCTCAGCAGTAACTTATGTGTTGTTGTTGTTGGAATCCGTTCTGGAAGTCAGTTCGACTTCCAAAACGTTTGGAAACCAAAGCGCAGCTTCTGATTGGGTGCAGGAAGCTCCTGCAGCCAATCGGAAGCCACGGAAGCCCCATCGGACATTCAGCTTCCAAAAGAGCGTTCAAAGACCGGAACACTCACTTCTGGGTTTCGATCGTTCAGGAGCTGAAACGTTCGGCAACTAAGCCGTTCGAGATCCAAGGTACGACTGTATATTATATCTACTGTAATCTGTGAGCAAATTTGGATCACATACTTAAACATCAGCCTTAATAAACCACAATATCTCCCTTGGTACAGTTATATTATGAGCCTAAATGAATTCATATTAATTGTGATTTGTCTTCTTTCCTGGTCTGTAAACTCTGAGATACACACTCTCTCTCGTGAGACACACACACACATCTCCACAGCTTCTATCCTTATTTTTTGAAATATATGACATTCCTTCAGCTCTTTATAATCTTCTGATTCAGGAGGTATCCTGCAGTATTAGTACAAGCCATGCAGTGTATAGGCTGTTTTTCCTTTCTGACATCCAGTGTGGTGCTGGGGTTAGAGTGTTGGACTAGCACCTTGGGAAGGTACCCCTGCCCGTACGGGACAGTCGTGTCCGACTCTAGGGTTGTGCGCCCATCTCACTTAAGAGGCCGGGAGCCAGCGCTGTCCGCAGACACTTCCGGGTCACGTGGCCAGCGTGACGAAGCTGCTCTGGCGAGCCGGCACCAGCGCAGCACACGGAAACGCCGTTTACCTTCCCGCTATACAGCAGTACCTATTTACCTACTTGCACTTTGGCGTGCTTTCGAACTGCTAGGTGGGCAGGAGCTGGGACCGAAAGACGGGAGCTCACCCCGCCGCGGGGATTCGAACCGCCGACCATGCGATTGGCAAGCCCTAGGCGCTGAGGTTTTACCCACAGCGCCACCCGTGTCCCTAGCACCTTGGGAAACCAGAGTTCAAATCCCCAGTTGGCTATGAAGCTAACTGCCTTTCAGCCTAACCTACCTTGTAGGGCTGTTACGGGGATTAAATGGGTGTGTGTGTGTGTGTCTACCTTGAGCTCCTTGAGGAAAAAGGTGGGATGTAAATGCAAAAACAAAGCAAAACAAATCTGTTGGAATCTGTACTCTCCTGCTGAATCTGTACTCTCCTGCTGGTTCCTCTTTAATTCAATTCCTAGGTATGAACAATACAAGCTTTAATGCTGGTGTGTTTGTTTGTTTGTTTGTGTTGCTTGTCTTGAATTAAAGGTGTCATCTTGCACATGTTCAAGCCCCTTCTGGCACAGTGTATCCAGCTTTCTCCCCTGGGCGATCCCTCCGTGCTTGTGTTAGATTGCCTTAATTTCCTAGAAACATTTAAGTTTCACCACCATCTCTCTTTTTCTCTCTCTCCTTAGGTGGCTTTGCTTTTGTATATGAAGCTCAGGATGTTGGAAGTGGCAAAGATTATGCTTTAAAGGTAAATATCCTCAGTTTCTTGGGACTCAACGCATGTCTTTACATTGTTGACATGGTTAACAGTAAGGCAGCAAACATGAAAATACCCATAGCTTATAATGAATCAGTTTGGAATCTTTGCCATAGAAAGTAATGCAAAATGGATTAATCCGTTCCAGACTTTTAAAAACAACCCCTGAAACAGCAATTTAACATGAGTTTTGTGATCTAACGAGACCATTGATCCATAAAATGAGAGCAATAAACAATGTACTGCAGTCACACAACCAATCAATCAGTAGCTGAAGTGGGTTCCACACAGTCACAAAAACAGACCGAAAAGAGCCACAAAAACGCAAAATAAATAGCAAAAACAGACAGACCTCAGCATAACACGCAAAACAGAAGCGTGGCACTCAAATTGGAAGCGTAACACTCAAATTGGAGCACATTCAGCTTCCGAAAAAAGTTCGCAAACTTGAACACTTACTTCCGGGTTTGCAGTGTTTGGGTTCCAAGTTGTTTGAGTTCCAAGGCGTTTGAGAACCAAGGTACTGCTGTATGTCCTAGTTGGAAGGAAGCACGGCTCTTTCTTTGTATGTTTTTTTTTAAAAAAAATTCTAAGGGTGTGTATGGGACGTGGGTGGCACTGTGGTCTAAACCACTGAGCCTCTTGGGCTTGCCGATCAGAAGGTCAGCGGTTCAAATCCTCATGACGGGGTGAGCTCCCATTGCTCGGTCCCAGTTCCTGCCCACCTAGCAGTTTGAAAGCACGCCAAAAAGTGCAAGTAGATAAATAGGTACCGCTCCAGCGGGAAGGTAAACGGCGTTTCCGTGCGCTGCTCTGGTTTTGGTGTTCCGTTGCGCCAGAAGCAGCTTAGTCATGCTGGCCACATGACCCGGAAAAATTATCTGCGGACGAACGCCTGCTCCCTCGGCCTGTAAAGCAAGATGGGTGCCGCAACCTTTACCTTTACCGTTTAAGGGCATGTACGGAAGCTATGTTTGTTGTGATGATTTGTACAATTAGTAAAGTAGGAGGCTAACAGTAGGTGGTGCCAAAGCCAGTGACGGGCAGAGCCAATTAAGTCTAGTTTCTTCCTCATCCTTCTCCTTGTTAAGTTACACAAGGGCCACGCTGAGACTAAGGAAGAGGAAGATGACAGGCTTTGCCATTGCCTGGACTGTTCATAACTAATAAGGCAGACAGTGGGGGCTAGCTGAGGGCAGACTGAAGTTTGAGGGCAGTACATCATTCGCCCTAAGTGGCTGACCTTTGCTGCGATTTAGTAGTTCATATACTTTCTTGCTGCATCTGAGAAGTAAACTATTGCTTTGCCAAATGCCGGCATTCCTGCTTCACGGTGTCTCTGTAGGCCACCTTCCTTTCTAGTGCATCGCTACTGTAGAGAATCATTGGGATCTTGCCATTCGAGATTTGAATGGTTTTGCAAACTCATCTGGAACAATAGCAGGAGGATAATGGTGTCCCTTTTTTCCAATTGGCTTTTGTTTCAGAACAACCTAGAATAGCTTTCAGTGTTAAACCTTTGTTTCAGGCTTTTGCTTATTGCTTTTTTGATATATATGAATTGCAAGCCCTTTAACTTGCACCAGATGCTTCCAGAGCATTGAACAATGAAATACTTAGAGGGGTGCATTTGGATAGTTCTGGGGTATAGTGTCATCGATGCTACGTAAACACTTAAAGAATAAATAAGCCATAAAACCCTAGCCTGCCCCCTCCCCAGGACTAAAGTCACTAGTGAATGTGTCAGAGCAACTTACAAGTTAGCTATTACCATGAGACTGGTGTTCCTTCTCTCTGGGATACTTCTGCCCCAGAGTAGATTTGTTGAAAACATAATATTTGTTACATTTCTTAAAACATGCAAGCCTTTCTTCCTCTAAGGGGCTCTGAGTGATATTTTGGTTTCATAAATGACCTGTAAAGGTAGATCAATCTGAGCAGCAGTGACTTGTCCAAGGGCACCCACTGAATGTCATGGCTGAGTCAGAAGTTGAAGGTGGGACGGGACACCATATCAGGCTGGCATTTGTAGCCATATTTCTCCATAACGGGTAGGTAGCAAACTTTTGGTGGCCCAAAATTGGGGAGGTGTGCAGGAAAGCCCTCTTCTTAACTTGTAAAACAGACTCTGGTGTCATTATAAGAAGGTTGTACAGACTCTAGAAAGACCTCAAAGACCTTCTCATAATGGTGTTGCACCAGAGGGAGAGAAATGGGTGTAAATGTGTGAAGCCTCCAGCCCACGTGTGCTCAGGAGTGTATGTGTGTATGCCCTTTTTTCTCTGTGAAGGAGAAATGATTACGAATAGCACTGGGTGCTTAAGCTTTGCCTTCTGAAACAGTGTGCTTATAGAGGTTACTTGCATGTGTTCAACAGTTGGTCGTTAACCGTAACAATCCGCAACAAGTGAAAATTAAGATTCCCGGGAATTTGCACTAGGCACTAAGTTTGCACAAGGTTTTAGGTCACAAGCAAAACCACAAGCATGTGGAAATTGCGGAAATCTGAAAGGTGTTTCCACGCAAAATGACTTTCCTCAACCGGATGCCCTTGGTATATTGTTGGACTACAACTCCCATTGGCCATGCAGCTGGTGTCTGATGGGAGTCGTGATCTGACAAAATTTGAAGAGCGTTATGTTGAGGAAGACTGTTAAACTGGGCTAAGATTCTCCCTCCCCCCCCCCAAATGTTGGACCTATTCTTGCAAGTGACTTCATAATGGTATCATAATTTGAACTTTAAGTGATGGGTCTCTGGTGCTGCCATGCTTCTTGTCACCAGTGCTTCACAATGGATGTTGAAGATGGCAAGGCAGGCTGTCCCTGATATTTGCGTGTGGGCTGTGAAATGTCTCTTTCATTATATAAATCATAAGAATATATGCTGTCATAAAAAAGACTGATATTAATTTATTGGAAAGATAATGCCATGTCTCTCTATGATCAGTGGATAGAAGATACGGCAACTCTAGCAACGCATGAACAGATCGCTTTTCAACGCAGATTGTGTATGGATAAATGCAACAATATTTGGAATCCATTCATAAAAAGCATAATGCCTTGTTAACAATTTTACATTTCTATAACATCTTTATTTCCTGACAGAGATTATTATCTAATGAAGAAGAAAAGAACAAAGCCATCATTCAAGAAGTTTGTTTTATGGTATCCTTTTAGAGACAACCTGAAACGCTTTGGGTAAAGCAGTCCTTAATTATACAGTTATGCATATCCGTCTTTGGTTGTCACAGGTTGTCTAAGGGATCATATCTGTGGAAGTTCAGAAATTTCATAGTTTGGTACAAATGATCCTTCTTTTTGTTTGTGGCACCAGGATTTCTTCTGACACGTTAAATGAAGGCATACAGATAAAAATTTTGGCTTGTCTTAATTTTCCCAATTCACATAGGCACTATAAAAAGAAATGTGCTGTGTGACCTGTTCTTATTTCTTAAAACATCGTTGGAAATGTTTCTGTAGCAGTAGATTTGCCCGCACGCTCCCTGCCTCCAGAGAAAGCTGGGAATTCCAATGGATTTGGGACTGTAATCTCTCAAGGAAACGAGCTGTTCTTTATTGTATAACCTGGCTGCAAAAGATGTGTTCCAAATCTAGCAATCTTTGAAACTTTAACAGATGAAATCCTCTAGAAAAAGCTATCTGGTCACCCGAACGTTGTCCAGTTCTGCTCTGCTGCATCAATTGGAAAAGAAGAATCTGATACTGGACAAGGGGAGTTTCTTCTGCTAACTGAGCTTTGCAGAGGTAAAATGATAATTTATGTGGGCTCTTTATTGTTTGGTGGACTAATCTAGCAGTTCAGCCAAGCCGGTCCTTCCTTCAGAGATGACTGTGGTGAGGCTAGTCAAAACAGCCTTCCAGCTTTGTAGATAAGCTGACCAATTTTACTTAGTCAGCAAAAACTTCTAGTGGCCAGCTTGGGTCTTGGCAGAGGAGGAAGAAGAGACCTCTGGTAGTACATTTCTTTTTTTTTTTTTTGAATTAATATTTATTAAAGTTTCAGAAATAATAAAATCACATTAATAAACAATAAATTTTTTAACAAAAACAGAGAAAAATACACCATACAAAATACAAAATAGAAAAAAGAGGGGGAAAAAAGAAAAGAAAAAAACAGTTAAAAAATAGTTCCGTCTTTTCATAACTTCTTTTACATTTACTTGTTTCCCGGACTTCCTCATACCTCCCTCTTTTGTATTCCAATTCAGTTTGTAAGCCCAGCAATTTCTTTCCCTCCTTTTTAATTCCAATCCTAAATCTTAATATATTATGACATTAGATTTTTACCTATTTAGAACCAATTTTTCCATTTCTCTTAACCTTTTTGATCCTAATCCGTAATCTTGATGTATTTATAGCTTTAAAACCTGTACAGCTAGAAGCCACTTAACTTCAATCCAACATCACTCTAACATTCATTAATTTTGGAATGTTTCTGTAAATAATCTTTAAATTTCTTCCAATCTTCTTCCACCAACTCTTCTCCCTGGTCACGGATTTTGCCATTTCTATACCAGACACATTTCTATGTCTCCTGGCAGCCTACTTTGGTTTTGATTCTGGATGCTGAGAAGGAATGGAGCACCCCATTCCTGCATGGAACTCTTTGCTATGGCTACTGGGCTCATGCCCAGTAAGATAAAGCTGTTTTCTTTTTCAATTATATTTTACCAAGTTTCAACATTTTTAACATACACAATCAAGATACAATTTTGTCTTTTCTCTTGATTTTGTTGATTTCCCACTTTGTTTTCCATGGAGTTGTTGCTTCTCCCCTTCTGCTGCCCCCTATCTTCTATCTATTAAATCAGGTTAAGGCTGTTTTCTTGTCACAAGGGGTTGCCGCTTACAGCCAGTGTCACAGATCTTGTCCACCAGGTAGGGTGGAGACGCTACGCTAGCTTCCCGGAAGCTGGACCTTCCAGTTGTTGCTTACCAGGAGGGAGAGGGGCAGGACGGTTGGTGCAGTGCAGATGCACGGGCAGAGCCAATCCAGCGCTCTTTCTGGTGCGTTCACACTGCACTGACATCTGGGCCACATCACATCTTGGTAAAGCAACTGTGACCCACCTGCCTGGAAGCTAGCACAGCGGCTCTTCCCAACCCGGCGAGCTACTTCGCAAGTCACTCTCGCATCTATGGATATGTAGTTCTATACTGGGGGTTCTTAGAGTACAGCCTCAGCCCCCCAGCTCTGCATTTGCCCTGTGCCTGGTGTCAGGTCTTCTTTTTTAACAACCATGTGTTGCATGTGTTTGTCTAAAGCCAAGTTGTGCGCTCCCCCTCATTTACAGGTGCTCCTTCTGAGCTAGGCACCAACCAAAGCTGTCAACCGTCCTTTATTTGGCAGGAAACTCCCTTATTCCAGCACCGTGTCCCGCTGCTGTCCCTTATTGATGATGTCTCTTAAATTTCCTGGGTTTCAAAGGAAGCAGTTCTTCTCCTTCCCTCCCTGCTGGCCAGGGAGGAGGGAGGCTCCAACTGTGTGGCTTGGCTGCGTTGCTCACCCAATAAGGAGTCTAAGAATGACTGGGGGTGGAGCTTGCATGCCTTGTGCCGATCAAATCGGCTGCGTTGCCTGGGGACTCGCTTTTGCTTAGCGCTTCCCAGCAGAGAGGTGACGGTGGTTTTCCTTGCTGCATCCCCTTTGCCGGGTTGCTGCGCTGTGGGAACCACCGCTTGAGGCTTCGTTTGGCTTCTGGCTGGGCTTTCTGCCTTTGGCTCGGAGGGGCTCAGAAGGCGAACATACCTGTGCCCGGAAAATCCCTTATTTTGGCTGCTGATCCCTTATTTTCGAGGCTGCTGGTCCCTTATTTTCAAATCTGTAAGTTGACAGCTATGGCACCCACACAACCAGGAGTCCCGATTATGCAGAGCCCCTATACCAGTGTTTCCTAATGTTGGGTCTCCAGCTGCTCACTGCCCTATATACAAAGTGAAGCTTGCTTGTTGGCCTTCTTATATAGACACTAGCATGCAACACAAGGTGGTTTGGATGCAGGTGACGCTGTGGTCTAAACCACTGAGCCTCTTGGGCTTGCCGATCAGAAGGTCAGCGGTTCAAATCCTCGCGAAAGAGTGAACTCCCGTTGCCCTGTCCCAGCTCCTGCCAACCTAGCAGTTTGAAAGCATGCCAGTGCAAGTAGATAAATAGGCGGGAAGGTCAACGGTGTTTCTGTGAGCTCTGGCACTCGTCACAGTATCCTGTTGTGCCAGAAGCCGTTTAGTCATGCTGGCCACATGACCCAGAAAGCTGTCTGTGGGCAAATGCCGGCTCCCTCGGCCTGAAAGTGGGATGAGCACCACAACCCCATAGTCACCCTTGACTAGACTTAACCATCATGGGGTCCTTTACTTTTACCTTTAGGAGGTGGTTGGCCCCCTCCCCTTTTTTAATAAAAAAAGGAATATCCAATGTTCGCTTGTGTGCCTTACATGGAAGCAATCCATGCATTGGTCTCCCCTAACCCCTTTCTCATAACCTTCTTGTTTATTGAAAACCACATTGGGAAAGGCATTTTAAATTGACGTAGAAATGACTGGCTCTTCTTTCCTCCCACACAGTTATTCTTTTCCCCCCTTCTCTCTCTCTCCCCCCCGAGACGGATATTAATTAGGACTGTGAGCTTTAATCACAGCCTTAATTGCCGATTAAAATTTGCTCTCTAATTAATTGGTGTGACCGGGACTGAAGGGCACCCTGCCGTGCAGGTCACACAGACACGATGGCTCCTTTGTCCTTGTGCCAAGTTGGAAGAGAAGAAACACTTGGAAGAGGTTTTTTTTTCTAATGGCTTTCCCCTTTGGTCTGTATCCAGAGCTAGTAGATGTTTTGCATTTGAAGTTAGTCAGCTTTTTCTTCTTGCAGTGAGAACTGCAGGCAGCTGAGACTGACAGGGTTCAGTATTTGCTTTTGCTCACTCCTCCACCCCCCCTCCTGCTGCCCTTGGATCTTGGCCATGATTTGAGAATTGAGGGCTGGGGAATTAACATTTCACATACTCTGGAGTTCCTTGTTTTATATGTGCAGGAGCTACTGCTTAGGAACAGGATAGGAAGATTTGCTTAGGAATCTAATATTGTGTAGGAGGGCATGAGAGGTTTGCTGTTTGTGGGCTAATAAGGGGGCAAGATGGCCGCCCATCTCATCCTGGTTTGAGGTGGCAGACTTCTGAGGGTGGAGACCTGGACCCCCATTTCATGGTGTGTTCACTCACAAGAAGGGAAGAACTAAGGAAGGAAATTAATTGGCAAGTAGGGTGGGCTCTACCCTTTCTGGTCTGGGGTGGGGGCCAAATTCTCACTCAAATATAGAAGAAGCCATGTTGTTTGCTTCCTTGCTTCCTTGCTTGGTTTGTGTGTGTGGCGCCACATCTGCATGTTTAAAGTGTTATTATCCCACTTTATACAGTCATGGCTTCCCTAAATTGGTAGTGTACAGCTCCCCAGGGAATTGCAGTTTGTTAAGGGGTGCTGAGAGTTGTTAGGAAGCCCTCGTATTCCCCTCACAGAGTTCTATGAATTTTTCGTCCACAGGGCAAGTGGTGGAATTTCTGAGGAAAGCTGAATCCAAAGGGCCCCTCTCGTGTGACACGGTGTTGAAGATCTTTTATCAGACCTGCCGTGCAGTGCAACACATGCATAAGCAGAAACCTCCTATTATTCATAGAGATTTAAAGGTACAGAATCCGAAACAAGCTGAACGGCTGATTTATGCAGAGGAGGAGTTTGTTATGAATCCGGAGCAGCAGCCAGTAGCAAGTTATTTAATCTTTTCATAAAATTTATATACTTCTTGAGGGTAGAAAACGAATGAACCTAAAAGCAGTTTATAATATTTAGACTGAGTGTGTTTTGAGTTTGTCATGTAGTAAATGGAAAAGTATTGCATCGGATAATAATAATAATAATAGTAATAGTAATAATAGTGGTAATAAAGTTATTATTTATACGCCACCCATCTGGGTGGGTTTCCCCAGCCACTCTTGGCGGCTTACAGCGTATAAAAACATAGTAAAACCTCAAATATTAAAAACCTCCCAATAGAGGGTTGTCTTCAGATGTTTTCTAAAAGTCAGAGAGTTGTCCATTTCCTTAGCATCTGATGGGAGGGCGTTCCACAGGGAGGGTGCCACTACCGAGAAGGCCCTCTGCCTGGTTGGCAAAAACATGCTACTAAATTATATTGGCTGAGAATAAAGAGGTGGGAGGATGTTAAGGATTGGTCGTACATGTACGCAGCCCACACACTAAGTTAGTCGCAAGCTTAGCGGTGGGCACATATGGAAGTCCAAACCAAATGGTTCATAGAATGCTTTTAAAGCAGTCACTACATTTTAGATCTCTTGGGGCTGGTTCATACAGCCAGCCATATGGAAACATTCTTGTAGTACAATCCCTAATTAAAAGTAGTCTGGGAAATATTGATAGCTACATGATGTTTATCGCATCTTTCGTTGTACTTTATTCCATTAGGCTAATCTAAGAAGCAGCGTTCGCTGCTTTCCAGAGGGAAGGCCTCTTCTAAAATAAACACACGTATTAGGGAGTGTGAACAGTGCAGCCAGTACAGAATTGATAAATCTTGTGCGCTTTGATGCTGTGAACTTGGAGGATATATGCATGAAAAGCTGCCTTTTTTAATATAAATGTGTGTCCGCTGAATGTGCACCCTTAAACTCCCCACTTGATTGTCCATACAGATAGAAAATATGCTGATGAGTAACCAAGGAACAATTAAACTGTGTGACTTTGGCAGTGCAACAACCATAGCACATTACCCTGACTACAACTGGTCCGCACAGAAAAGAGCAGCGGTTGAAGAGGAGGTGAGAAACCTGATACTCTGATTTATTTTCAACGTTTTGTAACTCTAGGCTTTTTGGTATCCCTTAAATCCATTAGATCAAATTCTGTCGCAGTGGAAATCACTTGGAAATGTTATTGGGGGGGGGGGCATTTTTTCCTGGTCCTATACAAGACATACTTAAACTACTGCTGTAATAAAATAGTAGCCTTCAGCTGTGTATGGCTGCAAGCCTGTACACATTTAACCTGGGAATAAGCCCCACTGCATTAGATTGTGCTGTCTGCTAAGAAGCACACCACATAAAGTGTCCTTTTCTCTCCGAACCACAGCACAAATACTACATCTCTTGGGTACTTCGGTCTTCTCTGTTGGTTAAGGCTGAATATATTTCGTTCAGATAACGTAAAAGTCGTGTCCAAAAGTTCTGCATTCGGTTTCCAAAATGAATTGTGAGCCAAGCTGCCTGTGTCGCCCTGATTTGTATAACATTACTTCTGAGAGCTGCTTTTCAGAAACCTGGAACGCTTTTGGCAAGGGCTGGTAGAATAGCAACAGGCACCTGAATTTAGGGAGCAGCAATCTTAGAAGAAAATCAGGGAGCCATGCTCTAGGGTGCTGCAGTGCCCTCTCCTAGTCACCAGGGGCCACTATATTTTGCTGGAGCTTCATGATGGCTTTTAAGGCAGTGCTACATGAAGGAGTAAGGGATGTGGGTGGCGCTGTGGGTTAAACCACAGAGTCTAGGTCTTGCCGATCAGAAGGTCGGCGGTTCGAATCCCCATGACGGGGTGAGCTCCCGTTGTTCGGTCCCGGCTCCTGCCAACCTAGCAGTTCGATAGCACAAAGTGCAAGTAGATAAATAGGTACCGCTCCAGCAGGAAGGTAAACGGCGTTTCCGTGCACTGCTCTGGTTTGCCAGAAAGCGGCTTAGTCATGCTGGCCACATGACCCGGAAGCTGTACACCGGCTCCCTCAGCCAATAAAGCGAGATGAGCGCCGCAACCCCAAAGTCGGTCATGACTGGACCTAATGGTCTGGGGTCCCTTTACCTTTACTTACATGAAGGAGTTTGCAGTGGTCTGTCGACTGGCCATGTGGGAACAGGAGGATTGCAATTACTGGTCACAGGGTCATCAGGTTGTAAAACGCGAGCGGTGGTGGTGAACTCTCAAAAGGGTGGTCCATTTACTACAGGCCTCTGAAATCATTCCCAGAATAGCATAATGCTGCTTACAGGTTTTTGAAATATTGAGTGGTATATAAATGCATTTAATAAATGAATAAATAACCAAGAAACAGATCAAAGAAGATCCCTCTTCTTTGAGAGTTCCTTGCTGCATCCCATGGCTTGTAAGAGGAGGATATTGCTATCTACATAGATATCCAGTCTAACAGACTAGGTTGGCAGGAGCTGGTACAGAGCAATGGGAGCTCACCCTCTTGCAGGGATTTGAACCATCGACCTTCTGATTGACAAGCCCAGAGGCTCAGTGGTTTAGACCACAGTACCACCCGCGTCCTAGCCAACCTAGCAGTTTGAAAGCATGCCAGTGCAAGTAGATAAATAGGTACCGCTGTGGTGGGAAGGTAAACGGCGTGTCAGTGTGCTCTGGTTTCCGTCACGGTGTTCTGTTATGCCAGAAGCAGTTTAGTCCTGCTGGCCACATGACCCAGAAAGCTGTCTGTGGACAAACGCTGGCTCCCTCGGCCTGAAAGTGAGATGAGCGCCACAACTCCATAGTCGCCTTTGACTGGACTTAACTGTCCAGGGTCCCTTACCTTTACACCTGACAGACTACTAATACTGTACTGTACTGTACTGTACTGTACTGTACTTAGAAACAAGGATTGACTTTCACATTGATTTCCTGAATGTTAATCTTGATTTGCATGCCACAAAGACAAAAAATCATTTTGTTTCTTTTTATTAGTTGCTGCTGCAGGAGTTACAGAAACCCAAATTTGGCATACAGATTGTTTTGATGAAAATCAAAGCATTTTGTGCTTGGGGTGCTCTAGGTTCCTTTTAAATTTTATTTTGTTTCTGAATCTCTGCTAAGTGTATAGAAGAAGAAAAATGCCTTTATTTTGTGTGTCTACAGATCACAAGGAACACAACACCAATGTATAGGACTCCTGAAATAATAGATCTATATTCAAACTTTCCAATTGATGAAAAACAAGATATTTGGGTAAGCATTTTCTTTGTACGTAGATTAGACCTTGCGTGATACCTTATTTCTGAATATTTTCTGGAATTTGTATTTGTTTAGGGAATTTCTGCCCGTCCATTTCATCCCAAGGTGGTTCATAGTAAACCAATAAAGCATACACAATAACACCACTGCAATACAGACGTTAAAACTTCAAAAATGTGGTAGCGACTTAATACATATAATAAACAAACAAACAAAACAAACAAACAAAACACCTTTTGCTCCTGATACTCTTTCCTTTGGTTAAATATTATTTATCAGTTCTAAAGCACCTAACATTTCACTAAGCACCGTACAGATTTAAAAACAAGGCAGTCCTTGCCCACAGGTTTTCAGTCTAATAAAGCATACAACACACAAGGAAAAGGGATAGAGAAGGAAGAGGAAAACAGGCAAGCTTACATAGTTCTTAAAATGTGACCACTTTAAACAAACAGTTCAGGAAAAGGAAGAGCCAAAGGCATCTAGAATTTCTCAGGTGAGCCAATGGAGTGTGTGCTGCTACCTCTTTCTCTGTTGGCTAGTGTTGTAGTCGTGAAAACCTCTCACTCCTTTATTAGGAATGGGTGAGTTCACTGTTAACACTTTCACCAAATCAGACCCAATAGCGTGAAACCCTTGAAATCAATTGACCTAGGTTAACCTTGTCCATTTAATTTCTTCGGTTGGACTGCCCTGACATTGGAAGCAACCTGAAGTGCTTTAAGCTACCAAACACTGTGCATTGAATTAAAAATAGACAAGACTGTGCCAAATCATCTGGAAATTTACAAGGACAATGCAACACAAGGAACCGGAGGAGAAGAGACATATAAGCAAGCACACAGATTTTTCAAGAACATTGGGAATGTTAAAGCCAAACAGGGATAGGAGGCTTGCATTTTTATGTAAGTGGTTGGTGGGAGTGGGGGAAGCCAGTGCAGTTCTAAGGAAGTACAGCTAAAAGAAAAGAGGTATTTGGAAGTAATTTCTGGCTATACTCTCAGTTTTTCTAATTGAAGCTGGGAAGGAAGAGGGAGAGGCAGGAGAGAGAATAATTCTCTTGTTGACGGATTTGATAGAATGTACTGATAGGAATGCCTTAAGCACAATGCAGTGAACAGCAGTGTTCCAGTCTTACTGGTGAATACATTGTGAATACATTGTAGGGACGTGGGTGGCGCTGTGGTCTAAACCACTGAGCCTCTTGGGCTTGCCGATCAGAAGGTCGGCGGTTTGAATCCCTGTGACAGGGTGAGCTCCCATTGCTCTGCCCCAGCTCCTGCCAGCCTAACAGTTCAAAAGCACGCCGGTGCAAGTAGATAAATGGGTACCACTGTGGCAGGAAGGTAAACGGCGTTTCCGTGTGCTCTGGCTTCCGTCACGGTGTCCCGTTGCGCCAGAAGCGCTTTAGTCATGCTGGCCACAAGACCCGGAAAGCTGTCTGTGGGCAAACGCCAGCTCCCTCGGCCTGAAAGCAAGATGAGCGCCGCAACCCCATAGTCACCTTTGACTGGACTTAACCTTCCAGGGGTCCTTTACCTTTTACATTGTGAATACATGGGCGCATGGGCAGTACAGCATCTTGTCCTGAGGCACTCAGGATCAGTTTGTGGGGAAGGACAATAGCTCAGTTTGTAGAGCATCTGCTGTGAATGCAATAAAGTCCCAGGTTCAGTACCTAGTGACTCCCAAGTAGGGCTGGGAAAAAGTGCTGTCTGAAAGCCTGATGAGTCGCTGCCACTCAGTGTAGATGATACTGAGTTAGATGGACCAATGGTTTGACTCCATATAGGGTGGTGAAAGCAGCAGGAGAATACATAGAACTGATGGGCAGTCAGATTATTCTGTATTGCTCTGCTGGGTGTTGTGATAGGAATTTTATGGTCTTAGATATATGGTAATGTTCATAAGTGTACCAACCAAGCACATACATAGATCAGCACAGGAAGACCAACCTGGAACCATTTTGATTCCTAAACTGAGCAAATGTTTTCTCTGCAAGGTCAAAGTGAGAAACCTCCCCATTGTCTCTTTCCTCACAAATCCTGTCTTAAGGGTATGTGTGTGTTTGAATAGGGTGTGAGCCTGTGACCTGGCCCAGGAACTAAGTATTTATCATTACAAAAGACTGGCCAGGCTCCCCAGGCAATCCAATCAAGTAACCTGCCAGACAGGAGATAAACAACGACAGGAGAAAAACAACATTCAAAATTTCTGTTTTAGACCGCCTTTTTTGTGATGTAGGTATGATGTATCTGAGGGGTGGTCTTAGGTTACACCCCTTCTGTGATGTATGTATGATGTTTCTGGGGGTGGTCTTGATCCACAGGGTGGGAATTTCAAAAGTCTTTATGAGGCCTTGCGCGCCATTTTTCTGGGTTTCTCCTCTCCTGTGGGTGAGGGGAGCACCCTGTTGCAACAGATAATAAAGATCAAGCTTACTAGCTGCTTTGCTTCTCAATATTCTCTGGTTGGCCTCTTGTTATTCTGTCCTACGAATAGGGAACCTATGTAAGGACTCTATATGGGCTCTTGTATACCCCATAAGGGAAAAGGGCATTTTTTGTTTACAACAGTGTCAAGCTTACCAAACTTCTGTACTTGATGAGAAATCGATTCAGTACTTATATGCACATCTTGCTCAGTTTTGACATGATCGCCTGCGTTTCCAGTCCTCATCCTCTCTGAGAGAGCAGAATGTGGGAAGTGCTGAAGTGTTGCGATTATTTATTAAATTTATTGGTCGCTTTTTTTGCCATGGCATCTCAAAGCGACTTTCAATATTTTAAGCAAAACCCAAACACATACACACATTTTAACCAGCATATATTTTTTAAAAAATGAACTGCATTAAAACATCTCAGCCACACAAATAGGCCATAGATGGTGAAAGGCCTGATTGAAAAGGGCATGTTTTTGCCTGGCGCCTAAAGTTAAGTAAATGGCAGCAGGTGTGCCTCCCCAAGAGAGCAGGAGCCACCATTGGAAAGGCCTATTCTCGTATTGCCACCCTCTGTTGTGTTGTGGTCGAGATACAAACTTGGGATGGCAGCCAAGGTTCATTGGCAGGGCTCAATCTGGGAAGTCAAGCCATGGTTTCATGTGGGATTTTAGCCAGGATTAAGGCAACAAACTGCGGTTAGCACTCATTATGGCTGCATGGCTGCAGCAGATCATCCAATGCTGTAGCCTGCTCCGAAGTAATTGAATACCACAGGCTATTGGATGAAACGAAATAATAGCTCCCATAGCTGATTTGATTTAAGCTTGAACAACTTAACTATTTAGGAATTTGGGGAGGTTTTTTTTTGTGTGTGTGTTAACTTCTGTATTCTTTTTTTTTAAAAAAAGATATTTATTAAAATTTCAACATATTACAAAAATAAGCAAAAAAAGAAAGAAAAAATAAAAAGAAAAAAAATAGAAAATGAAAATACAAGATAAAAACAATTAAAAAACAGATTAGTCTTTACATGTCTTATGTTTCATTTGCTTGTTTCCCCGACCTCCTCACACCTCCCTTTTTTGTATTCCAATTCAAATTAATTAATTCAGCAAATCCTTTCCCTCTTTGATTTTATCTTAATCTTTTATCTTAATATATTATAACTTTAAGTTATCACCTGTTAACAATCCATTTTTATATATTCCTTTATAACATTGCTGCTAAAAACCACTTAACTTCAGTCCAACATCATTCTAACATTCATTAATTTTGCAGTATTTCTGTAAATAGTCTTTAAATTTCTTCCAATCTTCTTCCACCGACTCTTCTCCCTGGTCTCAGATTCTGCCAGTCATTTCCGCCAGTTCCATATAGTCCATCACCTTCATCTGCCATTCTTCCAGAGTGGGTAAATCTTGTGTCTTCCAGTACTTTGCAATAAGTAACTTCTGTATTCTTTCCCTGCAGGCATTGGGTTGTATCCTCTATCTGTTGTGCTTCAGGCAACATCCATTCGAAGATGGAGCTAAGCTTCGAATAGTCAATGGAAAATATTCAATTCCTCAGAATGACACAAGATACACAGTGTTTCATGATCTCATTCGTAAGTTTAAGTCTGTAATGCTAAAATCACTTGGGGCAAATGAAAGGGGAATGAACTGATGTATGAATTTAGGGTTCTTTTTGTTTGCTTCCTTTGCAAAAATGCACCTTTTTAAAAATAGTTTCTGTTCATGTAATTAATGGGAAATGACAGTATACATGCAGGTTGAAGAGAAAATCCATGAATATAAGAAATTAGAAGTGGCAGTGAAGTTAACCGTTCCATCTTTTTATTATTTGAGTGTAGTGTTGACTTTATTCCAGTGCACAGGTAGGCGATTTATGGCCCACCCGATGATGTGTACTACAACTTCCATCAGCTCAAGCCAGCATGGCCAGTGATCAGAGATGATGGGAGTTGGGAGTCTTAAATTTTTGGAAAGCACTAGTTTAGGGAAGCCTTGTTCTAGCATATGTGGAAGGGATTCACCACTCCTGGCTGACTAAAAGTATTATACAGCCCAGCATGTTCTGAGCTTCTCCCTTTTCTTAGAGAATTCTCAGCTATTCACAATTCGAAGCCCTTGATCACTGAAACAATTAAAGCCACATCTTGTGGTATAACTGAAGTTATGCAAATATTTGTTAGCCAGGTCTTTTACCCATGTTGAAAGTCTCTTTGGATGACTGGCAGGATAGAAATCTTAGGCCAGGGGAAACCAGAAATTTGTCTTTGAGATCTGCAGATTAAACCCCTGTTTCAATAATCTGTTGTGTCATTTTATTAGGATCGAGTCTGAAAGTGAATCCGGAAGAGAGGCTGTCTATCACGGAGCTTGTGAATCAATTGCAGGAGATTGCAGCTGCTAGAAATGTGAACCCAAAGTCGCCTATCACAGAGGTAATTGGAGCTATTGAGCAAAGCCTTATGGTTTGGGGTCCTCTGCACTGAAACTCCAAATCGCTCGTTGAAGATGCGCCAATGTTGGAATAAGGCAAATAGATTGGCGTGCTTCGTACAATTCTTCCAAAAGCAATGTTGTCAAATAAATTCTGTTCTGTTTCCCATCCTCTGGACTCTGATCTCAGAAGTCAGGGAATAAGGGGAATAAATAGCAGGTATAGAGAAACCCCAACCTCGTGCCCCTCAGCATTTTGGACTACAATTCCCATCATCCATGGCCCATTGGCTATGGAGACTGAGGCTAATGGAGGCTGTTAGTGGGCATGAGTTTGGGAGAGGCTGGTAGAGAGCAAGATCTGCTTCATTTCTAGTCATCTTGGCATTTGCACGTGAATAATCTTTTTTATTATTTCTGGACTGCTTGAAATATAAGTGCTGATCAAACTTTGCAACATTCCCTTCCCACAATCTACCAAACGCATTTGGTGCTTCACATACAATGTGACGTTTGCATCCCTCTTGTAAAGTAGATCAGTTCTATCTCTGTATTGCAGAAGAAGCAATATGAGGTTGGGCCGATAGGAAATTGAGAGGGTGATAGTTTGCCTAAAGCTACCTAGCAAGATTGCTTTTGGAGGGCAGAGTTGAAACAAGGACTTTGATGGTGTAGAGGCTAAGAGCTTGAGCTCCAGTCATCAGCCCTTTTGGACCTGGACTCTCCTCTAACCTCTGTGCTGTGTTATGGGACCCTCTTTAATTAAAATACACACACACACACAAACACACACACACACACATTTACAGTGGTACCTCTGGATGCAAACGGGATCCGTTCCGGAGCCCGTTTGCATCCTGAGTACAATGTAACACGCGTCTGCTCGTCTGCGTCTGTGCGGGTCGCGTTTTGCCGCTTCCATACATGCGCATGACGTCATTTTGAGCGTCTGCGCATGCGTGAGTGGTGAAACCCGGAAGTAACGCACTCCGTTACTTCTGGATCGCCATGGAGCATAACTTGAAACGCTCAACCTGAAGCATATTTAACCTGAGGTATGACTGTACTGTATATATTGACTTTTCTCTAGCTTTGATGAGCTATCTTGGCAAGTATAGCTTGTCATGCAGTGCTGCGGGAAGTGGTATGTGCTGACATTTCCTCTTCCAGAGTAAAGGAGCATTATCCTCCTTCATACTTAATTGACCTTCGTATAAAGATTTCTGTTTTTTTCACCTCAATTAATTTTTCTGCCAGCTTCATTAGATGAAAAACTCAAATGAATAAAATAGAGAATAGTGGTGGAACCCATTTTATGGCCAGGATACAATTCGTTTGTGGATCCCACCTGGCAAGTGGCTTTAAGATGCTCTGTATTGCTTGTACCCTTTGGTGGGGTGTGTGTTTGAAAGAGATCAAAGTACTAATTCTGGAAATGACTGCTTTTCTTTCCAGCTCCTTGAACAAAATGGAGGCTATGGAAATAACGCTCTGCCTAGGACATCTTCAGCTGTAGTAACACAGAACTCAAAGCCAGCAGGGCAGCTCAACAACATGTACAATGCAGGTATATTCCCAAATATTCCCCCCTCCCCCTTTTTTTAATCAGAGCTTCAAAATATGTGAGATCTCCCAGTACCATGTCTGGTTGTACTTCTTGGCAGTTTCTTTTCCGACCATTTGTTTAATAATGGGACTAAGCCTTTCTAAAGAAATGCAAAAATATAGGAGAGAGTTTAAGTGTACCACCAAATTGTTTGACACTGAAGCTAATAGACTGAAATTGTGCTCAGTTACTTTTCTGTGCCCTTGGCTCTTAGGTCTGACGGTAGCCGAATGTGACCAGACTTACAGCGGATTCTTTGATATTCTTAGGGGCGGGACGGAGAGGTTTCTCACAAATATCAAGGACACATCTTCAAAAGTTATTCAGTCTGTGGCCAAGTAAGTAGAACTGTAACTGTGCTGATAAAGGGAATGCAGATCCACAAACATAATTCACCTCTCCCTCAGTGCATTGGGTATTTTATGTACTGTGTCTTTCCCGCCCCCACATGTGGTTTTTAAAAAGAGATGGCCTTCTCCAAAACTTGTGAAAAAGCAGGAAGGGGTGGGTTATGATAGGATCAGCGGATGAATCTCTGCTTTGGGCACTATCCTGATTCAAGATATTGTGGTTATGTGGTTTTGGAACTTCCAAAACTTTTGGAAACCAAGGTGTGGCTTCCAGCTGGCTGCAGGAAGCTCCTGCAGCCAATCGGAAGCCACGTCGGACATTCGGGTTCCAAAGAACATTTGCAAACTGGAACAGTCACTTCTGGGTTTGTGGCGTTTGGGAGCCAAAACTTTCGACTTGCAAAGTATTTGGGATCCAAGGTACGACTGGAAGAGGCATTTTATGTGTGCAAAGTTGTGTCTATCACTAGAAAAAGCTGCTTTAAAAAAATAATCCCTAACCTGGTTTATACTGCAAATGTTACATTATTGGAGAGGTTTGAGCTCTCATACTGAGAATATTGTACTGACACAACCACACAAGTTCAGGACAGAGCTAGATGCAATAGCGAGCATAAGGTCTGCTGCCCTGCTCAGCAGCAAGGTTTCTGGTTTGACTCCTACCCTTCTGTTTCATGCAGTGCAACTTGGCACTGTGACAACCTGCAATTCCATGCCATCTGGTCCACAGACCACCTGCTAAAAGCAAGTGGCAACGTGGGATCCTAGCCAGCATAGGTTAAGAAATATGTAATATCCCAGTAGCTGAATGTTTAGAAGGAACATTTGAAGCATAGCAGTTTCTGTTTGGCTTGACTCCCCCACTTGTAAAAATAAACTTGGGAAAGGCACAGAAATCCCCATCTACCGAGCCTGGCAAGCTCCAAATGTTATTGGATGTTCCAAATTAGCTTGTTTATTTAGCTGTCTTAATATTGCCTTTCAGGGCCAAAAAGGGGTGCCTCTCAATTAAAAACGTAACTATTTAAAACCTAAAACAGTAACTATAAAATGTAGCGCATAAATAAAGTGCAGTAATTAGAATCAGCAAGTTCATTCATTTTAAAAGCAGATTGGAATAGTGAAGTCTTTAAAGACTCAAGTTCACAGCCAGACACACAGCTGGGTGGAATGTCCCAGGGACAGGGCTACCACTGAAAAGGCCCTGTCTCTTGTGACTGCCATACTTCAGTTTGTGGTGCAAAAAAAAGGGGGGGAATAGGGTGCTTAACATATGTATGGTTTGTTTGTTTCTTTAAGTAAAACATGAGCTTATTATAAATACAAAGAATAGTACATCTCTAAACCCATAAGGATCAACAGTAAATCTGGCATTTAACATGTGATTGCCAGCACATTCAAAGACTACCTGGAATAAAAAAAAGGTAGGAACCGGTCCCTACAAACTAAAAATATGGAACAGATTAGCTACTTTTTGGGGTGGGGGTGGGGAGAGAGGGAGCACACAAGCATGGGGCTACCATAGGAAAATTCTTGCTACTGGAAGCTGCCAGTTGAGCTTCGAGACAGCTGAGGAACTCAAGAGTGCGCCCCCCCCCGAATATAAGCCAGCCTAACCCATCCTCTGGTGCCCTCCTGGTGATGCCAGACTACAGCTACCCTCAACCTCAGCCAGCATGGCCCATGTTCAGGGATGCTGGGAGTTGTGGTTCCAAATATCTGAAGAGCCTCAAGGTTAGTAGAAGGGATTCTCCAACACCCTGCTTCTCTGTAATTTTAAACACAAGAATTGGTATAGTTAATCATGCATGGAAGTTTACCAGTACCCAGTGGAACTCTTTCAACATGGGTGCCTCATGGTGAAGGTTGTGTCTATAATCGCAGTGCAGTTCTAGGTGTCTGCAGTGTGCTTGTGTTCTGGGTTCGCCAGCCTTTATTTACCTTTCCTGTTCAGATGATCGGCAGCCACTGCAGCTGGAAGGCATCAGTGGGGTTTGGGGGCACAATTTCCTAGCTGAATGCAGAGGCGTAGCATGGGGGGTGGGGGGGCACATTGCCCCAGGCACTGTTTTTGGAGGGGCGCATGAGCTGTTGCGGCCTTCTCATGCCATTCTCCAGCTGGAGGGTGGCTTGAGAAGGACGCAACAGGCATGCGTCCTGCCAACCCTGCGCCGCTTTTGCAAGTCCCAGAAAGCGGAGCTGGGCTCCCAGGGCGATGTCGGCCCAAATCTGCTGGCTGGGCTCCGCACTGCACAGCTGGGGAGGAGGTGCAGCCCAGCCCTGCTTAGCTCCAGTGGGTGGGGGTTACTCCAGTGGCATGCCCCACCCTCGTGGTGCACCGCATGCGCCCACCCCACCCCCAGGCGCTACCAGAAAATGCTCTGCCACAGCTGAATGGTTATTTATAGCATGGGTTCCCCCAAAGTACTGTACCTACATGTACTTCTATGGCAACTTGGGAGAACTGGCAGAAAATGTTGATTTCGGGGGTAGGGCATTCCTCTTGCCCCTGGCACCCATCAGCCGAGCCTCTGTAGACAGAGACTATGGAGAGGGAAAGCCCTTGTCATAAGGCACTTAGCTAATAAGTACCGTGTTTTTCTGTGTATAAGACGCCCCCATGTATAAGATGCCCCCTATTCTTGGGGACTCCAAATTAAGAAAACATCCCTCAGCACTACCCGTGTATAAGATGAGCCCATAGCTGTCAACCTTCTCTTTTTTTGTGGGAAATTCCCTTATTCCAGTGCCGTTTCCCACTGCTTCCCACTGCTATCCCAGATTGTTAGATACCCTGTAGACTGTCCCTGGGACAGGTGAGGCTGCTGATCCCTTATTTTCAAATCTGAAAGTTGACAGCTATGGACGAGCCCCAATTTTAAACCTAATTTTTTGGTAAAAAAAACCCTAGTCTTATACACGGAAAAATACGGTACATTAAACTTATAGAGAGGCTTGAGGCTTATTACTGTGGAGTGATTATGACCTCAAGGTTAAGGTAACCAATGGTAAGTCATCTTCCATTCACCTTTTTCATGATGCAGTTTTTGTTGGTTACCCAAGGGCAGAGGCCTCATAGGCCCAAGGGTAGATCAGCTGGCCCTCCTCCCATCTTCCTGCTCTCTCCCAAGTGTGGCGCTCGAATGCTAGCCGCCGTCTTCTGCCAGAGAGAAACCCCTCTGGGATGGACTGGAACCGTCTCTTTCAAGCAGGGCCTTTCCTGGGCAAGGTGAAAAAGCTGACACTTCAGTAAAGGTCTTTTGAGGGCCCAGGTGTGGATGGACTTGACCATGGGGAACTGGTTAGTGACGCTAGGGAGAATTGTATAGCACCTGAGTCAAAGAAACCCAAGCCAAAAGCAAAACCCCACTACAGAATTTGTGCTTGGTTAGTTCTTAATGAGCCCAGTCATATTGCTAGTATCCTCCGTGCTGAAATCATGCTGTGCAATAAATCAAAGGCTCTTGTATGTACATGTTATGAACGTAAATAGTAAAAAACTGCATTTTTCCACTGCAAAATGGTGAGCTATTGTGGTAATCTATAAAACCAAAGGAAAGGGTTTGGTATGAATTTTATGTTCTCGCTGTTAAAGCTGATGCCATATTTAACTTATAGGTACCGTATTTTTCGCTCTATAAGACGCACCAGACCATAAGGCGCAAGGAGGAAAACAAGAAAAAAAATATTCTGAATCTCAGAAGCCAGAACAGCAAGAGGGATCACTGCGCAGTGAAAGCAGCAATCCCTCTTGCTGTTCTGGCTTCTGGGATAGCAGCGCAGCCTACATTTGCCCCATAAGATGCACACACATTTCCCCTTACTTTTTAGGAGGGAAAAAGTGAGTCTTATAGAGCAAAAAATATGGTAGATACCTGCTTGCTCCCCAAAAGAAATAATTTGCACGAGCAGCGTAAAGGTTTATTTATTGGCTTTCTTAACACACATCCCTTCACCACAAGGCCTCTGGGCAGGTTACAACAACATAGCACATTGCAGCTCATATCTTTTTAGCCAAAATATATTTTATCTCTACTGAGGCCCAGATCCGAAGAACTATGCATGAGCTCCACACTTCGAAAGGGGTCTTGTAGCTGGTGTTTGCTTGTTGCTTTTTCTTTGTAGCATGGCACTGAAAGGAGTTTTGAATAGCAGACTTGCTTCCACCCTCACCCCCAGCATTGCTCTAAAGAGCAGACAGAATGCCTTCCAAGGAAAAACAGGAATAAATAGAAATCCCAGTGCCTTTTGGGTTCGCTAACAATAATTTTTGGAACCCATTTTAAGTAATCTGGGACACCGTAGGTGATGAAAGGTCTTATGTCTGAGGTTTTGTAATTCTGAAACTGCAGTTTCCATATTGCTAGTATGAGATAATTTCCAAACTGTGAGAATTACCACTTGCACCATAACCATATGTGTGTTTACTTGGAAGCAAACTGGTTTGAGACTGATGGTGTGCCAAGTAAACATGATATTGGGGGTAGGTAGGCAGGGAGATCCATTGTCTCTGTGCAACTGGCACATATCACTGAAGTGCAACATGACTAACCAGCCTCAGCGGGGTATTAGGAACATTCATGCAAATCGCTTTTGAGCTAAATGAAATGCCATTCCCTTGACTCCTGATGAGGTTTCTATGTTCTGTGTCAATGTTGCATTTGCTTAACGCTCCTTTCAGTTATGATATGAATTGGTTGGATGTATAGTATCACTTGAAGCTCAAACCTTAAATTGCTTCTTATTTTCTTTATATATTTTGCCATTAAATGGTTTTCAAAGCAATGCAAACAAATGAAACTGCAATGGCTAGTGCTCTTTTTATTTGTTTTTTTAGGTTCCTAGCATTAATGGTTTTCATTACCTATAGTAAAGGTAAAGGTAAAGGGACCCCTGACCATTAGGTCCAGTCGTGACCGATTCTGGGGTTGCGTGCTCATCTCGCTCTATAGGCTGAGGGAGCCAGCGTTTGTCCGCAGACAGCTGCCGGGTCATGTGGCCGGGCATGACTAAGCTGCTTCTGGCAAACTAGAGCAGCGCACGGAAACGCCGTTTACCTTCCTGCCGGAGTGGTACCTATTTATCTACTTGCACTTTGACGTGCTTTCGAACTGCTAGGTTGGCAGGAGCAGGGACCGAGCAACGGGAGCTCACCCCATCGCGGGGATTCGAACTGCCGACCTTCTGATTGGCAAGTCCTAGGCTCTGTGGTTTAACCCACAGCGCCACCCTCGTCCCTGTTACCTATAGTAGTGTTTTCCTAATGTGACTTAAGGCATTCGTTAAGGAGGGAAAGCAGTATTTGTTTTTCAGAGGGTTATGAGATGGTTGTTTTGGAGAGGGCTTTCTCTCGTTCTCTTTTTATTTTGCATCTTGATTTTGCGTGTGACGCTTATTTCCTTGCCCATTTTCCCCCCCTCCTTCAACTTTCATCAATCCATGCCCACGTTCTTAGCAGTCCAAGGTAAATATGCCACAATTGTCTGTGTTCTCTGTGTTGCATGCTAACAGGATTGTCTTAACCCGCTAACATTAACTATGTCATACTGAGAAGTTTCTGAACTCTCAAGTTATACATAAGAGATGACACGCTAATCGTGTTCAATGCATTGGCCCCTACACATTGGTAGACCTACAACAATATGAATAAGGGATTGTCCTTTGGCTGCCGGATTTTATTCTACTTAAGTATCTTTTGATAGTCTTAATACATGTATAACTTCAGAGCTTCTGGTTTTGTTTTGTTTTTAAAAAACAAATCTGCCAAATTTCTACATCTTTCTTTCTCTTGATGCTCTAGGAGGCTTAGTTTGGTCAGAATTGAGTATGCACTTCTGGAGTTAACGCTGAATGTATTACTTCTGGTAAATGAGTCACCATGGCCACTAGAGGGCCGTGAAAATTTGTGTCCTGGGCTTTTTAGACTCGTCTTCCCATCTGAAACCAAAGGGACACATTGGTTGCCAGATGTGAAATGCATTATTTTTAGCTGTCGTACCCCACTACAAAACCAGCTTAGTAGGGGATGCTGTGGGGTAAGGGGGAAAGTCCCATTGCACCAGCAGACGTCTTTCTGCGACCACAATAACTTAGCTGAATCCTGCCCTACACCTCTTAGTCCAGTTCAGTGCCAGATTTACATATAAGCTAAACAAGCTACAGCTTAGGGCCCCATTCTCTTGGGGGGCCCCAAAAAAATTAAAGGAAAAAAACCCTGGGTGTACATTTCCAAAATATAAGATAAAAAACAAATAAAATAAAATAAAACCTACATACAGCAACAGTGTTTTGTGTAGTGTAGGCTCCTATGGTGTAAGTAATGGGCCCCACATATGGCATATATTCAACACAAAAAAAACAGTGACAATTTGTTGTTGACAAAGGAGAGCTAGACATTTAAAGGACCCCATTACCTTCAGTAGCTTAGGGCCTCATCAAACTTAAATCTGGCCCTGGTCCAGAGAGTAACTAAGGAATGATTGGGAGACAAGTTTTAGCTGGTCTTAATATGCAAGGCAGGTTTCGGTGCATGTTGAAGAAATGGAAGCAAAATGTTGCAGGGCAGGGCACACAGGGTGGTGGAACTAAAGACAATAAAACCATAACCACCACAATGAACGCATGTTATTTCATGGTGAGTACCTTGCTTCATCTAGTCATCTAGTCCAGGCTTCCTCAAACTCGGCCCTCCGGATGTTTTTGGCCTACAACTCCCATGATCCCTAGCTAGCAGGACTAGTGGTCAGGGATGATGGGAATTGTAGTCTCAAAACATCTGGCCGGCTGAGTTTGAGGAAGCCTGATCTAGTCCAACCCCCTGAAATGCAGGAATCTGAGCTACTTCATATATGACAGGTGGTCATCCAACCTCTGCTTAAAAACCTCCAAGGAAGGAGAGTCCACCACCTCTCGTGGGAGTCTGTTCCGCTGTCAAATGAAGTGTTTCATATGGACTTGGACCACAAGTGTGAATGCTTAAAAGAAAGTCGGTGTCCTTTTCTAAAAGCACCTGTGTGTGTGATTGACTGACAGTACAGTCAAACCTCTGTTGTCGAACGTAATCCAATCCGGAATTGGGAACGTTCGACTTCCGAAACGTTCAGCAACTGAGGCGTGGCTCGTTTGGATTCTGAAAAATGTTAAAAAACCAGAGCATTTACTTCTGGGTTTTCGGCATTCAGGAGCTGAAACGTACGATAACGGAGGCTTTCAGGAACTGAGGTTTGACTGTACCTAGCTGGCAACACATAAACCTATTCTAGTTTAGGAATATTCTTTCATGTTGAGTGGAGACACACACAACTGATTAAAAAGTAGTGAAACAGAAGACTGGACTGACCAGCTGACCTAAACATTCAGCAAAATGGACTCCATCCAGGGACTGTACCACACTGGACTGTAAATGAAGGGGTGGGAAATAATTGTATTTTTTAAAGTGCTTTCTCTGTGTGCACACATATGTGCAAACACAACTTTCTATACACTGTGGAAAGGACTAGACTACAACTGCCATCCCCAATGTGCAAATTTTCTACTTGCTGGGAGTTTTCCTAACATAAACAGGGATATTTAAAAAATGAAACTTATCTCCAAGCCCCCACCCTGCCCAGCAGGGCTTTTGTTAAAAGAAGGAAACTTGTGCCTTCCTGGAATGTGTGTGGGAAGTTTTTGTATCTTAAGGTTATCTGTTTGGAGAGTGGGCATGGGTTGTGCTTGCTCTGTAGTATTTTGCCTCCACAATATTTCTTTAACAATGCCAATCCTCTATTTCAAATTATAAACACACTTATAAGGAGTCTAAAGGATACCTGTGGTGCTGACCTAGGTTAACCTGCTTCTGTTCAATTCTTCTTATTTCTGTTCACTTGTTTGCTTGCGACTGATACACCTTTATGCTGGTTTATCAATAGTATTTTGTGTATTTCCACTTAAAGTGCTAATCCATCTCTCTTAGTTCAGTTCTCTTTTAAGGGAGGCTCTTTCTGTGCACTCATGAATTAGTAACGTCTTTGTTTTTTGCTTAACCATAGAGCAGGGCAAGGGAACCTGGTGCCCTCCAGATGTTGTTGGACTCTAAATCCCAGCAGCCTTAGCCAGACAGGCCAGTGGTGAGGAATGATGGGAGTTGTAGTCCAGTATTTTGAGGGCCACAGATTCTAAAGCTCTGCTGTAGAGACATTCCTAAATCTTTTCCCCTCTGTGTAAAACCTTGTTACTAGTGGCCAAGTGAAGCATAAACTGGGTTAGGTGAGTCAGTGTTGTGGGAACCTAGAAAAGCCCCAGAAATCATATTTTGTTTGAACCCTCTCCAAAAGTGGTAGAAGAATGAGAGAAGTCATCAAAATTGTATTGCTTTGTATAGTCCTGATTTTATTTTTTTTAATAAGGCATGTACACACTCCTACATCTAACCCCATCAGCTCATTGCCAGATCCTCAAGATGCTACACCGACTCAGCAGATCTGAGAGGTGGGAAGCAGCTTGTCAATTTCATATTGGTGGTGAACCTTGGTCTCAGCATTGTAGCTGTTGGCTCAGTGGCACCAATAATGTGCCCCTTGGCCTGTGGATTGCAGAAGGACCATACAAGGGGCATAGCTGAGTCAAGGCTAGCAGAGAGCTGCAATATTGCCTATGAGCCTCCTGCACAACGTAGTATATGAACTTTCCCTGTTAGCTCCGGAGGTGGGAACCATGATTCAGTCATTTGCCACTATTCATTGCAGTAAGGAGGGGAAGGAGAGCAGGGTGTATCTGCCCACTTCATCAAGTCAAGGAAGCTTCTACAGCCGCTGTGGCTTGAAGTTAGTGCTGCAGTAGCCATGGGAATAATGGGATATTAACCTCACAAACCTTTCGTGCAGATCAGTCTTGCCCATCCGAGTGCACTCCAGGCATGGGGACTACAACTTCCATCATCTTTGACTATGTTGACCGGTAGCTGAGTTGACCTGTAGTCCCATACATCTTGAGGGCATGAATTTGGGTTAAGCTGATGTAGATCATTGGGAATAGTCTTATCTCTCTCCCTCTGCCCGCCCCCCATAAGAATTTTCGTAATTCTGTTGCCTTAAGTATTCAAAACATTCAGTTTCAGGATGTTTGATGTGTCTCATATTCTGCCCGGGAGGCAGAGAGCTTTATGAATGGGACGGTGCCATCTGCTCACTAACTTACGCTGCTGTGCTAGATTCTTTAGTTACCTTCTATAATTTGGAAATCTGAGACAGATGTAGGAGAGACTCTCCAAAGGTGGGTGGGAGGTGTTGGTATTCCAACTTGAAGGGCAAGGAAGCTGGAACAGGGAACATAGTAAGGTACCTCCCATCCTGAAAACTGTCTCCATTTTCGAACCAGCCTAGAGATTCTGTAGTTTTAACTTGAGTATTCCTCTCTTTATATTTCAGTTATGCCAAGGGAGATCTGGATTTATCATACATCACTTCCAGAATTGCTGGTATGATAAGATCATCCTTTATCAAATTTCATATTCTAGCTGTTTTTATGAAAACAAAGGCTTGAGCCTCTGCTATCGTTTTTTCCCCTTCTTCCTCCCCAGTGATGTCCTTTCCGGCAGAAGGTGTTGAGTCTGCAATAAAAAACAACATAGAAGATGTGCGGTTGTTCTTAGACTCGAAACATCCCGGACGCTATGCTGTCTACAATCTGTCTCCGAGAACGTACAGACCCTCCAGATTTCACAATAGGGTTTGTAAGCCAGTGCTGCTTTGCCACTGTTCCTTTTGCCATTGCAATGTCTTCTTCTTTTCCAGTAGAAACTCGTAACCTGGTGCTTCCTTGACATGTGGGAAGCTGTAAGAGTTGCTAGGATGTCCTCTACCTGCTTGGCTTCCCTGTACAAATGAGAACATTTTTGGAATGGTTTGGACTGTTTCCAGAATGCTTTAAAAATGTTTTTGGTATTGATGTGTTTAGTGCCCTGGGCTCCTTCAGATGGAAGGGCAGGATATAAGTTTAATAATAATAAATAATAATAATAAATCATAATTTCTGGCCCTTGGCCATGTTGGCTGGAGGCTGGCTGAGACTGCTGTAAGTTGTAGTCCAAAACATCTGGAAGCCACCAGGTTAGCGCTATTGTGTGTTCATATTTCACTTCTTTGTGCTTGACTGGTAGCCTCTGGATTTAGATGGGGAAACCTGGGTAGAAAGCATCGCTGTGGTAGTTCCTCAGTGGCCTTAGGTGAGTCACAAATCCCTCACCCTTCTTGCAGCATTGTAGTAAACTGAAACATTCTGCTTATACCCTGAGCTGCTTGGCTGAAATAAATGATAAAACATGGGAGAGAGACATATTTTATCACACCCTGCTTTCTTATGACAGGGGTGTTAACTCCTTTCGGAAAGGGCGATGTGCAGGTTCTGGTTTCCAAAAAAGCGTGGAAATGGGTTTAGAGCAGCAGTATAAACAGATGCCATGAGACCAAAGGAGACCTTTTTTTTTAAAGAAAAGCCCATACCTATACCAGTGCTACACTTTAATCTAAATTGTGTTATGTTGCTAAATGATGAGGACAATTGGAAATGTGCAGAAATTCAGCAAGATTAGCCTAGCATATTTCTGTAGTACTTTCTTAACATTGTGAAACAGATGGCAGGTCGTCACAGGCCTGCTAAGCTGCTGAGCTTCCTTTTATGAAATTTGCAAAGTATAATTGAGGGTTCAGAGTCTGAAATAGCATGTCTTGGCTTTGGTCATCTTGTCCGCTTCTGGAGATCTTTTTTGGGGGTGGGAGGAGTTGAATATTTATTTCATTTGTTATAGAGCAGGCTTGAAAGCTATACAAGTTTCTGATTATAATTAGTTAAATCCATGCACCCCACCCTGTACTGTCTCTAAAACAGGTGTCTGAATGTGGCTGGCCAGCAAGGCGTTCGCCAAACCTTCAAAACCTTTATAGCATTTGCAAGAACATGCATGTATGGCTGAAGCAAGACCCAAAGAATGTTTGCATTGTGCACTGCCTTGTAAGTAGCAACAGGTCTTGAAATGCCCCTGTAGCTCCAACAATACAAGAAAGTTGGAAAGAAATGTTGACTCAAAATCCTCCACGAATGGATTGGTTTTGGGGGGGGGGGGAGCAAATAGAATGGTTTTAAAAACTAAGCATTGTAGATTGCAAAGAGAAGAGAGATATCATAACATAAGAGTCAACATTTGAAAGGTGATAGGAGGAGAAACCACTGAGCAGCTGATCCACTTGGAATTTCAACTCCACCACCCCCAAACCCAGTTAAACGTATACAGAAAATGGGGGATTTGAAGTAATACGGAAGTTGGGACTTAACCAAACTGCATCAAAATGCCCAAGAAGTATCTGTACTCTGTTCGTATCACTGGGACAAAGAGAGCTTTCTTCCTCCCTCACAGACCAGAGCTTGTGCCTAATTGCTCGTGAATTCGGTGGTGGACTTGTGACATTTCTTTGATTGAAAACATTATCCAAGAGCTGGTATATAATAAATGACATTTCCCCATCAATAGCTACTGTTCCTACCCTTGTATCTTTTTCTTTTGGTAGGACGGAAGAGCAGCGTCAGCCGTCGTCGTGTGTTCTTTCTTATGTTTCTGCCGTCTGTTCACTACGGCCGAAGCCGCTGTTTATATGTTTAGCATGAAGCGCTGCCCGCCAGGCATTTGGCCATCCCATAAGAGGTGAGCAATTGTTCAGCTGTTCAATGAAGCCGTGTTCTCCTTTCTTCTTTTTTGTAGAAGCCCTGATATATGTTATGAAAATGGAGATAGACGGAAGATTAAAAACAGAAAGACGGGGGTGGGGGGGGAGTGGTGCATCTCATGCAGACATTACACACTACATTGATTTTTTTGAATTGCATCAAAGGGCTCTACCTCTCCCTGTAATCTGGTGAACCGGGTTTGCTTCTCTGCTCCTCCACATGCAGCTGCTGGGTGACCTTGGGCCAGTCACACTTCTTTTAAGTCTCTCAGCCCCACTCACCTCACAGAGTGTTTGTTGTGGGGGAGGAAGGGAAAGGAGAATGTTAGCAGCTTTGAGACTCCTTAGGGTAGTGATAAAGCAGGATATCAAATCCAAACTCTTATTCTTCTCTTCTTCTTCCATTGATAGGACTTTAATATCTGTGTAGTGCTTACTTGAAAGCACTTCACAGGCTAGCTGCATGATCCGGTGTGGTTGGTTCATTCTTTAGTGAGCAGGAAACAAGTGACATCTTCCACTCACCTGTTTGCCTGGAATAATTGCTGTTTGCCCCAAGCAAGTAGCAAACTATGCAGAAGTTGCAAAATATGGCCCTTTTCTGTAAAGAGTCAATAATTATTTGTGTGAGCTTTTAACTATGCCCTATTAGGTATGCATTCAGTAAGGTACACTTGTAAATAGCCGCTTGTTTGACTAACCATGACATGTAAAATCTCAACAATTTTATTTCCCAAAGTTAAAACCATGCTCAAGGTGGCTTACAATATATAAAAAAATTATGTAACTGCAAACATAACAGAAGTAGTCATAAACAAAACATTGAAAAGCACACAGACAAAGTGAACGATTTCCACATAAATCATAAAAGTATAAAGATTAAAATCAACAACAGTACCTCAGCCCAAGAGTCTGTTCAGCTGCCTCAGTTTTTGTGGCTGGAGCCCTATTCTTCAAGGCTAGGTGGAAAAACGGCCTGCAAGGCGCAGAACATTTTCTAGGACTCATTTCCCTGGGCAGGGAAGCGTTAAAAAAATTGAAGAGAACTGCCCTTTTATTGTTTTCAGATAATCTGTGGGCCTCAAATGTTGGCATGTAACACATGTGGCTAGAGGGAGCAGGGAAGTATTCCTATGGACTAGAAACTTTTTGTGGACTTGCAAAGCTGTGAACGACCGACCAGGGTGTGCAGAGTTGAGTTCATAGTTTCACCGACTCGAAGCATTACATTATTTGACTTCTGCTGCTTCCTTGTTTCCACAGGTATATAGAGTACATGTGTGACATGATGGCTGAAGAGCCCATCATCCCCCACAGCAAGCCAATCCTCATCAAGTCTATTGTCATGACTCCAGTCCCTCAGTTCAACAAGCAGCGCAATGGCTGCAGGCCTTTCTGTGAAGTTTATGTCGGGGACGAAAGAGCAGCCACTACCTCACAAGAATATGATAAAATGAAGTAAGTGGGTAGCGAGGCCTGAGTTTCTCGGGGGTCCGTGTTAATGTCATCTACAGTCCAGGCAGAAACTTCCCACTTAGCTTTTTCATCCTTAACTTTCTTGTGTGGCAACTTGAGAGTAGCTCAGCTTCCTTTGAAACATTCCTGCGAGAAGGAATAGGAGCCCTGTGTGTGTAGCTTGATGAAAGCTGGGCATGGCCTCACTGCCGCAATCCACCGTCTCGCACCCTCTGGGCACCTTGGGGGTTGAAGAAATCAAATTGTAACCAGTTAGAGTGGTACCGCGGTTCTCAAATGTAATCCATTCCATAAGACTGTTCGGCTTCCAAAACGTTCGAAAACAGAGGTGCAAAGGGCAGTCTGCAAATTGCGTTGGGAAATTGAAAAAACACGCAGCGGAAGTTGTTCGACTTCCGAGGCGCATTCAAAAACGGAAGCATTTACTTCTGGGTTTTTGGCGTTCGGGTTCCAAAACTTTTGTCAACGGAGACGTTCGAGAACCGAGCCTGGCACCCTCCAGATATTGCTGGACTACAGTTCCCATCATCCCTGACCTCTGGTGGCAGGGGATGATCGAAGTTGGAGACCAACAACATCTGAGGGAGCGGGTCTGCGCATTCCCCCACCTGTGCCGTAATGTTTCTAAATTGCACTGCTGCATATTGACGTGTGATGCCTGGTTTTTCTTCCTCTCCCTTAGGGATTTTAAGATGGAAGATGGCAAAGCTTTGATCCCGTTAGGCATAACAGTCCAAGGAGATGTTCTCATTGTTATCTATCATGCCAGGTCCACTTTGGGTGGCAGACTCCAAGCCAAGGTAAGCTGAAAAGATAGAACTGTATTTTATTTTAATTTTGGTATGAAACTCCGCTGGGGTTCTTGAGGGATATTTTTACTTGCCATAGCACCCAATTCCTATTTCAGGCAATGCATTTGCCCACATGGCTGGACAAGACTGATTATAGCTGCCCTACATCTGGAGAAGCAGAAGAGGAGACAATGCTCCACATGCTTTTAATAAATTATAGAAGTAACAAAGGGATTTCACTGGCCAAAGTCACTAATAATATCAGCAGGCAGGGAATATCTCTGGTGCAGTGCACGATATTGCGTAACATTAATTGCTTCATTTCACATTATTTCTATTATATCTTATTCGTTTAATTAATTTTAGGTATTTAGATACCGCTCAATGCTCAGAACTTGTATGTGGTGTTCATAAAATGTGTTTTTTTTTTAAAAAAACAACAACAGAGAATGAGAACAACTTAAAATTCATCACAAAGACAGAAATCATGTCCTGTCCTTTTCTTTCTTTCTTTGTATTGCTTTGCAAGATGGCATCAATGAAGATGTTCCAGATCCAGTTTCATACAGGATTTGTCCCGCGGAATGCCACTACTGTGAAATTTGCAAAGTACGTTGATAACCTGTTTGGTGATAACTTTCCCCAGCGTAATGGCAACAAGTACTCCCACTTTAACTGCAGAAGTAGTTTTGCAGTCGTGTGTGTGTGTTTTAAACTGTAGTTTTCTCTTTAACACTCTTCCTTAGCTGTGTATGGTAGTACCTCTGGCTACAAACTTAATTCGTTCTGGAGGTCCGTTCTTAACCTGAAACCGTTCTTAACCTGAGGTGCCACTTTAGCTAATGGGGCCTCCTGCTGCTGCCATGCCACTGGCGTGCGATTTCTGTTCTCATTCTGAGGTAAAGTTCTTAACCTGAGGTACTACTTCCGGGTTAGCAGAGTCTGTAACCCAAAGTGTTTGTAACCCGAGGTGTTTGTAACCCCGAGGTACCACTGTACTTTGTCTCTGAGCTATCACAGCATTGTAACGTGAATTGGAATTAAGGGCTCAGCCTCAGGCTACAGATTGCATGGCTCAGCCCCTTTTCATCCTGTGTGCAGAGGCTCCCCACCAGAGCTGTTTGTTGCTTCTGACAACTCCAAACATGGGTTAAGCGGGTAAACCTGTGGGCACTCTGCATTTGGGACTCTAAAAATTATTCATGAGCTGCTACAAGTTGGCATTGACCTGCGTTGATGATTGTCGAGCGTAATAACCAAACACATGGGTGGGTAAGGCGAGTTTGTATCAGTCCATGTGACCTAAGAAACTGGATAGAGCATCCATTATGGCTGCCTGTTATTCTATTTGGTACCCCCAAATCAATATCAACCACTCAAGGCCCCGTTACCTTGAGACACTGACTTCCCCACAGCTGCGTAGGGTGTTTGTTGGACTAAGGTTCCAACAGGTGCCCTCAGCATATTTAGAGGGGAGATACCTGGGAATTCCCCCTATGGAACGCAGGTGCATTTATGGATGCAATCAGGTTGAGGATGTCGTGCATAACCTTCTGCTTTGTCCCTTATATTCAATGCCAGAGAATTTTTTTTATCATCTGTTCTTGACTGTCTCTCAGACCAATCCCCCCAGGAGGGGACAGTTGAGTTCCTAGCCAATAAAGATCTCCAGGTGACAAATCTGGTAGCCAAGTTAGCTCTGGCAGCTAAGAAGCTCCATTCTAGATATGTTAAAAAAGCTAAAGGACTCCTGACAGTTAAGTCCAGTCGTGAACAACTCGGGGGTTGCGGCGCTCATCTCGCTTTACTGGCCGAGGGAGCCAACGTTTGTCTGCAGACAGTTTTTCTGGGTCATGTGGCCAGCATGACTAAGCCACTTCTGGCGAAACCAGAGCAGCGCACAGAAACGCCGTTTACCTTCCAGCTGTCGCAGTACCTATTTATATACTTGCACTTTGACGTTTTTTCAAACTGCTAAGTTGGCAGGAGCTGGGACCGAGCAACGGGAGCTCACCCCATTGTGGAGATTCGAACCGCCGACCTTCTGATTGGCAAGCCCTAGGCTCAATGGTTTAGACCACAGCACCACCCGGGTCCCCTAGATATGTTAATGCTTCCTAATTTTAAAACCTCATGCTGTAAATTTTTATGTTTTTAGCTTTTATAGGTCATGTTGTGTGATTTCAGCTTTGTTCTTATCATCTGCTGTACATTGTAAAGGCCTTTGATTATATACAATTGATTGATTGATTGATTGATTGAATTTGTATCCCATTGGCTTCACTGTGGCTTGCACAGAATACCTTCCCTGTGGATTGTGGTCTAACTCATTGCCATCGTCAACTTGTGTAAAATTGCTGTAGGTACGATCTGGATGCATGTGACATTCAAGAGAAATATCCGGACCTGTTCCAAGTGAATCTGGAAGTTGAAGTAGAGCCTCGGGACAGGCCCAGCACTGAGCGAGCCCCCTGGGATAACTTGAACACCAAGGGTCTAAATCCCAAGATCCTGTTCTCCAGCCGGGAAGAGCAGCAAGAAATATTAACAAAATTTGGTAATGAGAAAAATGCTTCCGATTTTCTATTTGAGCGTTTTCAAAGACTTCCGTTTCATATTATGGGGGGATTTATCTCCCCACTCCACCCCATTTCTTTTTTTTTACCATGAGCTCTCATTTCTTCCATCTCCTTAACAGGTGGCATGTTCCTAAATTTCTTGCATTTGAACTTTTTGCCTGTTAGGTAAGCCCGAGCTACCTAGACAACCGGGGTCAACTGCCCAGTATGAAGCAGAAGCCTCCAAGTCAGAATCATCTCCAGAAGGTGCTCCCATGGAGTCGGACTCCCCACCAAGCGGCAGTGCAGAGGCAGATTTCTTCCACACACTGGACTGGCAAGGTAGGGCAAACCAATGGCTTCGTAGCACTTCTCTGGTTGCTCCTGTGCTGACTGTTGCTTGACACCAGCCTTGCTCTAGGCCTGCTTGCTACAGTAGTCATCTTGACATCAGTGTGTTCATCCTCTGTGTACTCAAGTCCCACAAAAGTAAAATAAAAAAATAAAATTCTGGGCTGAGAAAAGCTGAAGTCTGCAATGCTGACTAGCCACCAAGTAAGAGGTTGTCCCCAAGGACCCTATGTTGATATAGGGGTCTCAGGGTGGTGGTGTTGTCCACCTGCATTCCTTTCTCCTTTCTGGCCGGACCTCAATTCCCCTTTCCCCCCCAGCGGAAGGGTCCTTCTGCGTGAAATTGTCCAAATCCCACAAAAAAGCCCTGCTCCTTCAGAATTGCAGAGTACAGGCAGCCCAATTTGTGGGCAGCTCAGTCTTCCATCATTTCTGTGCAAAGGATCTGGAATGATAGTGCCTAAAATCCCTCCATCCCTCCGTGAAATTTGAGTGTTTGTAGGAGGTCGGGGGGGGGGTGGAGTTTCAAAGGAATATTCCCCAGCAAATAAAAGTCAGGATTTCTCTTAGCTTCCTTCACTAGAGAGTAACAATTTTGCTTTCTGGGGTTCCTGTGGGTTTTGGTGGATATGGGCTTCCAGAGCTGCTGTCTTGACATTAGGCCCGTGTCCTGAAACAATGTGCTCCTGCGCCATAAATCCCAGCGATTAGAGGCCCTGTGCTATAGCCGGCCTCCTCTCCCCATCATGGTTGCCAATGCAGAAGCAAAAGGAGAGCTATGGAGTGACTGAGGTCCACATCCCTAGGGCTTGGCAGCAGGCCCATTTGAGGAATGCGGATTGGGACCTTGGCTGCCCATGCCTTTGGCACTTGGCTGAATTTTACGTGGTCCTTGGCGTTGTGGCACACTTATGGCAAGGAAGAGAAAAGGGCCTTACCAGATTTTGACTCTTGCTCCTCCCACCACCAGCATGTAGCCTTTGATGGGTTACCCCCAAAGGAACATGTCCATTGATGGAGCAAAGGTTTCCCATCCCCGCCTTACTCCATTCATCCAGTAAAAGTTGTTGCAGACTGGTGGAATAGCACCGTTACAGTAAACCTGTTGCAAGAAGGTGTCATGTCCTTCTCTTCACCCAACAGAAGGCAAATGTTCCGAAGCGGCGCCTGAGGGACCCTTCCCCAAAGAGAGACCTCGGCTGGTGGAGGAAAGGGATGACAGCGAACCTTCCGACGAGGAATTTGCTGCCTTTCCCAGTGAGGTCAGACCAGTTGAGGAAATGGTGAAACACGCCCTGGAAAAAGAAGACGGTGAGCCGCTGTTTGAAGCTGATTTTGACACTCCCACTGGTCAGCTGGAAGAGACTCCCACAGAAGACAGCGTTGACTTGCTTGGGCTGGATTCAGAAGCTCCCCGAGAGCTGCTGCAGCCTCCTTCGGAGATGAAGAGCTCCTCCAGCAACGCAGACTTGCTGAGCGAACTGTTTGTTGGCAGTGCTCCAGAGAGTTCGGAAGACTCTACCGCGGACCTTCTAGGAGGAGGAGCAGAATTCTTCTTTGGTGGCCAACCACAGCCCTCTGCGCACCCCCACCAGAGTAGTGCCCCCTCAACGGGAGCCACCTCTTCTTCTGCAGGTACGTAACTGGGCCTTTCCTTTCATTGGAATTCTGATGAGCAGCTGGGCCCACTGCCATCCTAGAAGTGTACACAATAAGTCCGCAGACACAGACTGTTGAGAACTGTAGAGCACTTCTACTTTAATTTTTAGATCGGTTTCCAGATGGCTCTGGCGGGTTTCCGTCTGGCACTCTTGTCAAAGCCCTGGCTGAGCTCTGGAACATTTGAATGGCTCAGGCTTCCATCAGCTCTGGTTGGTGACCCAGCTGCGCCTCGGTCTCATCAGGGATAGCCTAGCTTGTGTCGTCTATGCTCTGGTAATCTCTAGGTTAGATTACTATAATGCAGTCATTACACGTGGGGTTGCCTCTGAAGATGGTTCGGATGGTGCAAAATCCTGTGACTGGGTTGCTCTATGGGGCAAGACAGTTTGAGCATATTACACTGATCTTGGCCCGGCTGCAGTGGCTGCCAGTTACTTTCCAGACCCAATTCAAAGTGCTGGTTTTGACCTATAAAGCCTTAAACAGCTCAGAACTGCAAACTACGTCTCTCCATATGAACCTGCCCAGACCCTGAGATCATCCTCTGAGGCCCTTCTTCATGTGCCTCCTCCGTGAGAGGTCCAGAGGGTGGCAGCATGAGAACAGGGCCTTCTTTGCAGTGGCTCCCCATCCATGGAATGCTCTCCCTCTTCATTATCTATTTTTAGGTGCCAGACAAAAACATTCCTCTTCAACCAGGCCTTTGACTGACCAAAATATTATACCACTTTTAAAGATATTTGTGGGATAGGGTGGGGAGAGGATTATTGGTTTGTGGGGGTTTTTTTGTTCTTATTTTTATCATGTCCTTTGTGTTTTTTATATTGTATTTTTATGTTGTGAACTGCCCTGAGATCTATGGATAAAGGGCAGTATGCACATTTAATTAATAATGATAATAATCTTGCAGATGCCATGATCTGTCTCAGAAGGAGAAGGGCGAATTACAGGATCGAGGCAATCTCACGTGCCAATAAACCACATTGCAGCCTGCTTCAGCTACTGCCTTCTTCACAGAGTAATGGGCATTGGGGAAGGTGCTTGTGAGCCTCAAAGTTCCTCCCATAGGAAACATAGAAAGAGCCTTCTGCATCAGGCCAGTCAGAGCCTGCCTGCCCATGAGGCGGTCATCTCAGGATGAGGCGGTCATCTCAAGCAGTACCCCAAAGGGTGCTGGTCTCCCTGTGGTCTCCCTGGCCTTAAGGAGTTTGCCCCCACAATGGGGAGCAGCAGAATGTTTTGCTCAGGTGCCAAAACCCCCCAGGAAGCCCCTGAGGCCAGTGGTCAAGTCTCACCCAGCATTATCTTCTCAAAGTGGCCAACCAGGTGCCTCTGGGAAGCCCACAAAGCAGGACCTGAGTGCAAAAGCAATTTCCAGCAACTAGTATTTAGGAGCAGATTGCGTCAGACATTAGAGTGTACCAATTAGGGGTATTAGCCCCACTGGTAGTCTTTTCCTCTCATTTCTTCAATGAAGATTAAAAAGTTACAAATCAGAACTTTGCAGCAGAATGTCTCTTAGCTGGCCGTAGTGTAAAATGAGTACAAAATCCGCATACGCTTTTTGCTAGGCAGTCTCTCCGGTGGAGTTAAATAATTTGATTGGGACTGGCCACACTTCCAGAGGCTCCCAAAACTCAGCAGTGAGCTGTGACTTGCAGTTTGGCTGTTGGCCATCTAATAAGCTGATCTGCTTTCTGGATTCTGAATGATTCCTTGAAACAAGAAGCACCCACTTGGATTAAATGCCTAGAGCAGGCATGGCCAAACTTGGCCCTCCAGATGTTTTGGGACTACAATTCCCATCATCCCTGACCACTGTCCTGTTACCTAGGGATGATGGGAGTTGTAGTCCCAAAATATCTGGAGGGCCGAGTTTGGACATGGCTGGCATAGAGGTTGTGCGCTGGGAGGAAGCGGGGGGAAATGGACCCCCTAGCTTAGAGTGGTTTATCTTCATGCAGAATTTGATATGTGGTGTATTCTGTTCCAGAGGCCATTTACCTTTTTAAAAAGTTTAAGCACATTTGGCAGAGCATGAAAGAGACTCTGAATCTCAGAGTTGTGGGTTCGAGCCCCATGTTAGGCAAAAAGATTCCTGCATTGCAGGGAGGTGGACTCGATGACTCTCATGGTCCCTTCCAGCTCTGTGATTCTGTGATCATCATAAACGTTAATTATTGGGTCTTCCAATGGCCAGAAACGCAGTTTTAACATTGAAATATTTCCTTAACACTAGGGCGTGGGGGCAGGTTGTGGAAGGCAAGAGCAGCATGGTTTTGTCATATGACCACTCCCAAAGGAGGACAAAAAAAACCGCTTTGGGGAAGCGTCTTGTTCCATTGCTTGTTAATATACATCTTGACGTCGCAGGAGAGAGCAACAGTGCTGTGATTGTTTTGAGTGCTTCCAGATAGAGGATTGCACGCGGGGCCTCAGCTGGCTCTGAGAATTCGCTTGCTCATTATTGAATTCCTGTTGAAGCCTGATGAAAACTAGCGGTGCCAGGGGCGGTAGCTTTAACTACCTGCTTGCATCGGAAATAAAGAGCTGGTGGGATGGGGAGGTGTTCCCTAAAACGGGCAGATTCCTTTTCCGTGGTCGCATTCAGAATGGACTCTGTTGAGCTCTAGCTTCGACGGGTGGGTGTGTCAGAACCGGCCGGGCTCTAAAAGCGTCTTGGCCTGTGAATACAGCCCTGTGGCAAGGTAAGAGTGTCAGCCAGGCTCCCTGCTGGCCATTGCTTGCCACTCCCTGCTAACTATAAATACTGTCCTCTGAGCAGCTCCAATTAGCTGCTGCTTGACAGTACTCAGTGAAAGACCTTCCGGCTGGAGGCTGCCTTTTTGGCATCCTTCCGTTTATTTCACAGCCTTTGCAGTCACTGCTCTTTAAAAAAAAATTTAAAAGGAAAGGGAAAAAAAGATCAGCAATGCCTTCCATTGTGCAGACTGGTACAGTATGGCTTTTTAAATGTTCCTATTAGGGGTAGCAAGTCCACTTGGGTAACTGTTTCTGCTAGGGGAATCTGCCAGCTTGAAAAACTTTCCACTAACTTCAGTTTGCAACTTGATTTGCTTGGGTGGAATTGTTACTGGGCTTGCGTGGTTGACTTGACGTCGTAGGGTTTGCTTTGTTTTTTCTTTATAGGGAGAAAAGGGGGGACTTTACAGGCAGCAGATCGTCGTTCTTCCTGTTGGTGATTGGCAGAAATCCTTGTGTTGTGCAATAGCGTCTAAACCCCAGTGACAGGGGTGGGTGGCAGAGGGCAGAGTTGTGCCAGTGTGCTTGGAAGCAAGATACCCTAAATAGTTTTGTGTGCCGCCTTCTCATATTGCCCATGACTTCTTCTTTTTCATCGGATGTCTTGAAGCATCTCAAGTAACGCCAATAATGCTGTGTTTTGTCTCCAGCTGACCCGTTTGACCCATTCACAGTCTCCTCGGGTTCTGACAATCCGACTCTTACCGGCCCCGATCTATTTGGTGACTTCCTTAGTCCTAATGAACCAACCGCACCTGGTACATTTCCTTCCACACACAGCGCACCACCACCTTCCTCTAGCACAGACTTCCTTAATTTAGGTAAGTGCATGTTTGATGTGGCTTCCTCACTCCCCCTCTTCCCCCGACAGTCCCATAGCCTGTTGAGTGACATGCTCCACTCAGATTAGTCAAGGTGGATTAATGTCTAACGGATCAACTTGGTGGTGTTGCTATTTTAACAAGCTTTGTGTCGCAGGTGTATGGTTATCTTTCCCCCTGTAACATAGCTAAAGTTTTGCTAATTTACCTTTTTACAAGCTCCTTTTGGGTGAAGATAGTTGAAATTGGGTTCCCAGCACATCACATTTCAAAATTATTAAACCCCCGTAAGTATTCCCCCTGCCACTGTTCCCCAGCCAATATTCTGGGAGTTAACAGTGTATGTTGCTATACAAACTGTCACACACTTAACTGTGAAATTGTGGGCAAACTTATTCCATGCTTTGAGTTAACATTAAGGCATGAAAATGGCCACTAGCTGCAGAAGTTCATTTCACCTTCTAGAATGATAGAACAAATTGGCTTGTTGATTTTCAACACTCTCTATGTGCTGCCATCCTTAACCATTTGTGTCTTGTAACAACATTTTGTACTGCCTGGCACTTACAGATTGCATATCCCTTTAACTAGGAGCTAATAATTTAAGTACTATCTTCTGTATGGTGTAGGAAGTCTGATAGCACTTTTTTCAGTTTAAATAAAGCAAGCTAGAAGATAATGGCTGGGTCCCGACTAACAGCGCAGCCCCAACCATATCTACTCAGAAGTAAGGCCTATTGAATTCAGCAGGATTTACTCCCAGGAATTGGGATTACAGCCTAAATTAGTTGACTTGGACATGGAACTTAAGTTCAGCTAACTTAGATTTGAAATCAAATACTTGAGAACTAGCGGTGGTAATTATTACAGTGGTACCTCGGGTTACATACGCTTCAGGTTACAGAGTCCGCTAACCCAGAAATAGTACCTCAGGGTAAGAACTTTGCTTCAGGATGAGAACAGAAATCGTGCTCCGGCAGCGCAGTGGCAGCAGGAGGCCCCATTAGCTAAAGTGGTGCTTCAGGTTAAGAACAGCTTCAGGTTAAGAACGGACCTCCGGAATGAATTAAGTACATAACCCGAGGTACCACTGTAATTGTTTGGCAAAACAGTTCCTTTAGGCTGGAAAAGGTAAAGGAGGTGGAGATACATAAATGCAGAGCTTTAGAGCTCTGAAATCATAAAGGCAAACATAAATAACTATGCCGTAATATTAAAAAACCAATTGTCTGCAGACTTGTACCTGTTTGTATCCCATTTTGAATTCCTCTGTCTTCTTTTCATTCTGATTAAAAAACAACCCCGAAGAATTGAATGCAGACACCTGTGGCAATTATGGCATAGGCACTTGGTTTTAATCAAATCAGCAAGAATGCTATGAATTCAGTGCGCTGTACACAGATCTGATCAAATGCCCGCTGCACACAGGAGGACTCTCATTTTCTTCTGTGCTAAGAAAATGCATTTCCCCCCCAGCTCATTTAAGGAAAGTGGAGAAAACTGCAAGTTGGAGCCACTGGGCCGACTTTGCAATTGCTTTTTACTATACGCATGTGTGTTTCCACCATAGGCACAGGGAAATGAGAGATCAGGTTGCAGCTATTTCCACCCCTTTCCTTACTGATTTATTAGAATCCTGTTGTTTGCGAAAATGATGTGGGATAGTGTCTCTGTGTTGGAGCACAACATCAATGCCGCTCAACACAAAAAAAGCCCTAGCTGAAGGCTTGCATGTGTGCCTGATCTCCTACTTGTAACAACTCTGAACTCTTAGAAGAAGTACGCACACATTTGTTGTTCAGGCTTCTCTCCTGATTAAACCTAAAAATAGCTGCTTGTGGAATCAGGAAGAGATCTCTCTGCCGACTTAATGGCACACAAATAGCATCCGCTTTTGTACCTTAGATAAAGATGCACAGAGGCTTTCTAAAATTATCAGCTGTGGGTCACCGAATGAGATTTGCTGGCACGTTGGGCAGTGACCTCTGTGGTTGTCGTGAGCATCGTTGGGATCATGCTTAGGCTGACAGGCGCCGACACAGGAAGAGGAAGAAATTGGGGAGGGGGAGGGGGGAAACCTGGCTTGGAGGAGGAGAGGATCTCCTCCTTCCTCCTTCTGTCGCTTTGGAAGCAGGAGTAGGGATGCCAGCTCTCCTCCCCACAACCTCCTTGTGGAGACTTGAGGCTGGAGAGCTTTGATCAACCAAATGAGGAAGCTGGAGGCAGCTTTGGTCGAGGGCAGTGCCAGATTTACGTACATAGCTGCCAACGTTTCACTTTTTTAAAGGGAAATTCCCTTATTCCAAACAGGATTCCTTGCAAGAAAAGGGAAAAGTTGACAGCTATGTTTATGTATAAGCTAAACAAACTATAGCTTAGGGCCCCACTCTCTTGGGGCCCCCAAAAAAATTTAAAGGGAAAAAAACTGGATGTACATTTCCAAAATATAAGATAAAAAACCCCCGACATACAGCAACAGCATTTTGTGTTGTGTAGGCTCCCATTTGTTATGTGCAAATGACTTTAGATACCTATGAGGTCCATAACTTACCATATAGCATATATTCAACACAAAAAAACAGCGACAGTTTGTTGTTGACAAAGGACAGCTGGACATATAAAGGGACCCGTTACCTTCAGTAGCTAAATGGCCTCATCAAATCTAAATCCAGCCCTGATCCAGGGTGCAGCCTTGTTGCGTAAAACCAGATGTCACCTTTGCAGACGGAAGAAGACCCAAGCATTACAAAAGAGTGCACACTTGCAACCTCAACATTCCCGCAAGGCGTGAGAAACTTGAGAGGGAGCGCACCCCTTTTCAGCTTTGAAAGCATGGAACAGGGATTTGTTGGGACATAGGTTGCTTCTGTCTGGTTCTGAACTTAACAATAACAACAACAATTTATTATTTGTACCCCCCCCCATCTGACTGGGTTGCCCTCGCCACTCTGGGCTGCTTCCAACATATATAAAAACATAGTAAAACATTAAACATTAAAAAGCTTCCTTATACAGGGCTGCCCTCAGATGTCTTACCAGCGAGAAGGCCTCAAGGGCACAACATTGGCAGTCCCTGAGCTAGATGGGCAAATTGTTCAATTTGACGTAAGCCGGGTTTCTGTTTCATGGGCCATTCTGACAGGACCAAGGCAATGCATGAATTAAGCAAACTTAAAAAGCCATTACTGAAGCGGTCATCTATTCATGCCTCAGTGTACCATCCCAGCACAAGTTATCTCCTTGGCTGATAGTGAAACCAAGGTTTTCACATTGTCAAGTTGCTCTTATGATCTTGTTTCAAGACGTACATGTTTTCCATTACCAGCTTCTGAAAATAACTTACTGTGGTTTTCTGTGAAATTGTTCTGCGGACTGTTTTTGTTTAGTCTGTTTGGTGTTGTTGTATTATGATTTACTAGTACTGTTGTCCTTTTTAATCACAAAATATGTGATTAATAGGAGTTGCAGTGTGAAGTGTGGGCGTTATAATGGAAATTCTCATTGACTGGGCAATGCATGAAATCCCTAAACTGAATTAGCATTTCTTTGATACCATTTGGAGAGTTATACATATTGCCCAGTCTACAAGATTCTCTGCATATGCTGTCAAGTGCATTTACATTCTCTGTTGTGTTGGCCTACATGCATACTGAATGGTCATGTACAGAATTCTGCTTATGCACGTTCCCCATTCATATCTTATTAACTCATATATCTACAGTTGCCTTATGTTGAGACAGACCCTTATTCCATCTACCTCAATATTGTCTTTTCCAAAGTTGGAACAGTCCCAGACTCCTCAGTGCTGCGTTCTCTAGAAAGACTAGCCACCAAATTTGTGGTCCTGCATAAGAGGTCCTAAGGTGGTGAATGCAAGGAGACAAATCTTAAATGGAACCATCATGCCTCTTCTAGATGGCGGTGGCTGGATTGCAAAGCGATAGTATGTGTATCAGTCTTAGACGGGCTTAAATCTTATGTCATCCTGTACCTGTGTCTTCCTCCTCAGGACGTCCTGGTTGTCGTCTTTAATTAGAGAATTAAAAGATCTTCTGAGCACAGTTGTCTTAAGGCTTTGCCTTAAGATCTGTTAGTACAGCAGCAACAGAGATTTCTGTTATTGGGGCTTACAGCATAAATGTGTCTTTTCTTAAATGATCTCTGTACACATACCCATTTTAACAGTGAACAGTAGTTGTGATATCCGTGCTCTAAATAAATACTTGACATAAGCTTAATAAGTTTTGGGTGCAAGTTACAGTGGTACCTCGGGTTACATACGTTTCAGGTTACATACGCTTCAGGTTACAGACTCCGCTAACCCAGAAATAGTGCTTCAGGTTAAGAACTTTGCTTCAGGATGAGAACAGAAATCGTGCTCTGGTGGCACGGCAGCAGCAGGAGGCCCCATGCTTCAGGTTAAGAACAGTTTCAGGTTAAGTACGGACTTCCAGAACGAATTAAATACTTAACCTGAGGTACCACTGTACTAAACATTTCATCATGAGCAGGAGTAAGCAACATGTGGAACTGTGTTCTGTAAAGCCTGATGTGTGCCCACCTTGTCCAGTGTTCGAAATTAGCCAGGTGCCAGGCACATTTTGTACCTTGCGACCGACCACTTGTGACCAAGTGAGGATTCATGGATGCCAGGATGGTGCCTGACATCTCCGCCATCTGGAGGTGCACGTCTTGGGATCATTGGCTCTGGACTGTTTTCACACACAAATGCCCCATCCTGTAGAATTCTATCAGTTATATTTTATCTGCACAGTTGGAATGGATTTCAGGAGCCAAAATGCTTTTCCTGTGCAGCCTGAGCAATTGCCATTAAGAAAAAGAAATTGGAATAGCAATAGGCGAATACAGTGGTACCTCGGGTTAAGTACTTAATTCATTCCGGAGGTCCGTTCTTAACCTGAAACTGTTCTTAACCTGAAGCACCACTTCACTAATGGGGCCTCCCGCCACCGCCGCACCGCCAGAGCACAATTTCTGTTCTCATCCTGAAGCAAAGTTCTTAACCCGAGGTACTATTTCTGGGTTAGCGGAGTCTGTAACCTGAAGCGTGTGTAACCTGAGGTACCACTGTAATAGTTATTGAACTCTGATAATAGAGAGTGGAACTCAATTAGCTGTTTAATATAGGATTGTATCCAATATTAGTCATACTCTGAGTAAACTCAGAGTGTATGTAGCCTGAAGCGTATGTAACCCAAGGTACCACTGTATATATGTTGACTGTCCCTAGATAAGGTGACTGTTCTTCTTTAAGTTCTCAAAGCTCTTCACCTAGCTCAAGGTTATCATCCGAACTAGCCAGATGTTTAACTGAGAATCAATCTCCGCCCATCATTTGAAAAATAAGACTTTAGAGCCATCTTACCCAAAATGGCAACTAGACATTCCATTTTGGTGACTGCAACCTTGCTTTAAGGAGCCATTTGGCCCTTAGCTTATATACCTGAGTTTCTATAACTGCCCCTGCTATAAAGCAGGTTAAAACTGCTTGAAAGCCTTCTACCTGAGATGCCTCCCTCCTTGGCTACAGACAACTCTAACTTTTAATGGCTAAGTGCTACTCTTGTGATCACTTTAGGACTCAATGTAATCTTTAGTCGCCAGCAGAGAAGGGGCCGCAGTAAATTGCTGGCGCATCTGCCTTGCATGCTGAAGTTTCTAGGTTCAATCTCTGGTGTCTCCACTTCCTGCCTGAAACTAGAGCCACCACCAGTCAGTCTAGACAGTACTGAGCTTCATGGAACAAAGCTCTGACTAGGTGTAAGGCAGCTTCCTATGTTAAGCACAGTCTCCTGTAGTGGCATGGATAAGGTAAAGGTAAAGGGACCCCTGACCATTAGGTCCAGTTGTGGCCGGCTCTGGGGTTGCGGCGCTCATCTCGCTTTATTGGCCGAGGGAGCCGGCGTACGGCTTCCGGGTCATGTGGCCAGCATGACTAAGCCGCTTCTGGCGAACCGGAAACGCCATTTACCTTCCTGCCGGAGTGGTACCTATTTATCTACTTGCACTTTGACGTGCTTTCGAACTGCTAGGTTGGCAGGAGCAGGGACCGAGCAATGGGAGCTCACCCCGTCGCGGGGATTCAAACCGCCGACCTTCTGATCGGCAACTCCTAGGCTCTGTGGTTTAACCCACAGCGCCACCCGCATAAGCTCCTTGCTTATCAGAGCTGTGACACTCTAGCCTGTGTCTTGGTTGTCCAGAGAGAACTTTTAGCTGGACACACAGAGCAACAAGGCCTCTGGGACACCTGCTTAGCTACACCAATGACCTGTGTTAATAGCTTTCATTTCTTGGAATGATAGAGATGCACAGGGAAGGGGAAGTTTGTTAGTTATGGGATCTAGATCTATAGTCCTGTAGGCTATGGTTTCATTCTTCTGTATCAGATGAATGTCCAGTAAATAATTTTAGAACAGAGCCACAATCAACGTACCGATTTGGCTCGTACTATTTTGAGTGCAGTTACAGACTCAGCTGCAGCTGCAATTCAGTTATTTGAAAAGTGCAACAAATTATTTTGATTAGGTGATCACAGATGGTAGCTGAAATTTGGATAAACATTTCGCATTGCAAAGGAAATCTTCTGTAGGTGAGACTTTTTTAAATTAAAAAAATAGTAAGCATATGTGAACATTAACGGCTAGTCTGTTTTCAGCTGGGTGCCAGCTACTACAGCTTATAGTTCTGTTTCCATACTATCAGATTCTGGAGAAGAATAAATATCTTGATTGTACGTAATCTCTTTGAGTTATATGACAAAATGTTTGTGCTAGGAAGGCCGGTTTACAGTTCATGTTGCATTTCAGAGCGCAATATAAGATCCTTTTGAGCTGGATCAGCTCAAACCTTCATCTAGACCAGGGTTTCCCAAACTTGGGTCTCCAGCTGTTTTTGGACTACAAGTCCCACCATCCCCAGCTGGCAGGACCAGTGGTCAGGGATGATGGGAACTGTAGTCCAAAAATAGCAAGAGACCCAAGTTTGAGAAACCCTGGTCTATACAAATGGTGGACAACCACATTTCTTCCAGGTTTGAGACTTATTGGTTGTTCAGTGGCATATTGCTTCTCTGCAAACAGGGTTCTATGGACAAATAGCTGTTCACAGACAAATTGATGGAGAAGTTTGTTTTTAGTCATCTAAGCTAGTGGTGGGGTTCTTCACCTTGAAGTACAGTGGTAGCTTGGTTCTCAAACTTAATCCGTTCTGGAAGTCCATTCCAAAACCAAGGCGTGCTTTCCTATAGAAAGTAATGCAAAATGGATTAATCCGTTCCAGACTTTTAAAAACAACCCCTAAAACAGCAGTTTAACATGAATTTTACAATCTTATGAGACCACTGATCCATAAAATGAAAGCAATAAACAATGCACTGCAGTCACACAATCAATCAGTCGGTAGCTGAACTGGGTTCCACACAGTCACAAGAACAAAACAAAATAGCTGCAAAAACAAAAATGCAAAATAAATAGCAAAAACAGATAGACCTCAATGAAGAGCTGTAATTTGTCTGCTCTGAAGCTGTTGCCAAGCCATTTGGGTGACCCCAAGTTATTGTTTATAATGTCATAAAAAGAGCTCTGCTGGAACAGAATCTGTGTGTGTGTGTGTGTGTGTGTGTGTTAACAAACTCTAATTGATTTCTAAGAGATAAATTTTTATTTTTTTTTAAAAAATCCAGTATAATTGCTGCATTTGAATCTGTATTCCTTGTTAAGATTACACAGCGTTACCTGCCTGCTTTTACCTTATCCCTGAATTTTGGTTTGCATCCCTCTAGGGAATTTGACACCAGACCCACCTAAAATGGCTTCCTCCGCAAGCCAGCCTGACCTTCTAGGCGGCTGGGATTCCTGGGCAGATGCCCCAGCAATTAGCACTGCGGCGCCTGCACCACCGAAGAAGTCCACTTTGGAAGGTATCGTGCAAGGGAGTCGCTTCCATTTATTTGGCAGCTGGCGGTATACGCAGAGCTGCCGAAACATTGTGTGTATGTGAAACACTTGGTCACGTAATAGTCTTGGATTTTTATCAAATAACATAGGAAGCTGCCTTATACCAAGCCCATTACACAGAGTAGCAGGGGCTGTCAGACAAGAGTCTCTCCCACCTCACACTGGAGATTGAACCTGAGGCCTTCTGCATGCAAGGCAGATTATTATTATTACTGTTATTTATTCAATTTATATTCCCCCCCTTTATCAGAAGTTCCCAGGGCGGTATGCAATGTTAAAAACACATTGCAGAACATCAGTGATAGCAATGTAATATAAGCATAATAAAAAGCATACTGACAGACAGCCTAATAACTGTGGTTAGCAATGCAGCTGTCCCTGCCTTATTCCTTCTAAAGCATTAACTGAATGTTGACAGCATACACAAGGCACAGCCCAGCATGCTTTTTTAGCAGTCATATTCACCTGGGACTGGGACTTAGCAGTCATATTCACCTGGGAATATAAAAGGAGATTGTTTTAGGTGAGTGTGTGATTCGATGTAAAAATTACACAGATAACAATTAACACCAAAATGTAAACTTTCTTAATTTGATAAAGATTAGAGCAGGCAAGACCAAAATTCCCAAGCCCCTCTGCATCGTTAAACAAAAAGCCATATATGTATGTATGTATGTATATACACACATATACATAAACAGATCATAGCATGTGAAAGTGTCAGTCGTAAGGAATGAACAGAAGCATATTTCATCCATTGATTGAGAAGAATGCTGAATAGTGTGGCATAGCAGTATTTTCAGCCACCCATGTGATATTTTGTAGAGCGTAATAATTGTGTCTTATTACATAGGCCCGGCTTTTACGACAGGAGGACCCACAAACGCCACTTCAGGCCTTTCATTCAGTCAAGCAAAATCACAGAACTTTGACCCTTTTGCTGACCTTGCTAACCTGAGAACCGGCCTTCCAGGTAAGTGTTTAAGTGACCAATAAAAGGAAGAACAGAGTTGCAGTAGAGTGTGTTTATCCTGTACATTCAAGGTGGATAATGTAGTTAAAATGCTGGAGCGGGTCTGTAAAATAAAAATGTAGTCATTTCGATACAAGAGTCCTTGCTTACTTTGTTTGGTGTTTGGTTTTTGTTCAGTTTACTGGGGCACCTCTACAGGATACCCCTCTGTGCTGTGGGGCTTTCCCTCTCATCACTCCTCAAACCAGCCATACAGAGAACATGTTCAGATCTGAGTGTTAGCGGTCACGTTTGGTGCTTGTAGGCTTTTTGTACAAGGCAACCAAAGCCCTTTAAACTTGTGAAGTTTTTAGTTCGTGCCATTTTTAAAAGTAAAGGTAAAGGGACCCCTGACCATTAGGTCCAGTCATGACCGACTCTGGGGTTGCGGCGCTCATCTCGCTTTATTGGCCGAGGGAGCCGGCGTACAGCTTCCGGGTCATGTGGCCAGCATGACTAAGCTGCTTCTGGCGAACCAGAGCAGCGCACGGAAACGCCATTTACCTTCCCGCCGGAGCGGTACCTATTTATCTACTTGCACTTTGATGTGCTTTCGAACTGCTAGGTTGGCAGGAGCAGGGACCGAGCAACGGGAGCTCACCCCGTCGCAGGGATTCGAACCGCCGACCTTCTGATCGGCAAGTCCTAGGCTCTGTGGTTTAACCCACAGCGCCACCTGAGAGATCTAGGCAGAAAGCTGAAACCAAGCAGCATCATGCCATAAGATTTGCATCCTGGCATCTGAATTTGGTTGCTTGTAAAGAAGTTATGACCATCTTTGGGAAGTAATGCTGGGGAGCGAGGGATGCATTCAGGAATCACTACATGACTAGGTACAAGGCAAGGTTGGGGAACTTGCAGCCTTCCAAATATTGTTGGGCTTCAGTTCCCACGGTCAATACTGAGGGATGATGGGAGTTGTAGTCCAACGTTGCAAGGACCACAGGCTCCCCATCCTTTCCACAGAAGATGCTGGCATGCTTGTTTTCATAGGTTTAAACCAAATGGAATATCTTTTTAAATTAAAAAGCAAAACCCTGATCCTTGCTTTCCAGGGGCTTCCAGCGGCGGATTCTCAACCGGCAGTTTTGCTCCAAAGTCCACTCCCTCTCAGAAAGCAGGGAACCAATGGCAGGCAAGCAAAACGCAACCTGCTAGCACATCATGGCAGCCCCAGGCACAGCCAAAGGCGCCAGAACAAGCTAAGCCAAGCGCGCAGCCGAAAGCCAACTACACTGTGAATTTCAGTGTCATTGGAGGACGAGAAGAGAGAGGCATCAGGGCGCCTGGCTTTGGTATGTTCCTCTACCCGATGATGATTATTTTTTGCATATATTAGTTGCTTGGCATACAAGAGTCTCCAAGTGACATACAAAATCTGAAACCATAAAGTGTGGTATGAATCAGAAAAAAAGAACAGTGCATTACAACAGAAACCATACAATAGCCTAGATAGCAAACCCAAATTAAACAGAAGCAAAAATATACCATCAGTGTGCAGCAAAATCATCATAATCCATTATATACCTTGGAGAAAAGATAATTTTATTGATCTAATCACTTCTTTGGTCTGTAAAGCCCCTTTGCAGAAGATTACATTTGCTTCTGAGTAACAGTGCGATCCCACACTTTCCCAGGTGATAGGGTTTGGATGAAATTTAAGCATGATGCATGTGGCTTCTTGTACATATATATGATTTACGACTTCTGTGTCACTTACCAGTGAACTGGGAGCCTAATCCTTTTTATCTCATTTGCTAGGACAAAAACCCAAAGTTTCAGAAAACGATTTTGAGGATCTTTTATCGAATCAAGGGTTTGCAGCTAAAACCGACAGAAAAGGACCAAAGACCATTGCTGAGATGAGAAAGCAAGAAATGTCTAAAGATATGGACCCTCTGAAACTAAAGGTTAGCTGTTCTTATACCGAATAGTTCTCATCCTGCAACTTCTGGTGTTTGGAAAAGCAGCGGTGTGCCATCTAAGTGGGGGAAGTTGAAGCATAAATGTGGAGGAGGGCGGATGCATCCTGGAGGATGCATGGCTGTTGGTTGAGAGGGGAAAGTGGGGGGCCAGGCCCTCTCGGAAGCCCCTAGCCCATGATAAAAATAAAAAATGAGGATCTGTGAAAACAAAATAAGGCACCAAACAAGGGTGGGGTTGTTTATATAATTAGCAGACCAGAGAGGCTGCAGTCTAACCTTGTGCCATCAGAACTGGCATACTTTTTAATAATATTTGTGAAAATTGTAAACTCTTTAATGCAACAAAATACATTAACACGTAACAATAATAATAATAATAATAATGATGATGATGATGATGTGCCTTTTACCAAGTCGTGCATTTGACTAGCCTGATTTTGCAGCTGTAAGCCAAGTGTGCGTGTCACGTTTTGGTCTGGTGCGCATAAAAGTGAGTCGCAAAGTTTATCAAATGCCAAGTGGCTAAAACCTGAGGCCTCTTTTGAGCTTGGGATGCAAATCAAATGAGCCTCCCGGATTTGGCCCTAAGTGGGGCTGTGGCAGAGCACACATGCTTGGCTTTCAAAAGGTCCCTGGCATCTCCCGTTAAAAAGAGTTTTTTAAAAGGTCTTTAAAAGACCTTAAGGTGCGAAAGACACCTTACAGTGGGAGAGAGAGCATCTGTACTGGACCTGGTGAAGCAGTGGTTTGGAGGCATATCACTTGGCTTCAGAAGTTTTCCACAACTTGGTTTTGAGTTTGAGGCAACAAGCAAGATGATACGGAGCAGGGATGTACAAGACCTCCTGTGCTTTAGGAAGTAGCAGGACTGATAGAAGATGCATGCATGCGTACCTGTATACATACATACACACATAATTTCACCCCCATACACATCCAGGGCTGCTGCTAGAGAGGGCTTCTTCATTTGTGCTTTATTGAGGGTTTTCTTTTAGGGGAAGGGACAGAAATTTCTGTGGCTGCATTCCTCTGCATGAATAGACCCCTCTCTTCTGTTGGAAGTGAACAGGTAGAGGAGTTTGGGATGGCCTGTTTGAGCCAAAGTCCTATACTACTTGTTCATTTCATTTCACTTTTAATTTGTACACTGCCTTTCTATTTTACTATACGCAAGGCACTTTACAAGCCGAAGAAACAACAAAGATCACATACCTTATAACAACCTGATGCGATACAGAAATGTCATACTAAAAACGTAACTTTAAACGATTTATATCAGATAAAGTAGTATTCAGCAATCCATTAGAATACCATGGTACACAATAAAATTAAATATCATCAAGTAAAAATTAAACTGAAATTCACTCTTAACAGTTACAATAAATAATTTCTAAACTAGAATCAAATCAAAATAACAGCAAGTCACTGTGCGTAAAATAACACAATACTTGTGTTTGAACTTCTCTCTCTCTCTCTCCAGATTCTAGATTGGATTGATGGAAAAGAGAGGAATATAAGAGCTTTATTATCTACTCTTCACACTGTGCTTTGGGAAGGCGAGACCAAATGGAAGCAGGTTGGCATGGCGGACCTGGTTACCCCAGATCAAGTAAAGAAGTACTATAGGAAGGCAGTGCTTGTTGTACATCCAGATAAGGTACGTGCTTCTGGCAGATTTGACAAACTGCTAGTGCCAGATTACTGCTATATTCCTAAGGGTAAATTCCAGGTGCTGGGTGCTCCCTGCTCAAGTTGCGTAGCTCAGTTGCCTAGAGCGTGGCGCTGATAATGCCAAGGTCGCAGGTTCGATCCCCATAAGGGACAGCTGCATATTCCTTCAGTGCAGGGGGTTGGGTGAGATGATCTTCAGGGTCCCTTCCAACTCTCTGATTCTGTGATCCACTAGGTAGGTACTTCCTACCTAGAACAGCTCAACCAGAGCCTGTAGGAGGCATTGCAGAGGTCCAAAGAAATACCCAATGGAACATACAGCACAACAAACATTTCAGGACTTGAGCCAGCCATGGGTCTTAGAACTGGCGGCCAGAGGGATGCTAAATGTGCTGCTGTTGCCATCTCTTAGCCAGAGTGGGGAACTGCAGGGAGATGGGCCTTACCAGCAAGGAAGGCTCTGAGCCTGAGTAAGTTAGGTACTTCCCTCCAACTCCTACAAGGGTAACCGGGTTACCTGCTTTCAGCTTGTGGAATGCTGCCCTCATGGAACCTCATCTGGCACCATAATTACTTCCTGCAGATGCCAGACAAAAACATATCCTTTCTGCCAGGCGTTTTGGCGTATAATTATCTGTGACTCCCTTCAGTGGGTGGGATGTTTTGGTCCTGCCTTTTTAAAAATATGAATGATTTTTAGACTTTCCTCTGTTTTGATTTATACCAGTTTTAACATGTATTGTTTATTGTTGTAAGTCATTTTGAGGGACTTTGTTCTAATAAGTTTAATAAATAGCAGCAACAAAAGCTTCCTTAAGGAAGCTGTGATCTAATAATGAGCATCTAGCAAGTGCAGTCTTTCTAGGAATTGCTTTTACCACCTTCTTCTTCTTCTTCTTCTTCTTCTTCTTCTTCTTCTTCTTCTTCTTCTTTTTTGGCACTGTCCATATCTGTTTCCTGTTCTCTGTAAGCTGCATAGAGGTTTCATTTACCTCTCTGCAGTTTATGAAAAGTGGTATGTAACATTTTAAAAAAATAAACAAACTCAGAAATAGGAATAGGCCTCTGTGTGTGTAGCTTGTAACACACGTGAGACGGCCTTTGCACAGCGTCCATTATAGCTGGGCACAATTCCTGAATCCGCTCTGTGGCAGCACACTCAGCAGCTTACAGAAGCTTTGTGGATAAGCCCCTAACTTGGTTCCCCAGCTGTTGTTGGACTACAAATCCCATCATCCCTAGCTAGCAGGACCAGTGATCCCGAGGATGTTGGGAGTTGCAGTCCAGCAACAGCTGGGATGTCACGGAATTCTGTTCAATATTGAACCAGAGCAGATTCCAATGTATCGTTAGCAGAGTAAAAACTTAAACACGTTGCATGGTTCCCAAAAAAATAGACCAGAGGCAATTGTATTTCATCCAGCAAAGCTTTACTGCTACTGAAGGCAAATGGGCATATTGGTCACAAATCCAATACATTCAGGATTGGCACTGTCCATAAAAAATCCACTTGCAGCAGACTTAACTTAAACTTACAATAACGTATAAGACTAAACCTTATATAGTACAGAACACCACACCAGAAGGTAAAGAGATAGAAAGAGATAGGGAAGCCCAGGTTCTTTCTGGCCTTTCTTTTATAGTTAGCATGACCTTGTCAGAAGAGATAAGAGAACCAGTTAAAGCCAGCTGTGCTCAGCTTCTCTGAAGGACTAACCCAAACATCATGAACCTCCTGCTTGTTTCTTTCACGCAGAGAAGCTTCCAGAACCCTCTTGGATTAAGTAGAATAGGAAAGATCTCTACACATCAGGTCAATACCTTCTACACTAAGAAATGCAAACTGACATGGGAAGCCAAGTTTGAGAAACACTGCCCTAAACATTACCAGCCTGCAAATAAATAAATATAAGCCTGCAAGGGGGCTTGTAGCAGCAGCTAGCTGCATCCCTATGCTGGATTTAGAGGAGATTCCCCTCCTCCTGGCAGCCTGGCTTATTGTTGTGCCGGGCACAAGAGAAGGACTGGAGAGCTCTGTTCCTCCTCCGCCAGCCTGCCTTGGAACTGCAGGGCATTTCTGGTTGCCTATGGCGACAGTGCAAGTGCTTAAACATGAGGCTGGCATATTGTCTCCACAGCATCTCTACCTCATAGCAAGCAACAGCTTGAGCTGCTTAGATAAGGTGTGTTATTGTTTCCCTCTGTAATGTTGTTGTTGTTGTTTATTGAGTTTATATACTGCCCTATAAGGGACGCGGGTGGCGCTGTGGGTTAAACCACAGAGCCTAGGACTTGCCGATCAGAAGGTCGGCGGTTCGAATCCCCGCAATGGGGTGAGCTCCCGTTGCTCGATCCCTGCTCCTGCCCACCTAGCAGTTCGAAAGCACCTCAGAGTGCAAGTAGATAAATAGGTACCGCTCCAGCGGGAAGGTAAATGGCATTTCTGTGCTCTGCTCTGGTTCGCTAGAAGGGGCTTAGACATGCTGGCCAGATGACCTGGAAGCTGTACGCCGGCTCCCTCGGCCAATAAAGTGAGATGAGCGCCGCAACCCCAGAGTTGGTCACAACTGGACCTAATTGTTAGGGGTGCCTTTACCTTTATACTGCCCTATACCTGGAGGTCTCAGGGCGGTTCGCAGAAAAACCCACAACTTATATAATCAGAATAAAAACAACAACCCAATAACAACCTCCCCCCCCCGCAAAGGAGCCACATTTATGACAATAAAGATATTATTATTATTATTATTATTATTATTAGGCATAGGATGTCAAACAGATCAACCCAATGCCTGGTTTAAAAGGAATGTTTTTGCCTGCTGCCTAAAGGTGTATAATGAAGGCGCCAGGCGAACTTCCCTGGGGAGAGCATTCCACAGACAGGGAGCCACTGCAGAGAAGGCCCCTTTTGGTGTTGCCAACCTCCTGACCTCTCAAAGGGGAGGCACACGAAGGAGGGCCTCAGAAGATGATCTCAGGGTCTAGGTAGGTTCATATGGGAAGCGGCAGTCCCTGAGGTATTGCGGTCCTGAGCTGTTTAAGGCTTTATAGGTCAAAACCAGCACTTTGAATGGGGCTCGGAAACTAATTGGTAACCAGTGCAGTTGGACCAGGATTGGTGTAATATGCTCAAACCGTGTTCCTTCAGTGAGCAACCTGGCCGCTGAATTGTGCACCAGCTGAAGTTTCCAAACTGTCTTCACAGGCAGCCCTTTTCTGGTGCGGGCGGGAGGGGGCGTGTCTGCTTTCCTTTAATGCAGCTGTTACAGGCAACTGTCACTTGACTCTTGAGAATGTTCAGTTGGAGGTGGAAGGATTACGTGGAACCTTCCTGTTAGGATAGCTCACTCTGTAGCTCATTCTTGGTGTTGCGGGTTCAAGCCCCATGTGGGGCAACAGATTCCTGCGTTGCAGTGGGTTGGACTAGATGACCCCACAGTCCCTTCTTACTCTACAATTTCATGACTCTTTGATTCTAAGCCTAGCAATTGATGCAGAAGAGGCAGGCAAGGTGTTTTGCTATCTTCCATGCCAAGACTTCTGACCAGACACTCCCAAGTCTGGGAAGGGGCGGACTGTTCGTACATTTGCATCCTGGCTGCAGAATTGCTGTGTTGGCAGCAACACAGGATTCTTGCTCAGCTCATGTTTGGAGTGAAAACACCCACGTTTCTTGTAACTCCTGCTCTGTTTTGCTTCCTTGCAGGCCACGGGGCAACCTTACGAACAATACGCCAAAATGATCTTCATGGAACTGAGCGACGCGTGGTCAGAATTTGAAAACCAAGGATCAAAATCACTTTTCTAAGATGCTCCCTTTTTGAAAGCGGGGGTGGATTTCAAAATGTATTTGCAGCAAAAACCGAATCTTCCGAGTGCTGTTCTAGTGTCGCCTCCTTGGATCGAGGAGGGGAGGGGGGCAGGGAACGCTTCCCGGTTCTTGCACACTTTGAATCGATACACTCTCACAAACGGGGTGTGTCTTGTAGGACACAGCGCACAGATGGCACTTTGGGTCCATCGACACTCGGAAGGTGGTGCCCTGAGAGTGGAAAGTTCCAAGCCATCTGAGAGAGGGTTTGAACACACATGTAATTTTAATGATGGCGGTTAGCGTGGGCAAGATTTTCTGTGGGAAGCATCATCCATTTCAAATCCCTTTTGTGTGTGTGTGTTTTTGTGTTCCCTTCGTTTGAGGAAACACCCAATCTCAATTTGCATTTCTCTTCCCCCCTCTATGTAGTCTTTATGATTTGTCTTGGTTGTTTTTTTGTTTTTGTTTTCCCCTTTTTAAATTTACATGTTTGCCTTATTCAAAGTGCTTTAGTTTACCTTATCAGCTGTGAGTTTGCTCAGCATCTCTTTTCTGGTTTCTGTGCGAGGTGTACATTTTTCTTTGGTATTTCATGTAATCATTCCGGTAATCATTCTGTAAATAATTAAAACTTTTTTTTCTGACAACACCTGCGTTCCTTACACTGCATCAACAGTAGCTTAGCCAAAACGGTCGCATTGGTGGGGAAGAAAAGACACGAATGAATCTTTGATGTGTTTGTGGTCCCCCCCCCCCAAAAAAAAATATGTAAAGATGGAAGCAGAGTTTGGCTTTAATTTAAGGATTGCATGGTCTTGTCTTATTTATTATGATCTCCTTTGAGGCAAGACTGTTTAAATATTTATTCCAAAATGTTTGTTTGAAATTATATATATTTGAATTGTCTTCTACTCTCCTTGATGGTATATGTGCCTTTTGTTGGCATAATTGAATTGTTAAGTTGGTAGGTTGACGCATGGGCTGAGACTTGAAATGTGAGCCCAGTGGTTTACTTTTTTTGCTTTTGATAGGCTGAACAGAATATGTGTTGCATCACGTAGCTGCATTGGAAAGGTGTGTGTGCACTTTTTGCCAACCTGGGACAACTTCCCCTCACGTGTTTGGAAGCCTGTTGATTCTGCAATTTCATGCGTGTGGATCAAACAACAGGATGATGATCTATGTACTGTCTTGAAGCCTTGACATATCCCTGAATATACCGGCTAGTTCTATGGTAAAGGAAAATACGCTATTTGCCCGGTGATTGGTCTCGCCTATAAAATGAAGAATTGAGCACAATATTCTCTGCTGAGCATCAAGACCAGCTCTGTATTCAATCAGCAATATGGTGTCTAGGTTGTGGTGGCATCTTTTCAATATACCGTGTAGCTTTCAGGTGGATTCCACTTTTAAATCTGTCTGCGAGCCATCAAGGTTTATTCAGTCTGGTTCTGCCACAGAGGAGAATTCTGGCATTGTTGTGGAGTAGTTCTTTTTCGGGCAAGCAGCTTTCTGATCAAAGTTGGTACAGAGTTAGACCTCTCCTTCTATCCTTCCACCCACGCTGCAGCAAACAGAGACCTGCCAGATTACTTGCTAATTCTATAGTATACTCAGTCAGCGCTGCTCTATTCTGTAGAGCGTGGACTTGGAGGAGGCAGGGAAGAAATGTACTTTGGGATGCAACCTGAGCGATCAAACTCAGTCACGCAACGTGTCTGTCAGCCTGGGGAAGATGCCCAAGCCCAAAGAGATAAATCTTGAAGCAGAGAATGTGTATGAGTTACAACTTTTTGAAAAGAATTTCCTTTTCCCCCCCCCTCAGGTGTGAAACTGCAGGTATTTTTTCCTTGTGCTTTATAAGGCCATGGAAAGGCTGATCAAGTGTGTAGCCATTTCTTGGCTATCTCCAAAATAGCATGCGTAAGCTAAACTCCTCTTTATTGACTCATAGTTCACACCTACACACTTAGGTAGGCCTAAGTGAATCAAGCAGACGATTCAGCCTGTAACTGGTAGTCATACGTGATGTAGGTGTGAAAAATAAATGGGATTGCGCTTCACTTGGGGGTAGTGAGACACTGATTATCTGCTTTGTATGCACAAGTGACATCGTTGCTCAATAGGCTCTGAGCTTAGCTATGGGCCTGTCTATTACGTGCAGCTGAAGCAACATGGGAGTTGTGGAAGACAGGCTACAGTAAGCTGCTGGGGTGGAGGGAGAGAGTAGGCCCAGTAGAAGATTCCATGCAACTTCAGTTTTGTGGCCCTTCATTGTTTAAGCACCCCTCAACAGAGTTTCTGTTCTTAACCTTGATCAGACCAAAATTTTATCTTGGGAGGCGTTTGAAACCACACTTCCTAGATTCAGTCCACAGGGTTGCTAACACAGCTTTTTGGATATAAACCTGGATCTTGAGTCATGCAATTTCTGAAGAAACCGAGCGGCAGAATTGGTCACGTGGCGGACAGATCATTAAGAAGGGGGCAGAAAAGTTGTACGTCGATGGCGGCCCAGCCCTTTATGTTAGCAGTGGCGGCAGCAACAAGGAGAAAACATGCCGATATCTTATACTTATCCAATTTGGCAGAACAAATTCAGAGGGCACCGCAGTTCATGTCACATTCCGCTTTTCCCAATTAGATAGATGCCCTTCTGTTTCTGCTTTCGCGAGAGAATTCTGCTTTGGGTGATTGGACTGAAGAACAGCATTTCATCTGTCGTATTTGGATGTGCCTGGTGTCCAAACCCCAGTCTCCCTGTCATCTCTGCTGTGGACGTGGGCATAAGTCTTGTGTGCAGTCAGCATCGCATACAGATGTGCTTTTTTAATGTGTTCCTTGCGTCTGGTGCTTTGTGATCAATCCACCTCAGTAGTCTCTAAGCGGCTACATTCACTCAAGAGGCTGGTTCCTTCGATAATGACTCCAGTTATGGACACAGACTTCAAGCCTGTCGTATGGGACCAGTGTCTATTTTTTTAATTGTTTGTCTCTCAGAATGATGGGAGAAGGGGTGTGTTTGTGCATGTGTGAACTAGACATTTCAATAAACACAGGTTTGTTGTTGAAAAGGCAGCCCTGTGCTAGGTTCCTCCCCTTCTGTAATCAGGAGCAAAATGATTTCCTCTTGTCTTTCTGTGTGTTTCCTCACCAGCCAATGATGTGGGAGAGAGAAGTACACAGTGTGATGTCAAAATATTGGCAAGTTTCTAACAACACAATATTAGGAACTTGATGCTTCCAGTTTCAATGGCTGGTCCTTCTTCAAAGAGTGACTTCCATGTTACTCCTTCCCATCTTGGTTCCTCTCAAAGAAAAAACAGTTATGGTGACACCTGTGTGAACCATCTTAAAGTAAGGACAGAATTTCCAGGATATTTTTAGGATGATCTCAACAACAGTGAGGACTACAGATTTCTCTCCACATCCTGCCCCTGTTCCAGTCTCAGCCCTCAACTCAGAACTCTGCGGAATGTTGTAGAAGCAGTTGATATTCTCTCCCACCCAAAGAGCTTTTGTAAATGTTATAGAATGGGTGTGTTTTGTAAGAGTTCCACAGCAGTTCAGAGTTTCGTGGCTGCGTGAAAGGAGCATAGATCATGCCATTTGGGTGAGGGAGAACACATTTCTCTTTTAAAGGAAAATCCATGGTTTGAGATGTTGCAGCTCCAGTTTATTGCTTTATTTTGATAAAGTGGTTGGGCTGCTAGACCAGATTTGAAGAGTTGTTTTGCACCTTTGGTGGTGGGTGGAAATATATAGTGCAATCTGCATTGAGCACTTGGGAAAGAAGTACTTTAAATGAGATGAATATTGCTCTGTTCGTGTTAATGGTTCTTTTACAAAGCAATGTGAAATGAAAGGCAGGTTCTTGCCCTAAGATGTCTGCAGTCTGAATTTCAGTAGTAAGAGAGGCATTAGGAGAATGGAGAAAGGGAAGGGTAATAAGTGGGAGTATAGTCTTTAATTTTGAAAGATGGCACACTCCAGTTTTGAAGGCTATTTGGCTCTGGTATATTATTGTAACACAGTATAAAAATAAAATATGCTTTGAAACAATGGGCAAGGAGTGAAATTTTCAGTTTAAGTTTTAAGCAGTTTTATACTTCTCTGACTATTTTATTTTAAGGCTGCCTATATTGTGGCTTTGGTAAAATACAAATCTATTTAAATGTTACCAACTGGTGTAAAGGATGTTTATTTTAAACAACCCCAGTGTTACAAGGGATGGAAGAAAGGTGGATTTTATATAAGGGAGTTAGAAGTGGAGGTGTGCATCTGCACTTAAGCATCCCCAGTGTCAACTGACTGTTTTCGGATGCTTGGCGTGCCTACAGGGTCTTCCCTGGAGCCAGAAGCGGTTCTGAACTTCTAGGCTACGTTAATGCCTCTTTGAATTAAGAGCCAGTTGTCGCAACTCCTCCCTGTTGTCTAAAGGAAAGTTCATTTCTAATATGGCTACTGAGGACCCTTGATGCAGCAGTCGAGACTGTCACTCGCTCCTATGATTTCTGTGGGGTGTACGTGCTGTGGGTACTGTATGTGTTTGGAGGTCACAGCTTAGCATAAGATGCTGCCATGACACCAAGACTCTTGGTCCATCTTGTCCAGTGTTGTCTCCTCTGTCTGGTAGCACCTCCCCTGGGGCTGTTCCATCACCTTCTCCCTGACTCTTTCTTAACTGGATTGAATGTTAGACCTCCTGCATGCCAAACCTGTGGTTTACCGCTGAGCTACGGTTTCTCTGCCCACTGGCTGAATCGCAGTCACTGCGGCCTAGCAAGTCAGCTCCAGCTGTACAAGAATAGCTTTCTCACCGTGGACTCGTGGAGATCAGTGGGGCTCTGGGCAATCTGTGAAATGGGTGGATTGGGTGTGAGAAACCACACTTTCTCTACAAGTCATGGGAGGAACATAGAATTGTAGCGTTCGAAGGCAACCCATGGAGCATCTAGTCCAGGCATAGGCAAACTCCGGCCCTCCAGATGTTTGGGGCTACAATTCCCACCATCCCTAGCTGACAGGACCAGTGGTCAGGGATGATGGGAACTGTAGTCCCAAACATCTGGAGGGCCGGAGTTTGCCTATGCCTGATCTAGTCCGACCCCCTGCAATGCAGGACTATGCAGCTGTCCCATACAGGGCTTGAACCTGCAACCTTGGCGTTATCTGTGCCTCGCTCTAACCAGCTGAGCTATCCAGGCTCTCCATGTCAAGTGTTCAGTGAAGACTGCTATGCTTTTCTCTCCCAACGGCAGTGTGGCATCAAAAGGAATCGCTCAGACCACAAAGCCCCAAAATGGTATTTCAGACTATAATGTTAATGCCTGATATCTCTAGCTTTTTGTCTGATTTCAGAGCTGCTCCCCCCCTTTTTTAAAATCCATTTCTTCCTAATGTTCTTTTGGATTAAGAAAGGGAAAGGGGGAGAGAAAGCTGTCCAACATATTGATCAGTGGTCCAGTCCTGCAAAACACTTCCAGTTTTGCTTTCCCCACGGCATTATCCACTTTTCACCACATGGGGGTGTTTCATAGGAACAAGAAACCACAGACGTACAGATTGAGTTAGATGCAGTGCTACCGCATACCTGATTTTAAAAAATTCTCTTGGCTTTATTTTCTTTAGCAAGCAGGCAGTCTTGCTTATATGTAGCTGGCGTGAATACATACAGGTGAACCAAGGTCAGGCCAAGCCTGGGGTGGTCATACCTGGAATGGGTTTGTCCAACCAAGAGTCCTTAAGGCATCCTTGTCTTTATATACGGCTTGACCAATCCAGAGCCCCTCCCCTGCTGCCTGCACTTCTTTATTCCCCTTGCCTGAAGAAGGCTGTGGAGCATTGGTTCCCCATTAGCTAAGTACTGCAGACCCCTTTCCCCCCAAAAGCCAAGCCAGGGAATCCCTACTTTTGAAAACGTTGATAGCTCTTTGGTAGTTTTTATTATGTGAATGGTGCCACGGACCACCTACGTGGGTTACGTTGACTCTTTGGGGTCCATGGACCACCAAATAGGAACCACTGCTGTAGAACATAAAAACATGTAGATCTGGGTAACTCCACTTAGGGCCACCCACAGGCTGAAGGTCCTGCTACAAGCACTGGAATGATTGACAGAGACACCCTGTAATTCCTTTTTTTCTTTTTAGCTACTCCACTAAGCAATCCGAAGCAAAAAATGAATAAATCACTATTTCTTGGGTTGATTTTTGCTTTGCTTTTATGGCTTTGAAGTGAATTCTTTGGAATATCCGTGGTGGCTACCTGCCACCTAGGATTGCTTCGTTGACCAGTGCAGTAAGTGCAAAATATTAAGCAATGGGTGTAAAATGCTTTTTAAGATCAACTATATTAAGGCAATAAAAAAGGGATCTATTACACTTGTTTGGGGAGGGGTGTGGGGGGGTGCCGATTTCAGCATACTTGATTTCTCGTTTTTGGCTCTTATTTCCAAATGGCTCTTGTGTTTCAGAATCAAACTTCACATTATTAATGCAACTGTTTTTATGAAGGATGCATGTATTTAAACTTTTTTTTAAAAAAATCAAAACAGGAGCATTGTGGACACTTTTGGCAATCTTATCTTTCGGTGAATGTACTGTACATTGTTTCATGAAACTGAGGAACAATGAATGAGGATTTTATTTACTCCATGACATGCCACCATTTCATGTCCTTGTCTTATAGGTAGTTTGTCTGTTTTGGGGGGTTTTTTTGGGGGGGTGGAGGGTTGGGGTTGGTAAGCGGATGGGCAAAGGGAAACCTAAATCTTATTTTTTCTCGCTTCATGGGAATTGTTATGTGCTGAGTAATTTTGGTAACAGTCAAATGAAAAAAATGTATAAATGTGTGTGTATATAAAATGAGCATTGTCTGAGGTTGCACCTTGTAAACAATTGCAGATAATCTGTTCGAATGTTTGGCACATAATGTGCTCAATCAAAGTACTTTACTTTGAAATTATCATGATTCAATCATTAAAAAACAAAACAAAAGCAGAACATTGCTTTCCTTATTCATACTTATAAAAAGGAGGAGATTGTTAATTGGGTGTGTACAGTTTGGTAACGTGTAGTATACGGATTATGGTGGGTGAACACACTGCCCTGTTTTGTTTTGCTTTAAATTGTGTACATAAACTGATACAGTGGTACCTCGGGTTAAGTACTTAATTCGTTCCGGAAGTCCGTACTTAACCTGAAACTGTTCTTAACCTGAAGCACCACTTTAGCTAATGGAGCCTCCTGCTGCTACCGCGCCGCTGGAGCACAATTTCTGTTCTCATCCTGAAGCAAAGTTCTTAACCTGAAGCACTATTTCTGGGTTAGCAGAGTCTGTAACCCGAAGCGTATGTAACCTGAAGCGTATGTAACCCGAGGTACCACTGTATATGAAACACAGCTGTGTTGAACTGACTGAAGGTCGGCCCAAGACCTCTTGCCGCCTGAGGCAAAGGACACAATCAGCCATCTTGTTGGCTACTGTGATAACAGGATGTTGGACCAGACGAGCCTTGGCTTGATCCAGCAGAGCGCTTCTTGTGTTCTTATAGCATCCTACCCCGCATTTATTGTGTTGAAGCCAACCAAAGTAGCAGCTGAAATATTTTCTTCAGCGCTATCCTGTTGATCTCAGTGCAGTCCAGGAACTGTGCAAACCTAAATTTCCAGTATGCTTTGGAGTCTCTCCTAAAAGTCTGGAGGTGACCCACATGACAAAGGAAGCTTATCTTCCAGCTTGCATTGTGTGTGTTGGCAGCAGAGTGCCCATTTCGACTGGTTGGGCAGAAGGCAGGGAGGTCAACAGCAGGTGGCGCCAGAGCCAACAAATTCTAGGTTTGTTCCCATCGTCCTCCCTGCTTCATTCCATAAGGGGCAACACTGAGACTGGGGGTAACTGGCAGGTATTTCCACTCCCTGGGCTGGCTGTAAACAGGAGGGAAGGCAGGGTTGGGTCAGCTGAGACTGTTGGGATAGTGCCTCATTCTCCCTAGAATGGATCGGCCTCCATTGCTTGAGTCCCTTCTTCCTCATTGTCCTTCACTCATTGCTCTCTTCTGCTGGCAATCTAACCACAACTTCCTATAAGCTTAAATGCGCCTTTCTTTTCCCTCCATTTTCCTACCACTAAACACACCATCACATGAAAAGAAAGCTGGAGGTTCTTGCTTTGAAGGGCCTCCATCCTCATGAGGATTCAGTTTGCATGCATGGGCTCTGTAGTAGTTTCTCATTTCCCTCGACTCATGAGCGTCCGGCTTTTGCCAATGAAGATGCTCCCCTCACCTCTCCCCATCTCCACAGCCACACAGGAAAGTATGCCATTATCACATTCATTTGGGTGTACATCATCAGTACGGCATCTAGTATTGCCCGTTTTTCCATCTAGAATAATAACATTCAAGCCCAGTCCTTCCGCTCCTGCCAGCCTCCCATTCCTAGTTCATTTGACGGTGCCTCGACGTGATTCCAATACCCATTGTGATTTCGAATCTTAATGGCCATTAGTTGAATCCCGTCAATTTCACTATGACTGTCTATAACACTAAGCGATGTTGGCGTCCTTTCTGACAGCTCTTAATGGAATACTTGACCTCTCGTCCCTTGTTGATGGCTGCTGCTTCTATCGGTGAATCTCCGCTTCTTCATTTTAATGACTACAGTCAGGAGGGAGAAATCCTTGGGAATGCATTTGTGATTCTTCACTGCGAAACTTGACTTTTAAGGACAGAGGGGGAAAGGGGATATATAATCCTGCTGAATCAGACCAACCAACCGTGTAATTCAATCGTCTGGTCCTGGTCCAGTCAGCGGCCATTTTCAGAGGCGTACCTGGGGGTTGGCAAAACTGTTTTCCGCCAGGGGCACAGGCCCAGGGAGAGGGGCACAACAAATTCCTACCGAACGATGGAGTATATGATGCGTATGTGTGTGGCAATGTGCCACTGTTGTCACAGCGAGATCAAACGTGGGAGAAGCTCGCTATCCTTGCACCGTGGGCCAAAGGTATGTGATTTTTTTCACTGAACAATTTTGAGTACTTGGGTCGTGTAAAACGTAGTCATTTCCCAATGTGGCTATTGCAGTGAAGTGATTTTTTTTCCTTGAGGGGGTGCCGATGCAGCTTCTTCCCAAGGGAACAAGGGACCCTAGGCGCGACCTCTGGTTATTTTATTTATTAATGGATGAATAAAGTTAGCTCCAGGGGTTGTCCGTGCCTCTGGGCCACAAGTTTCCCCACCGCTGATAAGACAAAACCAACCATGAAAAATCTCACTAGGCCTCCCTCTCTCACCTTTGGTGGTATGGGACCTGATTCGAGAGAAGGGGGAGTGTCACGGTTAATTCCTTCATGTCCAGCCTCTCCTGTTGCATCCGACAGATCTTAACATTCATTAAAATGTTGTGTACGGTAAACACAATTAGCCCCGCTTTAGAAACTCATTCTGCTGGTGTCAAGTGTAATGCGAGTGCTCTGGTTGATAGATGATGAACGCAAGTGCTTTTTTTTTATTTCAGCACGGTGCAAATGCTATTACTCGGAGTTCTCAAGGGCGCCCAAGTTCTCAGCAGGTCAAAGAGCATGTAACTATCAGACATTAATGGCCTCTGGGCACATTGCAACAACAATAGAGCTCTGAGAGAAAATTGCAGTATTGGAGCACTTTAATATAATGTTGCAGGCTGGGTGTGTGTGTGGAGGCATCCGTCTGACAATAGGGGAAGACGGTGATGCGACCAGGCAGTGAGGGATATTGCTGGTTATTTATTGCTGTAACACTACAATGCTCAAACCTTGGGCTGCACGCTGTGGCCATGAGAAAACAGACAGAGAAATTAAGATAGTAGTTCAAGGGGCCTATAAGCCTAAAATGTACATCCTGTCGGTCTGCAGGAGTGACAGCTCTAATGCTGCCTTTTTCCAGTCAACCCCCATTGTGGGTTGGTAGTTCTTGTGCATCTCTACATGGGTACATGTTTGAATCATTTAATCGCATCTACTGCGTGGTGCTCCAGAGAAAATAAATGCTGTAAAATTCCTCTCGGCTGTTTATAATGAGGGAGGCTGACACACCTCATCAGAAAGGGCCTTCCACAAATGGGAAACTGACTTCAGGTGGGAAAGGCCTGTCCGAGTAGACACTGCTACACTGGGTAGACCCAGGGATGGAGAAACTTCAGGGGCCAACTTGGACACACGGGGA